AAAACTTATAATTAAGAATTACTAGCTATAATAAAATATTTTAAGATATAATATTATTATTTTAAAAGTAATTTATATATAATATATATATAAATAGATTATATAAATTTAAAATATTTTTATATTATTAAGATTCTAAATTAATACTAGATTAGATAGGCTAAACTTTTAGTAATATATAATTTCTAGATTAAATATTAGCCTAGTAGCCTTAATCTAGCTAATATATTTTTAAGGTAAAAGAATTATAAACCTACCTAATAGAATATAGCTAAGGGACTCTTACTTATACTTTAGGTAAAGCTAGGAGGTTTATAGAATAATTAAGGTAGAAATAAGATAATAATTTCTTAAAAGACCCTAATTATATGATTAAAAAGTCTAGAATTTTTAATCTAAAGAATACTAGTATAAAGAGTAGCTAGTAATAAGTAAGCTTATAAAATATTATTAACTACTCTATAAGATTTATTTTAAGAGATATAATATAAGGATACCTATATAAGTTAAATTTAAAATAATACTAATAAAAAATACCTAGTATACTAGAGGTATACTTAAATAGTAGGGAAATTATCTAAATAAAAAGTAATAAAGTAACTTAAAAATAATACTAAATAAAGATAAACTTATAAGAATAAATAATATATTAATAGTAATAAGCTAGTATAATATAATAAGATTATTTATATTCTTTCTAATTAAATAATATATTAAGAATTACTAAAAATATATTATAATAACTTATATATAGGCTACTTTAATTAAAAAAAGATATTAAATCTTATTAAATAAAAATTCTACTAGAATATCCTATAATATAATATTAAGAAATATATAAAGAATTATCTAATTTATTAGAAAATAAAAATATTTAGATAATTTTTACTAGGCTAGCTTATAAAGTTCCTGGTACTAGAATATTCTTAATAAAACCTAATTCTAGACTTTATTATAGACTTACTACTATTAATATAAAAAGAATATATATATAATACTATCTTAATAATTATAGATTAATATACTAAGAAAACTAAATACTTTCTAATAATAAGAAATATTAATACTAAAAAGCTAGCTAATATATTTATAAAAAAGATTATATTTAAAATAGGAGTATTAAGAAGTCTAGTAAGTAACTATAGCTTGCTCTTTACTAATAAATATTAGATCTAGCTATATTAAGGACTTTAAGTTAAAGAATAATTAAGTACTATATTCTATCTATAGATAGATAGTTAAATAGAATATTAGAATTAGATATTAGAGACTTATTTAAGGACCTATATTAGTTATTAATAAATTAATTAGGTAGACTAGCTAGATATAGTAAAATTTATATATAATAATATAAAAAATATATTATTAGGAATATCTTCTTATAAGGTATAGTATAGCTACTAGCTAGTATTATTTAAACTTACTAATATTAGGGATTCTAGTATAATTATAGTAATAGGAGAATAATTTAACTAACTATAAGTAAAATATTATTAGCTAGAAGAGAGTCTATACTATATTATTAAATAGTAAGTAAGGAACTATAATAAGAGGTATTATCTAATTAAATACTATATAGACTAATAAATATTACTATTTATAAAGAATATCTATATATAGAGGCCTAGTAAGAAGCTAGATACTAAATATAAAGGGCTATTTAAAATAGTTAAGGTAATAAATTAATAGATATACTACCTATAATTACTTAGATTATATAAGAAAATCTACCTAATCTTTTATATATTATTCCTTAAGGAATAGAATATAAGAAATAGTAACTTACTAGTACTATTCTAGCTAGTTATTATTAATAATAAGGAAGAATAAGAGGTAGAATAAATTATTATATAATAAAAGCTATATAGTAAAGATTAATACTTAATTAAATAAAAAGGATAGCTAATATATAAAAATACTTAGTAATTAGTAAAAAACTTAAAAAATATATAAGATATTTTAAATAAGTTTTATTATATAAATAAAATATAGGTAAGATATTAGTAAAATATTATAAAATAGTAAAATATAAAAATAATAAATTAATAAGGTTAAAAAATTAAAAAAATTATAAAAATATATTAATAATACTATTCTTTCTCTTTTTCTTACTAGATTTTAAGATTTAATAAAAGTATACTATAAGTATTAAGAAATCTTAAAAAAATAATTTAATTTTATTATATAAAAATAGAAATAATAAAATACTTATATTATAATATTAGTAAATTCTTAATTATTATAATTATTCTAAATCTTCTTATTATTATTTTTTAATTTTATTATACTATCTTTAACATGCTATATATTAAGTAGGTAAAATATATTATAATTAATAAATTAAAGTAATCTCTTTATCTAGTCCTTAATTTTAAGATAATAGATAAAAATCTTAGTAGTATAAGCTTATTAGGTATAGGCTACTATACTTATTATTTTATTAAATATTATCTAAATTTCCCTAAGACTAACCTATATAGGTAGAATAATAAGAAAGTATTTTTTATATAAGTAAGTATATTAAGTATATTACTATTCTAGATTTAAGTATATATAGGAATAGGCTTCTACAAGACTATTATTTATATATTACTAAGACTTAATATATTACAGGTAATATAGTATCCATGTAATAATAGCTAGGCCAGTAAAAGTAACTAGAATAGTTAGAGTAGCTAGGGCTATAGTAATAGCAGGAATAATAAGAGTTAGTATAATAATAGGAGCTAGCATAATAATAGGAGCTAGTATAATAATAGTAGCAGGAATAGCTAGAGTTACTATAGTAGAAGAAATAGAGAGAGAGGTAGCAAGAGTTATTATAATATTAAGAATAGTTATAGAGAATAAGGAAGATATAGTCCTACTAGATAATAAAATAATAATAGCAGGAATTATAAAAAATATACTAGTAATAATAGAGATTATAGGTACTATAATTAATATAAGTATAAGGAGGTTTACTATAAGAGCCTATAAATAATTAATATAATAAACTTATATTACTAGAATAAAGGTACTTATAAAAAAAGAAGTAGTAGTAGCTAAATAAACTTTCTTCTATAGAGATATAGCTAGTATAATACTTAATAAAAGATACTTTAAGGGAGCTATAAGATCTATAATATAGTTAGCTATTATTATAATACCTAAGTAATAATAACCTATCTAGTATAATATATTAATTTATTAGGAGGGACTTTTTAAAATATAGATTAGATTAAGAGAAATATATATAAAGGAATATTTTCCTATAATATTTATATTATAATAATATCTTTATTTACTACTAGTATACTTAGTAAACTACTTACTCTTATTTATTATTTTATTTAAAATAAAATATAATATTATTTATATTTTATTTAATAAAATATAATTAATAGAAATAATATTATATATATTATTATTATTTCTAGTATTAAATAAAAAAAGTAGATTATATTATACTAACTAGAACTAGCTCTTCCTTAATAAAGTACTAAGCTAGATCAGGTATAATACATATAGTATATAGATATACTATTAAGGAAAGAGAAGGTAATTATTATAGTAATTATATAATATATAATTATATACTAAATTATATACTAAACTATATATTTAGTAATTAAAAATAATTAGAAGAATAATAATATTTAAGTTATTTATACTATACTAGTAATTTAACTAAATAATATAAATAGTAATATAATAACCCCTAAAGTACTAAGAGATAAGTACTTTATTTTATTACTTCTAATACCTTCCTACTATCCTTGTACTCTGTGTAGCTTTGCTTCCTTTACCAACACTACCCATACCCAAGCGCCTCGCCAGTGAGATGCTTACACTCTTTTAGAAAAAAATAGTAATTAAAAAGATATATTATTCTAAGTAAGTACTTTAAATAATTCTTATTAGATTTTTTTAGCTTATATTTTTTAATACTTAATTATATTATTTTTTTATTAAATATAATTAAGAAGATTAATAATAATAAAGTATAAAATAAATAATTTATAAAATTCTTTTATAGTAATAATAGAGAACTAGTATATTTTAATAATATATTATTTTAATTTATTAAGAATATTATATAGAAGGGTTTTTATATCTTTAAGTAGTATAAGTAATAAAATAGATATAATAATAATAATTAACTCCTAATAAAGGGGAGCTATATAATATTAGGGAGTAAAATTAGATTTAAATATTTATTAATTAGGAGCTAACTAGACAAAATAATAGAATAATAGATATTAAGTAATAGATAGGATATAGCTTGAAGAGCTATAATAGGATTAAGGATAATATAGCTTAAATATAGGAATAAGGGTGGACAGTCAAGGCAGAATCTAACTAGATAGGTACTACGGCTTCGCGCCGTGACACATTAATTATACCTAAGGTACTAAAGATGCCTGAGGCCTTGCTTATAATATGTGCACCAGGTATCTATATATAGGTCTAACAATAGGGCTATATCAAATAAATTTAATAAAAATATTATTATTTTATAATTAATCTATTAATAAAGAAATCTATTTAATATAAAAATCTATTTAATATAAAAATAATATGATTGTAAGTATATATAAATTTAATAGATTTACTTAATTTTATTATATTAACATTAATATTTTGCAACAGCGTGCACTAGGTGCACTGGTACCAAGACAACAGGATAGCTAGGGTATATAGGGTGGGATTCGGGCAGATCAGATCATAGTGATCTTTTGGTCCAATGGTTTAGACATTGCTTGCCCGAATCAGCATGCTTTTACATATTTCAAAAGTACTTATTTAGAATATAAATATAAATGTTATTTAATATATAAAATAGTTATGAAATACTCTCCCTAATATACTAGATATTATATTTAGACTTCCAGAAAAGAAATTCGACCCTAGAAAATCACCTATAGTGATCAGTTCAGGTTACAGGGTGGTGCTAGATTAGTTTGTTAATATGGGCCTTGGGTTGGAGGGGTTGATTACCATCATCATGCCCCCCCAGGTATACACACTCCCAAGTCTTGCGCTCATTTTACCTTTGCCTGATTACAACATTTAACCAAAGTCATCACATTCTTCTACATACTGAATAATGACTGAAAGCACAAATACCTGTACCTCTAGTTCCATATGCTTTGACGCGGTGATTGTTGAAGAACATGTGCGATGCAGTACCACTGGAAACCAAGAGTATCTAACGATACCTATTGATGACATAGTCTGTGTACTTCCTAGCGATGGCGGCAACAAGTTCAAACATACCATGCTGTTTATTCAGGGGAATGATACATCCGGGACCAAGGATCTGGGGAATTCCACAAGGCTTGAGCGTATCCATCTTAAATCGGCACCATCTTCTCTTCTTTCCAGTCATATCTATACCGAAACGGCCTCTCATCTCAGGTCTTCTACAAACGGAGGCACAAGGGTTCATGTTATTATTTCCACCGGCTCTGGAATGGGCATGGCGAAATCGATTTTCAGCCACATTCTACAACCGCTCCTCGGGTATCTTCGTGTAGCCGAGTATGAAGTACATGAAACAAAGTCAGCGTGCACCATTACCGAATTATGCCACTCGTTGTTTATTCCTCAATCCGAAGCCGGTATTTTACAAACCATTATTCTCTTATCTGGTGATGGAGGCTTGTGCGACCTTATCAACGCCTTTTATAATTACCCAATGACACTTCATGTACCACCGAACATTTCGCTCATTCCGGTTGGGACAGGAAATGCCATGGCAAGCTCTATTGGGCTTCTGGCTCAACCTAAAGCAGCGCTAATGACATTACTGCGTGGCAGCCCAGTCTCACTGCCGGTATTTGCTGCAAGCTTCTCATCTGGCGCTAGTTATGTCATTGATGGTTGCCTGGACCGGGAACCCTTGATAGGGGAATCACCGTTACTTGAACATCACTGCCCAAAAACATACGGTGGTGTTGTTGCTAGTTGGGGAATACACGCCGCACTGGTTGCTGATAGCGATACTGTTCATTATCGCAAATTCGGTGCAGATAGATTTAAGATGGCTGCAAAGGAGCTGCTTTTTCCATCGGATGGTAGCGAGACTCATAAGTACAGTGGAATAATCACCCTTATCCGAAGTTCTCACCAAGAGGGCAGGGAGTACGAGGAGATTGTGGGGTGCAGGGAACACATGTATGTGCTGGCAACCTTGGTGTCGAACCTTGAAAAAGACTTCATGATCTCTCCCCATTCCGCTCCTCTTGATGGTCGTTTGCGAATCATACACTTCCCCCCAGTATCACCAGAAAGGGCAATGCAAATTTTATCCGCTGCGTACCAAAAGGGTCAACATGTGAACGATGAAAATGTCATGTATTCTGAGATTGAAGGATTTAGGATCGACTTCCAGGAGGTTGATGGGCGATGGAGGCGCGTTTGTATTGATGGTAAGGTGGTGGTGGTTGAGGATGGAGGGTGGATGGAGGTGCGCAAAGAACGGAGACGTCTGCTTAACATCATCTCGTCGGGCCCATCCCCACGGGTATGAAGCCGAAAGTTTTCAGGGTTGTTACCTCTTCATAAATCGAAGAGATAGAGGCAAACATTAGGAGGCATCCATGGAGCAGTAGTACTCGGTATATGACCCCCGTATTTCTACTTTCCCGTCGGATCCACTTGCGTAGAATTGGAGGGCACAACAAAGTCTGGGGTAAAGATTTTGACAAGGCTCATTGAGAAGCGGCGACCAAGACAGGCTTCCTCGAATCCGCATCTGTCGGCTGGGAACCTTCTTAATCTACCGTCGCATCGGATTCATCCGTAGCACCAATGGCGCTGGAGATTATCCTCGGCTAAATTTCACCCAATTGTCGAACTTGGATTTCAATCTGCTCCATATTTTAAAGACGATCTTTGCACCTTCATCTGTGAAGAAAGGTTCAATAATCAAAACAACAGCCAACACTGTGAAGTTCGGCTCTTTATTTGATATATTTCTGTGACTGTGATCTATTGCCTCCTGTGAGGATATAATAATAATCCATCTATTGTGATTAAAGAGTACTTTTGAATCTCGCGGATTTCAGCTCACTCACTTGGCAAAGAATCCGCTGCACATCGATCAACCATGTCCTTTTCCAACCTTGTCTCCGACCTAGCCTTGAGAGACGCCCGTGAAGACCGCAGTTCCCAGATATCCAATGTCCGATCGCAGGCGACTGCTCGATCTTACACAAGTACAGCCGCCACGAGTGTCAGCATCTCGGGCGATATTTCGAGCCAACTTCATGCCGGCTACAGTCATCCCCTGAGCAGGTCATGGCAAGCTGAGAGGCAGTTAACCAAGGTCTGTATTTTCCCTAGTTCAAGCATATATCCTATGGCTTTGCGATCGCATTTCTTGCTGCAATTCCTCCAAGACCCTAACTTCTATCCAGGAAATGTTGATTTATCCTCTGTTCATTACGGATAATCCGGATGAGGAAACACCAATTCCGTCATTGCCCAATCAATACAGACGAGGGATTAATCGCTTGGTTCCGTATCTCAGACCACTAGTTAATAAGGGACTCCGCTCTGTTATTCTGTTTGGAGTGCCTTTGCATCCCTCTGCCAAAGATGCTCTCGGGACATCCGCCGATGACCCTGCCGGCCCTGTTATTCAGGCTATCCGTCTAATTCGGTCCCGGTTTCCTCAATTATATATAGTGGCAGATGTCTGTCTGTGTGAATACACCTCGCATGGACACTGTGGAATACTCCGCGAGGATGACTCCCTCGACAATGCCCAGTCTGTCGACCGGATTTCGGATGTCGCCTTAGCTTATGCCACAGCCGGCGCACACTGTGTTGCCCCCTCTGATATGAACGATGGGAGAGTTCGCGCTATAAAATTGAAGTTGATCGAGGCCGGTTTAGCTCACCGTGTCCTCTTAATGTCCTACAGTGCAAAATTTAGTGGCTGCTTGTACGGTCCTTTCCGCGATGCGGCGGGCTCCTGCCCCTCGCTTGGAGACCGCAAGTGCTATCAACTGCCTCCTGGGGCCCGTGGACTTGCCAGACGGGCTATTCAGAGGGATGTAGGTGAGGGAGCAGACATCATTATGGTCAAGCCGGCAAGCAGCTATCTAGATATAATCAGAGATGCCAAAGAGCTCGCTCCGGATATGCCAATTGCTGCCTATCAGGTAAGTGGCGAGTATGCTATGATACATGCAGGGGCTAAGGCTGGCGTTTTTGATTTGAAATCTATGGCCTTTGAAAGTACAGAGGGGATTCTAAGGGCTGGTGCCGGTATTGTAGTGAGCTACTTCGTACCAGAATTCCTCGATTGGCTCTAGGTTTTTTTTTTCTCTCGAAAATTTTCATGTTTGATATAGTCGACTTGTTTGCCAGTTCCATTCGTCTCACCGCACTCATTTTTTGGACCATTTGTAGAAATAGCCCGGCGTATTCAAAATAATATTTCGATCGTCAAATACTGTCTGACGAGCCTAAAAAGGCGTATATTCGTTTAGTCCTTTGTCTTTCCCGGGTTCTACCAATATTATTGATCGCAATTGCTATCGTCGTTCTTTGCTAGCGTATCTATATGGCCGCATAATGGGTAGGTATTGCAGGTAATAAGAATACAGGTGACCCACGTACTGGTGTTTTGTAGACTTTGTGCATGGAGTACGCACAAGAAGGAAGCGAAAAATGTCAGGTAGTATTCGGTCAAAAGAAATAGTAATATATATATTTGCATAAGAACGTTCCTGTACTCTGAGCCAGCCAGATGTATAATAGGACCAAGAGAGAAAGCGGTAAAGAAAAGAAAATGAAGATGGGAAAAGAAAAAGACAAAAGATGTCGAGAGGAAGGAAAGTGGCATAGAATTACAAGAGGACAGCAGCAGGGTTTATAAGGAAAGTCTCTGGGCTCTATGGCATAAACAGTTGAGGCCCGAAGACCGGTGCCATCCTATAAGGTGTATGCTGGTGGCTATATGTGTGATTAATATCTTAGTCCACTGACATCACATGTAGCTTGGCTTGAGACCTTGGAATCCATAAGCCACAATGTCGGACTTTACTACTTCGCCTGGTGCAACATAGGCCCCGCGTCGTAGTCGAACTCCGGGGTAAATTGTGCAACCAGCACCAACATAACAATCTTCTTCAATTGTAACAGGTCGTCCCTGGTAGCGACTTTGTGAACCTTTGCGCTCCTGCATATTTGAATGAGCCATAGAGGTTAGTATGGTTACCCTCGGGCCAATCCATGTGTGGGCTCCAATCGTAATGGAACAGTCATCGACAAAAAGACAACTTTCGGAGATCATGACATCCTCGCCTATGTGGACGTTGTACCCATAATGACATTGGAAGGGGGCCTCCACAACGGCACCCTGCCCAATGGACCCCGCAGTTCTGGGCGACGTAGCGGCTGAAGGTGAATTGACAGCCGGAGGAGGAGGAACGAGGATCTCTTTCAACAAGCGGTTCTGTTCCTTCGTACTAAGCCCAGAAACAGGATTGCAGCTGTTGTTAAACCGCCATAGAGCCGCCTTACACCGATCTCTTTCCTCCACAAGATGAATATCAAACGGCCGATAAAGATCACCACGGATCATTTTATCTTTCTCCGTCTCCTCACCGGAAACTGCACGAACAGACAACTGGTGCTCGATACTCAACGCCATTCTTGCTTGGGCTTGTGGAGTGCTGGTATCGATACTGCTCGTGTGAGCTGGTCGCTGGTCAATTCCACCTTGGAAAAGAGGCACGTTTGGTTTGGAATGGTTTCCATGTGGAAGTTCTCTAATTGGGGGAACGATCTGATACTCGGCTTTAGGATGTCCCTCGCGCGATAATTCGTGAATCGATGGAACTTCTCGATAGTCTGATTTAGCCAGGGGATCCGCAATATAACTCGCATGACTGGCACTTGGCCAGCTTCGCTTTGGCCACGATCCCCGGCTTGGACCTACTCCCGTTGGGCTCGTGTTGAACTGGGCAGCAGCGCGGGTTTCTTCCTCCACAACTATTGGTCTCATTTTCCCTGGCTCAAGCTGCTCTGCTATATTTTGCGGCCGGTCGTGCTGGTTAATATCATGAACATATTGACTACTAATATCAGGATATCCCTCCTTTGATTGCAAGGGAACTGGAGTCTTCGCATTTGAGGGCTTCTGCCATGTGCTTCGAGACGAATATCCCTCACATAGAAAGCCTCCTCTGATACAATTATTACCTACGAGAGTCAGAATATTACGGTACTAAGTAAATCGGGGGAACGAAAGATCTTTGAACAGGACTCACAAGCTGGGTGTTGTTCATCGCATTTTTTCTTCCTTCGTCGGCAAGTCATACAACCGGTTTTGGTTCTGTTGCTAAAAACGCGCTTCCTCTTAGGCGCGACCTGCGCCGTAGCTTGGGAGCGTTCCTGGGAGAACGTAGAAAGCGGTGAAGGTTGTTCACTCGCCACAGGCGCGTCAACCGGCCGGTTAATTGTACCCCAAGTCTTCTGAGTAACCTCTGGACCCTGCGCTTCGCGCTGGAGTGCTTCTGCTAATTGAGCATCAGAGGCATCGATTTGCGGAGCGCGTTGGGATTGATTGATCAGCTGCGTATCATATTCTGACCAAGAAGGATTCGCAGACGACGTTCTTGAGTCATCGGCATCGTCTGGCCGGCTGTGCGCAGATGTATTTCTAGATTCAATATCGGGTTGAGGCCCCACAATGCCATTCGAGGATGGTGGCGGTACGGAATGCTCTCCCGGTTCGGGTTCTAGATGAGACGGGCTCCTCAGGGCTCTGTAAGACGTATGGGAATTCTCTTCTTGATCGTGAGACTCTGACCTCTTCCGCTTGCTTCTGTTGGATGTCGAGGGAGGACAGAGAGAAGCAGATCGCTGGGAACTTTGATCTTCCTGGTCGTTTCCGTTCTCGCGCATCCGTTCTTCAGGTCGCGAGGATAGATCATGGCTGCCCCGTGACCAAATTTCTGTAGGTTCCCTATGGTCGCCGTTGCTCGATGTGCCACTCGGTGGTGCAATCGGAGCTGCAGCCCCAGCTATCACAGTGTCTCTGCCATTCACCGCGGTAAATCGTGACGGACTATGATCTATTTTGGACTCTTTTTCAGAGTCGTGGTCATTCATCACTGCCGCAGTGGCGATGGCCGTCATAATAGTATGTATACAAACGCGATTTTCTTTCTTTTATTGCGACTCAGCCGCGGAGGCGCCTAAGTCGTGTGTATATTGTGGAAAGAGGTACTTTGTTGGTGCTTTGGGAGACACTGGATAATCTGAAGATGGCTGGCTAGCTTGTCGATTCTTATTCACCGGTGAATCAGGTTTCAGCTCCTTGTATAATGAGTGTCCTTCATCCAAGAACCATACGAGGGTAGAGGTGAGATCCAGGCAATTCATAAAGAGCGCAGACTATGAATACTTGGAATTGGACATATAGGAGTCGTAGGTCTGGACTGCGTCGCAAACTGTGCACTTAGGCGGAAATGTTCCGAGACACTGCAAGCGCGAATAACGAATTTGTTGTTCTGCACAACTGACCGCAAGATTCTGCAGCCGGCGAGGATCAGGCGGCGATGACCGCACTATTTGCTGCGGAAAGGCGAGAGAGAGAGTTAAGGCGCAAAAGTGAGGCCCTGGATAGCGACAGGTGATGGATTGCAAGATGTTGACAAATTTATTCAGGAGTGACAAGCCGAGGGCGAAAGGGAGATGTCGAACACGAAATGGGAGATGTCGGCTGATTAAGAGAAGGAAGAATGTAGTTATATAGAATAAGTAACAAAGTCTCAGATTCGCTAGTAGAGATGGGGTGAAAAGACGCTGTTAGCAGCGGCTATAACAAACGAGGGAGAAAAAGAGTTTGGAGAGGACTTGACAGTTCAAAGTCAGAGGAGTAGATGGGGAGGGAACGGGGGTTATGGGACAGAGAGGGAGAAAGAAAGAAAGAAAGAAAGAGTAAGAGTAAGAGAGAGAGAGGAGGGGGATCGGAGTAGTTGTAGTACTACTGAGATTCAGAGTGGAGGGAAGAAGGATAAGCGATAGCAGGTGATAATTCAGCGAGTAACATCTCAGCACGGGAATGGTAATGAGACTTTTTGCCGCCTGCAGATGGCAGTCAACAAGACGAGGCTATGGGGCTAGACGCTTTGTACAAAAAAAAGTCTTATAATTAGTACAGGGCCAACCGCCCACCCTTTTTTTCTGGCGAAGAGAAGAGGAAGAAATATAAATTATATTATATATGTATTATAATAAGAATAATAAGAATAATGAGAATAATGAGAATAATGAGAATAATGAGAATAATGAGTGAGAACTCCTGATGGGTTAGGGGGGGGGGGAAGGAAAAAGGAAAAAAAAAAAAAAAAAAAAAACAAAAAACAAGAGAGGGAAAGAGAGTTTGGACCGGGGGGGGGGAAGCGAATATCCCCAACTCCGGACAGTTTACTAGGGTGTAGGTGCTTTTTACAGGAAGAGGATGCGGTTTAATGCGGCTGCCAGCTGGCTGATGAGAAGCTCACTGGACAGAGGGATGAGGTTGGCGCGCGATCGGCCCTGACCGCGCGAAGCAAATGGTTGGCTACATCATGGGAAGCGAGCGATATGGTTGGATAAGTCGAGGTGATGGCGCGCTCAGGCGACACGCCACCTTGAAAGGGAGGGTCAGACGCCTTTCTCCTATGGTGTCGTTCGCTCTATCCGCGAGGGAAGCGCGGCACAGCGGCGACGAGCGAAGTGGTGGGTGGGTCGGAACGAGGGAGGAGTCGCTTTGTTCGCCATTGGCGCCAGGGGATATTGGACGCGGTTACTACTAAGTAGTCCCTAGTAGCAAAGCACATCGAATAACCCGGTAAAAATGATCATGATTGGGTACATAACCCAGAAGGTCAGAATCCTGCCCCTCCTAATTTCATTCTTAGCATGTTTTTCATGAGAGATTAATCCAGTAGAGTACTTTTTTTCTTTTCTTTTTTCTTTTTTCCCTTACATTAGCTACGTAGATAGATACTGGTAGTGTCCTTGGTTATCTTCCACGTAATACCTTAGAAATCATTATTACTGTCATTACTTAGTACCTACTACTAACTAGTAGTACCAACCTAGGTAACCTTTGAAACCCTACTAGTAATTTAACTGTTATAGTGTATGCATTAGGGGAGAGAGAAGAGAGAAGATGAGGATGATGGTGACGATGACTAATCTTCCTGGTGGAGATACATAGAACCGGTCCCGAGAGGGGAGCTTTGCTCAGTTTACCTGCAACACAACTCCTACTACGATGTACTAGCAACGACACCACCACACTCACACTCACCGCCACTACTCCCCTCTCTCTCTCTCTCTCTCTTTCACTTTCTCTGCATACCACTTGGCCTGGTCCTTCCCCCTTCCGTTCTTCTTACTTGGGAATTCTTGTGTCCCAAACCCGACTCTGACATCTCAAATCATAATCTTCATCCCCCCCACTTCTTCCTTCCAGAACTTCGGTGCAACCTTCAATCCGTAGTTTGCTCCCAGGAGCTTACTAGTTAACCTTGCCTCCGACAAACCCCTCCAAAGGAGGTGCCTTTACCCCACCACCAAACGTTCTAACACTCTCGGCTTTCCTCATACACCCTATGCGATAAACATCTGCAGCCTCGTTTGGATACACGTGAATCCCCTGCTGCCCATCCTCGATCAACGCGTCCTCTGAGATTTCATCCCCAAATCACCCATCTACCGGAGCGGAATGTCGGTTTCCATCCCTGAGTTGGACAGCACTGTCCGCGCCTTCTACGAAGGTAAAGGTGACTTGGTAAGTAACCCGTTAGAAAAAAAAATTTTATCCCATGCTTCTTGAACTGGTAAACTGATCTGGGATGCTTTTTCTTTTCTTTTCAATCCGGCAGCAAAAGCAAGCTCAACAGACCCTAACAGAAGTAAGTTTTTTTATTCCGATCCGCCAAAATGGTAACCAAACAAACAAAAAAAAAAAAAAGAGAGAGAGAGATGAGGTCGTCCATCTAACCGGTCTTAAAATTCATTAGTTCAAGCAAAACCCGGATGCCTGGTTAATCGTAGGGAATATCCTTCAAGAGTCATCTTACCCTCAGACTAAATGTGCGATGAATTCCTATCCTAACCAATCCATCCGTACATCGCTGATATCCGTAGATCTCGCCCTTCAAGTTCTCGACGATGTTATTATGACAAGATGGAAGGTTCTACCCAGAGAGCAATGCCTAGGTAAGCATCTACCGACATCGAGCTCGATCCTGTCAATCTTAATGCGATTTTCCCTACAGGTATTCGGAATTTTATCGTCAATTTCATCATCGAGAACTCGCAATCAGAGGAAAAGTTGAGGAGCGAACGGGCCTTTATAAACAAGCTGAATCTAGTTCTTGTCTCTATATTGAAACAAGAGTGGCCGCATAACTGGCCGACTTTCATCAACGAAATCATCTCATCATGCCATACCAGCCTCTCAATCTGCGAAAACAACATGGCTATCCTGCGACTGCTCTCCGAAGAAGTTTTTGATTTTTCCCAGGATCAGATGACCTCCGTTAAAGCCAGAAATCTGAAGACTTCCATGACACAAGAGTTCTCATCAATTTTTCAGCTGTGCTCCGAGGTGCTCAACACGGCCAACCAACCTAGCCTCGTCAAAGCTACCCTCGAGACCCTTCTCCGATTTTTGAACTGGATTCCATTGGGGTACATCTTTGAGACCCCCATTATAAATACCCTTCTCACACGATTCCTCGATGTTCCCGAATTTCGTAATGTGACTCTGAAGTGTCTCACGGAGATTGGAGGGCTTCAGATTGGAAATCCGTATAATTATGATGAAAGGCTGGTTCACATGTTCACGGAAACCCTCACTATTGTCTCGAAGATAATTCCGCTATCAATGGACCTTAAGCAGACCTATGCCAAAAGCAACTCCAGAGACCAAGAGTTTGTACTTAATTTGGCATTGTTCTTGTGCAGCTTCTTCACCGCTCACCTCTCTGTAAGTTTCTTCCTAGTTGTTGGAGACAACCTACTCATGATGACGCTAACAACCTTGGTCTGTTCAACTAGCTCGTTGAAAAACTGCCGAATCGTGACTACCTCACCCATGCGCATTTTTATCTTATTCGTATCAGTCAGATCGATGATAGAGAGGTCTTCAAGATTTGCCTGGAGTACTGGACCAGGCTTGTGCAAGAACTTTACGAGGAAATGCAGCAGCTCCCAATCACGGATATCAACCCCTTGGTCAGCATGGGCGTCAGTGGTCTGTCTAACGGGGGCGCTCCGCACCCAAGCACCCTGGCGAACTATCCGCTCCGCAAACACAAGTACGAGGAAGTGCTATCCAGTCTACGCACTGTTATGATAGAAAAAATGGTTCGACCGGAGGAGGTTTTGATTGTCGAAAACGATGAGGGGGAGATTGTCCGTGAGTTTGTCAAAGAGAGCGACACAATTCAATTATACAAGACGATCAGGGAGTGCCTGGTGTACCTCACCCACCTGGACGTGGTTGATACAGAAAACATCATGATTGAAAAACTGGCCAAACAAGTTGACGGAGTGGAATGGTCATGGGCCAATTGTAACACTCTCTGTTGGGCCATTGGATCGATTTCCGGGGCCATGAATGAGGAAACCGAGAAGCGTTTCCTGGTCACAGTCATCAAGGACCTTCTTGGTCTTACGGAGATGAAGCGCGGAAAGGATAACAAGGCTGTTGTTGCCAGTAATATTATGTACATTGTTGGGCAGTATCCGCGTTTCTTGAAGGCCCACTGGAAATTCTTGAAGACTGTGGTCAACAAGCTATTTGAGTTTATGCACGAGACACACGAAGGTCAGCCTGACCAGCCCAGCCGAGTTATGTTTCTGGATCTTCCCATCGCTAACTCTTACCAGGCGTCCAGGACATGGCATGCGACACGTTTATAAAGATTGCCAACAAATGTAGGCGGCATTTTGTTGCCCTCCAGCCAGGTGAAAATGAGCCCTTCATTGAAGAAATCGTTCGCAACATGCGCAAAATCACTTGTGATCTCTCACCCCAGCAGGTCCACACTTTCTACGAAGCCTGTGGCTACATGATTTCTGCCCAGGGCCAAAAGAGCCTCCAGGATCGGTTGATTGAAAATTTGATGTCATTACCCAACTCCGCCTGGGATGCCATTATTGCGCAGGCCAACCAGGATCCGTCGGTTCTTCAGGACGGCGAAACTATCAAAATTATCGGAAATATCATGAAGACTAACGTTGCTGCATGTTCGTCTATTGGGACCTATTTCTACTCTCAGCTCGGACGCATCTACCACGATATGCTGAACATGTTCCGGGCGTCAAGCCAGCTTATTAGCGATGCTGTTGCACGCGATGGTAATACATACCCCTGATATTTTTTCTGTGATCCGAGTTTACACATTTCCCTCCTTCCATCCCATATAGCTGGCCACTCATTTATGCGTTTCAGTTCTGACATCCTCTAGGGAATATCGCCACGAAGACGCCAAAAGTCCGAGGCCTTCGAACGATCAAGAAGGAAATCCTCAAGCTCATCGACACATACGTGCAAAAAGCAGATGATTTGGAAATGGTAAATGCAAATATGGTTCCTCCGCTTCTCGAGGCGGTTCTCGTTGATTATAACCGAAACGTCCCCGATGCTCGTGAAGCCGAAGTGTTGAATGTCATGACAACAGTAATTCAAAAGCTACACGTATGTTAGCCCCTTCAATCACATTGATTGGCAATTCTGAGTGAATCAATTTACTTTTGAGATCACTAACTAACTCCTTTCCTTCCCCCCCCCCCCTTCCACCTCCACAGAACTTGATGGAAGACAAAGTGCCGTTGATTATGGAAAGTGTTTTCGAATGCACCCTAGAGATGATCAACAAGGACTTTCACGAATACCCCGAACACCGTATTCAATTCTTCAAGTTACTTCAAGCGATCAATCTGTACTGCTTCCCAGCCTTGTTGAAACTTGATGCCACCCAATTCAAGTTTGTCATTGATTCCTGCATGTGGGCCAGTAAACATGACAACCGAGAGGTTGAAAATACCGGTCTCACCATGTGTCTGGAGCTCATGAATAATATGGCTGAGACTGATGTGCAAACATCAAACATCTTTTTCCGTCAGTTTTATATTCCTATCTTGCAGGACGTATTTTTCGTCCTCACCGACAGTGATCACAAATCCGGTAAGGCTTCCCCCCCCCTTGTCTGGCTATATTAGCCTAAAGCTCTTTCTAATCGTTGTGTAGGGTTCAAATCTCAAGCGATGCTATTGTCGCGGATGTTCTACTTTGTCGAGTCTGGAAAAGTTCAGGATCCCATCTACACCCCCGAGCAAGCGCCTTTGGGAACTTCCAATAAGGAATTTCTCCAAGAATATGTCGCCAACCTCTTACAGAATGCTTTCAAGAACCTGCAAGAGTGAGTCTGATCCCTCTGTTTGGCGCACGTGGTATGCTAAATATCTTGTAGGATTCAAATCAAGCAGTTCGTGGTGGGCTTGTTTACTTTCAACGACGACTTCAACAAATTTAAGACCCATTTGCGAGATTTCCTGATTTCATTGAAGGAATTTGCCGGTGATAACGCGGAGCTTTATGCTGAGGAGAAGGAACAAGCCCTGAAGGATGCTAAAGCTGCCGAGCGTGACCGTGCGATGAAAGTGGGTGGTTTGCTGAAGCCATCCGAGATGGATCATGAGGACGAGCTATGACTCGACAAAGAATTACGATCCGAGGCCAGCCTTTCCCGTTCTGTGGAGGCTACGGGGGTTCCGGGGGGTTGTGAGTCTCGTTCAGGCGAAGATTGGCTCGACGGCTGGTCCTTTTATGGAGTCTAGACCTAGGAGATGCTCTCTACTTACCTATTTTAGGATGTATTTTTTTGTCCATCAGCGGTGTTATTCTACCGATATTTCTGTGGATTTTTCATTGAGATCCAATTTCGATGCGAGATCAGTAAATGGTCCCAGCCGATAGCCCCTTTCGACGCTGCAACGTTGCTGCTCCTTTTGGTGTGTAGTTTTCACACATCAACCATGGAAGGTGACATCTTCTCTACCCTTTGTGGTGTCTTGAAAATCCACTGGCGAGCAAAATTTGGAGGGTAGCTGTATTTATTTACCACTATACCGAAAATTTGAAAACATTATAAATTCTTAGTGGTGCTGTCTTGTGTCAGGTGATGTGAACTGACGACCCAGACCTTTCGAGTCTTATGTGCCCAACACTTATTATGGTGGACTCCCGTCATGGATAAACATGATATCACAGAATGCTCAAATATAACAACATAGTGTTCAGTGCTACATAAAGAACCCCCAAGGTTGGATGGATCATCCAAGCCCTGGGCAGGACACTAGAAGACGCCAAACGGGCAAAGCTTCCGCAGGCGGTGAGGGGGGGAACCTAGAAGTAGTACATCACCAGATGGATTCGCCCACCTTTACAACTTCTTTCCCACTACCAAACCCAGCGAATTCTCTGAAACCGTCTTATTAAGCCCCCATTACCCCCATATATTACACGAAACTTTACTAGAAGCTTTAAACCCTTGGCCCAACATGTCCCATAACCGACAAGCCCTGCCGCAAGCCTCAACACCCAATTCTCGGGTCTCATCCGTCACCCGAGTAGAAGAAAGACCGCGCATTTCTGGAACCCTCAGGCTAAGAGCAGAAGATGCACCGCCACCCCCCGTAAGCCAGGATGAGGCACCCTCGCGGCGCATCCGATGGAGCGAGGACGTTATCGATAACGAAGGCATGGGCAAGAAGAGCTCCAAAGGTAAGAAAGAAGAGGCGATCACTAGGACTCTAGCCACCTCACTCCTCCTCTCTAGTCAATGCCGGGTACATGATGATACTAATAACCGAATCTCTGCATATATATATATAGTATGCTGTATCTACCACAAAGCCCGACCGGTTGGCGAAAGCAGTTCCGAAGAGTCTTCTTCTTCATCCTCGGATTCCGACTCCGACTCCGACTCGCATAGTGACCGTCCCACAAGCAGAAGAAAGTGCCAGCACGCCCATAATCAAAACGGAGAGCATCCGCATGACTCTTCGCAAGGATCTCCTGAGAGAGGCCGAGTGGTGGAAGGTTGTTCGCGAAATCACGAGACCCGGAAAACGAAACGGAGAAAGCCTAGTCCGAACGCGTATGAGAAAATGCCCAAGAATAAATGAACAAACGAAGCACTGGATTTGGAATGAAATGAAAATACTTGCGGCAAGGACGGGGATACGATATTGGCATCTTAGAGAGGATTAGCCAATCTGCTACCCATTGTGTAGCACAGCTCTAGGTGCAACATTACGGCCTCCTTGAAGTAGCTGTTAGCTATTCGCTCTTTGTTTCCGGCGCGGAAACGAGACTCGAGAGACAATCCGTCCCATGCCACGTCAGAATACCGAGGGAAGGCCAAGATAATAGCGTGGGGATGTTTCTTTTCAAAGCAAAAGAATTGTTGCCGTGCGATGTATGCGCAGCTCATGCATGACTTGATGGTCCGGTTCTTTGGACTTACCTCACTAGGGGGTTTGGGAACTTGTAGCGCAATAGAGATTAGATACACAAGCAGTGTAGATGCAGAAGGTCTCATTAAGATACTATTTGCGAATGATCCCCTACTACTCCAAAACCTATCTATAACATCATACTCCGTCGCCTGGCTGCGGCTCGCTGCCCGCGTCTTATTTGCTTTGCCTCAATGGTGAATATATCGCCGTGATCCGGGGAATCCCCCTCAAAATCCTCCTTGCTCCTTGTAGAGTTGGTTGTGATCTCGGATATCAAGTTGGCCACTCCAGCTTGAAACGATGCACTACCTTCTAGTTCAGTATTGATTTCGAGAGGCCTGTTTCGCTCAGAAGACTTGATGTTTGAGGAGTGCCGACGGGACTGTCTAGTTGTACCAGAGACTGCTGGATCGACTTTTATGGAGGCTTCCTCCTGTTTTGTTATTGTCTTTTTCTCGTTTTTGTCCGTCTCAGCACTGGAAAACTGGGTTTGATCTTCGGTTGCGTCTTCTATATAAGCGCCATCACTCGCCTGGCTAGCCTTGTCAATTGGTGAAGTTTTGCGTTTCCTTTGAGAGATCATATTCATCTGACGCTTCGCATGGCTGCTGAGCGTTTCCAGAGGAGCCAAGGTGTGCTTTTCCTCGGCGACATCCCAAGCTCCAATACTGCTCCTTTGCTCATCCGATTCCTTAGCTGTATCTGTGTGAACTGTGTAGGAAGTGGACTTCCTTGGTTTATCAACCCCGACTGCCGCTACAAGCTCGTTTGTTGACCGTCTCATCTTGTCTCTCAAGTTTGGTTCGGCATAGCTGACGATGGCCCTCTGGCGTCTCGAAGGTCGAACAGGCGGAGTGGGTGCAGCTGCAGACTCTTGTCCGGCGTCATGAGCTCCAGTGTTATCCGCCTCTTGTTCATAGCTATGCAAAGGAACACTCGGCTTTATCGGGGAAATGTCTCTCTCCCGGAGTTTGTTGCCTTTGTCTTCCTTTGGTTGAAGGTTCTCTCTTGCATCGTTTGCTGCGTTATTCTGGTACCGATTGTAGCCCTTGATAGCGCGTGATTTTGTGGGGGAAGATACACTGAGATTTGTATTCTCTGTTTTGATTGCACGGTTAGATTCTAGAGCAACAAAGAGAAAGTTGACAGTACATACTTGGTTCGAGTACTTTTCGCTTGGGTTGCCCAAGACTTATGGACCGCACACTAGATTGAGGTTTCCTTTTAACCGGAGAGTGATCCACACTCGAGGATATATTTAGTGGTGAGTGAACAGGCCGACTGAATTCGAAGCCATCGTCTTCCGCTGGTACTGGCTCAAAGCTCTGCTCATCCTCCACTGAAAATTTGCGTTTTGCGCCACATTTTTGTGTAAAATTCACATCCGGCAACGATGGTGATACGGGATTGGCCTGCACTTTATCTACCGTAGCTGGTTCTGTCCTTTTCTTTCGCCTTGTTTCCAGGGTGGGCGGTAGCACGTGTTCATCCCCCACGTCGTAGCCCAATTTTTGAATATCGTCCTCGGCTTCTTCGTGGTTTGCAGGCAGGCTGATATCTTCAGGGCTTGGCTTTGGGGAAATAGAGATGTCTTCTAGCCCAGGAGAACTAGGAATTTTCGTGTCATGGTTCACAAACTGTTCAATTTCTTGAGGCCTAATGCACAATTTTTTAGTTGGGGTTTCTGGGGTTCTGAATGGGTAGGACTTCTTACTCTAATGTGCGCCTTGGATAATATTTATCTTCCAGAATAATTGGAAGTCTTCCATCGGCTTCAACATTCGGATTCCATTCAGAGTCGGCAGCATTAGGGCGAAGACTTAGGTCTGGTCGTCTTGGAGGTACCTGAGATGTGGATTCAGATTTTTCGCGGCATGTTTTAGAGAACTGGCGAGGCAAGCTTCCCAGCTCTGCGACCAAATTTCCCAGCTCTACTAGCTTGCTATCGAGTCGGGATTTGACATCGTAAACGCCATCTTGTAGCGTCCTCGCCGCCTCAAATCGTTCCAATTCTTGACTGAGGCTTATCAGCTGCTCTCGGAGCGATACATTCTCGGCAAGGAGGTGGGAGACCTCTGATTCGAGGCTGCGAATACGCAGGGACTGTATCGAATTTACTCGTGCGATCTCACGGTTTTGTCGTACAAATCGTCTTTTTACTAGAGGTGGTATAAATTATCAGCATCACAAAATGTATCACTCAGAAGGATGAGAGGTGAACGAACATATTTCTATTGATTCAGCTGACGATGTTGATTCATTCAAGCGGGCCATTGTGAGGAAGACAGGGAGTCGGGGGGCTCTCCTTTTTCTCCGGTTGCTTTTTTTTTCTTCTTCAAAACCTAAAGGGGTTTCGTTCAAGAGTAAGGAGCGATATATGTGTAAACTCCCTTAGCTTCAACCGTGCGAAGAGCGCAGCGTCGACAGAGAATTTCGAGGTGGAATAAAGTATTGTAAACAAAAGCAAAGATGCCGTGTCGAAGAGGTTGTTGACAATTGTCTGCATTGGGACTAGCGCAGAAGCTCGTCAGGCTTTTTGCTGTTTGGGAAAGTGCGGGTAAGTCCGTCATCAAGTCGGCCCCTCCTCAGGCTTTGTTCAGTATCGAGAGAAACTTGAACTTTGTGGATTTACGCCAAAGCTGTCTCTGCTCGTGTGTAATCTTGGCTAGGATCGCTGGGATATTCCATTCCTTTCCCTAAATCCCGTTGAGCTTTCACCACCATGGCGTACACATCACGCTCTACCATGCTTCCTCCCGGATCATCGGGGTCATCCCTTCGCCAACCGAGTAATACTATCTCTCAACAGCAGTCGTCAGCTTTAGCTGCCCGTATTGCATCGAAAAAGGCTGAGCTAGAGAATCTCCATCAACTTCGTGACATGAGCAATGCACTTGCAACGCAGATGGAGACCCTCCAATCCAAATTGGAAACCCTCAAGGATGGCACTGAAGGTTAGTAGCAGCGCACTCGTGCTTTAGCTATTAAGTTCTTTCGCTAAATTCTGTTATCGGAACTAGCTGTGGCTTGCGTACTTGCTAACTGGGATAATGTGCTCCGTGCAATCACCATGGCCTCTAGTAAGTCTTTTTTTTTTTTTTAACGCCCTCTATTATAACTAGCATTTCACTAATGGCGATCTCTGTTAAGCCAAATTTACAGCCCTGCAAGCAGAAGAGAATGACACGAACGACAATAGTCAGGACGAAGCAGCGAAGCCGCGTTTACCCTCGACACTAGTTCGAATTCCTGCAACTCAACAAGAAAAACACAAGGACCGTGAAACTTGAAATAGCACCCGTTGCTCTCGAGGATATGACATAGTCTCAAAAAGGGTCAAAATTAATCGCTAACAATTCGCATGTTTCTGCGGAGATATTCTCGGTTGCAGAAGAGCAATACGGCACAGCTGATTTTGAAGAGAACTTCGCCTTGTGTGCACGCTGTGTTTACCAGAGGATCTCTTCGAGCATCTCATTCGCCGAGTGAGCCTCAATACTGAGGCAGGGCGAGATGCTATGAGCAGGATGCTGTGGATTTTATTCTATTCCCGGCAGAGTACATACCGGAAGCTCCGCAACTTATGGTCTGATGTTACTGATGTGCAGGTTTACGCAGCTCTGCACCGGTATTACCTGTTTTATTTTTTTTGAACTATATCATCTCTACAGCAGAATTGACGTAACTGGGGGTTATGGGCATGCTTTCAGTTTGGCAGTCTCTTCCTTCTACATCTTCAAAGTTTGGAGTGGAGGAGGGGGAAGATGTCCGAAGAGTATCGGATCCAGGACATAGTGTGACAAAAATTGTGGCACACTGTACGCTAGGAACGGGAGGGAGTTACCCACTTGAATGCATGATATGATGTATGTTTGATCCCGTCGTGATATACCGTGGATCGATGTGGGTATAAAAACTGGCCTGAGGGGTGGTCTGACGCTCTAGGTTGTAGATAATTGTCCAAGAAGTTGGACTAGGTCTTGGGAGTCATTCATTATCCATTAGTCCCATTAATTTGCGCAGAGCTACCCTTGTCGAGAGACGGCAACTAAGGTATCTTAAAAAGTACCCTAAGGTATCTGCATGAGGGATGGTTTCATGATATCTTATCTTGTCACATTCCCCCTGGTCATTTCTCGGCATGCAGCGGGGAATAGCTCTTGAGGAGATGATTGTTCCTTTGCTTATTCTTGAATCTTTGGCAAAGCAGACACCTGACAGTATGTAGATTAGGAGATACACCATCCATCCATAATCGATACTCCTTGTTTCTTAAAGGAAGGTCATAAGCAGGAGAAAGTTGAAACTAGAGGTGCACAGGGTCAGAGACGCACCGTGATTTGTCCAGAAAGTAAATGGTGTAACTTAGATACTCTGCCACAATCAGAGGAATGGTCGGATTAAGTTCTAGAGTATGAGTGGTGGAGATTATAGGTTCTAGGATCAACTTCCCTGGGAATAATTAAGATGAGGTTGAGAGAAATGAACCTGTGACTTGGGACGAAGAGTATGCCCTCCTTCTCTATCTTCTCCCTCTTTACTACAAGGTACTACTCAAGTACTACTAGTATTGTGTAATTGTAATTGTGGAGGAGTACACTCTGTATTCCAATTTCCAAGTGACTGGAAGTGGCATTACTCTGGAATTCTTTTTTCATATTAATGGTTCTAATTTTATTTCCCTTTCTTTCTTAACTCCAGCGGACATACACTGTGTAATAATAGCAATTGTTAAAATTCAATTTTTTTGTTCCCTTCCCCCCCTTTTTTTTTTTTTTTCTCTCTCTTTTTTTACCAATTTCTCAGCCCAAGCGCCCGAGCCACGACAATAATCCTCCACTCAGCCTTTCCCCACAATCCAACGTGGTCAGGCCTGTTTGCAGCGCCATTTCCTTTGGTATGATACTTGAACAGACAAGAAGCTGATCCAGGATTCTCGCTTTCTGACGCCTCGTGAGCGTCAGTCTCTCCTCATGATTCCCTGGACCTGGGCCTTCCAATCCAGCCTTCCAGGGCCCTCTCCCTACCCATTTAGGGTGGTTGCAGTTCATGCATTCTGTTAAAGCCACATTAATTCATCGAGAATTCCGTACGGAATACTAAAAGTGGACTCAAAAAGTCTGTAGCGAAGAAAAAAAAAAAAAAAAAAAAAAATGCAAACCCGCTTGGTTCCTATTGGGACAAAGATAGATCGAGCGTGGTGGATTCATATGCCACAAAGAATCAATAATAAAGGGAGGGATCCAGTCTTCTGCAGAAAGTTGAATCCGAAAGCACCGGGAGAGCTTGTAACCCTAGAAATCTAGATAGGTAGAAGAGGGATTATTTCCATTCAACTCTTTGTTCAAGTAGTACCTGAACCGAACCCAGGTGGTGAGATTGATCATTGGGCTCCTAGGCTCTGACAGTCTTAGTCTTGTTCACCATCTTTGGCTAGAAAAGGGGGGAAGAGGGGCCCGCTGGACGCGCATCACCCGTCGGTTCTTTCCCCACAATCCAATGGAAGTCGAGGGTGACGGGCGGCGGATGGGGCGGAGGAGGCAATAATATTATTCTTTAATTACATTGTAAATCACTATTAATGGTGCAGGCAGGTGCAGGCAGGCAGGTTAACCAATACAACCTTGGTGGATTCTGGATGTTCAAAGGGAGGAGGACCTTGGGAGGGCGTTGGTACTCTTTTCAATGTGTGGTTTTCCCTCATTCCAGGTGCCATGAGTTATTGATTCTCTCCCACACTAGATATAGGTAGTAACTTAGGTAGGTACCTATGAATACCTTGGAGATGACCTTGTGCCACTCCCTTTTAGGTGCAGGGAAAAAAAGGCAACAGAGCTAGTCCCAAAACAGACCGATTCCGCCTGAACAAGACTAGGGCAAGGTCCTGGGACCCACTCTACCCCTCCCTCGGCCCCACTTTTTGTCCAGCGCCAGACCTATCAGAATACAGAATGGGATGGGAGTGGAGACAGCCGACAGGACTCTTGAATCATGTATTAAGGTAACTTAGTTACAGTACCCAAACACTGCAGTACCTACTTTAGACTATCATACTATGCCAAATTATAATAATACTGTAATACTATAGTTAATCATAATGATAATCATATAACTATGTCTTGTCCAGGGTTTTTTGCCGGAATCTCTCTATATTATCACCTCCTCCCCTTCGTTTCTTTCTTCCTCTTTGCTGCTGCATTAGCATTTCCTTCCTTTCTCTCCACTTGCGCTTCGACTTGTTTCTTCTTCACATGTCTTTCTAATTTTATTTGAAAGGGAAAAGCTTTCTTTCTAGGCTACCCTGGCGAGAATGATACTAGACCTGCTTACTATGAGGTGACTGACTACTTTGGCGCGCAACAATCTTCCAAAACCCTCCTGGCTTGCACTTTTCACATTCATTGTGCAATTATTCTATACCTGCATCACTCACCTAATACAAATTTTGATCGCCGCCTTTCTCCTCTCGACTTCAACACCTATACAACCGAAACACTCTCCTAGTAACATTCTCTTCTACTACTGCTGCTACTACTACTGCTACTACCACCACCACCACTACTACTACTACTACTATATTGCTCTACTACCACACACACACTCTTATACGCCACAACATCCACAACTCAACATGGCTACCGAATGGTCCCTCGACTTTTGCCTGGTCTGTGACCGACAGACCCTAGGCGGCCCTTACTGCTCCCAATCTTGCAGACTCGCAGAACTAGATGTTTCACATGAAGCTTCATCTTACTCCCACGAGTCTCGAGCTGCGCCCAAGAAAAACCCTAGGGCACCAGGCAAGGTTACAGTCACAACTACTTTTATCCAAAGTACTACAACGAGAAACTCCCAGTGGAACTTCTACCGGCCTCCGCAGTCCTCCAAGGCGCTGTCACCCTCCTCATCTCAGACGTCTTTATCTTCACTCAAAAGCAACTCCTCCTCTCAAGCATCTCCGATATCATCCCAATTTCAGAATGAATTGCGTGATTACGCAAGTTGTTTCGACCATGTGCGTGACTTGAAGAGACGCCTGACGACATAAGGGCTTCCCCCAACCCGACCCCCCCTCGGGTCCCCAAGAGATGACTCACGATACTTAATTAACTATCAAAAAACCTTTTCGTCTATTTTTTTGCATCACACCCTTTAACTCGACTCTTCTGATTTACCCATTCTTTTGATTTTCCCAACTGCGATATACCCACTCCTTTTAGGTATTCTGGAACCAGACCTATCGTTTTCTCAACCTCAATCATGCAATCTCTGCTTCGACTCACATTCTCGGATTCAATCTGACGACCTTACGCTACCTCATGAAAACCATGACGCAGAAACAAAGGCAATAAAAAAAAAAAAACTAAAAACTTTTCATTAAATCATTACTCAAGGCGAAAGTACAAGCAAGGCGGAGAGACTGGCGAAGGGATTCAAATGCATTTACGGCGATACATACATCTTTGCATTTTTTTTTTATCCACTGATTGGTGCTGCACTCCGCCTCAGTCCTATCTGTCCCTATATATACATATATATATAAATTTCCTTTTTTTCCCCCTTCCCAGCTTGAATTACTGTTTTCTTTTTCTTTCTTTTTGGGATGGCGGATGGTGTTTGGGGTTTTGGCCAGGATTCTGCTATGGATTGTAGAATAAGACATGTGGCATCATTGTATTTCAGCATACTATCAATCAATGACCATCAATGCATGGTTTTTTTTTTTTTTCTCTCCCTCTTTTCTAGAAAAAGATTCCTTTGATTGGAGGGTGTAATTGTTTTGCCACATTCTACAAAGTACAGTTGTTTGATATGCATCACAGCACAACACCCATTCGGGACATCGTCCTAGGCAAGGTATGGGTCAAATCATCACCAGTCAAGTAGCTACCTAGACCAGAGGAGGTATGTGTACCTGATTCACACCTCACGCACCCTTCCCCCCCCCCCCCCCCCCCTTCAAGGCCTGAAGATCCACAAGCCAGAACAGAACATCCACAGGCAATATACATCAAACTCAACCCAACAAACAAACTAACTAACTAACAAACTAGAAAGAAAGAAAGAAAGAAAAAAAAAAAAGCTCAGCCCAAAGCCTTAACAAGCACCTTCTCGCTCTTAGGCACAAACCTCACCTTATACTTCTTCGGCATCGCAACTAAACCGGCTGGATCCGCGGTCCCCCTGATAGGATGCCACTCGGCAGCGCCAGCGCCGTCCGCCTCGATGCGGAAGCAGTTGAGCGTGCGCATGAACACAAGATACAGTTCGCGGTTTGCGAGGAGGGAGCCGGCGCACATGCGGTAGCCGATTCCGTAGGTGAACATGGGGGCGTTGGGTTGTTCGATCCAGCGCTCGGGTCTGAATTCTTCAGGATCGGGCCAAACTTTGGGATCTTTGATTTGTTGTCATTTAGTTTAGGTTTGCATTTTTGTTGTGTGTAGGACGTAAAGAGGGGGGGAAAAAAAAAGGGGGGGGGGGGGGGATACCCATGTTGCAGGCCCAGGCGTTGAGGAAGAAGACGGTTCCCTTGGGGATTACGAGGCCGTTGTAAGTGATGTCTCGGATAGAGGTGCGGGGGAGGGCCAGACGCAGGACGGTGTAATATCTGATCGGAGTGATAGTTAATTAAACGGGGAATAGTCAGCTGGGATGGGAGGATTGGGTGGAAGTTGTTGTGTGCGCGTACCGTAGACATTCCCGTACGAGGGCAACAACATATGCGCATTTCTGGTCGTCGTTGGCGTCGCAGAGTGGTTGGCTCTGGCTGTACATTTGCTGGATTGCCGTTGCGGCTTTGTCCTGGATATCTGGACGCTGGGCAAGTAGGGTGATACTCCACGCGACGAGGGTGGTAACGGTATCAAGGCCCCCGGAGAGCATGGTCAAACTGATCGAGGTGAGCTCCGCTGAGTTTAACCTGGTCTCCTCATCGAGGATGACGTTCGACTGGATACAGGGCTTATGGATGCCCTTCTCCATGCGATCATCTAGACCGCGGTTCAGCCCGTCGAGATACCTATCACGGCGGTCTCTCATCTCCTTGGCCTTCTTCGAGTTGGTGCTGAACGGGTTCAGGCGAAGGAGTGGGATGTAGTCCTGCAGATTGCCCGTGGTGCTTCGGAACTTGCTAATTTCATCTTCAACTTCGGTGATTTCATCGAACAGTTCCTCTTCCTGGGATGCGATACGCACGCCCCAGTTAAGGGTTAGGGCAAGGCTCAGACTCAGGCGCTGGATCATGGCCATTGGGTCTACGGGGGTTTTGCCTCCGTTTCCGTACTTGTAAAGCTCTGCCACGAATGCCTTTGACTCGACGTCGAGATGGGATACGTACGATTCTACTGAGGGTCGGTTCAGGGCCGATGCTGCGCCTTTTCTACGTCGCTTCAGAGACTCGCTATACGGAGAGGTACCGATGGTAGTGCCGGCTGTGTTGGAGACAATCTAAATTTTGTAAGTCTCAGCTATAAAATGAATGTATATAATAAATATAAATTATAAGAAAGTTTTTTTTTTTTCCTCCCCCTAACGCACCTTGTGAAAGGTATAAAACTCAGGCCGGGAGCTTAGGGCCTGCGCATTTTGACCGAATAGTACCTTCGCAGCAGCGGCAGAATTGACAACAATAACAGGAATATTTCCTAGCTGAATCTGATAGACGGCTCCATACGTTTTTGACCAAATGCGATACTGCTCAGCCGCGTTTTTCCTAATTTGGGCAAGGTTACCAATTAAAGGCAACCCGCGAGGCCCTGTAAAGCCGGGGATTCGAACTGAAGCTCGGATAAATTCGTTGATGATGATATAGAGGATTGGAACGGCGATTGCAGCTACAGTCAACGACCGCAGGGGATGTTGGAGGGCCTTGGCGTGCACGAAGCTCAAAGCCGCTGCGATGGCCATTTTGTTAACCCCTTTTCCTGTAGTGATTCACTGTATGTGAAGCTTCTAAGGAATCATACCAAACATGGCCGTCTCAGCACCATGTTAATATAGGAGGGCCAGGCTCCCCTCGTGCAGCTGGTGTCGCACACCTCCACCTTGAGGAGGAACTTTTCCGTCTCACAGCGTACTGTATAACAAGGGTACTGTGTACAGGGAGTTCTGGGCTTTACCCCACATTCATCCGTAGCAGGTGCCAACCCGGGGTAATCCAGACATGTCTTGGAGACTCGAATCGCGGCCATGATTCGCCATGAGGAGGCCGTTAACCTCCATGGGGGCCAGCCGAGGATATTCCACATTCGGAACCATTCCGCCCAGTGCCATCCCCCTCCTTACCATGGGATAGACCTTTTGACTCCGTCCAATTGTATCAGATTTAATTATTCTGAAATCTGGGACTTCGTTTGTGTCTGGATGCTGTCGGTTGCTTAGCTTCGATTTGCTGACACCATCCGACTTGATAGTTATATATCGAGAATTTCCATCTCGGGGGATATATATGTAAGGCCAGTATGCCCCAAGTGAACGCTTTGGATTGGGTGGGCGAGGCAACTTGGACATGGGTGTTATTGGGTAGTCCAGTATATATTCGAAAAGAGAAACAGTGACCTAGCATTATGCTCAGATTCAAGCTGTCGACCGGTGTTTGTTACCTGTCCGTCTGCAAGGCTTGGATTACAGGCTGGCTGGTAAAATATCCGCCGTGATATTTGGATACTCTCAAGGGTATAAGATTTACTTTTCCCAGCCATTGCTTATTCAGAACTGGCAAGGTGGCCGAGTGGTTAAGGCGCTAGTTTTAGGCTCAGTCTAGATCACTAGTTTCGTACGATTCATGGGTTCGAATCCCATCCTTGTCATAACTTTTTGTTCCTTTTTTTTCTTTTTTCAATTTCAATCAAAATTAGTCCCTGCTCTTTATGTTGTAGAAAAATCTTTTGTGATCAGCATCTCAAATATTTCATGTCTTATATAGGCATTCTTGCACCTCGGGTCGGAGATTTATATTTTTACGGAAAAATCGAGGTTAATTCGGATGTGGTTGTTACAGGAAGTGGGTACGGTGGTCCAGGCGAGCTGGAAGCTGGAATCCGACCAGGAGGAAGCTATTGGCGAATACGCTATTTCCTACCAGAGACCGGCAGTGATTATATTATATATTTAAACTGCGGGTGTTTGATAGAAAACAGAAACCGCTCTCTACACAAAAAGAAACCTTTCCAAGACCCATAGTCGGTGGGTACAGGATTCAATAATTCAGGACAGTGGATAAAAAAAAAAATCAAGTCAATTGGAATGTCCCAAGCAAAGAAGAAAAAGAAGAAAAAGAAGCAATGTCAAGTGATCAGAAGAACCTGATAATCCATAGAGACTTTGTATAAGTTATAATAGTGTGGAAAGTGTTTTCAGCAAGGCACCTCGACAGACCTGCCCGATTTGACAAAATCTTGGGTGATAGGGCCCTCCTCCCTCTTTATATCATATTTTGCGAAGAATGCATAGGGCAAAAGACCTCCTCACATGCAACGGAGTCCCTGAGATCTGGAGCGCCTTTAAAATCTTTTCGTGGTCACATGGAGGCCTGGAGTATGGAAGATCGGGGCTCACTAGACCGATGGGTCCCTTTCCTTCATCCACGCCGGATGCTGCCGAAACTGCAATTGGTGGGAGAATGTTGATTTTTGATATCTGGATTCTGCCGTCACGCTGACACTGACCCGCCCCCGTTGTTGCCTCCAATAAGCTGGAAGCTGCGGCAGGCCTGGAACTGGATGGGGGAAAAGCCACCATGGCGAACGGAGCATTGTTGAGTTGAGCATTGCTCGGCCGCCAAAAGGGAAAACGTCATGATCGCAAGTATAAGAGAATGGAAGGTTACCCGGCCGCATCTCAAGGGGTATCGATTTTAAGGGATATACATAGTTAACTACTCATCATCTTGGGTTTTATATTCCTACCTAGTTCCTTTGTGAACACGGGTTTGCTTTCTTCATACCCAATTCTTCTCTCCCTAGGGACTGACCTCTTTTCCCTCCCCTTTCAATTCTCTTCCTTACTCCTCCCAAGCTCTCTCGTACCCTCTCACACACACACAAACCCAAATATATACATATACATATATATATACAGTCTCTCTCTCCCAGCTACTGTACAGCAAGCCTCTGCTTATCTCAGGTATGGATGGAGTTGACTCATATGCGCATAATAATCTCTTCTTCTGCGCCAGCCATTGCCACGTTTCCATCCATCCCCGCATCCTTCCCTCTTTTGCCCTCCTAGCCGTCCTGGATCTGAAGTGCTAACTATCTGCTTCAGTAACAGGAATTCTTGGATATAGTACAGATACATATATACACACAAGACACGCGCACAGACACCCTCCAACAAGATCGCAATTTCTCCATCTCTTCGGATTCTTTTACTTCGGTTTCACAAACCCCCTCACCAATCCTTGTGTCCTCGCTGGATAGTAATAGGATTGGAGACCCCAGTAATCCCTCCTCCACAAAACCCTTTATTTCCGTTCACAATTTTCCGCCATGGCCGCTCGAAATTCGCGGAGGATTCTAAGACCTCTCCTTTACACCTCCGCTGCCGTGGCCGCGGGCGCCGGTGTCGTCTACATTTCATACCGCCCCCGCAATATTCCTGGTCTTGAAGCCCCTGCAGTTCCGCCACCAGGATACCATGAAGGAAAACTTGTGCCTCCCAGCTTCCCCAAGATCAAATCCCGCTTGGAGCAGATTCAGGACCTCAAGCGCAGCACCTCCGCGGATAATTCGGAAGAGTATGACCTTATTGTGATCGGCGCGGGCGCGACAGGATCAGGGATTGCTCTTGACGCGGCCACAAGAGGCCTGAAAGTCGCGGTTATCGAAAGAGACGACTTTAGCGCTGGAACCAGTAGTAAGAGCACTAAGCTTGTTCACGGCGGTGTTCGTTATCTTGAAAAGGCCGTTTGGGAGTTGGACTACAGCCAGTAAGTTTGCCGCCTTCAAATCCCTTGGGAGGGAGATGTCCCTACGCTTTGTTGCGGGAACTGACGAGCTCAATTTTGCCGTCAGGTATGCGCTTGTCAAGGAAGCCCTGCGGGAGCGCAAGTACTTTTTGAACACTGCTCCCCATCTCTCCAGCTGGCTCCCGATTATGGTGCCCGTGCAGAAATGGTGGCAGGTACCCTACTTTTGGGCCGGTACCAAGTTCTACGATTTCTTGGCCGGTTCGGAAGGAATCGAAAGCTCCTACTTCTTGCCTAAGAGCAAGGCCATTGAAGCTTTCCCCATGCTAAGAAAGGATAATCTTCTCGGTGCCATGGTCTACTACGGTACGTTCACCCTTGGTGATGGGGTTGGGCTTCTCAATTGTTTAAACAGACGGATGCTGATTTTGTAGATGGTGCTCATAACGACTCCCGAATGAACGTTTCTCTCGCCATGACGGCTGCGTTGTACGGTAGCACTGTGGTCAATCACATGGAGGTTACCGGCCTCACAAAAGATGCGTCCGGAAAACTGAACGGCGCCCGGGTCAAGGATTGCATTCCTGGGTTGGATGGCCAAGAAGCAGAAGAATTTACGATCCGGGCGAAGGGAGTCATCAATGCAACCGGGCCCTTCACCGATTCTATCAGGAAGATGGATGAGCCTAGTGCCAAGGAAATTGTGGCCCCTAGCGCAGGTGTCCATGTTATCCTACCTGGTTATTACAGCCCTGCGAACATGGGTCTTATTGACCCATCCACGTCTGACGGCCGTGTCATTTTCTTCCTCCCCTGGCAAGGAAACACGATTGCTGGAACCACAGACCAGCCGTCAGAGATCTCATACCAGCCCCAGCCCTCAGAGAAGGATATTAACTGGATTCTCTCAGAAATCCGACGCTACTTGGCCCCGGATATTAACGTTGAGCGAACCGACGTGCTTGCTGCCTGGGCCGGAATTAGACCTCTGGTGCGCGATCCCAAAGTGAAGAGTTCCCAAGCCTTGGTCCGAAACCACCTCATCTCTGTCTCTCCTTCTGGCCTGTTGACTTGCGCTGGTGGAAAGTGGACTACCTACCGCCAGATGGCCGAGGAGGCTGTGGATGAAGCTGTCAACGTATTCGGGCTTAAGCCTCGTGAAAAGTCGGAAGTTCCGGACATCAGCGGTGTCGGCGGCCGTGGCTTAGTTGCCGACAACGCTGTGCTTGATGGTTCTTGTCAGACTCACCAGGTCCGCCTGATTGGTGCTCACGGCTGGTCTAAGACCCTTTTCATCAACCTTATTCAACACTACGGTCTCGAGACGGAGGTGGCTAAGCATCTGACCCAGTCATACGGCGATCGCGCATGGCAGGTTGCGGCACTGTCTTCCCCCACGGAGGATCTTTTCCCAGTCCGGGGCAAGAGAATTTCGGCCCTCTACCCCTTCATTGATGGCGAGATCCGCTATGCTGTTCGCCACGAATACGCTCAAACCGCGGTCGATGTCATTGCACGCAGAACTCGCTTGGCATTCCTCAACGCCCAGGCTGCACTCGAGGCTCTTCCCACGGTTATTGACCTGATGGGCGATGAGCTGAACTGGGATAAGACCAGGAAGGATGTTGAGTGGAAGGAGACTGTCCAATACCTCTCCTCCATGGGACTTGCCAAGAACCTTCTCTCGGTGACCAGGGCAGAGGTTGAGTCTGGAAAGGTGAGGGAGTTGTATGACGGCCAGAGAGGAGCTTTCACAAGAGATGGTGAGTAGCAGCAAAGGACTGAAACTGAGCGGGTGTGGCTGGATGCTAACTTTTGATATAGAAAAACCCGGAGAGGTTTCGTCTTCCTCTAACCCCGTTATTGGGACTGAGTCCCCAGCAAATAAATAGATGTGTATAATCGAAAAAAATGTATTTTATTTTAACTTGATTTTGAATTCCAAGTTTTTACAGGCTACCATTCCCAGTGCAGATGATGCAGTAGCACTTCACCAGGAAGGCTCGGTCGACTCCTTGGAATTACTCGCGCTTACTCTTCCAGGGCTGTCAATGTGCCTTCCTTCCAGCGTGGATTGATTCTCCTTCGAAAGGTGTATTTCATCCCTTCTTTCGCTCACCTAATGACCGTCATAGGAGCCTACTTGGAAAAGCTGGTCTTCGTTTTCCCACCATATTCATCTCATCTATTCATACTATTCCGGCCCTTCCTCAAATATGGCTTTGGCCAGACTCAAAGAGTGCTGTAAAACTTTGGAGATATGTTGGGGTAAGAATGGTGCGGCACCAACAGTCGGGATGTTTCATAATGCCAGCAAGGCCTCGCCTCCAGCGTCGGGCAGCCCTTCTGAGGACCCTTTTGGGGATGAGCGAGAGGCGGCGGTGAAATATAAAACCATGTCGTGGTGGTGAGATACAAATATGGTCTAGACATCATGCGTGAGATATACTGACAAGCGTGAATAGGCAGACTGGGATGAGTGAGTCGAATTTCGCCGTCTTTTTATATCTTCGTTATCTAATAGTATCAGTCATGATCGCAGAAACAATCTCTCTTGGGATTCTAGCCCTTCCTAAAGTCCTGGCAACTTTAGGTCTCGTCCCGTAAGAACTGGCGCCTCGCAGCAACCCACCCCCAAGAGAGGCTTTTTGTTGATGTTCTATAGAGGAGTTGCGGTGATAATTGGTGTTGGAATTCTTACCACTTACACCGGTCTTGTCATTGGACAGTTCAAGTGTCGACACTTGCATATTCATAGCATGGCCGATGCTGGTGAGATTCTCCTAGGCAAAGTTGGGCGTGAGGTGCTGGCAGCTGCACAACTCGTCTTTTACATGTTCATCATGGGCAGCCATATTCTAACATTTTCCATCATGATGAATGTTCTCACTGAACATTCTGCATGCACGATCATTTTCTCGATAATTGGCCTGCTGGTCTCTTTCGCTTTTACGCTTCCTCGACGCCTGGAGGAACTGTCACATCTCTCGACAATCAGTTTTATTAGTATCGTTGGGGCTGTCTTCATCACCATCATCGGAACTTCCGTCACTAAATCGTCCACTGGGCCGATCTCTTTTTTCCCACCCAAAGCTACCGCTCATGACACCATGGTTGCTATTGCAAATGTGGTTTTTGCGTATGCCGGGCATGTTGCTTTCTTCACGCTATTTTCGGAACTGAAGGAAATTGAAGACTACCCGAAGGCGGTTGCATTACTACAAGGGAGCGAAATTATTCTTTACACAGTTTCTGCTATCGTGATATACGTCTTTGCCGGGCCTGGCGTTGCTTCCCCGGCGTTGAATTCAGCGGGGTCGCCGTTTAGAAAGATTGCATATGGAATTGCAATTCCTACGGTGAGTATTGGACATGAGTATTGGTACGCTCCGCTTACTGTCCTTTTAGATTGTCATTGGAGGCGTTGTAAATGCCCATGTCGCTGTGAAATTTCAATACGTTCGGCTGTTCCGAGGCACCCAGACCATGCACACGCGGTCCCTGTCCTCGAGGTTTATTTGGGGGATGCTTTGTATGATGTTTTGGGCCCTGGCGTGGCTAATAGGGGAAAGCATCCCTGTTTTCAACGACATACTTGCCCTGGCGGTAAGTTGTGCAGACTAAGAAATAAGCCACACAAGACGACAGAATGCTGATCTATCGGAAGAGTTCATTATTTGCTAGCTGGTTTACTTTTGGTCTGCCAGCCATCTTCGGGCTTCATATGCATTATCACAGTCTCCGGAGCACGAAGGTCATCATGGGTTGGGTACTCAACTTTGTTGTTCTCGCGATAGGAGTATTCATTGTAAGCCGGCTAAGAGACCCGGTTATGTGTTGTATGCTGTGGAGCATCGTATACTAATAGGATACAGTGTGTGCTTGGGGTTTACTCATCTTACAAGTCAATTACGCATAATCTGGCAGTTGGCGTCGGTGGTGGCACATTTTCATGCGCGGACAATTCTTAGTCTCCTGACACAGATAATAACCACAAGGTTGTATAGATCTAAGAAAGGTTTAACTGGCACTTTGAGAGAACTCATGATTGTTCTGTCTTTCCATTCAGTCACTTCGTGGTGAAACCAGTTGTCGAGAGCGTCAAGGAAGATATTTTGGGATACCGAGGGTCCCCCTCGCTCAGAATCTGGGGGGAGAGGAGAAACAATTCATGCTCTAACAGCCCATCGTTAGTCTCTTCCTTTTAAAAGACAGTAGTAGATTTGCCCTTTTTGACTTGATTCCAGCGTTTACATGTAGACTTTTAGGTCTCGATGGCTTATGGTTTTCGAACAGCTTTCATTCTGATTGTGTTCTGAGGACCAAACAGGCCGAATAATAATACGCTCCTTTGGATTTTAACAAGCCATTAAATACATTAAAGTATTCATTTTTGCCGACTGCTTCATTATCAAGGCAAATTTCTGTGCCGTAGTGTCTATCCATCAAGAGGACGGGCTGGATAGTTAAACATTTGGATTCTTTTCCTCGCTGGGATACTTGGTTTCAAATCTCACCTCACCATCCAACACAACAGCATTCCTAAATTTCCTTGCAGAGATCCCTTTCTCAAACAGAACATCGAGCTGCTCCAAGCTGCGTCCTTTCATTTCCGGGATTATGAAGTATGCAAGAACGGCCATGATGACAGCAAATGAACCGTAGATGAAACCCACTCTGGCACCAAGGCCGGCATAATCGGCATTGATCAAATACGGAACCGTAAAGGACACCACGAAGGCAGTGATGACCGAGATGGAGATCGCCAGCATATTGGTTTTCTCGACGACACGCCGACTGGCGGCCTCGGAGAGAACGACGTAGGAGAGAGGAGCCCAGGACAGTGCATAGGCGAAGCTGAAGAGCATGAGACTTGCCACGAGACTGTTCTTTTGGGTTTGCGATCGATGACTGATGGTCCCGAGACCACCAACCGTGAAGAGAAACACGGCTTGGAGGAATCCCCCGATGATGAGTAACGGTCGGCGGCCGATTCCGTCAATGACGCTGGACGTCAAGAGACAGGTGACGACGGAGATAGCCATGGAGATGATGTTCAGTTGGAAACTGTTGGTGTAGCCTTCTTGCTGGTAGAATATGACTCCGTATTGGTTGGTGAAAGCTTGGCCTGTAATCTGTTGGCCCAGCATAGCGAGGATGGCGATTCCTGTTCGTCGCTGTGGATCCATACAAGTCAATATCAATATCAAATTCAACAACATCCTCTTGGTAGATAAGAATTATAGGGGAGAGGGCTTACCTTGTTTACGCCGCTGAATATTTCCTGCCATGATCCCTCGATCTGGCTATCTCTGTGTAACACGATAGCTTGCACTGCTTCGTGGATTGCGTCTTCATCATTGCTGTTCCGTAGAGTCTTGAGTGAAGCTTGGGCATCCTGGATTCGATCTTTCGAGACAAGCCAGTGGGGGGATTCAGTGACAAAGGGCCATCCTGCGATCAAGAACACGGGGGCTATGAACTGCACCCCTGTGGATTCAGAGAAACTCATCTCGCATCAGATTCCGGATCCGGTAACTTTTTTTTTTTTAAAAAAAAAAAAACAAACAAATTGAAGCACGCAAGGAAGGGAATCATAATCACCTATCGGAATCCTCCATGAAGCGTCACTATGGACCATGTCTTTCGTTCCGTAATTGATGAGCGAGGCAATAAGTTGGCTCATAGTAATCTGGATCTGCATTTGGGTGGTAATCAACCCGCGCAGATGGGGAGGGCTCGTCTCAGCCATGTAGGAAGGAATATTCAGCACACAGACCCCGGTCATTCCGTAGCAGATAATACGACCGACGGTGAACTGCGCGATGGTGGTTGCGGTGATCTGCAGGACCACCCCAACCAGACTGGCCACGGCAATGAGCAGCATAGTCATCTTGCGGCCATAGCGGGCAGCTATATGGCCGCCAGCTATGCACCCGATTAACTTTCCAATCCACGGTGTGGAGTTCATGACACTTGACATGCTGCTACTGACGGCACACACTCCCGCAGCGTTGCAGGTGCCAAACCGCTCCTTGAATCTGGTCATGGCTTGGATCCCACTGAAGACGCCAACGTCGTAGCCATAGTTGAACATGGCAGTGCTGAGGTAGATGACAAGGAAGAGCACACTGGGCGTGAAGAGGCGTAGTCGTTGGACTATCCCTATCGATTTGCCCGTGCTGCTTTCGAGGATGGCATCTGTTCTTGAGCCAGCCATCTTGTCTTGGTGTATATATATATACAATCGGTCCTAGGCAGAGAAGATTTCCTAGGAAGGGAGCCCCAGTGTTTGAAAAGATCAATCCTAGACAAGGTAGGCCAGGAGGGTATTTATTTATTCATCAGCTGGACTGGCCATTAGTTAGTTAACTAAGGGGTCGAAAGTCCGGGGGAGGACCGGGGGGGGGAGCCATGCGCCACATGAGTTGTTAACCCTTCAACAAACAACTATACAGGGGGAATTCGTCACTGGAGTGACCATAGCCGAGCCCTTTTTTTTTGGAGACCCCAGAGAGAGCTTTCCGTATCCAATTGCGCCGTCTGAATGCAGGGTGGACATTAGGGTTGCGGGTTCACATCGGAATCACGTACCCCGCATCTTGAATTGCGTGCGATTTAGTTCGTATACATAACCCCACACTTGAGCTGCGGCCTAGAATTATTTCTTTGCCTCTCTTGTTGGAACCGTTCGCCCCGGCTTCGCGGAACACGCGGAGTTTTCATGATTTTCAGATACTTAGGCTTGCGGAGTTAGCGGAGCGGAGCTGGGCCATTTATTCTATGTGGTAAGTTTTTTTTTTTTTTTCAAAGAGAGAGACGATGGATGATACCCAGAGCCCATCATCAATTGACCCATCACCTTCCCGCAAGAGGAAACGGACTGCATGTCAGGGCTGTAGAGACCGTCGTGTGAAGTGCGATAACGGTCGACCAGCCTGCCAGTCCTGTCAGAAGGTGAAACTCCCCTGCGTCTACCCCGACGAGGATGGACCTGGGAGCGCATCAAGGTACGATCCCGGGTCGGTGGAAATCCTCCAACAGTTGCGTGATATTAGAGCAATACTCGACCTTGTATATCGCGAACAAAAGACCCAGTCCGCATCCTCTCCGTCTGCACATCAAACACAAACACACCGCCACCACCCGCAATCGATCCTGGGCTCTAGTACCAGCCACTCGACTCCGGTCGCTTTCAGTAGTCGGCCAGCCGGTATCCATCACTGCAGTGAATATGGATCAAGTATAAGAAGTGTGGCCGGCGAAAGGCCACCCTTAGTTTTCGCGGGGATCGGCGCTGAGTCCCTTCTTCGATGGCCTCGAGTAATAGAGATCCTGGGCAGTCAGATCCCGACTCAGTCATTTGTACTTGAGTATACGGTCAATACAGATGAAGCAGGCTGTGCGTCGACTTCGGAGCGCTCACGGTACGGTATCCGTGAGGATGATTTTCTGCCCTTGTGTCGCCGATTTCTCAATCTCGTCCATGTGCGGAACCCGATTCTGGAGCCGAGCGACATGGAACAGTACGCCAAAGAAGCATCTGAGAATGGGTTGAAATGGGATGCCAAGTCTTGTTTAGTGGTGCGTTAACTTGAATTTCAACAAAATAGAGATGTTTTGAGGCTGACAGGCAGTTACGGGTTACCATTAGCTGTTAGCTTGCGCTCTGGGGTGTCTGGCATCTCCTGGGTTTACAGAAGGATCGACACTGCTCCTAAACCCAGTTGACGATAGTTTACCTAAAGATCATGTTGAATATGAGCGAGCGGAGGCCTACTTTCAAGCAGCAAGCAAGCGGATCGGCTACTTAGGCACCGGGCTACCAGACATCCAGTGCCTTTACCTAGCAGGGATATACGAGAAACATATGCTACGAATTCTCCAGGCGTGGTTTTGGACACAACAGTCTTGCGCCAGATTACATGCGTATCTTCTGTGCAAAGGAACCCCGGTATCAAGGGTTGACGGATCTAGCCAAAATGATCACCGACTCGAGCAGCGTCTTTACTGGTCCTGCATCAAGGCAGAAAGGTATATATGGTCTTTTGAGCAATTTTTTTTTTTCTGTGTCTACAAAAAAAAAAAAAAAAAAAAACTAATCATCTTACCCCAGTGAATTCATGCGCGATATTCCTCTACCACGCAGTGCCCTCATTGAGCTGAAATACCCTGATTCGTTCCCCTCGCCGCCTCTAGGTCCTTCTCGTCCCGATGAAAGCAAGGATACTGCAGATAGCAGAGACGGGCCACTCAGCGAAAATGAAGAGCGAAGCTGGCTGTTCTATCTGGCAGAGCTAGCTTTGCGACGGACTTTGGATCAAGCGCTGCCCCTGTTTTATGTCCGGGAAGGCCCTACCACATGGCTTCAGAACATCGATTACATTGTTAAGCAGTCGAGCCACGTAGAAGAACAGCTGGACATATGGTACAACCATTTACCCCCCGCTATCCAGCCTGATCTAGACCCGGATATCTCCCCAGATGACCAGCTCCCGTTCTTTCTGCAGGGGCGACTAATGGGTGCCCGGGAGGCGATATACCGCCCAGCTCTCTACTATATCCTCCACCACAATGGGAGGGGGGGCGCCGATAACTGGTCAGCGGTCTTGCCTCTTGCCATTGAGTGCGTTCGACTCGCCAGGGCCATGATTAAGCATTATGCCCGGCATAAGCGACATGGAGGAATCTGGTTCGCGCTCCGAGCTGTTTGGACTCAGTCTATCATTATCCTCGCCACCGTGAACGCTGGGATTGACTACCTGGAGCCACCAGCCGATTGGCTAGAGCTGGTTCGGATGTCGTTACAGATGCTTCAGCAGTGGGGGTCGGAGTCGGCAGATATTAGGTCTATGTATGACGTGCTCGTGCGGGCATTCTTAGCAACGACCATCAAATTGGGGATTCGAGAAGACGAAATCTTAACACCCGGTGCCTGATTTATGTAAATCGGTCTGGTATCGTTTGTGTCAATAGCAGTACAACTGTAGAAGTGCACAGACAGAATAATATACGTCCCGTCTCAGTCTATCTACTCGGATAGGCGGTAATCTTGAATCAATGGCTCTATACTTCTATGTATTCTAGCTCATATTAGGCTGTCGATTATTCCAAAGTCAGAAACGCGGTTCCTCCGCAATCGTCGTCACTCCGCAATCCCTCCGCAATCCCATTCCCGGTTACTCCGCGAGCTCCGCGAACTCCGCGAGCTCCCCGGGTGGCAGATTCCATACTTTACCTCAAAAACGAATTGGATCCGCCGGGTCTGTGGGGTTTCTTTTCCTCTGACCCTCAATATGAGGGAGTGATGGACGATGGCAAAATCTATCGATGTGATCTCGTCATCGAAAATCCATTTGTTAGTCTGTTTGTACACAATGCAACGCCCTTCATAAGAATACTGGGCCTCCCCCGCACTGGGATCTCTTTCTCCTTCTCGTATACCTTTCTTCTGGGTTCACAACTCGAACCATCTTGCCAGCATCCATTGAAATCCCAAAGATGGGTTCAACACAGAAGAGACCCAATTTTCTCGTTATTGTCGCCGATGACCTCGGTTTCAGCGACCTCGGCGCATATGGATCTGAGATCGCAACGCCTAATCTCGACAAACTGGCAGCACAAGGAGTGCGCTTCTCCAACTTCCATACCGCTTCAGCATGCTCTCCGACCCGGTCCATGCTTTTCTCGGGTACCGATAACCATATCGCCGGATTGGGACAAATGATGGAGCATATGGCCCAGCACGGAGACTACTTCAAGGATAAACCAGGTTACGAGGGGTATCTGAACTGGAGAGTGGCGGCGTTGTCCGAGATTCTGCAAGATGCAGGCTATTTGAATATCATGTCTGGAAAATGGTCCGTTCTCTCGAACCTCCGTTCCTGCCGCGAGTGGAGTGCAATGAATTCGCATGAAAAGAAGAAAGAAAAAAAAAGCTGGCTAACAGGTACGGGCGATAACTAGGCATCTTGGCTTGACAAAAGAACTCGCTCCTTGTTCGCGAGGGTTTGACAAGGTTTTTTCATTTCTTCCTGGCTCGGGGAATCACCACGCGTATGAGCCGCAGTTGGACAGTGACGAGTTCTACATTCCATGCCTTAATACAGAGGGCCATTGGATGGATGGAGACAAATACATTAACCATAAAACGGATCTTCCCTCGGATTTCTTCTCAACCGCGTCATTTACCGATCGTCTTATCAATTTTTGGGAAGACCGTACAGTAGAGGAGAAACAGCAGCCGTTTTTCTCGTACCTAGCCTTCACTGCGCCGCATTGGCCACTGCAGGCCTCGCGAGATAAGATCAAGAAGTATAGTGAGTTCATTGCCCTTGATGCATCCTGGTTCCCAAGCTGACCACGGCATCAGCCGGTAAATACGATGCTGGTCCCGATGCGCTTACTCAATCTCGCCTGAAGAATCTGAAGAAGCTTGGAATTGTCCCTCCAAATGCAGAGGCCGCTCCGCCATGCGGTTCCCTGGGCAAAAGCTGGGATGAGATGGGCAACGAGGAACGAAAGAAATCCGCAAGAGCAATGGAAATTTTTGCAGCCATGGTTGAGACCATCGACGATAATGTCGGCCGCGTCCTTGACTATTTGACATCAACAGGAGAACTAGACAACACCTTTGTACTATTCATGTCCGACAACGGAGCAGAGGGCGCTGCACTCGAAGCTCTCCCAGTAAGTGTTAACGCACTCCAATTAAAAAAAACCCCCCTTTACTGACTTTCCAAGATGATGGGAGGCGAAGACACCCTAGGATCCATCATCGAAAAGTACTACGACAACAGCCTTGAAAACATGGGCAACAAGGACTCCTTCATCTGGTACGGTATGTAACGTTATCAAAGCCCGTTCGCATCCATACGAGAATACAAGGGTATTGATCTGACATCCCCCCCACCAGGTCCCCAATGGGCCTGCGCAGCAAGCGCACCCTTACGAGGCTTTAAATGCTGGATCACAGAGGGCGGAATCCGCTGCCCCTGTATCGTCCGCTACCCCAACTTCAACATTAAAAATGAAACCATAACCCATTCATTCGGAACGGTCATGGACATTCTACCAACAATTCTCGAGCTCGCTGGGGTCCCACACCCAGGGACTCGATTCCGGGGCCGCGATGTAGTTCTCCCTCGCGGTAAATCGTGGGTTACGCACCTAGCGTCTCAGAATCTAGGTACCTCCGTCTCTCCCTTCCTAGACTACGCATCTCTAATAACATATCAAGAAAATACATCAATCCACGGCGAGGATATCCACATCCACGGCTGGGAACTGTTCGGGTGCCGCGCCATCCGCGAAGGGCCCTGGAAGGCAATCTGGATGAACAAGCCCCGAGGTAAAGACGACTGGGAACTATACAATCTACACGAGGATCCAAGTGAGGTCAACGATCTCTCCGACGCAGAGCCCGAGATTCTGAAACGGCTGATTCGACATTGGGAGCGATATTATGCGGAGACGGGGATGGTGCAGACGCCTGTTTTTGCGGTGACGAAGGCGTAAAAATTTTTTTTTTTTCTCTCTTATTATACTTTGGGTCACTTAGTAAATAGAGGGCGGGAAATACAATATATATTCCATAAGATGTTACTTTTGAAGCGCATTTGAGTAAAGGATACAGATTGGCTATGTAGACCAAGTAACTACTCCGTACTCCGTGGTACTAACTAACTACTAGTACTTACTTACTACTTAGTACAAGGTAGGTATTTTATTTTACATGGTAAATAACAGCCTGAGGTATCTATATGGATACGATGAACTACTGCACCAACTGTGAAAAAAAAAAAAAAAAGAAAAGAATAGTTACTAGTAGTTAGTAGATACCTACTCCATTACATTATATATTACATACCTAGATATTATAGATACTTGGTACTCCATACCTACAAACTACTAGTAGTAGTACTGTATGTAGTACTAGTAGGTGCTGTTCTGAAATGACAGACGAAATCTGGTTGTTGTTGTTGTTGTTGTTGTTGTTGTTGTTGTTGTTGTTGTTGTTGTTGTTGTGGTTGTGGTTATGAGACTATATACATAGATGCACGGATGCATAGATAGATAGATAGATAGATAGATAGAGCAGAAATAACGATTTAGCCTAGTACGTAGTCTGGATATACTACCCATACAGACGGAATTAGTGTTGACAGTATTCCACACTATATATATATATATGTATGTACAAGATGATAGGCATAGGCGCCGGGGCAGGGTTGGATAGCATCCTCTATACTCAAGTAAAGTAAACACCTAAAGGATGATTTTAAGACATATCAAGAAAAAAAAAAAAAAAAAAAAAAAAAAAAAAACTGCCAAGTAACAAACCTGTCAAGAGATAAAGATGCCCCAAAGCGAAGTTTGAATCAAGCACAGCTACATATATTCAAAACTTCTGGTGTAGAAAAAAAAAAAAAAAATCAAACCGTCGCTTTTGCCCTCCGCAAAATATGAAATGAGAAGAAGAAAGAAAGGGAGGGGGGGGGGGAAGAATATCACCCAACTCCTCCGTAAACTCAAGCGCTCAAAATAGATATCTCGCTGGTGAACGCTAAAGAGGCTGACTGATGCAAAACAAGAAAAAGCAGCCGTTGATCTCTAAGACCATCAGAACATATTGCTACTGACTTCAGCGGCGGTCGAGCCGACGGATTGGAGGGAGAACTAGCCGTGGACCATCGAGCTAATATCGTATCATATTCCCAAGACCCGATTGCTGGGGGTTTTTTTTTGTTTTGTTTTGGTTTGGGTTGGTTTTTTTTTTTTTTTTTCGACGGAACCAGATAGAGCTGGGTCAAACACAATTATGGGGATGGAAACCGTGGGATGAGCTGGACCGGGCTGAACTTAGATAGGCTATGTTTTGCTTGCAGGACCGTCTTCTCGGTAGTTGTCCCAGAACCGGGCGACCGCTTTCTTGACAATGGGGACATTGGAAGGAGTCTTCTCATATTGTTTGCGGAAATAGTTAAACAATGCGAACTCGTCCCGACTGAGCAGGTAGGTGTCTGGATCCCGTTCCACCTTGCGCCATAGTTCACTCCCAGCAGCCTTCAGCGTTTCGCCGTCTGGGCCTTCGAGGGCACCCTTTTCGTCGTTTCGGGCGGCATTCAGAGCCCTCATAATAGCGGGTTTGTCATTGAACGGAGTTGAATTGGCCATTTAGGTAGGAATATAAAAATGCGGAGGGAGAGAGGGATGGGCACAGCCGGGTGGGTGCTGGCGAGAATGACGTGATGGAGAGGGATTAGACGGTTGTGAAAATTTCAGGCATGCAAAGGAAGTTCTCGGTCGGATGGTGGGGTTTGGGGGGGGGGGGGGGGGAATATGGGGGGTTATTATAGAAGGAATATATATATGTATATAGAGAGGATTAATAAAGAACAAGGAAAAAGAAAAGAGACGACGAAGAGAGGGAAACGAAAAGAAAAGAAAAAAGAAGAAGAAGAAGAAGGAGAAGAAGAAAAAGAAGTACTAGGAGAACCGATCAAAAAAATCTGGCGGACCTCATGAGGGCTACAGGGGACCTTGCCAAATTAATGCAGATGAGGTGGAGTAGGGGGAGAAGGACGAGGACGAGGACGAGGATGAGGAGGAAGAAGAAAATATTCATCGAGTCTCTTACAGCGAATAATAGCCAGGGTGATGGAATATAATAGGTATGGATTTAACTGTCAAGTTACTTGTAGTCCACTGTGTTACAGTACTACCTATGTAGTCGTTTTGAAGGAGTTTGACTTCAATTTTCTCATTTCCTCTTCTTGCTTTCTTTCCTTTCTTTTTCCTTTCTTTTTTTTTTCTGCCTTACTTAGCCCTGTGATGGGGAAGAGGGTCTACAGAAATAGCTCAAATTTCTCACTAACTCATGCAAGTGTCACTACCACCAGAGATACTTTTGGGGCCCCTAACATACCTTAGAGCAGAGGGAAAGAACAAGCAGGATCAATCCCACACACCAGGACACTTTGGCTTCTCAACTGGAGATCAAGGAAGTGGTTTAATGTTCAATATTCGGTGTTCAGTGTTCAGTTCTGAATGGCCATGTGGCAGGTGGGGTTTCATACGGGCTCACCCGCTGTAGCAGCGCCTGCTAAGGTACTAAGTTAACATTCAGCCTTGGCGTAACGGCTTTTATCCGGTGCTGGAATGTTGCATGAGATCTGGGAACAGTTGGCTTTGCCGAGGAGAAAGAAGTACGCTGTACTTTCGTCCATTTCTTCGTTTTCTTCCCCCCCCCGGGTATTTTCTGTGATTATTATCAGTCCTCTCTTGGTATATTTCCGATCCAATCTCGGTTCTCACGACTCAGGACTTGACTTGTTCTCTAGCAAAGTAACGCCCGAGTAAAAGTACGAGTCAGTACCTGGGTCTGGTAAGTCAGACAATCGTACGGTGAAGATTTCCCCATCTTGTATCGGGATCCATCCAGGTTTCTTCGACGGTTAGAGAAGTAAATAGAAACTGTCTTTTGAAACACGTCTGGATAGCCGCAGACCGAAACGAGGTGAACGGTGGTCGATGTATGGACCGTCGGTACATCCGTCCGGTCCGGCGCATTAATTAAGTGGGGCGGGCAGGTTTTTTTTTTTTTTTTTTCTCCTATGAAGCGATTTCATCGGCGGTGGGCTCGGTAGGAGATTAAATGACTCGCATATCTAGAAACAACGGATTGGCCATATGGTTCGAGGTTGACTGTTGAGCCGGATTTTCTATTGGTGGTGGTGGGGGAATAATGATGAATCTCTATAGGAGTAAGAGGATTGTTAGCCCTTAGTAGATACGACTAGAATTTAATGCATCATACCTAATATAGTGGCACATCATACCATCTTCTACCTAGGTAGTCTGTCTCGTTTCGTGTTATCACTGGCATTTGCTTCAGGATGAGTTTGTAGTGTTGTCGAGGTTGGGTTTCACATACGAATCTCCAAGAGATCTTGGAACCTATTTGATTATTCTAAACGAAACAACGAAACAATATAGTTCTTATTATATACCTATAGTGTATATATTATATATTATATATATATTATCTTAACCCCCCCCAGAGTAACTCCATGATTTCCACATCCAAATAATGTACATTAAATGAGACAGGTGTCCTACCCTAAGACTGTACTCTACACCTTCTTTCTCATCGATATCCCACCAAACAAGCTGATAGGTAAAAAGAGCCAACTGAACACTAATTATTGATGGTAAATTAACCTACGGGATTTGAATGTATTTCCCATGCTGTTTACGGTCTCTGATGCGTGATAGATACGTGAGGAGAGAATGCCAACCCTGTTAATATTGACCAGTCCTCAGGCATTTCGATTAAACCCCAGTAAATGCCCAGAATGACCTGTATAATAATATAATAATATGTACATCGACCAACACAAACTGGTGGATTCATGGTCGCACAGTAAGCAACCTTGGAAGCGAGAGCTCCGGGTGACGGAAGAATCCATCCAACCGCGCTAGTGATGTTGACAGCTATGGCCGCCGCCGGTTCTCTCTCTCCCTCCCCCAAACCACCCCAGAGAAGACCCCTCCCTGTGTGTCGGGGACTCGTGAGTAAAATGCCCGACGGTACGTCATGGTCCTGCTGAAACTATCCCATTTACTCTCTGTGACCTTTCGTCCCCCGTATACATCTACCTCCCTTCCCCGCTAATCTCCCCTGCCTAGGCGGAAAATCCAAGAACAGGAAGAAGAACAAGGGCGACCCGAAGCCCAAACCCGCCGCCGATGCAAAGAATTCAACGGAGGCGCTAGAAGAATCTGTTGAATCGAATGTAGGCAACCCATTGCCCGAGCTTCAAATTATCTCACATGGTGCTGAACAGGAACAATAGGATACGGCCCTCCCGCCCTACAAGCTCACGATCGAGACTACCTCCGAGACTACCTCCGAGAGTCACCAACCGGAACCAAGTGGGAACGAAAAGGAATCAGACGGCGTGACTGAAGATGGCGGTCAAACTGACCACGAGTCGAGGGCTAAATCGCCGATTCTCGAGGCCCTCCGATCCAAGGACCGATTCGACGCCCTCGTGAGGGAGCGCGACTCTCTCCGCGTTGAAGTGACGGATATGCGCAAGTCCCTGGAGGAAATTCAATCCAAACACCAGACTGATATGGAGGCTCTACAACAGAAGCTGGATGATGCAGAGAGGAAGAAAGAGCATGCGGAATCCCAGTTTCGGGGGCTGTTGGAACGGGTCAATACCATTAAAGCGCAGCTGGGTGAGCGACTAAAGGAAGATGCTGTACGTCCGCCGGTTATTTACGTTGCGTTCAATATACTAACTAACTCTTATTAGGAGGAGATTGCCCAAGCAAGGTCCCGGATTGAAGAGCTCGAGGAGCAGAATTCTAGCATGAAACAAACCTATGAGTCTAAATGCTCCGAGCTGACGGACACAAATCGCAAGATGTCCAAGGAACTCTCCGAACTGCGGGACCGAACAAACCTGTCACAGCAAAACTGGCTAAGAGAAAAAGACGAACTCATGAAACAGGAGTCCTATCTCCAGTCCGAGTTTGAGCAAGCAAAGGAAGCTATGCATAACTGGGAAGTTCTTGCCATGGAAGAGCGATCCATTCGAGAGAATCTTGGAGAGAAAGTGATTGATCTGGAGGAACAATTGGCGAATGTGAGGGATGCCTACGAAAAAACCGCTGTGGAGCGTGACTCCCAAGCCGCGACTGTGGAAGGGCTGCAGCGGGCCCTGCAAGAAATTCAAGCCGGTGAGTAGTTCCCCCCCCCCCCCCCCCACCCTTCGGAATCTTGCCTTCACACTGGCTAATTGATTACAGCGCGGAAACAGGAGCTTCGTGAACTGGTCGAGAGCTCTGATGCACAGCTTGAAGAGCTCAAGCAGGCCCTCAGTGCCGCAAAAAAGAACGCATCAGAAGCGGACAACTCTCTACAAGAACTCCAGAAAGAGCTAGATAGAGTACGGCCGTTTGAGAAGGAGGTCAAAGAAAAGAATCTTTTGATTGGCAAGCTCAGGCATGAAGCGGTGACATTGAATGATCACTTGACGAAAGCCTTGCGTTTCCTGAAGAAGGGCAAACCCGAAGACAACGTTGATAGGTGAGCCGTACTCCCTATATCTTATGGGTTGGAGTCTTACGTACTAACTTGTTTGTACCTTCAGACACATTGTTACGAACCACCTGCTCCATTTCCTTGCGCTCGACCGGTCAGACCCTAAGAAATTCCAGATTCTACAACTTATCGCGGCTCTTCTGGGTTGGACGGACGGTAAGTGGCAATGGCCCTTTGCTACCCTCGAGAGAGAATGCCGATGGAACTGACATCTCCATAGAACAGCGTGAGCAGGCGGGTCTGGCGCGTCCAGGGACCTCGGGCTCATCTGGCAAGCTAAGAGTTCCAAGCATATCCATGCATCGCACGCCTAGTACGCCTACATTGGCGACTGAGTTCTTTGACAACGGCACCACCAGCAAAGAGTCCTTGGCAGAACTGTGGTCCAACTTTCTCGAACAGGAGTCGCAAGCCTCCCACGAACATAACTAAACATTGGCCCCCACCTATATGTAATACCGAGCATGCGATATCAGTGACTATATTTACTTTGCAAAACATTTGTACGATAAGCAGGACCTTATTCCCCCCCCCCCTTAATTGTATTTTGGCCTGAAAGCGGTCAACTTCCGTTTGCAGTGTTTGTACTGTAGAGATCCGTAGTTGCGGCCAACAATGATTACCGCCTTCAATACTGCCGTTGGGTCGACGGTGTCGAAAATCGAACCCCGTATCCCCAGTTCTCCTCTGGCTAATTCTAGTAGTATATGCATTTCCTTGCAAACTCCCGTGGAATACTTTTCCTATCGCGTGGGCATCTACTACCACTTGTACCCCGCCTTTCAGTCTCAACAATGGCAGCCAGTGCTGGTGTGAACCACCCTCAACCCCCCCCAATCTTTTATCACAGACCCCCTCCACAGTGAACAACTGGAGTATACTACGTACTAACCAGACCTCTTCAATTCAGTACAAAAGTTTCGCCCCGTGGTAGTCTCCGGACCATCTGGGACCGGTAAATCCACTCTCCTGAAGAGACTTTTCGACGAATACCCGGATACCTTTGGTTTCTCTATTTCTCGTGCGCCTTGCCCTCTTTCCCTCCCTCCCTACTTACTTGTCTATATCCCTCTCCCTATTGTTATTTCTTAACAGAGGCTAAAGAAAAAAACAACAATCAAATACACACACACATATATATATAATAATATATTATATGGATACCTAACAATTCAACCAGATACAACCCGCTCCCCCCGCCCCGGCGAGCAACATGCACGCGAATACTATTTCACAACGAAAGAAGATTTCCTAGACCTGGTCAACAAAAACGGGTTTATCGAGCATGCCCAGTTCGGCGGGAACTACTACGGCACGAGTATTCAAGCTGTGAAGGATATCGCGGCGAAGGAGCGGATCTGTATTCTTGATATTGAGATGGAGGTTTGTTTGCATATTCCTTTGCTTTTTGCTTTACTCCACTCCCGCCGCCGAGAGAGAGAGAGAGAGAGGGAATAAATCATGAATAGATACAAAGAAAGAAGGGGAAAGAAGCTAACACAATATATCATGTTGGAAAAGGGCGTTAAACAAGTCAAGAAGACCGATCTCAATGCACGATTCCTATTCCTTGCGCCTCCCTCTGTTGAGGAACTCGAGAGGAGATTGCGTGGGCGCGGCACAGAGACCGAGGAGAGTCTGCAGAAGCGTCTTGCACAGGCGAGGAACGAGCTCGAGTTTTCGAAGCAACCCGGTGCGCATGATCAGATTGTTGTGAATGATGATCTTGAGACGGCGTATCAGGAGTTGAAGGATTTTATTGTTGATGGGGGTAAGTTTGGAGCGGAGCTGTGATTTTGGTCTTTTGGTTTTTTTTTTTTTTCTTCTTTTTTTTTTTTTTTGGTTCCCATCTCCCTTTGTACAGCGAGCATTCTATATATGCCTAGAAAGCAACGCGCATGCTGTTATATACCTAGGTAGTTTGGTTTTGGGTTGACTCCTTCGTTCGCTAGATATGTTGGTGGTATTTAGGATTACATTAGGCGCAGCTGCAACAACTACAAGTACGTGGAGCGTATTTAGATAGGATATATTTCACTTGAACCTGGGAATTAAGGAATTTAAGTACATGAAACGACAAGATCGACGCTACCGCTCGCATTGCTAGTAGTTCTCTTTTCGGTTTGCAAGTAACGAAATCATAGGAAATCGAAGAAGGCCCAGTCACTTTCCCTTTTAGGGAGAGTATAATAAAAATGGAATAAACAATTGTACGAACAAAGACAAAAAAAAAAAACCTGAAGTTAAAATAAGGATATCTGAAGAGCTTGCCGGTATTCAAGTGCGTGGTGGGACGGGTTTGGGTGGTAGTAGAAGAAGTAGTGGTAGAAGGGGAGAAAAAAAAAAAAAAAAAGAAGAGAGTGAGAGAGAAAGAGGGAGAAGTAGATCTTTGAGGCTGCCTCCCGATTTTATTGCCTGTCGACATCCGCCAGCACCAAAAAGCTTGCTCCTAGCGAAAAACGATTTTCATTCCCATTGGCCGCATCGCTCAATTAATAGCCGTTCATGGTCATACGCTGAGAGTTACGGCTCAGCTCTCTGTCAGCCGAGGGACTGATTGGCCGAGTGCCACCGGGGTGACCACCTGCAGCGCTGCTCTCCTTCAACGCAAGAAGCTGCTTGGCACGGAAAGTCTCGTAGTGAATCTGGCTCGTTGTTTCGATGAGGTCCTGGAGGTGGGTGCGGGTGAGGAAGTTCCTCAGGGAGACGAATTCGCAGTGGCTCTCATCTTCTACGTTGATAACACCCCAGCGGTTCTGACGGCCGCGGACGGGCTGGCCGTTCACGACGATAGTTCTCTCACTTCCCACGACGGCAAAAGGAATGATATCCTGCATTCATTAGAGATGCTGGGGGAAAAAAAAGAAGGGAATTATTCAAAGAACAAAGCCATACCTTGATGCGGGCATTGACAGCACGCTCCTCATCATCAAGCTCATCGTTGTCGTAGGGGTACATCTTGAGGTTGTGGAAAGCGAACTCCTCCTTGATGCGCTCCTTGAACGCCTGGCGTTCTTCGAGAGTAAGGGAATCGGCCTTGGCGATGACGGGAACGACGTTGACGACGTCGGAAAGCTTCTTTAGAACAACAATATCGATGGGTTTCAGGCTATTCAGGAAGAAAATCAGCCTCCATTGGCTCACATATTGCGGGGTGTTTATACTCACGCATGGCCAGATGGCTGAATAAAGAAAAGGCAGCAATGAATACGGGTATCTTGGATGTAACGGTCACGCTGAGCAGTAAGCTCCTTGCGAAGGTATGCGGAGTGCTGGTCCTTGATATATTTCACAATGGGATCCCAGCTGGCAAGAAATTAGCTCTGTCATAGTAGTTTCGAATCGGATATTGTCCTATACCATCTGTCATTGTTCACCTGGTCGCCGTATCCGGGGGTATCAACGATATTTAGCCTGAGACGGACACCATTTTCCTCAATGACTAATTTTCGTCGTTAGAAAGAAAGAGCTCTATCCTTGACAGCACGATATCAACAAACATACTGTGGGAAACGGTCTGGATCTCGGTGGTCGAGCGCACGGGTTCGTTAGGGGCAAGACGGCCCTTGGAATCAATCAGGTGAGAGGCGAAGATGGTGTTCACGAGAGTCGATTTTCCTAGACCAGTTTGGCCTATTTATTGGGCTTAGTTAGCATCACGATATCCATTGATGTTTTTGTGTTTGTTTTGTGGAATCCATCTGCAGGGAGAGCTCGACTCACCGACACACATAACATTGAACTGGAAACCACGCTTCAGGAGCTTCCGCTCAATCTGGGAGGTGATGCTGTCGAAACCGACGTGGCTCCGGGGAAAGACCGTAGCTGGGGCGGAGGTTGTAGCAGCCATTGTGGTGTAAGGGGGGGGGGAGAGGGGAGGAGAGTCGAAAACTAGCTTGCCTGAGCGGATAAGGGAGTCAATGGGGAGGGGTGCAACGAAGGAGATGGAGAGAAGAGGAGGCAAGGAAGAAGCCGACAGGGAGAATTTAGCGTTCAGAAGAGATCTGCTTTCTACCCCAAGAATCAAGCCGGTCTGTAATCGAGGAGGAGAGTGCTTGCTGTCTTCCAGACCCCTTTAATTGTTGTTGCGACTCAGGGGGGCTCTAGTCCCATTCGGGCTTAGTGGCTCTCCAGATCCAAATCCAGCAAACTGCAGGTTTGTCGGAAAAGCTTCAATTGCTCAATTTATTGATTTCCGTCGACGCACGACTCCATCTGTCCTGTCATTTTTTTGCCTCTGGTTGCCTTTAGTTCTCGGTTCTCCTGGAAACTTCCTTCCACTCACTACCAACATGGCTCTACGACTCCTTTCCTCCAACCTCTCGTTCCAGACGGTTCCTCGATTCTTCGGTTCCTCGAAATCTCTAACTTCCACCGTCGGAGTACTTGCGTCTCAACAATATGGCCTCCCATCCGCTATCCTACGGCCTGCCGCCTTTGCCCTGAACCTACCCGGCATTATCTCAGATCTGTGGGAATCCGTCCTCCGAGCCGTCCCGAAGAAGAAGACCTCCCATATGAAGAAGCGACACAGGCAGATGGCCGGCAAGGCATTGAAGGATGTTAAGAACCTCAACACCTGCCCTGGATGCGGACAAATAAAGCGGGCTCATGTTCTTTGCCCACACTGTGTTGAGAGTACGTAACCCGTCCGGTTTTCTCTGGGTTATATAACTTGTCTAACAAAATTATCCGATAGATGTCAAGAAACAGTGGAAAAGCACCGAACTCGCATAGTGTGATAAAAAAAAAGAATATTCGAAATAAACCACCAAAACAATTCAATTCACGATAGAATATGGGACAGAGACCGGATATGTGCCCCGGGGTGTATTTTTATTGATATTAAGCGTGCTCATTGCATGGCTTTTGGCGTCTGGTTGGGCAACGGAAACTTTTGTATATATGTCTACATTCATTCCATTAACGGAACTGATCCATCCAAATCTACTGCATAACGTTCATATTCAAATCCTGACCTTCCCCGGTGACCGAGGCTTGTATCCATGTTGGCTTCCTGATTGTAGGAAGCTGCTTCGGGATAGGTTTACCACGGCACTTAACATGATATGGATGTAATATTTCTCTCAATAAATTAAAGAATGCTGTCTTTAAATACTTCCTCATAATAATAGTAGGTTTCGATGCAGTATTTGACCCTTGAAACACAATTAAGTGAGCCTTGAAAGACTTTAGGGCATTTTAAAGAGTCACAGTACGTGGTGAAACATGCATAAGTGCCTGATTCGACAAAGGAGTCTAAATAACTCATATTCAAATTCACAAGAAACTGGAGTGTTTTGTAGATGGAATTGCGGACCAGCTCCCAGCTTGTATACTGGCGATTATAGTGGGAGGTTTCGGATGATCTCACTCGGCTGTGAATTGTCCCACCACAATTGTTTGCCAACCACCAACAGCCAGTGACGGCCAGAATACGGTGGTGCACCCATCACCAAACTACTCGATCAAGCCTCTCCTCAAGAATGGTAAGACATGTTTACATCAAGGATCAATATCGAAGGAAGAACTATCGTGTTTTTCTAACTTGGGGAACGTTCTTAGTCGAAACAATACCTCTCCTATGGCTCCGCTGACAACAGTAAGTATTGTTGATTGATATTACTTCCTTGACTGCATTGCTATTCTTCCCTACCATCTCCATCATCAATTTTGCTAAGTTGCGCTACAGCACACCCTACCGACATTTTCTCGCTGGCCGTAACTGACAAGCAGATCTTGTCGGCCTCTGGTGCCTCTGCTATTCAGGTGCACTCCACAACCAACCCTGAATTCCCACTAGTCCAGACCATTGATGAAGCCCACAAAGTCGGGTGCCATCATGTCGTGACTGATGCGAGAGGGTCGAGGGCCGTGAGCGTTGGCTTTTGCGGCGAAGTGGTGATTTGGGCCTGCCACGACGGAACATGGTCGAAAGATGAGACGGCTTCAGGTAATTCACCTCCCCAAAAAGGGACCCATGGAACATTTGACTGATTTCCCTTGGAAAGCAAAAAATACAGGCTTTGCTGGTGTCTGGGCGATTGCCCTTTCGGCGGACGGCCAGTTTCTCGCCGGTGCCAATGAAAATGGGCACGTCAAGGTCTGGGATCTGAATGCCGGAGAACAAATCCGGGACCATGAAACCAAGGGAAGCTTTGGGACTTGCATAGATCTGGTAAGTCTAGATAATTTACTCGGTTTTCTCGATGATGCTTATAGAATCGGTATTCAGTCGCCCGATGGTAGATTTATCGCCAGTGGTCATGAGAACGGTAGCGTCTACATTTTCAACACGGAAACCGGACGCATGCCATTTAGTCTATCAGGTACATATTGCATACATATTGCATACATTCTTGCTCTACTTGGATTTACAAAAGAAAATGACATCGCTAATATCTCTCAGGCCTCGTCAAACCCGTTCGATCTGTTGCCTTTTCTCCCGGTGGGAAATTCCTTGCTGCTGCGGGCGATTCAAAGGTGATTGTGCTGTATGATACCTCTTCTGGTGAGCAGGTGGCTAGCTTCACCGGGCACTCGGCGTGGATCTTATCCCTTTCGTGGAGTCACACCGGAGAATACCTCTTAAGCGGGTAAGTGCCTATTGTCAACTACTAGTGAACGTTGGACTAATTAGGGAAAAGATCATTTGATGGTAAGGTCAAGGTCTGGTCGGTTGAGACAAGAACCTGCGTTGCAACCCATTCGGAAACTGAAAAGGCTATTTGGAGTGTCAAATGGCTACCCAAGGTGGGAAAATCAGAAGGATTTGCTACGGCCGGTGCAAACCGAAGCATATCGTTCTACCGCGAGGCCACAGGGGGCTGAAGATGACATATGGAGCGAATAATGGCCTTCCTAAGCTTATCAATCCAACAATCAGAAGCCGGAAATGTTCTATCCTTTTTCTCACCCAACCGCAAAACGGCTCAACTTTGGGCTACATTCCGATGCTCGTTCTCAAGTTGTGGTGGATAAGCACCCGTTTATGTCCAGAAGACCAGCCGCAAATTCCACACATAGCAAACACACGGGTTCTATTCAGAACATCACTGGGTCAAATTTCCCTTTCTGCCCACGTCGTTGGAGCGGCACCTATTCTCGTGAGCCTCACTTGTAATGTAGACTAGAGGGAAGAAGCCAATCCCACAGGTCTCCAGCCCAGATAGTAGACCGATTCTAGTCGACAATTATGCCTTTGCTTGCATACAACTGGCAGCCCTGCCATGCCCTCAAAATAGACATGCGGTGCTTATCAGGATGACTGACAACCGACTCGGGGTTGGGATACTACCCAAGGAGTACGAGAAGTGCGCACGTATGCCTAATCGCCAGACCAATCTGGTATTAATTCCCGAATAAACACCCCACAGATTACACCCTGAAAAAGCAGCAGCAGACCTGGGGCAGATGCAGGTCGCATTTCCTGCGCGCACTTGGCATGTGATGGCCCACGCATTCCATTCCTTATCTCAAACAAGTTCCCAGGCTCTCATTTAGGAGCATCACCGTTTGGTTGAGCTGTTCATGAGCATCTTTTCGTAGACGAAGTTCTCTTCGATCGATGCCTAACCCTTTTAAACTTTCGGGAGATTAGATCTACCACTCTTACACGTCAGGACTTGGGGAAAATGGACTTACACGCGCAGGTCATTCCTTACATTGGGCTGTTCCCAATACTTGATCTGCAGCAGATTCCTCACAATTTTGTGCTCTATCCCTGAGACATCAGCTGCCTTTCGGAGAAACTGCAAGGTGTTGGTAATTCGAAACTGGTTGAAATCTTGAGCAGGGGAAGAGCGGAAAGACGAGCGAAGTGTTTGAAGCAGCAGATAACGTGATGGGGTAGAGTAATTGATAGCCTTCAAACCCTGGCGGTAAAGATGGCGGTATGCATGAACGATGGCTTGTCGGTCCACGAGAGCCGATACGGTCTGAGCTGTCCTATTCATTGCACGAAATGTGTGGAAGCCCAGGCAGGAGTGACTAGGTACCTAGTAGGTCATAGATAGATTGAATTGGGTGACGGACGAGTTTCCTCGAAACAGCTCAAGGCTAGCAGCCACGCTTAACCCAATCGGGCACAGCTGGCATGTGCCCGCGCGTTAGGCCGCAAATGGTCAGTCAGCCCTCTTGGTGCCCTTCTTTCCCACCCTCGCTCTCTTCCTTCAGTTCCTGTCTCTCTTCCAGTTTCTGTTGAGAGACTGCAGCATTTATTCCGAGATCTCCATCTTATTACTTGGCCCCTCTCGATTCGTTTGGGCTGGTGCATCTTCTCCGGGGTTAAAAGAGATAAACCCTGTTTGGCACCCTGTGGCTCTTTGATACTTGAGAAGACGCTACCCATTCACACTGCATAGCACACACGCTTCTGTGTAGAGATGATTCACTAACCATCCTTTCAATTCACAAAAAAGCCAAAAAAAAAAAAAAACCAAAAGGCAGAGAAGGAGAGAGATAGTACTCCTCTGCAGATCTCCTATTACTTGCTTACATGCCCAGTGGATCAACTTCATCTTTCTTTCTACCTGGACATTGCAGCGCGTGTCTGGGCTGCTGCGTGAAAATGAAGGCATGTCTTCTGTAGTCGCTTAAGAAGATCGAACAGCGACGATATGGTTCGAGTATCTCGGAGACCTGCCTCGGTATTAGCCAGGCGTAGTCCGAGCAAGATTGCCAAACGAAATGCACGAAAGCATAAGGTGATCTTGGAATCCATTACGCAGGAGAAAAAGAAGCTACGGAGTGTTGTATGTGATCGCCTTGTTCGTCTTATGGACACTCTTGACAGTAAACCTGGCAGATATCCTTTGAAGCCACCGCTCCCCCTGGTTACACCTTTATCCCGGCAGGAAATCCCCACCTGACGATGGCATGTAAAGAATTATGTCGACAAGATGAGCTGAAGGTGTATGCAGTCAGTGTATGCCAATCCCTCTACTCTCAGCGCTTCCACCCTCCTCCTTTTGGTAACTGTATCATCTGATTTTTTTTTCTTGTCATGCTAGACGACTCCTCATATGAATACTCACAACCTTTCCCAACATGTGCACCGTATTGGGTATCACTTTCCCAGTGCTATTGTTGCAACTGTGTGTATGGATCTTGGCCTATACCTCGCAGCAAATGGAAAAGCAATCCCATTCCACGACTTGGGTAACCAGGCAAGCCGAAGACGCACTAACTCGGAAGCTTCTCAGATAACTATAAACACTGAAGCCAGGGACGTGCTCAAAGATCTTTTCCCAAATATTCCAGATAATGACCTAAATCAGATCATCAAAACAGCATTTCAAAAGGTAATCTCTAATCACCAAGGCGGACTGGAAATTTCTAGCATATGCTGATGCCGTGTCTAGGGTCAACGCAAAGTAGGTACAGCAGTTGAGCTACCCCTAACACGCCGTGCTCAATTAGCCGTGGTTGCCCATATCCGGCATATTTATACAGATTACGATCGTCTTCTCAAATCCACGTCTTTCCATGAGGCCAGAAGCACGGTTGAAGAGCCCACGTTAGCCAAGCTTGTGGAGTGGAGAGGCGACGATGAAAATGGCAAAAAAGTTCTTGAGGACGTGTTTCGTGAAGTCATTGTTATATCTGATGATGAGGACAGTGACACCGAGGGAGAAAACCAACCTCGCAATGATCGAGATTATAGCGTGGAGGTTGTTTCTAGCAATCCTCGTGTCGAGGAACTCCGGACAAGACCCATCAACTTGGCAAACCCTACTCTCCGCGGGACTCAGGTAGAGATACCGGAGGATGAAGCTTTACCGGGGTTTCGTTTTGTTCCGGAGATTCCTAAGAAAGCTAAAATTGACCGCCGAGGTTTTAGCAGATATCAGGCTTGGGACCGTGCCATCAATCGGTATAGAAATACCACCAGTGGTCCGGCTCATCAGCCACCCTTATACCCTCCTCGAAAGCCATTACAGGAAAGTCTTTCTTATGAGGGAGAGCCCTCTCTGCGCCGGCCTCCGGACTCTTGCCGCCTTTCTGCAGCCCCATACGCTGTATCTAACCCAGGACCAGCCGCTAGTGGTTTGAGCAGGTCGCCGCTCAACCCTGTGGTAGAACATCATGTAAGTCATATGCCATTATCTTGCTTTAATACTTTTTTATGGCAAATGATGATGTTGATTTTTTTTTTTTCCACCGTACTGACTTTGATTAAGCAATATGGCCTGTTTCCCCCGGTGGAACTGCCACACAAGATAAACGACGCGCCTCTTTACCCTGGCGTGGTAAGACTAGAGCGAGTACCAGTTTCTGATCAAGGAAAACATCCTCCCATCCAGCGACCTGACTCGCCAACCAGACCTATTTTTGTTACTGCCTCTAGGGATATCCGTGAGAGGAACGATGACTATTCCAGGGCCCCTCCCCGGCCACTAGGACCCTTGCACAGCGCAAATTTCAACCCACAGGACCGTGTGCTACCTTCTGTTGAGAGCCCTTTGCCTATGGAAATAAAACGTCCAAATAGTGGCCACATAGACCAGCTAACTCAACGGATGTCAGGAGCATTCTCTTTCCGCTCAGAAACACCAAAGCGTCCAGCCTACCAGGGATTCCCTTCTCCTAAATTTGAAGATCCTAACCGAGACCACGCTCCTAAAAGAAGGCGCATGACTCACCATGAAACAGCTATACAGAGGAGCCCGTGTTCTGGAATTGTTACTACCACCGCTGTGGAATACTACCCAGGTGGTCGGTACGCGATAGCGGGACAATCTTCAGGCCAAATTGAACCCTCTTGTAGGAGATATGTCGCCCCAGTTGATGGCCTCCATATTGCGGAACGTCCACCAGGGAGTGCCCTGGATCTAGCCACTTATCCCACTCAACTTAACCGTTCTCCCCAGTTTATGACGCATCAAGCGCCGACTAAGCGTTACAATGGCCATTTATCCTCCCACAGCCGTCCTACTGAGTCTTACACTCATCCCCGGTCTCCAAACCAAACCCATATTGTATCAGATACAAGGCCTCCCATACCCCTAGGCAGTGGCTACGATGGAGCTATTCCAGCTAGGTTGCCAGATTCAAGAGAGCCACGCATCTATCGCAGTGTACCTAGTTATAATGTTGGTGATGTCCGGCCGCTTGATGTAACACAACCGCAGAATGACCCTAGTTGGAGGAGGAACCCAGATCCCCAGCGTGTTCTTGTGCCATACAGGTCCGCTGAAAAGGAAGGCCTTTATGCCGATGGTTTTGTCCGTACTGTTGATATGCACGAACCTGGTAGATTGGAGTACCCACCAGTTCGCCGTCAGCCATCCAGCAAGCTTGTGGATAGCCCCCCTCAGGCGGTTAATTCTAGGGTTCATAGCCATCAACATCGGCGTGTTCCATCGGATAGTGTAATGTCCGTACCCGCCCGTGCGCGAGTTCAGCTGGACTCACCAGCCATATCTCCTTCTCAGCAATATCCAGTGGTTGATGATCGAGGCGCAAGATACCATGATAACAGGCCCTTCCGGACTCCACCTATAACCCATCAGTATGAGAGAAGATACGAAGATACTCTACCCCCTCCACGGTATGATGACAACCAGGATCCTTCCCGCTAAGCTTGAGATATAGTTAGCTCTCTTTGTTCCCCTCGGGCCACGGAGGACCACCCACGGCTCTTGTTAGGGATATGCGCTTATTCTTCTCCTAGGAAAATCCATCAACTTCATCAACGTGTACCATGGACGGAGGAAAGGCGCTCTCCTGCCCACTCTCGGGGACCCGAGGATTCTCGATATTCTCTACCTAATGGGCGAACAGTCATGATTGTGGATTGAAATTTGCTCGGTAAAAGACGCGTTTTAGATCCACCGAAGGTTTTTTAATGTGCATTTTTATGTGTATATAGGATGATACCCAACACGGTCATGATTATTACAGTCTAGTTTAAAGACGCAAAGTCAACTCTACTCTACCACAAAAACTCCTAGAGTGTAGTGGTTTCCCATTGTCTAGAATCTAGCGCATGGATGGATGATAAACACGCCTGGAAGAACACGTTAGCAGGTCAGGTAGATAGAGAGAGGTTGGATGAGGTCCCTCACTCTGATGAAATTCCCACCCAACAACAGTAAGCTAATCGGGGTATATACATTCCCAGCCAGACAAAAGTCGTCCTTTCAGGAGACCCTCTCTCCCCCCCCTCCCTCCTCCTTCTCGGGAATGTCCAGAGAAGCAAAGATTATTTATTCAGTCATTAATCATGCCACCTTTTTCTTTTCTTTTCTTTTCTTTTTTTAAACCGACTGAGGTGTCCCATTTGCGTCCCCACTATTCACCGTCTTGCCAGTTTTCTTGATCTTCTCGAGGACGGTCTCGTACGAAACAGAGGGATCGGTAACGACGCTAGCGGTCTGGGATTCAAGGCTTACGTCGAAGGATTTGACACCTGGATTTATCAGTAGAGTTTCTCCCTGGACTTTTTTTTTTTTCCTTAATTGAAGAGAAAAGGGGGGGGGGGGGGGGGAGGCCAAGAAGGCAGAAAGAGAGTGCTAGCCAGCCAGCCGCCAGCCGCCAGCCGCCAGCCACCAGCCACCAGCCACCAGCCATGTAGGTAGGTAGGTAGGTAGGTAGGTAGGTAGGTAGGAGTGAATAGATGAGGAGGGAGGGGTAGGTAGGTAGGTCATGCAGTCAGTGAATGAACGTACGTACCATCAAGCTTCTTTAGGACTCGCTCGACGGCGCCGGAGCAGCCGCTGCAGCTCATGGAGATGTTGAATTTGTATGTGTGGTCTGACATTTTATGATTTTATGGTGGATGGACGGGTTGGACGATGAGTTTTTCTGTTCTATTTCTGTTCAAGGGGACAAAAGAAAAAGAGAGAGAGAGAGAGAGAGAGGTGGTTGTTTATGACTTTATATGTTCGGACAGAAAGAAGGCGGGGGGGGGGGGTTGATTGATAAGGTGGGCGGGGAGAGGGGAAAGAATTGTTTGTTTTCACGGGGAGAGAGAGTAGAGTTGGAATCTGAGTCAACTTTTTTTTCTGTCTGTCTTGCGGATATTAAGAGGTCTTGATTCCAAGGATTCATTGACACTATCTATCTATGCTATTGAATGTGACGCATATTTACTCTGTATAGAAATGCACAAATCGCTCAATCTGCTTGATTATCACCTCATTTGTGATCTGATACAAGGGGATTTTTCTTCGGTTAACTGGGAATATCAACCAAGTAGAATTATTAATCTAAATATATCATAGTTATGTGCCCTGCAGGACTAATGCGAAGATCCAATCGTACATTATAGAATATCTAAGAACAAGAGAAGCAAATCCGACCCTAGAACCCTGCCGCTCTTTTCTTCTTCCTTGCCTTGATCCCACTCTTTCGAGTGGCTTCTCGGCCTCCAAACGCTCCTCGCTCAATCTGAGTCATCGGGAGGTCATCTGTGACCTGACTGCTTTGTAATCTGATCATAGGCGGCTGACTATTATCGGGCTGGCTGCCCCATTCCCTGGCGATCGGGGGAGGGGAGGATGGTGGGAACGGGATGGAGGAATCAAGACCGATAGAATGCAGCTGCAGCTGTGACTGCGACTGCGACTGCGATTGAGACTGTTTCTTTCGCAGCTTGCGTTTTGAAGATGTGGATTTCAGCTGTCGTGCGCTTTCTGACAACAGTGTATATGTTGCCGGGTTGTTGCCGGGTTTCCAGTGATCGAGGATGTGCTCTACATCCCGACTCATTGTTCTTTGGTTAGTGAATGTCGTGTAAGAGGAGAGAGCCGAAAAGGTAGGCCGTGTTTCTGTCCGGATTCCGGGAGATATATCCACTCCAAAGGTGGAGCGATTCTGGGTAGCTGTAATACTACTAGACTGCGTGTGGGACTCGTAGATGCTTGGAGTAGGTAGCGGGACAAGTGAAGAATATTCATCACCAGTACTCGATGGAGTTATAAACCCTTTCGTAGAAGAAATACTTTGGTCCTTCTGTTCGAGTTCGTTGGATTCAGCTTCGTTTGGGCTGTGCACTGAGATAATCTGACCAAGCACAAGATCAGCTACAAAACCTCGGATTGCCTTTTCTTTGGCGATTCGTGCGCGTCCTGGTGTATCACGAGGCAGGCTAACTAGCCAGCTATTCACGAGTCGATCGTAAATGTCCACCAAGCTGAGCCTCGGTGACTCTGCCGACCTGGAATGTTGCGAAAACAGTGATCTGAAAGGATCAAAGAGCTGAACAAGAAAATGATTTTGATTTCCCTCAGCAGAGCGTGCTGCCGATGCATATTGAGAAATGAAATCCTCGAGAACATGAGCGTTTTGGTCGATATCGTCAATTATAGGTGTCCTGCGTAGTATTTCAAGCCTGAGAGGATGCGATTTAGCAGGTCTGATTGCTCCATTCAGGAGTAAGAACTTACGCTGTTGGACTGGTGAGCCTGTCAATCGGGGTGGCAACAGAAACTTTGTCCTTCAGTTCCTTGATAGAACTCTGGAAACTGGACTCAAGGCCCCCTCGACCATTCTGGGCTGTAAGATGTATGCTGCCAGTGGCAATTGCATAAATCTGCGTATAATCGAGGGTCCACTGGGGATCTGCCAAAGGAGCAACACTGTACAGTCCAGAATCTGGAACTGTATCGGTCACAAAGACCGATTCGTCCCAATCATCCACAACGAAATCACCCCAGGAGTGAGCGGTTACTTTTCGCTGTCCAGCCAGGCGTTGTCTTTTAACACGCAATACATCGCCTCGCGATCTTTTACCCGCAGAGTCGCCACCAGAGGGTCCGAAATATATTGATTCGTGGATAGTAAGGCGTGAATCAACTATAAAAAGCTTTAGAAGCCTCATATTGGGGTCATGATAGTTCCTGCCTAGGCCTGACGGCGAATGAGCGATCTCCTTTAGGACGAGGGTGGAAAAATGTGCGAGAGTGGGAGAGGAGGGGTCCGACTCCGCCGTAGGATTCAATGGCGAAGGCAAATCCAAAATAACGGGATCAGGAACAGGCGCCGAATCGAGACCCTCAGATGCGTTGGGGCAATGGAAAACTAGCACGAGCTTATTGAGGCGGGAATACAAAACCAGATAGAAATCTTTTAGAGCATCATTGTTAGTAAAAAGGTTCAAAGTTGATGTTTAGCCACTCTTCAAGCCCGTACCTTCATCCATTGCGAAAGAAGTCAGTTGCATTGTTGTATCATCCGAGTCTCGAAAGTGGCGCCAGGACAGCCGCGGGTGAAGTGAAGGCCTCGAATTACCCTCGACTGGAATAGAATCGGGTGCTACATCAAGCCAGAAAATCCGGTATGTCGTGAGAATGAAGATCTGCGACGTGTTGGATGTGCTTCTCCTTATGTCTAGGATCCATTCCGACCTTCTTGTGAATCCCAGATCGATTGAAGTGGAGTATACCCGATCACCTTCAATTCGGTAGAGCATCGAGCATCTTCGGTCACAAACAACAACATGGCTCTCATCACAAACCCATTCAATAGCCATCCAGCCATCATGTCGGCCAGAAGCTCCCATTTCATGAACGTCATCAACACCGACCCAAGGGAGGGAGCCAGAGCCCTTACATTCTGCAATCCAATTGTCCCTATTCCGTCGATGGCGGTTGAACAATGCCCAGATACTCCAATTACCCTGTTCATCAATGATGGCAAATTGCTTCTGGTTCCAGGGGTTAAAGGCCACATCTGCGTGGGGAGAGTCTCCAGTATGCGAGGGGAATAGTTCCACCAATGCGTTTGGATTCAGGCGAGAACTCCGATAGTTGCTTAGGGTGGTCGTTCCATTTTCTGGGCCCACGGATACAGAGGAAGGGCTTCGGGAATATAGAGGCCGAAATATAGTTGTAGAACGTCGTGATCGGGCCGCCATGAAGGTTCCCCTCTCTTCCGGAGCTCGTGAGAAGCAAATCTGTTGGATAGGAGCCCCCCCGGTCAGCCATTCAATAGCCTCCCCCTTTTCAATCGTCGGAACCCTTATCCGGTGCACCTCCTCTTGCCTTAGCTCCACCGTGTCACCGGTTATTGTCCGGAAGGTAATATTGTTACCGCATTCCCCGGAAGCAAATGCCACAACAGGGACAGCGCGACGCCCAGAAGTGTCAAGCTCCCAATCCACTGCATAGCCAAAGTCGAGAAGCGAGGAGATCAAAGGGTCACATAATTCACTTGTCGTAGCGATTATATGCGAAAGCGACTCGTTTTGAGCGAAGGGAAAGTTTTTAATCAGCTTGGTATACCCGTCGGACGCAGGAGGTTTCGCAGCCGCCCATGATGCATTCGATAAAGTAATAGGCGAAGGTACAGCAGTCTTAGTCACTCCAGTGTAGGGGATGCGTGGTGCTTATTGAGATATCAGTGTACTGCAAGGAAACAAGATACTACCTGTAGCCGTCAAGAACTTACCAGGCGTCAAAGTCCGTGAGAACGACCAAGTTTGAGTATCCGGACGGTAAATGGCTTTCCCCAGATGTCCATACTGGAGATGCCTCGTCGAGTTCTCATCCATTAGGTCTATCTTTGATTCTGGCGATACACACGAGCTCCGATCCAACAAGCATATCGAGCACTGTGACCAGTCTCTCGATCAAGAAGTAGCAAAGTCAGTAGAGAAAACGCGGGGTATTGGTAAGTGTTCTCTTGGCAACACTTTCAAATGCATTTGCTTTGTGGCTGCTGGTATTTTGAGAAGAAATCAGATAGAGTGGGAATGAGCAGTGAAGGCCGCCAGAGAGAGCATGTATGTATCACTTTTGCCTCTTTTTTTTTTTAGCGGCTTGTAGTAAAAAATGTCGATCGCGGCGGAGTGCCAAGCCTTTGGTTGCGCCGCAACACAACAACAGATTCTCCCGCATCATCATCGCGTTTTCCCCTCTGATACATAACTCTAGATCTTTGCACATTTCCATCTTCCCACCATATCAGCCTCATTCCAGAAAAGGCAGAACGCTACATAATGGCCTCCTCATTTGATCCTTCGCTTTCAACAAGTGGTATGCGGCCACCTCTCGCCTCCGCAACTGCTCCGTCTATGGCCGACTCGCTCCCCAGCATCAATTTTGGATTTGAGGATTTGCGCAATCGCATGGCACAGTTCACGGCACAGTTCGATGCGTTTATCGAACGCGGAAGAAAACAGGTCCTAGAAGAGAGGAATCAATTCAAAATCGGCCTAGCAGAACTCCAAGGTGTGTGTGGTTGATCCGTGACATTCTAGCAAAGAAAAGCAAGAGCAGCGTCCCTAATTTGATATGAAAAAAGAGGACTCGCGAATGAGACAAAGGGATATTGAAATTCTCAACCTCAAGTCACAAACCCACGAGCAAACTCTCCAAAAAGAAGTCGCAGAGGCTGCTGAAATGCATACTGCCGTCTCCTCTGTTACCCTAGAACGCGACACCCGTCTTACCAAGCGCGATCGGCTGAAGCAACAAATCGAGGAAACCCAAAAGGCAATCAATCAGAAATTAGAAGCACAGAAATCCCATTCTCGATATCTTGATGCTCAGGCGCGACTGAACGTTCCGGAGCTTGAATTTTGGCAAGATTACTTGTGTCTTCGAATTGACGGTGCCGGAAGGGAAGATCGGCTGAAATTCGTCTATAGTCATCTACTGGAAAAGGACTGGGAAGCCGAAGCCTGGTTTGAGCTCGGTACTGCCAACCGTGATTACGAAGTATTCCATACACGACCCAAGCTTGATCGAAATTCTCTCGACCAGGAGCTTGAAATCTTGAATGAAGATCGAGACTTTGGCACATTCCTAAAAAGAATGCGCAAACTGTTTGTTGAGGTTATGAAATAGCGGTTTAGCCATATGTATGACCAATGAATGATGATCCCCCCAGAGGTCAATTTAAGAATACTATGGCCGTCTCCCTAATCGACTCCCTTTTCTATTTCTACAAGGATAAGTATAACTATATGTATACAAACAAGCGAAGTCAAATCGCTTCTAGTGGTGCCTTGCTCGGTGCAGCCTTGGATTACCCCAACTACTCCTAATCAGAATAGGAATCACAATGAAACCCAAAGAGCAGAAGAACAACATTTGGCAGGCAAAATAAAATAAAAAATTACAATGAATGTCTGTAACTTATCCTAATTGTTCTAAACTACCTCTGTATCGCATGTGAAACGACGAGTTGCCAGTCAGGTGACTAGATCTTCCAACATCACCAGGTGGCACTCCCTCTTTTGCCTGAACAGGAGACAAGACATCCATGAAGGCCGCAGAGCCCAATAACTTTGTATTCTCCGATATCCCTTGGGTCTGGTTTCAACCTTACTTCCTTTCGTTCGTTCCCCTTACTCTGGTTTCCCCTTCATGCTGTGTTTAGTCCTCCATGAGTGGGCTGTTCTCCTCATTTCTCTTTAAACCTGCCATTCAACGATCCCTCCGCCCGCCACGGCAGCCACACGCCCAACCGTCTCCCGACGATGACCGACCAGAGACCAGTTCCGTATCTTCAGGCATATCATTTCCAGTGAACCCCAATACAAGCAATGTTAAGGGGACTATAGCAATGTCGGATCAAGAGCAAAACAGACATCTAAAAAGGGAGTCCTGCAGTGGTGACTATGCGGGGTCCGAAAATGACCTCTTGGGTCCGTCCACATCATCCCCGGCGAAATTGAAGGACAAATCTCCTGATGCCGACAATTCCTCTTCCTCGAAGCATGCTGAGCTTGACTTGGGGAGCGCACCCCTGCAATTCCCCTGTAATCCCACCGAACTAGACCCCGCGAATGTTTCGACTACTCCGGGACATGAACTCCTGTCCGGTACAACACGGGGCGCATCACTTCAAACCAATTCAGATGTCCAAGAAACCCAAGGACAGCCGCGCAGAATATCTGAGGTGGATGATGTGGGTGGGCAAACTTTGCTTCCCGAGGATGATGGAATGGGCGCCTTGCGGAGAAGGATACACGCTATTCGAGATCAGGGTTACACCACCACCGAACAAGCTCGCATGATCCACGATTTAATGACGGAAAAGTACAATGCATCTCGAGCTACCTTAGGCGAGGCTCTATCGCCAGTTTCTCCCTCTTCTCCCAGTTCTCGAACGCTAGAACAGCCAGACACTCCAAATTCTCGCTGGAGTGGCCACTCCTTCGATCAGTTGTTTCCATCCTCGGCCTCCACAACTACAATTGTACAAAATGATATTATCCACAACCTAACATCGGATGATCTAAAGCCGACTTTTCATCCTAAGGCCGAACCAGATCCGACCTTGGATGAATTGGAAGACATAGATGCTGAGGGGTTCGAGGAACTCTGCTTAGGATGTCCACACTACAAAAGGAACGTTAAACTCCAGTGTTATGCTTGCAAGAAATGGTATACCTGCCGATTCTGTCACGATGAGGTAGAAGATCATCACCTTGACCGACCCAAGACGGAGAACATGCTATGCATGTTATGTGGACATGCTCAACCTGCGGCGCAATTCTGTAAATGGTGCGGCGAACAGGCAGCCCAGCATTATTGTGATGTCTGTAAGCTTTGGGATAACGATGCTAATAAAAGCATTTACCATTGCAACGATTGTGGTATCTGCCGGATTGGCAAAGGTCTAGGGAAAGACTTTTTCCACTGCAAGGTAAGGACTAGCGACCAAGGGGACCTAAATGAAGTCAGCTGCTGATTGAGTGATAGACGTGCAGTGTTTGTTTACCTATTTCAATTGAGAATACGCATAGATGTATTGAGCGCTCAACCCAATGTGATTGCCCAATATGCGGTGATTACATGTTTACCTCTCCTGAGACGGTGGTTTTTATGCGTTGTGGACATAGCATTCACCAACGATGTCTCTCCGAGTACTCCAGATCGTCATACCGTTGCCCGATCTGTAGCAAGACCATCACAAACATGGAAACGACATTTCGGAATTTAGATCGCACAATTCAAAGCCAACCCATGCCAGCCGAATTCAAGGGCACAAAGGCTTTGGTTTACTGTAATGACTGTGGTGCCAAATCGGTTGTCAAGTACCATTGGCTTGGTCTAAGATGTGATGTGTAAGTCTTGTTCCCCCCTTATTGCAAAACGCCAGGCTAACACAGACCTAGGTGTGAATCGTACAATACCGCGCAGTTGCGTTTACTTCAAGGGGATATTCTAGATATCACAGAGCAGGATATCAGCGAGAGCCACAATATCCTGGCTTCTCGGGTCAGGTCATCGTCCCATGGTGCAGATGCCGCAGTGCTGGCTTCTTTTGCATCCATGCAGATTGACCCTAGCTCGGCACCGGGATCAGGTGCACATCCTCACCTCAGCTCCCCTTCATCTGCTGATCGGTCCGGCCAAATTCCTTCGTATAACCTGACTCGGGGTCGAGCCGTTTCGCCAGTTATCAGCAACTATTTTGGCATTCCCACCGATCGCGAATCCGAAAGATCTAGGTCTACATCCTTTTTCGGAGGCAGGACACAGACAACTGACGGGAATGATGGTGATGGAGAACTCCACTTTTGGGGTACTAAGATAAAATATCGATACGGATTCCTAAGCAGGGGTATCGACCCTGCTGACGAGGCCATTGTCCCTGACGAAGAAGCGGACGAAGAAGAGGTATCAGGAGAGAGCGATTCCGACAACAGCAGTAACAACAATAAGGATGAGGAGGAAGAAGAAGAAGAAGAAGAAGAAGAAGAAGATGATGATGATGATGAAGAGAGCATCGACATATTTGGGCACCGATAATACATATCCAGGCGTTGAGGGCAAATCTATACAGACATTACCTATATATAGGTGCCAATGCAGATCGTCTCGCGTGAACATGGCCGGGCCTAGGAGATATCATCATGATGGAGTTGCGTTGGCAATAGCTGGCAGGCCCACTTACATATATATGCCTTCATCCACCATTTTGGACCGGTTGGTGTTGGGGATTTGAGGTGACTGTTTTCTTGAAACAAATGCATTAATTGGCGTCGGAAAGGGGTGGGCTGGAGGATATTCGAGTTAGAATCATGAGAGGCGTGTACTACCACTACTTCTACTCACATAATAACATAGCATATCTTATCATCAATGGAGTCTCTCCACTATATTGGGTTCTGAATACTGAGGAAGATATTGTTTCGGGAAGTGCATATATACAAGTACCATACAATTCGACCACCACGTTATTTTTTCGATCTATACACAAACTCCAACTTAACACATAAGATCATAAATCCATCTCAGGAGGTAGTTAACTATCTATTTAAATTCCAGCAGTGATTAGCTAAGCAACATGTTCGTTTGCGGGATCTTCGATTCGATGAGCTTCCAAGTTTCCCTTTTTTTTTTTTTTTTTTTTCGGGTGGGTTCTGACGACGATGGTGGCGGCGAGTGGAATGCATGGAGGACGACGAGGAGGAGGCTTCCTTTTACTTTATCTACTAACTACCTACAACTCTGAACACTCTCCTCTCGTTGTCATTCTTTCTTTCGCCCTGTTTCTACCTCACGACCTTCCTTTCCTTCCTCCTCTGCACTACCCACCTTCACACTCACTTCTGAAACAGATCACGGATCTCTCTGCACGCCCTGGTTGTCGCTTGTGGTCATATCACCTCCCTGTGCTTAAAAGACTCAGTCTGGCACCCTCTCAGGTCTTTTGGGCAGTGACCGTGACGCAGAGTCAAAAGGAGATATCTACCTTCCCTTCCGCTCTTGCTCATCCACTTTTCCATCCCTTCTTTCGCCCTTGACGTTCCAATAATCCACACCCTTAGTTCCCGCTATCGATAATCGATCGCTCCTCGCTAGACGAGAGAACATCTCGCATGTGTTAGGATTCACGCGTCCCCTCCCGCCGCTTCGCCTGTCAAGATCATGATCCGTCGTAACTCAGATATTGAAATCCAGTTGCCCGATGCCGGCCGTGCCGACACTTTAGAAGAACCGGACGTTGAAATGCTGTCCGATGAACCATCCCCCCCATTCAGTCTCCCCGCTCATCTCGCCGCTCGTTTTGCTCGGAAACCCAGCGTAGTTCGTCGCTCGTCTGTGGCTTCATCTCGACGGAGTTCCGTTTCCTCCCTACATTCACAACACTCAAATGTGTCCTCCCATGGAGCGACTTCCCCTGATCATATCGCGCAACATCTACGACGAACGTCGATCCTCGAGAGTCGGAAGGCGCGGCTTGCAGATCGCGCGCTCCATGCGGAAAAAGTGAGGCTACGTGCGGCCCTTGCCAAAGCGACAACTCGAAATTTACAGAGAGAAGAAAGGGCCCTTGCTGCCCACCAGGCCCGCGAACGTTTGCTGGCGGAGATCACCGCCAAGTGCGAGGAGGAAGTTCGCCGGGCAAAGAAGAAAGCGGAGGATAACAGGGAAAGAAAAGCTGCCGAACACGCGCGTCTCCGGCTAGAGATGGCGGAGAAGTTCGCGGAGGCAGAGAAAAGGCGGCTCCTCTATCAACAGACCCATCGCCGTCACCGCACCAGTAGCTTGCCTACCAGCGAAGAGAGGAAGATCACCAAAGGAACAACGAGGTCTCTCACCCGCGATGCAGCTGCACGAAAAATCCAACGCGTGTGGAGAACATATCATTCACAGGTGGTTATGAAGGAGTTCCTGACTCTGACTCTGACCCCTGACTGCATTCGGGAAATGTCTTTCGAGGAAGTGGGGGTCTTGCTTTCGGAAGAGGGAGTTTTGTCCATTACAGCTCGTATCCTTCGACTTTGCGGGTTGCGGGACATGGAAAGCGGCACGGTCGGTGGGAGAGGTGCTGTGCGCACGTTTCTGAGCAGCTACCTGATCGTCACCCATCCGACCGAAGTTTTAAGTAGCAACGGCGAGCAGGAACAGGACTTGATTTCCAAAGCCCGGGAGCTTCTTTCGGCGTTTGAACAAGTTACTCCGCTACTCGCCTCTGGCTGCTGCTCCCCTACGACTATCTCGACCGAGATTCAGACTTTGTGTGAGGCATATAATGTGTTCTTTTCTGCGTTCCACGCCTGGAAAACCCATGATTCCAGCGTTTTGATTGAAATAATGTTGGCTCAGTTCATTGAATTGGAACTGATTTGGCAGACCGTGAAGAATGATCAAGCTGGTGGTGTGGCGGATGATTATCGCCAAGGTATTCGACAGAATCAGATCCTGCTTCTTGCCCGGCTGAAACGGCTGGCTGGCTCGGATCGAGCCATGCAGATGGTGCGTACTGCCTTGAAGAAGGCCAAGCGGGGGAAGAAGCGAACCGCTTCCAAACAGGCCATCCCACGTTCGGCGGCGGAAGTTGCGCCGTCGTCGACTACTGAAGCGCTTACAGAAAGCGTTGCCTCACCGATTAGTGAGAGCTTCAATATTGTGGACAGCACCGTTTTGCAAGAACTCGAGAAGCAGCGCATCTCCCCGCATGAACGATTCACCCAGATCCTTACTGCCCTGCCCGAGAATCGTGCTTTAGTCCATGAACTCCTCATCAACAAGGAGTTTAAGATTGAGGAGAAATCATACACGGAGCCACGCAAGCAGATCATGGAGCATATGTGCGCTATGATGCGTCGCGATGTGGAGGCTGGTTTGGGTACGAATTGGATCGTGGCCATGGCTACGGTGATTCAAGATCGATTACTTCGCTCTCTGCGGCCGGGTAACTCTCTTCATGTGCTGATTAGTGAAGTCCTTGATCCAAAGCTGGTTGAGAGCCAGTGCAAGGCTGGCGCGTTCTCCTATGACAGCTTTTTCAATTTTATGAATACTCTTTTACCGAAGCTCTGTGCCCCTTATCGCGATCCTGTGGTTAAAGCATTTGCTGAAGGCACATCATCGGGGGATGCCATTGACCGCCTGGCGAGACTTATGGGTATTATTGACCTACTCTCGCTTGATCATACAAACTTTATGATCCAGGTTGCTGCGCCTCAACTCATCCAAGAAGCTCCTGGATATGAACAGAGAACGTTTGAGAAAGGCCTTCAGGATGGCTCCTTGAATTTAGGAAAGAGCCGGCGTTTTTGGAGGACAAATCGGAAAATCATTGCCGACGAGATGCGAAAGCGCGACCCGGAGAATGTCCACGGAGAGCCTCGACCTCCTGCTTCAAAGGTGTATGCCCATGGCCTGGTGGACCTCGTGCTCAGCAACGCGCCTGTCTTTGACGACCTAGTTCCTGAGACTCTGGAATTGGATCGCGAACGACTGGGCAGACTCCATGCGCAGGTTTTTAAGATTGTAGCCACCGCTTCAATTCTGCTGACGGCTAAGAACCTGCTGAAGCGCGATGCGCGGGCACAATGGAAAGCGGAAGCGGATCGAATTATGGCTTTGGATTTCAACGACGTTCAACCTGACCGAATTCAGTTGATTCTGGAGTCTACGCATCCAATGCCCTCGAGCGCTAGGGCTCAACTTGCAGCAACTATCCGTCGGTTGCTGCCTCAAGTTGCTGCCGCTTGTTCCGTTGCGAGCCCCACGACCCCCTCAGCATCGGTTGAAGTCCAGACGGATCTGTCTGCCCAGGAGCTATCATCTTCGGCAGACTCAGTGAGCTCCGGAACAACTTCTGGTACGAGTGGGAGCGGTGCAACCAGCTTCACTGACCCAGTAGCACGCCTCATTCTCTCCCGTCTCCGCGCGCATGTACTCTCCCGCCTGAATGCGTCGAGCGCCAGCGAGAGGGTGCGGGCTACGACGACCGCCAGTCAAAGCCTGGCAGGTGCGGGAATGCCCGAGTTTGTCAGTCAAGTTGGTCAATTGACGGAAGAATTGGACAAAGTCCGGGAAGTAGATTGGTTATGTCACGGTATGGTCTATGAACAGATCCTGAGAGACAGCAGTCCTCTGAGTCCGACGGCGTGAAGGGAGGTCCGGAGCTATCATTTTTGAATTTGAGAATACTATTACAATACTATTTTACTTGGCGGGTATATTTGGGGATTAGATTATCCATGGACAAGACAAGTTGTTGTGTTTAGTTTGCGGTTGCAAATGACCTCTTTTGATGGATTATTGCTAGACAGATTGATTTTTTAGTTGATACACCAATGCATTCCGCAAGTATTTAGCACTGTGTATATCCCTTTTCCGCCTAGTAATTCATGTTGTAAAGGGTTGTCAATGTGGTTGGGGGCAGCAAAAGATCTGACATCTTAACTTGTGACTCCGAAGTCGCAATAGAGAGAGAGAGAGAGATCTTTCTCCAGAACCCCCCCACCAACCCTCGCAGGCCTTTCCTCCCAACTCCCACTCCCACATTCGACAACAGCACACGGCAGAAAACCACCTTAACCCCCCTCAAACAACTAGAATCACGCAATCTTTTTTCAATTTCAACGCACAATGACAGCATTGGATGCTGTCCCAGCCCGGGAACAACCCCAGCACCACCTCACCCTCCTATCAGATTTAACCCCGCCCTCTCTTGAACGCACATGGCTCACAGCACCCCATCCTACTCTCCCCCTTGTTGCAACCTGCAGCTCGGATAAAACGGTCCGCGTCTACTCCCTGATCAATTTCCGGCTGCTATCTACCATCTCTGGGGGCCATAAGCGGAGCGTACGGACATGCGCCTGGAAACCCAATATCCAGGGCGAAAGCGTGCTGGCGACGGGCAGTTTCGACGCAACCGTTGGCATCTGGCGACGATGGGATAACTACGGACAATTTAACGACAGCACACTCAACGACGACAACGAGGGCCGTCAGCCACGACACGGATCCCAACCTGGGGAGGAAAAAGAAGAACAAGGCGACGACAACGATAACAACGATGACGATGACGAAGAATGGCGTTTCGCTGTGCTTCTGGACGGCCACGATAGTGAAGTCAAGTCCGTTTCCTGGTCTGCGTCGGGCTTGCTTCTTGCCACTTGCTCGCGGGACAAGTCGATCTGGATCTGGGAGGATCTGGATGACGGGGACAACAACTTCGAGACCGTTGCGGTGATGCAGGAGCACGAGGGCGATGTCAAGGTTGTTTGCTGGCATCCGGCCGAGGAGTGTTTGGCGAGCGCGAGCTACGATGATACCATCCGGTTGTGGAGAGAGGATATCGATGATTGGGGGCAGGTTGCGTGTATCCGGGGTCATGGGGGTACAGTTTGGGGGCTTGACTGGGAAGCGGTGGAGAATATCCCCTCCTCCTCCTCCTCCTCCTCCTCCTCCTCCTCTTTTCCTCTTTCTAGCTCTGCCAATTCCGTTGGTGACGACCGGAGTGGTAGTGATCTAGTCGTATCTCAATGGAAGACATGGCACGCTCTCTCCGGTCCACGTCTAGCATCCTGCTCGCATGACAAAACGGTGCGGATCTGGCGCCGACAGCCAAAAGAAAGACCTACCGGTAGTGGGATTCCCGCCGCCAGCGCAATCCCTAGTATCATTCGACCCACGGGGACGGACGAAATCTGGGAAGAGGATACGATTCTGCCACGGGTGCACGAGTTATCCGTTTACGCTGTCGCCTGGAGCAAAAAGACAGGGCTACTTGCTTCCGTGGGCGCGGATGGGAGAATTGTTGTATACGAGGAGCGATTTGTTCCTTTGTCGTCGGGGGAGCCGCAGCCGATGGAGACGGATGATGCTCTCGGTGCTGCTGGTGCTGATTCTTCCACTTCTGCGAGTGAATCCACCCACCCACCTACAGACTGGAAGGTCATTGCTATTATGGACGGTGCACATGGAATCTACGAGATCAACCATGTCGCGTGGGCGAATCGCGCTGATCGTGGCAGGGAGGAAGGCAAAGAGGAGGAAGTGCTAGTGACGACTGCGGATGATGGAAGTATCAAGGTTTGGACAGTTTCGCAGTAATCTATCTACCTGAATTATCAGATCAGCAGTAGACTGGTCAATTCCTGGTTCAAGAACGCAAGCCATCTCTACTGAGTGATATTTGATAAATAGGGATCGATCGTTGAGCAGCCCGTCATGCAGAGATGGCATACAGTCGGTGATCACCTGACGCCCGGTCCCACCTGACGCCCGATTTCACCACTACCAGCAATATTGAATATGAAGCAATTCAACTATATATAATTATTATTATCGCGTGATCTTTTAGTAGATAAATATAGTTATTATTAGGACTCTATATATAGTTTTTAATTGGTCTGAAAGTACTGTAGGAGCCGGATCTTACAGCCTTGATGATTTACTATTAGAGGGGCCTCTAGGACTTCTATAAGTATTATTAGCCTAGTTTCTATAGATTTTTACTAGCATAAAGCTTTAAAAACCTTCTTTAGAGACTTTTTTACCTACTAGAAATTATTTTAAAGCTAGTAATCTATTTTCTTTACTAGATAAGTATCTTTCTTTTATTATTTCTTTTATTCTACTTCTAGTAGCTATAATTTTTACTAGAATACTTAATTTCTTTTTTACTTTTTAAGCAAGTATTATTTCTTCTCTTTAGTAAGTTATTAATAGACCTTCTCTTACTTCTTTAATACTTTAGTAAGTTATATAATTTTATCCTTCTATATTTAAAGATTACAAGCCTGCTAAACCTTTTAAGAAGAGTAAAAAATTATACTATTATTTTTAAAAGTTATAAGCTTAAATTATAAGAGTTTTCTATATTAATATTTCTTCTTCTTATTCTAGAAAGCTAATTTAAGGCCTTAATAATATAATTTTAGGATAATATTTTTTATAGAAAAATAATATATTATTAAACTTAATTTTTTAATATTTTTATTATATATATTAGTAATAATTTAATTTAAAAACTTCTTAATCTTTTACTAGTCCTTTACTTATAAGATAGAATATAAGAAATTACTTAAGAAGGGCCTAAAATTATTCTACTTATTAAATTAAATTAAAACTATTTTTAGATTTAGTAGTTATATTCTTATAATTTACTATAAAAAAAGAATATTTTTTATTAATAAGACCTATTTCTAGGCTAGCTAGAAAAGGTAAAAAAAGTCCTATTTAATAATATAATTAAAGCTTATTAATTTATATAGAAAATCTTTAAGATTCTTACTATAAATAGTAAAAAAAGAACTAAAGATCCTAATATTAAGTAATTATAATAAATAAATTAAATAAAATAAATATATTATTAATAAAATCTTATTAATATTATAATAATTAATAAATTTTATAGTAAGATAAGATCTATAATTATTAAAAATAAAAAGCCTTTATTATCTATATATTTTATTCTTAATCTTATAATTAAATATATTAATTAACTAGGTATATTCTAGCTTATTATTAGTCTAACTACTTATAGAAAAAGTAAAGAAGTAAGAATAAAACTTAAAATTAAAATTTTAAAATTAGAAATCTTATATATTACTAGTAAAAGTCTAGTAAATAAGACCTAATAAAAGAGAGATTCTATTAATATAAATATAAATAATTAAAGTTATTTACTTATAATTTTTATTTTATAAGTATTACTTAAGCCCTCCTCTAACTATATATTTCTACTTTAAAAAAATTCTAAGATCTTTAACTAATATTTTAATAAGAAATTCTTTTTTATTTATATTATAAATATTCTCTAACTATAATTTATATTATTATATTTTCTAGCTTAATAATTTAAAATATAAAGTATATTTATATATAAAATTAACTTATTTTTATATAATATTAATAATTATTATATAAATTAAAATAAGATTATCTTAATAATACTTTATAAAGTACCTAGGCTAATATTTTTTAAGTTTCTTACTAGTAATTTCCTTTATAAAATTCTAAAATATCTTATAGAATATAAAGAGGCCTTATTTAATAAGCTTATTAATATAATTTATTAGTTTTTTTTTATATTAGTTAATAAGAACTTACTATTACTTATATTAGTAGTCTTTAAGGTACTATACCCTATAGTAGTATCTTAATAATATTATCTAATTAATACTAAACTCTTTTATAATCTTAGTATAATTAATTAAATTACTAATCTTTAACAAGTTAATTACTTCTATCATGGCTTTAATTAAATCTATATTAGTTAAGATATAAGTTATTAAAAATTATTAAAAAAATAGTCAGTGAGGGGAAATCAGGTGTCAGGTGGGACCAGGTGTCACGGCGACCACGTGACATGCAACCACATGCCGAACCACATGCTGAACCACATACCTAGTAACCGAGGGTAATCAGGAGAATGGCAACATTCAAGTCACCTGTGCTGTGCTAGTAACTTAATTAGGTAATATAAATAGTAATATAATAACCCCTGAAGTACTGAGAGGTAAGTACTTTATTTTATTACTTCTAATATCTTCCTATTATTCTTATACTCTATATAGCTTTACTTCCTTTACTAATACTATTTATATCTAAGTATCTTACTAGTAAGATACTTATAATTTAAAGTACTTCCTTAATTAAGTAAAGTAATATAATAAGTATAAGAAGGATTACTTATTCCTTCTCTTAAGAAGTAATAAATCTAAATTCTATAGAATCTATAATTATAATTCTAGAAATTATTATTAAGAAAGGTTTAATAGTACTAGTAATTCTTTAGTACTAACCTATTAAATTAATAAAAGATAATAAGTTATAGTACATGGCCTAATACATAGCATAAGCCATGTAGACAGGTAGAAAAAAGGTACCTGAACCTGAGTTCTTTAAGGTATAAAATCTAAAGAAACTTAGTATCTTCCTAGAAGACCTTTAAGACTACTTTAGATTATAGGGGAAACTTTATAAGAGTAATATAGTTAAGATTTACTATACTATAGGTTACTTAAAAAATAATATAAAGCAGGTATAATACTCTAAGTATAGAGTAAATCCTAAAGAACTTACCTATATAAAATTTACTAAATTCCTATAGAATTTCCTAAAACTAAAGAGAGACTATAGGTAGATAGTAGCTTACTAGCTCCTATATATAAGATAAGGACTATAATAGAGTATATAAATCCTAATAATCTAAATAGAGGAGTTTATTCTAATAATTAAAGCTAATTTTAAAGAATTCCTCTACTAGCTAGTTATTTAAATAGCCTGGCCTAAATTATACAAGAAAATCTAGTAGGATATAATAATATTATAAAGTCTAGTTAAAGTTACTAAACTAGGGGCAAGGTATAAGAAACTTTAGAAATAAGAGAAGTAGAAAAAGTTAAATAAAGTATAACTAAACTAACCTCTAGGGTCTTATATATTAAAGGATAATTTAAGAAAGAGAAAGAAAAATAATAGTAAAATAATAAATCTCTAACTAAATAAATTCTAGTAGAAAAAATTAAAGGAAGAGTAGTAGAATTACTAGAACTAATAAAAGAAAGACTAATATTATTAGTATAATTAAACTAGTTATATTATAAGGAAATGCCCCTAGTATAGAGAAGGTACTAAGAAGGTAGGAAAATTAGAGAACTAGAATTAATAATAATTAAATACTCTAGAATCCCTAGTACTCTAATAAAATAAAGAGATACTAGTAGGATCCCTCCTAGCTACTATAGCTATCCTAGTAAGCAAGAAATAAGTTATAATAAGGATACTTATAGATACTAGAGTAAATAAGAACTTTATTTCTTATTATCTTTTAGCTAAAGAAGGAATAAATCTTAATAAGATAAAGATAGAGTAACCTATATATTTTACTAATAGCTTAATAGTATCATGCTATATAAGATTCTAGGTAAAGAGCTAAATTATAGATAATCTTAATAAAACTAGAGAATTTAATATAGAATATTATATAGTAAATTTAAAAGAAAAAGAATATTAACTAATTCTAGAGTATAGCTAGCTAAGCCTAGTTAATCTTAATATTTTCTTAGTAGTAAATACCTGGCACTACTAAGAGAAAAAATTAAAAATTAAAATTAAATTACTTAAGTAATTTAAGAGTATAATAAGATAAGAACTTATTATACTAGTCTTAAGCTAACTATATAATAATAGTAGTATAATAGGGGCTCTCCCTAAATATTATAAAGAATAGAAATTAATATTCTTAAAAAAAGAGGTAAAAGTACTCCTCTCTAAAAAAGCTAGTTATAATATATTATTAGTTATTAATATAGTACTATTAATAGGCTGGCTATATAGTATATTAAGGATAGAGTTAATAATCTTAAGAGAGTATATTAATTAAATATTAGAAAAAGGATAGATCTAGCCCTTAATAAGTATAGTAGACATGCTAGTACTTTTTATATAAAAGGCTAATAAATTACTATAGCTCTATATAGATTATAAAGGCCTAAATATAATTACTATTAAGAACTAATATCCCCTCCTATAAATTAATAAACTAATAAACTAACTAGTTAGTATTAAATAATTTACTAAACTAGATCTATAAGATACCTATTACTAGATTTATATTTATTAAGATAATAAGTAGAAGATAATATTTTATATAAAATATAGATATTATAAATATTTAATTATACTTTTTAAATTATATAATATTCTAGCTACTTTTTAAGTATATATTAATAAAGTAATAAAGGGGATTCTAGATAAATTTTATATAATATATCTAGATAATATCTTAATTTATTTATAAATAGAGGAAGAATATAAATACTATATTAATAAAATATTATTATACCTCTAGAAGTATAACCTTTATATAAAATTTTTAAAGTATAATTTTTATTAGGAAGAAGTATATTTTCTTAACTTTATTATAGGAATTAAAGGAATCTAAATAGATCTTAAGTAGATATATACTATAGATAACTAGCTAGAACTATACTTATTCTATAATATTTAAATATTCCTAGGATTTATAGGATATTTTTAAAGATTTATTTACTAGTATTCTAAGATTATTACCCTACTAAGTAATATATTAAAAGAAATAATAAAGGGGAGAAAGAGTAGCCCCTTTAAGATAATAGAGAATAATTAAAGTACCTTTAAGATACTAAAGTAGATATTCTCTAGACTCCTAGTATTATAGTATTTTAACCTAGAATAAGAGATACTTCTAGTAACTAATATATTAGGTTTTATAATTATAGGAATCCTAATATAATATAATAATATCTAATTTATAAAAATATAATATATTACTTAATAACCTATAATCTTCTACTTAAGAAAGTTAATTAAGGTAAAAAGAAAGTATAAAATTTATAATTAAGAATTATTAATTATAGTAAAATACTTTAAGATATAATATTACTATTTTAAAGGTAATCTATATATAATATATATATAGATAGATTATATAAATTTAAAATATTTCTATACTACTAAGACTCTAAATTAATATTAGACTAGATAGGCTAAGCTCCTAGTAATATATAATTTCTAGATTAAATATTAGTCTAGTAGCCTTAATCTAGCTAATATATCTTTAAGGTAAAAGGATTATAAATCTACTTAATAAGATATAGCTAAGAAACTCTTACTTATATTTTAAGTAAAGCTAGGAGGTTTATAGAATAATTAAGGTAGAAGTAAGATAGTAACTCCCTAAGAGACCTTAATTATATAATTAAAAGATCTAAAACTTTTAACTTAAAGAATACTAGTATAAAGAGTAGCTAGTAATAAGTAAATCTATAAAATATTATTAATTATTCTATAAGACTTATTTCAGGAAATATAATATAGGGATACTTATATAAGTTAAATTTAGAATAATACTAGTAAGGAATACCTAGCATGCTAGAGATATACTTAAATAGTAGGGAAATTATCTAAATAAGAAGTAATAAAGTAGCTTAAGAATAATACTAAATAAAGGTAAATTTATAAGAATAAATAGTATATTAATAGTAATAAGCTAGTATAATATAATAAGACTATCTATATTCCTTCTAATTAAATAGTATATTAAGAATTATTAAGAATATATTATAATAACCTATATATAAGCTACTTTAATTAAGAGAAGATATTAAATCTTATTAAATAAAAATTTTACTAGAATATTCTATAATATAATATTAAGGAGTATATAAAAAATTATTTAATTTATTAAAAGATAAAGATACCTAGATAACTTCTACTAGGCCAGCTTGTAAAGCTCCTAGTACTAGAATGTCCTTAGTAGAACCTAACTCTAGACTTTATTATAGGCTTACTACTATTAATATAAAAGGGGTATATATATAATACTATCTTAGTAATTATAGACTAATATACTAAGGAAGTTAAATACCTCCTAATAATAAAGAATATTAATATTAAGGAGTTAGCTAATATATTTATAGAAGAGATTATACTTAAAATAGGAGTATTAAGAAGCCTAGTAAGTAATTATAGCTTATTCTTTACTAGTAAATATTAGACCTAGCTATACTAAGAACTTTAAGTTAAAGAATAATTAAGTACTATATTCTACCTATAAATAGATAGCTAAATAGAATATTAAAACTAGATATTAAAGATCTATCTAAGAACTTATATTAGTTATTAATAAATTAACTAGATAGACTAGCTAAATATAGTAGAATTTATATATAATAATATAAAAAATATATTATTAGGGATGTTCCCTTATAAGATATAGTATAGTTACTAGCTAGTACTACTTAAACTTGCTAATATTAGGGACTCTAGCATGGTTATAGTAGTAGGAGAATAACTTAACTAACTATAAGTAAAATACTATTAGCTAGAAGAAAGCCTATACTATGCTACTAAATAATAAGTAAGGAGCTATAATAGAAGGTACTGCCTAACTAAATATTATATAGGCTAACAAGTACTACTATTTATAAAGAATATCTATATATAGAGGCCTAGCAAGAAGCTAGATACTAAATATAAAGAGTTATTTAAAATAATTAAGATAATAGGCTAATAAGTATATTACTTATAATTATCTAGATTATATAAAAAAATCTACCTAGTCTTTTATATATTACTTCTTAAAGAATAGAATATAAGAGATAGTAACTTACTAGTACTATTCTAGCTAGTTATTATTAATAATAAGGAAGAATAGAAGGTAGAATAGATTATTATATAATAAAAGCTATATAGTAAAGACTAATACTTAATTAAATAAAAAGGATAGCTAATATATAAGAATACTTAATAATTAGTAGAAGATTTAGAAAATATATAAGATATTTTAAATAAGTTTTATTATATAAATAAGATATAGGCAAGATACTAGTAAAATATTATAAAATAATAAAATATAAAAATAATAAATTAATAGGATTAAAAAACTAAAAAGATTATAAAAATATATTAATAGTATTATTCTTTCTCTTTTTCCTACTAGATTTTAAGATTTAATAAGGATATATTATAAGTATTAAAAAATCTTAAAAAAATAACTTAATTTTATTATATAAAAATAGAAATAATAAAATATCTATATTATAATATTAGTAAATCTCTAATTATTATAATTATCTTAAATCTTCTTATTACTATCTTTTAACTTTATTATATTGCCTCTAACATGCTATATATTAAGTAAGTAAAATATATTATAATTAATAAACTAAAGTAACCTCTCTGTCTAGTTCTTAATCTTAAAATAATAGATAAAAATCTTAGTAGTATAAGCCTATTAGGTACAGGCTACTATACTTACTACCCTACTAAATATTACCTAAATTTCTCCAAGACTAACCTATACAAGCAAGATAATAAGAAAGTACTTTTTATATAAGCAGGTATATTAAGTATACTACTATTCTAGGTTTAAGTATATACAGGAATAGGCTTTTATAGGACTATTATCTATATACTACTAAGACTTGGCGCAATATAGGTAACATAATGTCCACATAATAGTGGCCGGGCTAGTAGAGGCAACTAGAATAGTCGGAGTAGCTAGGGCTATAGTAGCAGCTGGCGCAATAACAGGAGCCGGCGTAACAACAGGAGCTGGCATGATAACAGGAGCTGGCGTGATAATGGTGGCGGGAGCAGCTGGAGTCACTGTAGTAGAAGAAGTAGAAGGAGAGGTAGCAGGAATTATTATAATACTAGGAGTAGTTATAAAGGATAAGGGGGATATAGTCCTGCTAGATAATAAAGTAGTAATAGCAGGAACTACAAGAAATATACTAGTAGTAATAAGGGTCACAGGCGCTATAATTAGTATAGGTATAGGGAGGTTTACTATAGGAGCTTATAAATAATTAGTATAATAAACCTATACTACTAGAATAAAGGTACCTATAAAGAAAGAAGTAATAGTAGCTAAATAGGCTCTCTTCTACAGAAATATGGCTAGTATAGTACTAGATAAAGAATACTTTAAGGGAGCTATAAGATCTATAATATAGTTAGCTATTACTATAATACTTAAGTAACAGTAACTTACTTAGTATAATATATTAATTTATTAAAAAGAACTTTTTAAAATATAGATTAAGCTAGAAAAAGTATATATAAAGAAATATTCCCCTATAATATTTATATTATAATAATACCTTTACCTATTACTAGTATACCTAGTAAACTACCTACTCCTATCTATTATTTTATTTAAAGTAAAATATAATACTATTTATATTCTATTTAATAAAGTATAATTAATAAAAGTAGTATTATATATACTATTATTATCTCTAGTATTAAATAAAAAAGTAGGTTATATTATACTAACTAGGACTAGCTCCTTCTTAGTAGAGTACCAAGCCAGATTAGGTATAATATATATGGTGCGTGGATATACTGCCAAGGGAAGGGAAGATAATTATTATAGTAACTATATAATATATAATTACATGCTAAACCACATGCTAAACTATATATCTAGTAACTAAGGGTAATCAGGAGAATAATAATATTTAAGTTACCTATACTATGCTAGTAACTTGACTAGGTAATATAAATAGTAATATAATAACCCCTGAAGTACTAAGAGGCAAGTACTTTGTTTTATCACTTCTAATACCTTCCTACTATCCTCATACTCTGTGTAGCTTTGCTTCCTTTACTGACACTACCCATACCCAAGCGCCTCGCCAGTGAGACGCTTACACCAGGCATCAGGTGATCACTGACTGTATATGGCTTCCTGTACACCCGGCTTGTATCATTGTTCACCCCGCTGCGCTCAAGCAAAGCAGCAACAAATAAGTCTGTCTTCTGTTCTTTATCTGCCATGTCACTCTCTACATATTCATCATCATTCTGGCATAAATGAAGCGGTCACGCTCTCCTTCTCCTGGGTTTTTAGCCATAAAGCAACATAAGCCGCAACATAAGCCGGTCTTCCCGACCACTTGTCTTACATCTGATGCTCTTGAGGAGCACAATCACAATACCCCATCCCTTCCCCCTTGTGCGCTTTTAGAGATGGCCTCGGTGGAGAGGGCGCACAGTTTATCAGATATCCCAATAATACCTCCTCCTTCTACACGCTCTTCACAACGGTCGCGATCGAGCAGTCCGATTAGACCCAGTGATGCACAATATCGCGGCGGCCATCTTCGGCGCGCAAAGATCTTCGTTGGCGATGAAATCCCCCCCAGTATCAGTCATTATGCAGATACAAGTATTTTTCATAATTTAGCCCACCATGGCAACGATCATCTTCACCAAGTTTCCGAAAAGCTCTGGAGGAAGTCCAAGGAACTGGAGCGAAACCCATCGGGGGAAGCCGAATGGACCGAAGCTTTGTACGCAGCCATCAACGATTTAAAACCGGCGGGATTTGAGGCGGTTCGGAACCGAGGCAAGTGAGCAAGCAAGCATTTTCCCGCAGGTCGGGCAATTTTCAGATCCTAACTATGTAACTCCATGTTTTAGATTGGCGTGCAGACTTAAAACCTCCAGTACACAACCCTCGGCCTACCGTTCCACGAAAACGAAGCCAGTTACATCGTCGACTTTTGCAGGAGAATGCCGCCACTGACAGCCTCCCCCCTTCGCCGGATTCCCCACCAGCGCTTCCTGTGTTCAGGCTGAAGGATCCCCGGCCCGATATATGCGTTGGCCTGTCGGACGACACGCTAGCAGAAGCCCTTGAGCCCGCGAGGGGCCGCGACATCGCACAAAGCCTCTTGCTCGATATGCAAGATATCTCGACTCTCATCAGCGATCCGCACGTTACCCCCCTGGGCCTTCGTTTCCCCTTTCTGATAGTCGAGGCCAAGGCCGGTGCCACCGGAGGGAACCTCTACCAAGCCCAGAACCAAGCCGCAGTAGGTGGCTCGGCAGCCCTCCTGATCCTCCAAGGCCTCTCGGATCTTCGGGATCTGAACGGAGAACCCCCAGATGGCGCCGAAGCCAGCGATGGGTCCGGTCAAAAAGCAGCAGCTACGTCGTCTAAGTCTAACATCGTGTTAAACCTAGCGTTTTCTGTCACTACCGAGGGGCCAATTCACGAGTTCTGGCTGCATTTTCGAATGCCCGAAGCAGGAGACTTCCACATGGTATGCATCGGGACCTGGAGGACGACCTTGAAAGACGGGTCGCTGAATTTCCTACGTCACCTCTCGGCTGTCTTGAAATGGGGTAATGGCGAGTTCAAAGATAATTTGATTGGCATTCTTCAGGATCTGTGAAGCAATTTTTAATGGATAGATCGGACAGCAGCTGGTTTTGGCCGCCCTATCTTAGATAGAGGCCCTTAACTACTAGATGGTTTACTGATAAAGAGTTCGTCTAAAGAAACTACTGGGTAGTAGCCATGTGGCATTGGATTAATTAGTCTTTTAACTCTGATTCTTTATACATGTGCACATCACGAAATAGAAGAGGCTTTCAACTGAACTCGAGTCATTTCATTGGAAGCATATTAACAGATACTAGTTAGTTAATATTCCCTGACAGGACAGAGCCGCAATGTGGTTGGAACAGAGGTACCATATCTACACTAGTTAGTACCTTGGTAGTATGAGAATCACTTATAGTAATTTATAAAAAGAATGCGATTAGAGGTAATAATCGATTGGAATGGAAACGGATCAAATCAAATCTAGTCATAAAAGTTCATGTCCAACTGAGGCTATTCTGCTAAAATAGTTAACTTGGCTGCGTTTACCTATGGGAATGCTCGCAAGGCACACACTTGACCAAAGCAAGATATATATGTATATGCATGGAACACAGAAGAAGAAGGGAAGACATGGAAGAACCGAGACAACATTTAAAAACGCCAAAGATAAATAAATGTATTTACCGTCCAGACAGAAAAAAAAATCGAAATTAATAAAGAAATACCCTTGGGAAACAGATCACCCATTGGACGGGGACAGGTTCTCCTGGGGATGACGGTGCATTTGCGGCTGTGTTCGCTGCTGTTGTGACCGACCCGGTTCATCCTCTTCACTGTCATCGCCAACAGTGTAGTGTTCGCGATCCAAGGCCGGAGAATGCAGATCGTCCAGCTCAGACTCATTAAAGTCGCCTGCCTCGACGTCTGCGCCCCCACTGCGTTTGTTCTGGAAGCGTTCGAGGATGGAGCTGCTGCTCATCAAGGGCCTGGGGTAGATACCTTTGTAGCCACTGTGACGTCGACGACTGCGCCAGATGAAGAAACCCCAGACGAGCACGCCGATGATGACAACGACAAGCACAGCCTCGCCGGACTTCGCGTAAGCGTTCCATTCCGCTTCTCCGATCCTTTCTTTCTCGTGCTCCTCGGCTGCGGTGCTGTTGGGGTGGCCGCCGACAGATGTTTGCGGGAGAGGTTCTCCGTCAATGCGCGAGTCGGCTGGGGTGCCGCCGATGCTGGCGATATCGACTTTCATGAAGCGGTCGACCATGTCGCGGGTTCTGCGGGGGAGGTCGAATGGTACCATATGGCTCGCGTTGTAGAAGAGGACATAGGTGAGGTTCCTTGCGTGCTGGTAGATACCAGCTGGCTCGCCTTCAAAGGTCCAGTCGTGTCGTGGAGCCCAAACGCCAGGCGAGGTTTCGAATCCAGTACCACCTCCCCATTTCATGTTGCTGATGAGTTCCTCAGTTCCGACATGGTTGCAGATGAGATCTTTATCACCGCTGAAAAGAAGTATGGGAATACCAGACTCAATTAAACCAGGTAGCAGTTCAATGGAGGGTACGGATGTCTGAGGACGGAAAGCGCGGCCGACATCACCGGAGCATTCCTCCCACCCCGATCGCTTGTCTGGATTGATATTCAAAGCTCGAACCACGTCCGATCGTTGGAGATACGGCTTGACATCTGCCAGGTCTGGGGGCCAGCTCATGCCGCAGGAATCGGAGGTGTCGCGCAAACGAACATCATACATGTTGTAGCACATACGGTTCGAGTCCAAGGTCTTCGACAGTAACTTGTTCAAAACCTCTTCGCATTCCATGATGCTTACCCTGTCCTTTGCAGCTTGTAGCCGTGACTGGCAGACTGATTGCAAAACTTGCAGCTCGTTTGCGACGCCGGTACCCTCCTTGATGAGACCTTCTCTGTACGCGAAAGTCAAGTACGACGGGTACTGATCAGCCGGGGAGATCCAGCCGTTTCCAATTAACAGACCACGGACGTTCCATAATGGGGTGGTGGCGTTGATTTTCTTGTTGCGTTCCTGAATGGCTTTAGCGATATATGGAATATGTTGACCGGCGTAAGACTCTCCAGCAATGTAAATCTACATGGGTTAGCAAAAGAATGCGTAGAACATGTCTGGTGGGACATCATACATCATCCCTCTCATACTCCGGGAACAAGGCAAACCACTTCTCCAGGAACGTCATGAACTGGGCGGCCATCTCATCCAACTCATGGACATAGCTGTTGGTGTTGACGTAACTGAATCCAGTTCCCACAGGTTGATCAATAAAAAGGAGGTTCGCGAATTCATCCCACGACCCCTCATTGTACACCAACGTCTCATTGTCCTTCAGTCGATACGGTCCGACTTCCATCAGGGCGCCATCCATTGAACTACATCCCGGGCCACCATTCAGCCAGATCACTGTTCGTTGACGATTCGCAATATGGCGATTCTGGTAGTGCCAGAAGAAAAGATGCCCGTTGTTCTGCGCATCGACTTCGATATGTCTTTAGGCAGTCCTAGGTCAGCTAATTGTGTCCCAAGCTGTGTCCGAGTGTTGGAACGGATTCAACGCCGGCACTTACCCAGCGTGCATCTTGAGCAGGGGCCCGTCAGGGGCCCCGGGTAATGAGCGAACGTAGTAGTCCGCTGCAGACTGGGCGGAGACTGAAGCTATATTCAAAAGAAAAAGCAGCGACACGGCCCATGTCGAGATCGAACGTGAGGACGGGGCGCCATCTTTACTCCGGGAGGCCCCGCGGAGCAACCAGGAGACCATTTCCGAAGGGAAGCTGGATCAAAACCGAAAACGAAAAGAGATGCCCTATGAGGACGTTAAGGAGTCCTCAAGAACTCATTGATATGCGATGGAATAGCGGGTGGATCCCGGAGTCGTCGTCGTCGTCCGTCTACCGTTTCGGGATCCTGCGAGACCAGACGGAGGATTTCAGGAGTTTAAAGTGAAGGGAGCAAGGAAAAGGAAAGTGGTCCCTCGAGGAAAATAGAAGGGGAACAATCACTGAGAGAAGGAGAGAAAGAAGAGGATAATAATGACCGAGTCTAGAACGGCAGTGAAGCCGAGAGGCGGCGTGTTCATATGGTCTCTTACTTTATAGGGGAAGCTTTACTCCGTACCTCCGACTGCGCTGGGATCGACTGTACCGTACCGTACCGATTCGAAACAAAATTTACCATCCTGGTTGGCCAAAATTTGGCGTTGATTGAAGGGCCAGATGTATTTTTGGCGTACCAACCCCGTCACATCTCATTCTTGCCCGTTTCGAGACTCAATAAGACATAATATAGGGGCTGTGTTTATTTCACTACTAAATTGACTATTGATTCACTTCACTGTCTTTCAATTGAAACAATGCAGTCTCTAATATTTTCCTCCAGTAGTTAACTTTTGTCTATCCATTATTTATTCATCACGGAGGGAGGGAATGCTGGTAATTCATGTGGTCGGGTGAGAAGATTCCATATTTAGCTCTACCCCATCATGTCCAGACTGTCCTAAGATGCATCAAAAAAGATCCTCTAGGTTCTGGTCTGCATCCTTCTTAATCAAATCCACCATCCCCTATATTATGTCAGCTACTACTTCCCAAGCAACTTGCCGATCACAAAGACTGAACATACATCAGGCATAATAGGCTTGCCATTGCTTCCCTTTACATAGCGGAATGGCATTTCAGTTCGTTCATGCTCGTTGATCACGATCTCTGGGTAGTCGATATATTGAATCTCTTCCAAAGGTACTACCAGAAATCAGCTTCCCTCCACATACGATGCTTAAGGTAGGTGTGATAAGAGTTACCCTTTTCATGAACAACCATGCGGGTAACTCGCACCGCAGTATCAGTCGTCATCTGCTTTGGGCCTAGTCGTCGTCCCGCATAGCCCTTTTTCCTCAATTCAGAAGTCCGATCTGAGGCTGGCTGTTAGTGGTAAGAACGCCTATAGATTCCTGCCTGAAACTTACCCCGTGGAGGATCATCGCCTATATGTCATGGTTGAATCAGCCTAGCACTTGCATAGTTTGATATATGATTGAAAATATCATGACAAGTTGAAAAGAGAGAAAGAAAGAAAGAAAAACGCACCGAGAATTCCTCCAAAAAGAAAAACCTCAAAATTGTCCCCATCAGCAGGAGATAGTTCGACCTCAGCAGCTGGGTCTAACAGGCAGACCTTGGACTTCCGTTCTGCAAAAATCTCCTCGACACTACGATGCTCAACCTCTAGTCCCTTTGTCGAGGCCAAGTCTTCTGGCATCTGGAGGGAGGTGGGGACCGAACTGAGAAGAAATCTGCTCCCGGAGACATACGACTCGCGAGCAATACAGCCATACTCCAATGCGGACCAGGAACCCAGTTCAGGATCCAAATGTTCGACCACGATGGTCACGGGGGTCTTCTGGTCGCCCATGTTGGCTCGAATGAGGAGAAACTGATCAGTGCTGGATATACCCGGAGCTTTTGCTACTGGTCAATGGAAGTCAAGGAAGTGAGAGAAAGCGGGGGATTAGAGTTCACCTGAGAACCGGATCCTACAGTTGTGAGGTGTAAGGAGCTTCTAGAAAATACTGATTAAAAAAAAAGAAGAGAATAGAAAAATGATAGAAATGTAGATTAAGAAGTAGAGTTTGAATGCTGAAGGGAAGAGAGGGTAATTGTGAAGTGGGTTAAGAGTAGAGGGGCAGAGAAAATCAATTCTTATCACCCGCAAGATAGGAAGCAGAGCAAGGAAGGCTACCAGATTGATGGACATCCGTCAAACACTTTCCATTCTTCAAATAATATTACAATATAAAGGAATGGAAATATGAGAATTAACAGACTGTAGGCTAAAAGACAGTAATTAGACTATTTATCAGAAGCTACCAGACCAGGTACAAGAAGAAGAAGAAGAAGAATGAGGGGGACTAACTAGTAGGAGGGGGCTAGTCTAGACTAAGCTATAATATCTGAAGAATCTATACTTATACCGTCTTCTTTAATTCTCTCTTGATCTCCCTCTATCATAATAATACTACTAATAATAAGAAGACGAAGACGAAGAAGAAGACGAAGAAGAATAAGAATATCTTTAAGAACCTGTCAAAAGGCCTTCAGAAGTGATGCAGAACTGGATGGATGTAATCTGCTGTATTGTCTCGTAATATGCAGGATAAATTACAGTATTTCAAACCAGATTACAGTTTCAGATCCACCCGGCTAACCATATCTAGTAACCCACTTTCCTGGTTGGGCGTCTCAGGCGTATCTGATTTCATACTCACTCACTACACTACTCACTACTTCTTCTTCTCTTCTTCTTCTTCTTCCTCTGTCTCATCTTTCAACTCCCTTCTTCTTCCCTTACCCAAGTTTCTCTTACCCTTCTGTTCTTCTCAGCATCTGATTCATCAACTTTCCTCTCTTCTTCCATCACCTTCAACCTCCTTACTTCCCTGACATTCATTATTATTATACCTTCCCCCCCCCCGCCCTCAGTGGGGTCCTCTGACGACACATATCGCCTCGTCCAACCTCCCCCGCCCCGGCAGCACCGTCGTTCATATACTACTTACCGACGACCTGCTATCCCACACCTTGTCCTTCTCCAGTTCTCTCTGTGCTCATCTCATCTATCCGCCAGTCACAATGAACCCCCACCAGCAGAACAAGATTGATACCAGCGTGAGTTCTCCCACTATCTTGCTGTTTTGGCACATTGAGCTGGCACTGACCACATTATTATACAGTCTTTGAGCCCCGACGAGCAGCGTCTGTTGCGTCTCTATGGGAAAATGCCAACCAAGAAAGACCTACTCCAGAACAAACTCAAGGTATGTGACCTCAATCTCTCCGTCAAATTCAACTCTCGTCTTAACGTTGGCTCCATCGTATAGGAACGGAAATACTTCGATTCGGGTGACTACGCTCTGAGCAAAGCCGGAAAAGCCTCAGACGTGGGTGTGACCAACATCGGCTCTCAGCATCCTGTCCCCGAGAATATTCCCCACCTCACTGCGACCTCGCCCGGTGCAAATAATCCCCTGGCCATGGGCAATGGTGGAAGTATCAGTGCTCAAGGCGGACAGCATATCCATGGCAGTATTAGCAGCCACCCAGGCGCTCTTGGGTTCCAAAGCCGAAGCCCCATCAAGGAGGCCAGCTTTTTACAACGCGGAACAAGTATCGATGAGTCTGATAGTATCTCTGACCCTGCTGCCGCTCAGGATAAGGATGCAAGCGTAAGTCCACCTCCTGCTCGTGGTGGTGTGCCAATCCGACGATGATCGTTTGAACTGCTCTACTTTTACTCCCATATTCCCCTCCCCTTATTTTACCAGTGATTGGTCGTCCGAAAAGAGCCCGGCGCTATGGTTTCTTTTTTTTCTTTGTTGTAATTACGAATTACTTTTCTCTTTCGAACATTATGTTCTGAAACAAATGAGGGTGACCAGTATCAAGAGCCAGCAGCTTTGGAGGTCAAAGAAAAGAAGAAGAAGAAAAAAACAAAAGGACTTGGGACCGTGCGGGGTAGCTCAATGTCCCTAAACCACCTCAAATTCTGATCATGGCACGGTCTGCCTGCTGAGTTTGCCCAAACTTCATTATGATACGCCCGGGTACGTTAGTACATGATCGACTGGCATACTACAATTCTGCAGGCGGACTCGCAAACTCGCACCGGTTCACAGGTGGTAAAATTTGCCTTTGGTGTCACCTGCGCATCATTATTTTCTTTTCTCTTCTCTGTTCATATCAGCTCAAATCACATATTGATATCATTTCATTTCATTTCATTTCATTTTTTTTTTTTTCACTTTTCCCCTTTTCTTTATTTATTTGTCGGGTTTACATTGGTATCTTTCTATTTTGATTCCTTATTCATGTATGTATGTATGTAATGTTTTTGGACCAGGGTCCTCACTCATACATGATATGATATCAGACAGATTCAAATCTACCAGCGGAGTATGCATATAATAATGTAGCATTGCAGCAGCTCGCTTATGTGCAGCGAACTCCTTACCAGAAGTACAGATTGATAAGCCTCTCTCTCTACTTACTACTCGGCTTCGAGCCAGGTAGCAAGTCTTCCAAGATACGCAAAATAAACCCTAATACTATATATATGGCTTAGAGAAAGAAACCAAGGGATTGAGAGTAATTTAACCAAATCCAGTCCAGTCCTATTCCTATTCCTATTCCTATATTCGGCGCTTGGCGGGTATTCTATCATCTTTCCGACATCATGCAGATTATGTATGCTTTGTCAATCATAGCTCGAGCAAGGAAGTAAGCAATACCTAAGTAAGAGGATTAAATCCAAGGGAAGACGACGAGGTAGGTTCGTCCAATCGATCTTCTTCCCGCCCGGTATCGTGTCGTGAATTACGGATACCATAGATATAGATGAGGTCGGTTCAGGGGTGAAGACGAAGAAAGGAGGAAGAAACGAAGAGGGCGAATATACAGGGTAGTTGATGTTGCGTAGGTAGTAGTAGGTACCTTAGTCTAAGGGAGTACGGCGCAAAAAAAAAAAAAAAAAAAAAAAAAAAAAAAAAGGGAGGACTAAAAGCCAGAGGAAGCCAACAAGGTCAACGAATGATCGGGGGGTATATTGACGAAAAAGAAAAACATCGTGGAACATGAGGATGTCTAATAGGATGAAGAAGAACAAGCAAGACGGAGACAAGAAAGAAAAAAAAAAAAAAAAAAAAAGCTAAGACAGCCCGTTTGAGAATGGACGGGCAAATACTTCGATCAATTGTAGTAGAGGACCGACCATATCTACTTCGTCGTGAAAGAATCTTCGATGTGTTCGTCCTGATTGGAAATGGTAATACGTCATGCGCAATCCATCGGTGGTCAGTTTCAATATAGAATCACACCAGATTATGTTTAGATATCGCATTCATCGCAGCAGAGGCCGGCGAAAATCCGGGAGGTCAGGCGTGCTTTCGGGCATGTGTAGGAAAGCAAGAGCAAAGGATAGTTCTGGTTTCAAAGCATGGCGATGTCCTTTGAGGCTCCCAGAAACATTTATGTAGTTTTTTTTGACATGTACAAGGGGATCAGGACCTGTCAGAGATGCTGGTTGAGATTGCTCACGTCGATACGCATTCCAATCCCGCCATTGATGCTCAGAGGAAATGAACCCCAAAGTTACGCCGGCTTCAGATGTACCTGATCACGTATAGCTAGTACAAGGAGACCCTAATTCTCCTCACCTTAGGCGATCTACCTCACTTTGCGCCATGGGGTACATTTCCACGCTCAGTCGGTTTTCCAGTGGCCAGCAAGGCCCGAGTCCAGGTCATCAGTCTCGCCAAGGTATAATTCAACAGCGTACAGAGCTAAAGTGCCAGCAAGGTTGATCCATCGCCATAGATTTCCTCCGCCGGCACCCTGGGTGCTCCACCATTCCCCGCTTCCTCCCATAGCCTGGGAGGTAGACGCAAAGTGTTGCATGAGTAGACTGGTATAAACGGCAATAAGAATGGACGGAGAAAAGTAGCTGAGGAACCCCAGAAATTGGCCAGCGGCGTCGGAGTCATCCAACGAGGCTTCCTGTGAAAGCGCACGGGCGCCTGCTTCGCGGACAGCTGGGATAATTCGGGTGGACGCGTACAGTACAAGAATACGGTAGGTGAGCGAAATTAAAACAGAAGGAGTGACTGCGCTGAAGACGGCAGTAATCATGTTGAAGGCGGCATGAATGATGGATGGTAGGAGGGACAAGGCATGCATCAGCGTGGTGTAGGAAGCCATAATAATGGGGGGGAGCGGAGGAAACTCCCCTGCTTGGGCAGGCGAAGCGACTTGCTGTTCCAGGGGATGTGATGGTTTATAGTCGGTAAAGATCTGATACACGCATAGCACCACGTACGCAAACAACAGAGAGCTCTCGACCGGGTTTCCGCGACCACTGCCAATTCCCCATGCACACAAGATGACAGCACATGTGATGGTGACACCTATCAACGCAGCGTCGACATTGGAGATCTCCGGGAACTGAAGGACGCGCCAAAGGAAGTAGACTGAACTTGATATAATCGAGGCAGAGAGGACGAGGAGGCCGATCTACAGTAAACATATAAATTAGCACAAGAGAAAAAGAGAAAAGAGGGGAGGGGGAAAAGAGAGCTGTATGTACCATCCAGCTATCGCTCCGTCCGCCACGGTTAACAAGCCATCTAGTAATTTGTCCAGCGGCCTGAATAACCAGCAGGCTGCAGAACCCTTCCACAAGTTGAAACACCGGAGTGGACCACCTTAGCAGGTTATCCCAGTTACCGATAGTTATGGACTCGATCAGACCATCTGGTCCAAAAATCCATTCCTGGACCGAGGAATCCTGGGCGCGCTTGCCGGTAAAGGTCCGTTCCACCCACGAAATATCATTATCGGTGTCGGCAGAGAAGCGGTTGAGAGACCAGATCAGCAGGATCGGGATGAGGAACCATTGCGCTGAGCTAATGACGATGATGAGGGAGGAGCGGAACCAGGACCGGCTGGGAGTTGAGAGCTTCAGGATCGAGAAAAGGAAGTAGAAGGTGGCCAGGGATAGCGAAAAGGCCAGACCGCACGTCTTTCCACCCACATCAAACGCGAGCGGGATAGAAGAGACGGTCACGGTCAGGAAAAGGGCCGAGGAGAGGATCCGAAAGAGCCACATGGGGCAATAGCTCGGAGGAGCCGAAGAGGGTGAGGAGGAAGAGGAGGAGGAGGAGGAGAACGAGGAGAACGACGAGAACGACGAGAGGTTGTCGTTGCTAAGATCAACCAACGCGAGGTTTGATCTCAGGACTGAAGCAGTGTGACGAAATCTTAGTAAGGAAGCATGAGGAGCAGAAGGGAGAGAGATTTCTTCCACTTTGTCATACACACACACACACTCTCTCTCTCTCTTCTATTTTCTGTCTTTCTGTCTGTCTCTGTGTGTGTATGTGGATTTTTTTTCCCTCTTGTCTTTTTAGTTGTTGGGTCTGGTGGAAGTTTTGATCTTATCTTTTCTGGCGGGACGGAATTGAAGGATTCGCGTGGCGGGCAAGAAGACACAGACTCTAGTAAAAGAAATCCCGAAAAAAAGAGAAAAGAAAAGAAACGAAACGAAATAGAAATAGAAATAAAATAAGAAGATTTTTTAAAATCTGGTGGAGTGTCAATTGCAGCCAGTTCAGGATACAATTTTGAAATATCTACAAAACAGGCCACCACCAGGAGAAAACAACGCAGACAGACCGACAGAAAGAAGAACGAAGAAAGAAACCCAAGAGAGAGAGAGAGAGAGAGAGAGAGAGAATCAGTTCATGGGGTTATATCAGGAGGGAATTAGCGGTCAAAAAGAGGAGACGAACGAAACGGCTGGAACTCGACAGATGTGTCTCTATTCGCTTACTCTACAGAAATCACTGCCTAGGGGTACAGCATGATCCAGTCTTCTTGACGGCAGAATCAATCGTCCTCCACTCCAACAGCTGATGATAGCATGCGACACCCATGGAGAAAGGATACTGGATGCACAAAAATCCTCGATATTGGCCTACGACTATACCACTCTCGGGTTAATGGATGGAAAAAACGGGCCAGACCAGCATCTCTAGGCCGAAACTAAGACCCCAGCTACTCGCGGGGCTTCAGAGTTCAGACCGTCAATTATCTGCGAAATGGTAGTATTCGCCTTCATCAAGCACCAGATCCAAGATCTACAATGGCTGCAGCGTGCAGCGTCGGAGATCTGAAATCTTTCATAGCCTGCAGATGGCGCCCAAGCCAGTACAGCCTGGGATTTTTCTGCCACAATCTTCATTTCGGGGCAGGAAAGTGAAGAAGAAGAAGAAGAAGAAGAAGAAGAAGAAGAAGAAAAAGGATTGGACTGATATCCTGTGCGTGCCTCTTAAAAGCTTGTAGATCTTTTGATATTACGGGCCCCAACCTTAGATAGTTCAACGTGTACTGACCAGCATCAGTCATGCCAGCGACATTTCTCACTAATATACATGAGTATGTGTCCCTCCTCCCCCCCCCCTTAGATCGAGCTAATCTAGTATTCATTGGACCCTTAAGACGGAAGTCGAAAGCCAAACAGCTCTATACCGAGGTAACTCGAATGAGGCGGGTATAACAATGCTTTCAACACTTGTCGAGGGACCGGTCGTCCTCATGTCAGGCTTTCTAAAAAACACTGCTTTCGCAATCTGTTTCGTAAATATCCCCGAGGGTAATCCTTTCAGATAAGACAGTAGTCGCCTCTGAGTTTTATGTGTACTTCACCACGTGTAGCTCAGTGCCGAATTTTCAAAGAGCTGATATCTTCAATGCTCCCTGTGCCATCGCCTGAAACAAGAGGTTCTTTAGCATCCGCATGAATATCCGAAGTATCCTCGCGTTCTCCCAACGCGCGCTGGATAAGCTTCGCCTTCATAATAGCACCCTTCATCCGCTCATCCACATCATTGACAGCCTCTTCGGTATTTTGCATGGACAGTGAAGCTGGATCCACCAATTCAAGCAGCGTATCGAGATTCTTTGCCAGCCGTGAGCTGGGGGGTAAGGTTGCCATCCCCGCGCAAACAGAGGGTTCGAAAGACACTTCCCCCTCTTGCGTCTCCTCGTGGGCCAATCGAGAGGCCGAAGTAGATGATGTATCGTGTGCGCTTTGATCTAGTTTCGCCTTTTGGGCCGGGTCTTGATCTGCGAGTCTCTGGGCCCAGACCAGGGCTTTGCCGTAGAGTCGTCCCATTTCCACAAATTTCTCAAAGCCCTTTTCCACTGCAAAGACACTTCCCTCGGTATATCCGGCTTTGGCGCCATCAGCAGCTCCCAAGTCATAGCCTTCCTTGTAAAAGTCCTCCTCCAGGTCGAGGAGACTCTCTAGCAGATTGCTGTCCATGATGATAGACATAGGCGAAGCACACACGAATAACACGGGGTACGGAAGAAGAGGGAATATTCCCCCCTATAGTACAATTCGAAGAGAAGAACGCCAAATAGAATTCAAGGCGGGAAAAAAAAAAAAAAAAAAAGAATAGAAACAAAAAGTTGTGGAGCAGTGAACATCAAAGCCCAACAAAAGGCCCGATGAATCATCCTCTGCTGCCCGTCGCCGCCGCCGTCGACAAGAAAAAAAAGCTCACTTTCAAGTCCGCCAATTTGTTGCCCCTCCGCAACCCCGCCATCCTCACTCTCTCACCTCACGCCATGACTACAGAACCTAAAATTCTGCCCAAGAAGGGCGAGCGTAATATCCTCATTACAAGTGCCCTGCCCTATGTGAACAACGTGCCTCACTTGGGAAATATTGTGGGTTCTGTTCTCAGTGCGGATGTTTTCTCAAGGTGAGTCATATCCGCCGAGTCTCTAGTCGAGGCATCGTCAAAAAAGACTAATGGGAAATTTCCCAGGTACCACAAGGCTTGTGGGCACCAGACATTGTATATCTGTGGAACCGATGAGTATGGAACTGCTACGGAGACAAAGGCGTTGGAGGAGAAGGTGACCCCAGAGGAGCTGTGCGCCAAATACAACAAGATCCATCAGGAAGTGTATGAGTGGTTCGGGATTGGATTCGATCACTTTGGACGCACCCCGACAGAGAAGCACACCGAGATCTCTCAGACCATCTTTAAGCGGCTGTATGAGAATGGGTACCTTGCGGAAAAGACCGCTGAGCAGCCGTTCTGCGAAACCCACGGGTCCTTCTTGGCCGATCGTTACGTTGAGGGCGAGTGTCCCCGATGCCACTACGATGATGCTCGTGGAGACCAGTGCGATAAGTGTGGGCACCTCCTCGATCCCTTTGATCTGATCAACCCCCGATGCAAGCTCGATGGCGCTACCCCTGTAAAACGGGCAACGAAACACATCCACCTCCTGCTCGATAAGCTCCAGCCCGAAATCGAGAAATGGGTTCTCCCAGCGATGGAGAAGGGCGACTGGCCCAAGAACTCCCGGGTCATCACTGAGTCCTGGCTGAAGGAAGGATTGAAGGACCGTGGCATCACCAGAGATCTGAAATGGGGTGTCCCCGTTCCCCTGGAGGGCTTTGAGAACAAGGTGCTGTACGTGTGGTTCGAAGCGTGCATTGGTTATCCCTCGATTACTGCCAACTACACCCCCGACTGGGAGCTTTGGTGGCGCAACCCTGAAGAGGTCCAGCTCTATCAGTTCCTGGGCAAGGACAACGTGCCTTTCCACAGCGTCATCTTCCCTGGCTGCCAGATTGGCACCAAGGAGAAGTGGACCCAGCTCCACCACCTCAACACTGCAGAATACCTGAACTATGAAGGTGGTAAATTCAGCAAGTCCCGCGGAATTGGTGTCTTTGGCAACAACGCCAAGGATACCGGCGTCCCCCCCGACGTCTGGCGATACTACCTCCTGAAGAACCGCCCAGAGACCGGCGACACCCAGTTCGAATGGCGCTCCTTCGTCGAGAGCAACAACAGCGAACTGCTCGCAAAGCTAGGCAACCTGGTCAACCGGGTCATCAAGCTCGTTGCAGCCTCCTATGACTCTACAATCCCCGACTTCACCGTCCCCGAAAGCTTCCAGCCCAACCTGGATGAGATCACCGGTCTCCTCCGCCAATACATCGAAGAGATGGAAAGCGTCCACCTGCGCGCGGGTATCAGCACCGCCATGAAACTCGCCGAAGCCGGCAACGGCCTGATCCAGGCTAACCGGCTCGACAACTCCCTGATCGCCAACGACCCCGAGCGCGCTGCCGCCGTTGTGGGCACGGTGCTCAATCTCATCTATCTCCTGGCCAGCGTCTTCGCGCCTTACCTCCCCGCCACCTCCAAGTCGATCAACGAGCAGCTGAACGCTCCCTTTGCTTATATCCCGGCCCTCGAGGACCTCAAGGACGGCTGGACGCCCACGGCCCTCAAACCAGGCCACAAGATCGGCAAAGCGGCCTACCTTTTCTCCCGCATCGATCCGAAGAAGGCAGACTTGTGGCGCGACATGTTCGGCGGCTCCCAGGCCGATCGACAAAAGAAGGAAGAAGAAGCCGCCAAGGCTGCAGCAAAGAAGGCAGCCAAGGATGCAGCCAAGGCCAAGAAGAAGGAGAAGAGAGCCAAGGCTGCTGCTGCTGCTGAGGGAGGAGCAGCTTCGGATGAAGTCATTGATCAGGTCGCGGATGGAGTTGCGCAGGTTACAATTCCTTCCTCGTAAAAATATTAGTACTTTTTTTTTCTTTCTTTTCTCTCTCTCTCTCTCTCTCTCTCTCTCTCTCTCTCTCTCTCAATTTTTTTACGAGCCTAGCCAAGGTATACTTACCGCATAGCACCTGGTAAACAAGACAAGACAAGACATGATGATGACTAGACAACAACAACAACAACAACAACAACAACAACAGCAGCAACAAGATATCTTCCGGATTTATTTTTTTTTTTTTACTCCTTTCTTCTTTTCAGGATGTTCCCCCTACATCTCGGGCTGTTTTGTTTGTGTGTCGGACGGATAGATAGATAGATGGATGGTATATTCAACAAGAAGAAGAAGAAGAAGAAGAAAATAACTTACAACAGAGGTTCAACATTTCCTCTGGAGATCTTTTCATATTACATCTCTCTAGATGATGAGGTAGTAGTGTACCTATGCATGCATTGATTGAATTCAAGGTGGATTGGCAATGGTAGTGTTCTTGGATGGATGGATGGGTATAACTTGAAAGTACCCACTACGTATGGATGGATGATAGAAGCGGCCAACCTTTCTTTCTAGATGATGATAATACTCTTCTTCTCTTCTCTCTTCTTTACTCTACTCTCTAGGTTACGGATAATATTCTAGGTAGTAGGAGAAACTATTAGAAACTCGCTCATATGCATTCCCAAGAGTATGAAATGAAGTACATGATAAAAACACCCACCTCCCCCCACCAAAACAAAGAAGAAATTAAAAAAAGACAACGGCAACCTAGAAGTGGAACGCTGTTTAAAACTTGTCGTAACAATAATGTAAAGGTAGTTGGTAGTGGTAATATATTTCCAACCTATCCCTATCCCATCTGGTTGAACCCCGACCACCCCCCTTTTCCTCTACTATACTATCCGAGAACTCTATCGCCTCCTTGTACCCGGTCGGGGCTTGACTTCTTCCTGGGCGACGGGATGCAGCATCACCTTGTTAGGAAGCTGTGGGGTGTTGGCGGAGTAGCCCTTGCTCCAGTCGTAGCTGACCGCGTATGCAAAGATGTTACCGCTGCGGTTGAAGCCTGTAGTGGAAATGGTGCCCCCGACGGACGGGTATCCTTTGAGACGGTGCTTGGCGTCCTTGTCCCAGAAATGGAAGGTGCCATCGCTGCCAGCGGTGCTGAAAGTCCCATGCACCGGGTGGAAGGAAATGGCGTTGACGGAGTAGATGTTGTTGACATCGCGCTGACCGGCGGGGGTCTCGCGATGACACTTGAAGCTGAAATTGGAGCTCGAGTCCTTCTCCTCGACGTATTGAATAGCACAGCGACCCTCGATACTTCCGACGGCAAACCCAGTCGCGTCTGTGAAGCAGCTCACCACCCTTGTCTGCCACTTCAGGGGAGACTGCATCGTCTTGTAGAACTTTGTAGGGTTGTCGAGGTTGACGATGTTGATGTACCGATCCGCCGTCCCGATCACTAGAAGCTTATTCTTGACATCCATGGAGTAGATGCGCTCTTGACACTCGAGTGTTGCGATGGGGTTGGACTGTCGTAGATCCCAGTATTTGACCATCTTATCCCAAGAGCCCGTCACCAGGAGCGGAGTGCCTCCCGCCGGATTCGGCATCATATGGCAGCATCTAATCGGGGCGTCGTGAGCGGCAACCTGGACTGCTGCAGCACCGTTGGCAGAAAGGTCGAGCATGCGAGCAGCTTTATCGGCACCAGCACCGACAACTTTTGTTCCATCCTTTGCAAATGACCTCTCGTCAATATCGATAACAAAAAAAAAAGAAGAAGAAGAAGAAGAAGAAGAAGAAACAGACAGAACAAAACTTACAGGAGACCAGCAACAGTTCAATACAGGAGCCTCGTGTTCAAATAGAGCCTTGCCCTCACTCTGGCCTTGGTCATTGATCTCGTAAATGCGAACCTTCTTATCCCATGATGCTACGGCGAGATGATCACTAGCGGGAGAGAATCGAAGATCCGAAATGCTATCCTCGGGGGGTGAATTGAGGGCGACATCCTTGGAGATATCTCCTGTAGTGCTCGTTTGAGCTGTTGTTGTGGCCGTAGCGCCGACAGCACCGAAGAGCGACATTCAAGAACTTTTTTTTTTAGGGTGAGTTTTGGGAGAAGTCGAGAAAGAGGAGGAAGAAAGGAGAAGAGGGAAAGGGCGCAGAGAATGGGTATCAACTGGAGAGGGAAGAAGAAATTGGAACCGAACGAAGGACAGGAATTGGGCTCTCTTTGAAGGGGGGGGTAAGTAGTTCAGTGGTCGAGAAAGAAGGCACCAACCAAGGCCGAAGCCAAAGTTCCACGACGGCAGTATTGAATCCTCAGGCTGCCATGCTCACCGCCAGACTACAAACAACAAACACAACAAACACAACAAACATTCTTTTTCTTACTCTCTTTCTTACTCTCTTTCTTACTCTCTTTCTTACTCTGATTAACTAACTCTCTCTACTTCTGTTTACAAATCTTGATTAAGAAGAGTACTGTACTACCTACTAGTATAGAGAATTCATCAAGGATGAAAGTTCCATGGAAACCCTAGGGTTATGTCTAGGGTTATGCAACCCTAGGGTTATTGGAAAGGACGACACGTGAGTGTCATAAAGTACCTAACCTTTAAAGTACTTCAAAGTGGTGTCGTAACCATTCATACTTTACTATACTTTACTATATACTAAATAGTTACTATAGTTAATGTAATATATATGTGGAGCAGGTGGAATGCGGGGTGCAGCCTTAGTGGACCAACACTAAAGCTCTCGACGTCAACCTTCTGGACGCTTTCTCGTGTGATCCGGATCTCCCGTTTCCCACCTGAAACATGAATGGATGGTGAGATGTGATTCAGTTCAACTACTCAAAGCATACAGATCTCACCACTATGCATTACTATAGGAAAAATAATCATCCCATCCATCCCTCTTTGCCACTCGAAGCTTTCCCCCTGCAACCCCGCCCAGTATCATGTCGTACACACTGTCTCCCTTCTCTACTCCAATCTCAATATTCTTTCGAACAGAGTCTAGACTAGATCATACTCGAGAACAGCTAACAGACCATCAATCATAGTCAGAAGACCTCGAAATGTGGAGAGATACGCTCGCCTCCCTCCCCTTATACTGTATGTAAGTAAATGAAGTACCTCAAAGTATCATATCATCATATCATAACTTCCAAGGTTTCTCCCAGGCTCTCCAGGTCACCTGCCCTTTCCCCTCCTTTCCTCTCTCCCCTTTTTCTTCTTCTTCCCTCCCTCCTTCTCTTCCTCTTCTTCTTCTTCTTCTCTCTCTTCCCATCTCATCTGCTAGCTGATCATCTATCGTCCGTTCCCATCCATCCAACTGCCTGGTAAGCTTAATCCTGTTCCTGCAGCATCCATCTTCTTTTTTCGTCATTCATCATCTTTCTTTGTTTCTGATCTCATCCCTCATCCCCTCCTTCTCACCTCCCCCTCTTATCCCGTCTTCTGTACATCATATATGAGACCTTTCTATTCCAGGGATTCATCTCCCTCTAGTACCACATAGAACTAATCTCCTTACCTTCTTCTTGTAACTCAAAAAGACCTATTCACTTCACCTACTCCCTACTCTTCCATCCAACAATGTCTCTTGCCGAACATCCCGAACTCACAAAAGTCGACTCCGCCATTGCGGGCTTGACGATATCCACCAAAGAAGAAAAGGCCCCGGATAAGCCCGAGAAGAAGACGCAAAAGCGTAACTCGTCTCAGGCTGATGGTGTCTACAACATCAAGGATCTAGGTAATCTCTGTCTGCCTTTTTATGTTAAGAGAATTGGTCCTCACCTTCCTGTCTTTAGAGGAAAAGAAGATCGAAATCACGTTACCCATTGAGACGCAAAAGACTGGATGGTAATCCCCACCCCAGTGTGGCCCTTACTGGCCGTCTCATTAGCTGACCTCCATCCAGGAAGTTGAATACCTCTCCATCCTCAATTGAGGACAAGGATATCCTCAAACTGCACCTAATAAGACCACCGGTGAAGAAGATCGACCTACACTTCCCGCTAGGGTTGGAGGTAACAGCCCGCAACATGAAGGGTGTAACAATCAAGGATGCACTGGATGCAATCTACAAGCAATTCAAAAAGAAGGTCTTTCCCCCCCTCTCCCTCCCCCTTTCCCTTTGCCCCATCCCATCGGATTCTAATCCTGATCATACAGGCCGATGATGAGCTAGACAAGCCCTACCTCGCTGGTTTCGAGTGGGACAAGGAAGAGTGCTGGACACGTCTGATTGTTCACCAGACCAAGCAGGGCCCACCCCCGCCTACAAGCAACAAGAAGTCGAAGAAGAAGGCCAAGGACGATGCATAGATGGTGGCTGTCTCCGGCTGTCTCGCGCTAATGGCATGGCGTTGCCTCTCCTTTCTCCGTCGCTTGGCGGCTTTCTCCTGATCTGATATGCTTTGTCTCTCATCTGCTTCTTCTGAGCATTGTTTCAATGGTTCGGGGGGTTAGAAGCATGAATCAAGAGGACGGGTGTTATATTGTGTAATCTGGTCTTTGTTGTGTTTTTTTTTTTTCAATCTCGGCTCTCGACTGCCTATGTCGCCTACTTTCGTTGATCCACTGGTTCCAAGAGAATACAGTATACTCTGGCACCCAGGCCAACTGCCTCGGATAGGTCCAGAAAGCATTGCAATCGTTTTCAAATGAACAGTAACTACAGGTACTACTACTTACTATTGAAATGAGGAAGATTTCCGTCGATAACAGTGGGGCAATCTTATCACGACCTGTAACTCGCTAGCAACTTCTGGCTAGTGTGCCAAGGCAGCTGTAGATCTTTCTATACTACTATACTATCACTACAAGTACGTTCAGTTCGATAGAAGACATATATCATGATATATATACATAGTAGTTAAAAGAAAGTAAAGCAATCCCATGACAAAATGAAAGTAAAAGTGAAATTGTAGGACGCTCAGCTCTTAAAACATATAACTATATGTACTCCGTATGCAGTGCAGTCAGGTAGAACACATCCCTCGCTCTGTGGCATAACTCATGTCATTTCCATGTTCATGGGGATCATATCATTAGGTAGGTAGGTAGGTACTCCGGTACGCTTGAATCAACATTCATTTTCAAGACAGTCAATTGCCTTGAATAACCAGCCAACCAGCCAGTTATTAAGTCAGTTAGTCCGTTAGGTAGTCAGTCAGTCAGTTACCTAAGTTAGTAGGGGGGGAAAGAAAAAAACAGAGAAGGAAAAAAGAAAAGTCAAGACCTCCCCCCAAACAAGACAAGGACAATCTCATCCAGCAAGGTAAAGACCAGATGCGCATTCAACCGCGGATTATTCAAGGTCGCAAAGACCCTGCGCGCCGCTGCTTGTGCATTCGCCCTCCCGACCACGTTCCCCGCTAGATCTGGAATCAGCGTAGCAAGGACCAAACTCGCCTCGGTGCGACTCATGAGGCGTTCCGACGGTGTGCGAGGTTTGCTTTCGCGGAGGACGCCACCAGGCCACATGGTTTCCCTTGCAAGGGCGATGTACCGGAGTAAAGGTTCGTCTTGGACCAGGGAGCGGGCGCCCTCGCGGACTTTGCGCTCGATGGTCCCGCCGAGGAGTTGGTGGAGGACGACCACTACGGCGCGGCCGCGCAGCCAGTTGTTGCCTTTGTTGAGTTCAAAGGTTTCCAGGAAGAGATCGCAGATGGGTTTGATGAAGGGTTCGAGTTCACGGTCTTCGAAAGCGTTGAGTTCGGCTTCGGCTTCAGCGGCTGTGACCGCATCTTCGGTAGCGAGGGTGGAGTCACCGGGAATGGTGGTGGTAGTAGTAGTAGTAGTAGTAGTAGTAGTAGCAGTGGGAACACCAGCAGCAACACTAGTAGTGGTGGTAGTGCTTGGTGGTGGTGGTGGTGGTGGTTGTTGTTGTTGTTGGTTTGTTGCGGCGGAGATGAGGTTTTGGCCCGCAATGGAGAGTTGGTCGAGGACACCAAAGTTGCCGAGGAAATCATCCATGCCATCTGCGACGGAGTTATATATCCGTGTAACAAGATCTTTAGTCTCGCCATCGCGTGGGTTCGTCTCATCGCGAGGAGGGATGATGGCTCGTTGGGAGAGAAAGGCTCGTAGGTCACGGCTCCGGCATACTTCTGGGAGGAGTAGGAGCTTTTGTAGGTAGGCCTCTAGGGCTAGACGGCGCTTCTGGAGAAATTCTTTCTGTAGCTTCATGACCATCCGTCGTCGAGGAAACTCGAGTTGACGCACGGACGGGTATCGCATGCGAAGCTGATGGTGCAGCTCGTGGAACTCGCTGTACCTACGAGCCACGGCCCACGATGCTGCGGGCATCTGCTCTCCAGCATTTCGTTGTACTTCGATCACGTCTAGGATCAAGGGAACGTTAGTATAGCAGAACGCCAGATATGAGACAGAGACGTACACATAGCAAATTCTCGACCATCCTCCTCTTTGCCCACTACGATGGACTTGATTCGGACAGTCGACCTGCCATACAGGCTGTTATCACTCTCCTGGATGATATACTGCTGTCGCTGCATCTCCTTTCGGTGGATTTCTCGCTGGATACTAGCTTTGGACTTGCGCAAAATCCTCAGTTCGGCAGTATTGTTCGTGAGCTCGGCCTTTCGCGTCAAGGTATCCACGACTGATTCCTGCGACCCGAGTTTCTCGATGTCGGCAGTGAGCGCCTCAATCGCCTCGGTCAGACCAAGGTCCCCGGGCGCAGCCTCATGGACCTCGTCTGCAGAATCCTTGTCATCGGTCCCTACAGGCTCTTCATACTCATCCTCAATAAATTTCTGCTGGTCCGGGAAAAGGTCGTCATCAAATACACCAAGGCGTGAAGACTTGTCCACAAGGCCGAGGGAGGCTATGCTTGGTTTGACTCTATCGTCTACCCGACTATCTACTCGCGAAGATTCCATCGAGCCGGGTGGAGATCTTTGATTGGGGTCATGAATAGACAATGTAGAAGGAGACAGATCCGCACTTCTCAGGTCCTCTAACTTTCCATTCGTTGGCTCATTGGTGATAATGTCGTTCAAAGCGGCTTCCATATTTTCGATGACTCGGCTTTCGCTCGTCTCGTTCTCGCCATTTTGCGAGTCTCGGGTAAGGCTTTGAGTGGATGCCGCCATCGGATCTGTATCGTAATCGTCATCAAACAATGGAACCGAGCGCTCCGAGTCGAATGATCGTCTGGGAGACTCGTCATCATCAAAGAGTTTGCCCATGTCACTGGAAGAGATGGCGGCTCTGCGCAGATCCTTCTTTGGCCTCGGACCTGGCTGAGACGCTGTTCGAGCCATCAGGGGCGGAAGTGGACGTCTCTCCCGAGCTTCTATAGCGCTGGGGGGGTTTTGGCGGGATGTAGGTGGAGGGTTCTGGGAACCAGAATGCGAGGCTTCGTCCGATGCGAGGTATTTGTAGTATAAGTCTGATTTTTTAAACTTGGGATAATAGACGTTCTGGAGTTCTTCCAATACTGCCGATTGTGTCGTCAAGATCACGGTCCGGGCCTTGCGGTATTGCTCCGGGGTGGCACGCTTCCCTGACCTGAGGAAAGCCTTCACCGCTTGGCGCGACTCGTCTGTCACTTTCAATTCAGGTTTCGTGAGATAGGTTTCACTGATGAGGGCCATATCGTTTCTGTCTGTACTCGTCCAGCTTGAGGAGCTTGGGGATGTCTCGTCTCCAAAATCATCTTCGAGGGGGTTGCGAAATCCATCCACCACAATCCAGAATTGAACAAGAGACATGAGACGCTGACGGTCCATAAACTCCATAAAATAGGAGAGGCCTGACGCATCATGCATGACATCCACCAAAGACGCCTCTTGGACGGCGGATGAGCTCTTGCGGCGGAAGTGCGTGGCAGCAGCAGCAGTATGCGAGGGTTGACTACCTGGCGTGGAAAGCTTGGAAACCTTCTGGTCCAGAACTCTTTTGCCTGTTTCTAATCTCCGGAGGTAGACCGGGTCCTGCCCTTCTACCATTGACTCGCGTTTCAGCTGGCTAGCCACAAGTGCTCTGAATCGCCTCGCATCTGAAAGGTTATTACACCGCCGAATGGCTCGGACAAATCGCTCGAAAGCTCGCTCCGAATCATTCGGGGAAAGGCGCGGGAAGGCATGGCCACGCTTTGACTTGGGAACGGGCGAAGCATGCTCATCTAGGGCGGCGCGAAGTTTGCGTACCGTTTTGCGGTCCTGCAGAGCTGTTCGGCCATAGGCCTCCATCAATTGATTCCAAGTATCGGGGTCGGAGAGAACTGAGACAAGCGGGAAAAGCACGGCGCATGAAACAATCTCCCTGATAAGGACAGAGACAATGCGACTGTTGAGGACACTCTCGGGGAATAACCGAGGTAGCAGGCCAACAGTGACCTTGCGCAAGTACTCCTGCTCCACCGCCTTCTGGTCAGAGAGTGACAGCACGGCAGCAGGATGGAGGTTGCCGTCGCGGTACTTGCTCGCGATAGCCAGATCCAACTCCTCGGACTCGGTGACATTGCGTGTTAAGTGTCTGCCGCGTACGGATCGCTCCGCGATGTCGAATTCCCTGAGATGGGCAGTCAAAATAGGGAATATCCGGGAGACAATAAGTGACACCAGATCCTCCGCCAGCAGTCGGTCCCGCAGATTCCCCACGGCTATCCGGATCACCTTATCCACCTCATTGACGAAAGCGGGACCGGGGCTGATGCTCTTATGCCAGGAAGAAATAAAGTCCCGAGTGATCAGGGATAGGAGCTCATCGATACTCTCGGACACAATAAAGGATTGAGGATAGAGCGACTGGGGGCGGTACAGCGAGCGTTGCTCGAACGCTTGTACTTCCTTCTTCCAATGGTGACGGGCGACGAACGCGACAGGGAGGGTCTTTGCGCGAGGCGGTCTCGAGGCACTTGAAGTGCGAGTGGTCAAAAGGACCAGGCCGAATAACGCGGCGAAGGAGAGAAATGCACCAAGAACCACGGCATACCCCAGGTATCTGAGGATAGGAAGCCAGCGAACCACCAGACCCCAAGCAATGAAAGCCCCCAATCCCAGCAGGACATAATCACGACGCTTCAAGGCCATTCTCACCGAAGCATTCACACCGCAGTCAGGACAGTTTTTCTCATGGTGATCAGGAGAAGAACAGGCCCGGTGGACAGAGGAACATTTCGAATCCTGACCGAGCGACAAGTTGTTGAATGAATTGTCTCTCTCTCTCTCTCTCTTCAGTTGGTAACGAACGATCTGGGATGATCAAACAAAGGCCGAGGTGGGCAGGCGGTGAGAGGGGTCTGTTGGTGTATGGTACGGTACGGTACTGTACTGGTCAGTACCATACCTGGAGCTCTGTTACATTACATTACACATTATTACACCCACCTGGTTCTAACCGTCCGAAATCGGTAAGAATCAGAATCACATGCAAAGAAAACAATGAAAAAAAAATGAAAAAAACAAGGATGTCATGCTGTTTCTGTGCTGTTTTTTTCTCCACTATAAACGAAGTATCTCAACCTCGACCTCAACCTCAACCTCCATCTTTCCTTCTCTTCCTTTCTCTTCTCTATCTCAATCTCCTACCAACTTGGCCTCTTGTAAACATGGCTTCTCTCTCTGATTTTGTCGACTTTTCCCAGAACACCCTGACATGTATGTGCCTAATCCCGACTGTTTTTATACAGGTTCCCCCGCATGTGATTCTCAACTCCGATGTTTCTTTCTCTAGGGGCCGCTCTGTCCATTGCCTTTAACCCGATCTTCTGGAAGTAAGCTGTCACTCTCACTGTCTGGTCTATCTCTCTCTAACTTGTGCTCGAATAGCATCGTCGCCCGTGCCGGTTGGTTCAACCCCAATCCTAACCATTCCCCCCCTCCCCCCCAAAGACTGCTTTAGAGAGAGAAAAAAAGACAAGAAAAAAAAAAAAAAAAAAAAAAAAAAAAAACAATAACCACCCCAACGCGACAACCTATCTCATTATTACATTCTCTGTAGAATACCGCAGCCAGGTCTTGACTCGTATATTCGGTGGCCCTTACTACGGATGCTACTTCCTAGCCGTGGTCATCTTCTCCCTTGGAATCCTACGCGACCACATCTACCACCTCGCCCTCGAAAACCAACCCTACTATGCCCCAGTGCACCAACCGCTTCTCGGCGGCGCTCTCTTCGCCATTGGTTCCGTCCTGGTCCTCTCCAGCATGTATGCCCTCGGCGTCACCGGCACCTACCTAGGCGATTACTTTGGCATCCTGATGGATGGCCCCGTCACCGGGTTCCCCTTTAGCGTCACCGGTTCCCCGATGTACTGGGGGAGCACGTTGAACTTCCTAGGCGTGGCCCTGTACAGGGGCAAGGTGGCTGGTGTTCTTCTCGCCGCGGAGGTGTTTGTTTTGTATTGGGTTGCTCTTCGGTGGGAGGAGTAAGTCTCTCTCTCTCTCTCTCTCTCTCTCTCTCTCTCTCTCTCTTGCTTTCCTTCGTATATATATACGTCATATCATATCGTATACGAGATGAAAAACAAACATGGTTCGTAACTAACCACCTTATCATGCTGTTAGTCCCTTCACTGCGGAAATCTACGCCAAGCGTGAACGTGAACGCGCAAAGTCGAAGCAAGGCGGCAAGAGCCAGTAACTTCCTCCATCCATGCGAAATGAAGGGGGGTTAGCAGTGTTAGGTACTCCGTACTTCATTTCGCATGCTCGTGACGAAACTGAAACTGAGATCGTGGACGTTCAACATCCCTATGATCGAATCTAGAGAGACCAGGAGGTCGAATGATGGAATCAGGGTGGAATGAATGAAACGAAATATGCTCTTCAACATGGAACAAGAGGAAGATGAGCAAGAACAAAAGAATCACCTTAAAAAAAGAAAAAAAAAACCCCCAAGCAAATCCGCGAGAACAACTCTCAGCTACTTTTTCCTGATTGCTGTATGATCAATTTTAAGTATACTTGGAATTAAGCAGGAGAAAACAACCATATATATATATATACATTGTGCTCTCGCATCGTGTAGCCCATGTATATAGAGATATGGATAGAAGAATGAATAAATATCATTTGTATCATTTGATCAAAATCCCCCGGCTCAAAACTCCAAGCTCCCCTTCCGGCATAAATTGAACCCTCGGAAGAAGAAATAACAACGTACCCTCACTCAGTATAAGTAAGTATACCGCATGGATAATGATAGATATTGATATCATGTAAGAGACACAGCAAACCGACCCCGCCAACTCCACGCTATGGGATTCTATGTATAAGGGGGAAACCAAAACAACAACAGAAGACGAAATGGAAGAAGAAGAAGAAGAAGAATGCCCCTTTTCAGTTACGACGACCTCTGCCTCTTTTATTCGTTGTGCGGGCTTCCTCAACCGGCTCAATGTCATCTTCGTCCGCTCCCTTTTTGAGATCCTCTCCCTCAGCAAGTCCCCATTTCTCCCGGTCATACCAGTCTTCGCCGTCGCTGAGCTCGCCGGCATGCCCTTCTGCTTTGCACCATTCAAAGACATCATCTTTCATCCGGCAAGCGCGGAGAAGGTTTTCCAGCATGTGTTCAACCCCCCGCACCGTCTCTTCTTGCTTCTGCACATAGGACCAGAGGAGTCGCCGCGTGTCTTCGGCTTCGGTGGGTGGTAGGCCGAAATTGGCGTCTGATCGCGTGGAGTCCGGGACGAGGTAGAGAGGGTGAGGGGTGGGAAGAGAGTGGAGGGTTTCGCTGGATAAGGAGGGGGAGCCACGGCCAGAGTCTTGGTCTGGCGCCGGCTGTCCTGCGCCGGTTTGGGCTCGCGTCGTCATCCGTCGGGGTGGCTCCGGGGAAGAGCCGTCCTCCATGTCCATGTCTCCGTCGGCGTCATGTTCTCTGCTATGCCTGCCCGGGTGCTCAGAGTCTGCAGCGGATTCTTCGTTGCTTCTCCCGCTTTTATCCTTGTTCACTATCCCATCCACGTCGGACATTCGATCCCGATCATCGGCCTGGTGGTCCACTTTGTTTCCGTTAACTTTGGGCCCACCTTTCTTGAGTTCCGGGTGTGGTGGAAGGTCTCCAACAGGCGTGTCAACATCTTCGAATTTCGGTCCTTTCGACTGATTGGCCTCGGAGATCTGGTGGTTCGGCCCATCTGCCATTTCCATGTCTTCTGTGGGACGACCTGGTTGGGGTCTCTCATTCTGCGCGGAACTAGCTCCCCTTAGGGAACTTGCGGTCGACATTGCATCTTTCGCATTACTCACTTTCCCATCGAGCGATGAGCTGGCTCCATTGGTCTCGAATTGCGGTAGCGCGGTATTCTTTTCTGTGCTAGTCATCTTGGGCTCAAAAATCCACCTATCCTCGGGCGTCTCAAACATCCCACAGGGCGCCCAGGAACCATCCCCCAGGAATTTCCGGTGCAGATTCCTTGCACGCCATAGCAAAGCCCGTTCCTGACGGAGCTTCGTCTCAATAGCTTTTGTCATGTTGAAAAGTGCCTTGGAGGTGTAAATGTGTGATAAGGAAGGATGTGAGGGAAGTTCGGATGGGTGTTTCAGAGGACACAGGAAGTCTGCAGGGTGAGAAGGCGAAGAAAAGAGCAAACGAATTAGCCAATCGGTCTGCCATATTCATGCATGGAAAATAGCTTCAGTACATACGCTCTAATGCGATCTCTGAGAACGGGTTTTCTTCCGCGGCGACAGCATCCGCCTCCGAGTCTTCATCGTCGTCATCGAGCTCATCGCCTTCCGAGTCGTAGCGCACAGGATTATGCTGGAGGATGTAGCGGGTGTATCCAGCATGCTCAATTTTCTAGCCAAAAAAAAAAAAAAAACGTTAGTTGATCCCAATTTGCATTCTCGACACCTTCATCCACTGAAGGAGAATCTCGCCCCGATTTGGGTTTTGGGGGGAAGAGGATGGACGAGCAGAAGAATTTACCTGTTTATATAGTTGCTCGGAATGAACATATCCCAGTGCACCTTCTCGCACGAAATTTGCATTGGCATGTAGCTTATTGCCTCTGTTCGTCGGCTGGGAGATCGGATCGTCGGGCCCTGAATCTGAACAAGCGTCCACTCAACAAATGCGCACGAAGACAACGAAGCTAAACTGGCCCCTAAGCCTGGACACACACAAGACTTACATTCGGTTTCATTGCGGAGGGCGCGTTTCAAGCCCACGATGGTATCGGCAATCAAGGCCGCCTGCGCCGCCATGGCTCTGCTCGTAGCGAAGGAAGTGAGTGGGTGAAAGAAGAGGAGAACCAGTAGGCGCCGGGGGAGGTGGGTATGGAAAACGGCAGAGTCCTGGCGAAATGGGGATGCAGGAAAGAAATTCCGTAAGAAACAGGATAGTTCCCACTGGAGCAATGTAGGCTGGAAGGGGGGGAGGGGGGGGGTTGGATGGAAGAGAGGATTCCCAGCTCGCTCGCTCTATGTCGGCGTCTCTTTTGGTTCTTCTTCTCCGCCTAACGGAATAGGAAAGCTGCGGGTGTTGCTCCGATCGCCGCTAGTCCCCTTTTGGGCATTAGCGGGGGTTGATAAGGGCTGTCCACGTGATACACCTCTGCCTCTGCCAAAGACAGCAAGACAGCAAGACAGCAAGACAGGTAGTAGGTCCTATTTAATACTAGAATGGAAGGAGAGATGCGGGTTGGTATTCGATTGTTCATATATTTCGTCACAATAACAAACATCAAATATAGCAAAAGAAGTGAAATCATCAAGCACCACCCACCCTGCTTGATGCATCGTCTAGTCGTCAGCATCAACCCATATCAGAATTCCCTTCTTGTCAGAGCGCATATCCTCCGTGGGGAGTACTCGGAGAGTCTTGTTGAAGTACGTATCCACCACAAGGAGCTGTGGCTGGATCCACAACCCTCGTTTAGAGGCCAATAAGTTATACCGTACAACATGTCGGCTCAGCGGAGCCAGTTGGACAACTGTAGTCTTGGGCCCACTAAACGCGAATTGTTCACTAGCCTCCATGGTCAAGTTAAAGGTGAGGAAATGTAGCGAGGGGTTTTCCAGAGTGTACTCGGTATGGATCAAGCCCGACAGCTTGTGAGAGGGAACGGCGGAGGCAAGCACCCGGGGCTCGCCCGCCGGCATGACGAACCGGGGTATCGCAAGGGTACTTGTCGTAGTCTCCGCCGGCGAATGGCCGTCCCCACTGATGCTTCGTCGCCATTTGATCTCAAGGGCGAGATTGAGCGCAGTAGGTCGCCGGTCACCGAGGACGGCCTTCTGGATGTCCAAGATGAAATTGGACTGGCGAAGCTCTTCAGGTCGGATCTCCGGTGTTTCCGGACTGACGACTACTTCGCTCCCTATCTGGGAGATAGCCCCACTATGGAGGTTCAGAAGGGCAAGGGACATCTCTTCAATGACCAAGGGCTCACTGGCGAACGAAACAACTTTCGTATCGAGGCACCATTTTTGCACCAGCCCCCCTCGGGGGGTTGAGTTCGGGTGCGATCCAACCAAATCATCGTCGACTGTGAAGAAATCCGGCCATGGCTCGGAGTGGAGGCGAGGAAGAAATTCATAATTGGCCTCGAACGGACGGACAATGGACACAGTCACTCGGGTAGTCGCGATGATCGGGGTTTGGACATCAGACACGAGATTGTATACCGAAGATATTTCGAGCTCATACTCAGAAGCGTCCTCCGTGTTGGTCAGAACAACCGTTAATTCCCGCTGGGAAGCGCTTTCCATAACCCCAATTGGTCTTTTCACAAAGTGAGATACTTCTTCGATCGGAGTATTATTAGCCTTCGAATCGTGGCGGGCAGGTGGTGAATCCTCCTCATCGAGCCAAAGAATTTTAGCAGTCGAATTAGCGGGACCGAATAGCCTCGCTTCGGCAAAGACTTCAGCTGCCTCGTCTTCTTCGTTATGGATCATGAGATTGAGAACAATTCGTTCGTTCGTATAATAGGTCTCTTTGATATTGGGGACGCTCATTCGGATCTTCGGTGGCTTAGGTAAGATTTTACACCGGTTCACATCACGGTCCTTACCAACCCTCCTACGAGTGGTGGCAGCCTTCGAGGTCTGCTGCCACCAGAATGCCTCTGCTTGCACTAGATCGGTGATGGCACATGTCAGCTCAAATTTCTCTTCCGCCACGAGCAGAGCCACCGAGGCCACCCGGGACTCCCCTGCCTCCCGGGGAATACACGACAGGTTATACACCTTGGTTTGACCGGGTCCGAGAGTCAAGTCAGCGATTCCTGTTAATGCAGTTAAGACACTCGTGGGCGACTGGATAACTGAGGCGTCAGATAATATACTTGGGTCGCGCAATGGGGGTGACGATATGACGCAAGGAGTCCCTGTGTCTGCGTCTGTGTTTTGATCCGATTGTAATCTGATGGGACGAAGGCACCCTTCAAACGCCAGTTTTAATTCTGCAAATTGGATGGGGGCTGAGGTGGCATGGGTGCAGGACTTGATCACAAGCTGGCCATGTAGAGGCTCTCCAACATTCCCTTCAGCGCTCTGAAAGATGAACGATGCGGTGACTAGAGATATACACAAGGCTTAGTTTGTGTGCAAGAAATGTTCAGAGATGTTGCTTACTGCTCGATATGATGTCCTCTGCTTTTATCACAATCGATGGCTTTGGCTTTACAAGGGGAAGATCTCGGAGGCTCTGGTGGATATCGTAATGCCACTCGGGTCTGGCAGGGAAAGCTAGAAATACGTCAGTCAGGATCCCAAGGATTAACAAAGGGGGGGATCGAATATCCTTACCCCAATTAAGCAGTTCCCAGTCCACTCGTAAAATTGTGTCACTATCCTTGGTCCGTACAGCACACTCCCGCAGGGCCCAGCCGAACTTTACCATGAGCTGCCACCACCCCGAGCGGCGCCAAGTGAGTGTGGGCCAGAGTGGCCGGAGAATCCCATAGGCCTCTGCCCAAGAACCAATGCGCATATATTCTTCTGCCATCTCCAAGCTGATACTCTCTACTTTCCTGATTTGGTCCCGCTTCGAAAACTCCGCCAAGGCAGCCTGGAGAGCACCCAAGATCAATAGCGAATGGTCAACGCCCGCGGTTCCTGCTTGGGGGGCCTCGACATGCGTTTCTGGGACAAGATACGTGTCGTAGAGGTACGCTTTGCTTGCTATCTGAGATGCTGGTGACTGTCCTGGGGGGACCCGATCCTCTGCCGGAATCTGTTCCGCCAAAGCTCGTCGCTGCATGGTATGTTTTGCCGATCGATATAGCCAGTAGCCCTCATGATGCAGTTGTTCCCATGGCATAATATCGTCCCCCGGTGGGTAGATCCTCTCGCGAGGCACAAAAATCGGGGTTTGCTCTTTAAATTGATCTTGCGGAATTCCCACCGTCATGAATTGAGGTATCTTGGCTTGATGAATGAGTTGAGCCATGACCATCGACCATCTAGCCTCCCAAGCTTCCCAACCATAATTCCGAGTGCCTTTCCCTCGTCTATTGATGATATCTTGCAAACGAGAACGGTGATTCACCCATGATCTCACCGCCGTCGTAGTGTGTCCGGTATGTAGTAAGCAGCGAATAATCCGAATTGCGAGAGCGTCCGCCAACAATCGGGCGTCGTTGAATCTCGGGTCCCAGCCGGCAATGTTCTCAAACACCTCCTGTCCAAAGAGTGTTTCATACGCACTCTCGTAGTTTTTAAGAGCAGCATCTATCTCTCGCCGGAACTCAGCCAAGATCCCTAGCTTGAATTCATATCGAGTATTCCACCCCTGGAGCGACAGCGTTTGGGAAGTGCCGCTTGTTGGCGGCGCCGTTGGAGGGGGGATCGTGCTTCTGTTTCGTTTTCGCCTAGCATGCTTGGACAAATCCCGGTAGTATTCGATCAGCAATGGCTGCAGGAGAGACAATAAGGAGGTGGTAAACTCTTTCAGCTCTTCCGGTGTTACGTCCGCGGGGAGAAGAAATATTGATTTCTGGTCCAGATTCGTTGCCCTGCGAATGCTTAATACCCGGTCATCGGCATCTCCAAACTCTTCCTCGGTGCTCTCTTCCGACAGAAGGATGACAATGAAGCGAGTTTTGTAGCCAGACGAGGCCCATTCCTTCTTCAGCCCATTGATTTCGATTTTTAGTTGATTGTCACGCAGAGAGCTCATGTTCGAGTCCAAGCAAAAGGGAAAGAAATTTATAACCGCGGCGGGAACCAGGTCCTGGTGTTTTGTAACCCATAGAGGTGACATCAACCCGTCAGGGAATGTCGGAGAGCTCGGGGTTAGGGGGGATATCGGCGAGTGAAGGACGACAGGCGATCCATGGGGAATTTCATTGTCACCACCCGCTGTTGGACTTGTTGGGGGGGACGCAGGAGGAGGATCAGCCTTGCGCGGTGGCAGTCTATAATTCTACAATGGCGTCAGCAAGTTGATCCTGGTAACAGTTCCCACCAGTTGAATATCCAGGCCAGATATTGGGTTTGGCGCGCAGTCACGAAAAGGATCGACTCACCCTCCCAACAGACTTGATTTTAAATTCTATACCAGAGTCTTCCGAAACGGCATCATCTCGGGGGTCCCAGGGGGCTCGCGAGGCATCTAGGCCGAGGAATACGCTCCGCAGCTCCTCCGCAGCAGACTCGTCCAAGGGTGGGAAATCCGACTCTATCTTGAACCCCTTCTCTTTAAGAAGAGGATAATTGTCCCATTCCTTCTTTGAGTCGTCGCTGGTATCCTGTTCGAGACCCGAAAGCAGGATGAAGGGGAGATTGTGGGCGACATAATCTTGGGGGTAGGCGTCCATTGCGGACCAGGTTGCTTCGAACAGCTACTAGTCGGTCACCGCATATCTAGGTGGTAGCAATGCGTCGACGGCCACTGGGAAAGGTGACTGGACTGATAAACGGGGTTCAAGCCTGCAGAATCGAGAAGCTGGGGAGGGAATCGCGGGGTCGTGGTCGGCTTGAGAGTTGAGACTAATTGTTTTGCCAAGCTCTGCAGAGATGATTCTTATGGAGAGCGATGAGTTTCATCGCCAAACATGCTAAGCCTAGTAGAACTTGAATATACAATGGAGGACCTTTTGGATTTGTAGAATAAATAACCCTGTTCTTTACGAGTTCTATATTCAATCACTGTGGTTGTGAAATGTCTTGCGAATGAAAGCGGTTGTATGGTTCAGGAGTAATATATATATCAGGCCCAGATGCAAGGTTGAAATGAGGTGAATTCGGGATACTGTATATGTACTGAAAGAAAGGAGTAGCTCGGGTTCAAGAATCTGAGATTGAAACCAAGAGAAGCTCTCAAAATTTGGATCTGCGAACTGTGGATGCAAATCCAGATTAACAGACTTGATCTCGTCCCTCTCTTCCTAGAATCTACCTCCTTTTCATTGCTTGCAGTTCCACCTCCCTCGTTTCTCCTTCACATAATCAACTCTCTTCGGCAAGGGGCTTGCCTATATACCGTAAGGGGCCTTCTTTTCCCGGGCGTTGCAATTTACAATAGACCTACTCTCTATCTATTTCATCGCCGTCAGGTTCGATTTGTTTGAAAGCTTCTCACCTCCCAAGTACACCCTGGCACATGTGTCGTGCTTCATTCATCGACTGACTGACGCCGGTGGGCTAGCTTGCAATTGTCCAATTCCTGCTCTTCCCACTGGATCATGCAAGTTCGCGCTACGCTCTCCCGCATATATCGTCGTCGGTAACCGTCTCCTGGAACGTGTATAATAGAGTCCCTGTCAATAGTCGCCATGGATGGCGCGGAGAACCCTTCCGTCACCACGGCGGAAGCCCCTTTCCACGCGGCGCCCATGCTCGCAAGACGTCGCAAACACGATCGCTCGCGCCCTTATTCTGCCAACCCCTCGACAGCGGTTGACCCGGCCTCGCCGGAGGTCATCACCTCGTTGATATCCTCCCTTTCGACCATCTCTGTCGGCCTGCAGTCTCACTTTGACAACATCCCGCGCATTGATTCGGAAACGGACCCCTCGTCGCTCGTATTTTTCCCTGCCGAAAAACTTCCCGTTTCCGACCAACAGCCACCCAAGGAACCTGGATCTGGACTGACTTACGCGCACAACATCGAGGAGTCATCACAGCACTCTTTCCTCCATCCGGATGATGCGGCCGTCTCCCCCGTCGTTCGTATGGCTCGCCCGCCGCAACCTCCAAAGACCAAGACTACCGTTGAGCCACCGAATTCTCCGGCGAGACCTACATCTAGAAGCTCCTACACTTCGTGCAAGGCTGCGGGGGAAGACTCGGCATTTGGCATGATTACCGCGGAACCCGGACCACGAGTTTCCACGGCAGCCAGTATTCATTCAACCAGTTCGAGAAAGAGCATAAGAAGTTTATTGAGAAAGTCTTCGCGCGAGTTCTCAAGTGATAAGCAAACAGAACGACTGCGAAAGACAAATAGCTTTACGGACGGCCAAAAACACCACATTCCGCGCAGCAGAGCTAGCTTGCGCTCATTACATTCCATGGCGAACGTCGTGGAAGAGGGCCGGCCCGGCCAGTCGAAGTCAGAGCTAGGCACACCCACTGGAAAAGAGCGCCCTTCGTTACAAAGCAATCGGGAGAGCGCTCCAAGCACGCCAGGCGGAATTGGAAGCGGACGAGTTATCCCAGCTCGGGAGTCATCCCTGCGACATAGCCACTCTGCCGGCACCAAACACCGAAAATCAGCCCGTCATAGTCGATATTCCTCCATAAGCAGCCGCGAAGCGAAAGCGGACAGTGGCATATCCGGGTTTGGTGCCGAAGCGGAGCAAGTAACGAAAAGGATTCAAGAGCTGAAGGACCAGCAGCAGAAGATCAAAAGCGAATTGGAGACAGATAACACACCATACCAGCCCACAAGAAAGCCGTCCAACGCATCCGTGAGACCGTCATACCATACAAGTGACGCGAGGAGCAGCGTTACGCGAGTTGACAATGGCCGCCAAGCGGCTCTCGAGGATGAGGAGAGCGCCCCGTCTCCTGCTATCCTGACGGGGAAAAGTCGATCGTTCCCGCGCAACAGCCCGCAGGTTGCATCGAAGTCAAACAATCCCTCCTCTCAGCCATTTGGGCCAAGGCAGTCCTTCGAACCGGCTGATCCGCTGGAAAAACTACGTTACAGGCGATCCGTGGAACCGACAACGCCGACCAAACTGCACAAACGATCCCCTTCGGGCCCTGGGTCCAATACGCGTGCTTCCGGGGTGGGCGACGAACGACCATCGAGTTCTGATTCCATCGACCTGGCGGTCCTAGACTATGTATCTTCCCATAAGCTCACACAAAGAGTTCTGCATCCTACAAGTGGGCGTGTGATAGCATTCTCAGAAGTTGGAGACCCTAAAGGTCATGTGGTACTCTGCTGTCTTGGTATGGGACTGACTCGATATTTGATGGCATTCTACGACGAATTAGCACGGTCTCTAGGGATCCGGCTCGTTACTTTGGATCGACCTGGAGTTGGAGAAAGTGGGCCTTATGTGAATGAGATCGCAACACCTCTCAGCTGGCCAGGTAACCCCCCCCCCCCCTCTTCCTTTGATTTAATCTTGTTTACACGACGTTGCTTACTTTATTCATTAGATGACGTTGCAATTGTCTGTAATCATCTTAAAGTCACCAAGTTCTCCATCTTGGCGCATTCTGCGGGTGCCATCTACGCATTAGCCACCGCGTTGAGAATTCCGCAGCATATTCGTGGCCGCATACATCTCTTAGCGCCTTGGATACCCCCTTCACAGCTATCCAACATCGGCTCTCCCAAAAACCCGGTCCCGAATAATGCCGTGCCCTACTCGCAAAGGATCCTCCGGGCCTTACCCACTTCCATTCTCAAGGTTGCCAATTCCAGCTTCATGAGTGCAACAAGTGCTAGTATTACCTCTAGTCTACCAAAATCCCCTCGACGGGCCAAACGACGGGCCACCATGAAAGATAGCGCTCGCCCGATACCCGTTGAAGGGGAAAGCAATGGCAGCCCGCAACCGGAGAAGACCAATGTCAAATCGGTCGACACGCCGAAACCCCCCCCAGTCCCCACTGGGTTAAATGATCGAAAAGGCCAAGTGACGACGAGTCAGAATACAGTCGACTCCCAGGAGCGTGAACGCCAGATGGATTATGACAATCGACTGACGCATAAGATCTGGGAGTTGGCGACCACCAATGCGAACCCCGCGGTAGATCTGCTGGTTTGCTTGGAGCGTCATCAGCCGATTGGGTTCCGGTATGTTGATATCACGCGAAACGTGGTGATTCACCACGGAAGTCGAGACACGCGGGTCCCCGTGGATAATGTCCGATGGTTGGGTCAAACCATGCGGCGGTGCGAGGTGCGAGTGCTCGAGGGCGAAGGCCACGGATTAATGGCCTCTGCGACAGTGATGGGCAATGTCCTGATGGAAATTGCCCAGGAGTGGGATGATTGGATGATCGTGGTGCAAGGCAAGCGCAGAGCGACCATTGGAACACGGTCCGGTATAAAAGCTGGATGAACTCAAGGCTACGCCTGATAGAAGAAGAAGAAGAAGAAGAAGAAGAAGAAGAAGAAGAAAGAGTGACTATGTGCTGTATCTTGGAGGCAGGCTTTATATGTGGACGATTCAAGTGAGTGGGGGTTGGGTTGTCGAGCTATATACACCACTGCAGGCAGGTTCTGTGGTGGTTGCATCACGTCGCTGTTTGAAGGGGATGATTTCCATCTTGCATCTATATATATATACACGCTGATACTGACTTTTTACGTCCCCATGCCCCCATGCCCCCATGCCCATGCCCCGATGTTGTGTGTTTTTGCTTATCCTTTTTTATATATTTGATCATGATACCATTAGTTCTAGCCTCATACCCAGACATAGCATAGATATTGATAATTTAATTCTTAATTACCACAAATTAACTCCCTGGATTTTTTTTTTTTTTTTTTTTTTTGCAATGTACTACTGCTCTATAGGGCATTGATTTCGGGATCCGATACGGAGTACAATCCAGGGGATCTCCCGTACGTCACAGAGTAGTTACTGTAGTTATTTGACAGCGAGAAGAACCCCAAAGGAAACCACCGTCAATTATCAGATAGTTCATCCTTCTTTTCCTTTTGAACCTAGATACAAAGTACAGAGTCGGATCTTGGGGGCCTCTTGGTACCACCAAAGTTCAAGTTGTTACCCGCTCGTCCAATTTATCAGCCCAGTTAGTTAATTAATTAACTGCCTTACTAGTCATTTCTTGACTCCTGAACCAAACCCGTCATCACTCACTCCGACCTCCTAGTACCTATTTGATCGATTTCCTGCTCCTTTCTTGGTCCTTTCCTTTGAAAAAAAAAAAAAAAAAAAAAAAAAACATAACCTACGCGAGTGAAAACGCATTCCTGTCGTTACAGTGTATGATTGATTTCAGTGGTGACGTTTCTTCTTACTTTCGTCTCCCTTCTTTTTCTCCTCTCTTCAACTTCATCAGAATGCTTTCGCAACGACGCTTACGAGCCATCGTGGTGACTGCGTTGGTGGTGGTGATTATGTACTTTTACTACTCGGTACGTTTGTTTTGATTTCGTCTTCTTTTTTTTTTTTCTTTTCTTGACAATGGAAGATATGAAAACTAACACACCCTCTCTCTCTCTCTCTCTCTTTCCACCACCAACCAGAGCGAAAGCCAACGCGTGCAAAACCAAGATTTCTACCGGAATACCGTGGCCGCCATAAACGCTCACAAAGGGGATGATGGTGCCAAAGGGCCCGCGGTTCCTGGTGGCGTCCCGCAGCATAAGGAATACGGCGACGAGTATGTAGTTGGCGATAAGGAGGAGCCGGCAATCCCCAAGGCGCCGCGGCCGGTGGTACCTGTTCCAGCCCCGGTCCCTGGTGAGCAGGATACGGAGGATATCCCCATCGCTGGGAGGAAAGTGATGACTGTTCCTAAGGAGAAGGATCGAGTTGGGGCTGCTGACACTGAGAGCGCTGCTAAGGAGGAACCGGAGGTTGATGAGCAGAAGGAGGAGGCCAAGGCTGAGCTGAACGATATATTGAAGCGATCCCCGAGTGAGTTTTGTTTTTCTTCCTCTCATTTTCCTTATACCCTGATGATACGTGGGAGGCTTCGTCACTAACTAACTATCCGGATTCCTACAGTTATCGTGTTTTCCAAGTCCTATTGCCCCTATAGTAAGAAAGCCAAGTCTATCCTCGTCGGGAAGTACTCGATCGTGCCCGCGCCGTTTGTGGTCGAACTCGATCAGCATCCGCTGGGGCCTAAGCTTCAAGCGCTTCTGGCGGAGAATACCGGCCGTCGCACCGTTCCGAATATCCTCGTGAATGGGAAAAGCATCGGTGGAGGAGATGATATTGCGGCGATGGACGCTCAAGATCAGCTCGCGTCGAAGTTGAAGAGTCTCGGTGGCAAGTGGCTTCAGGACGTCAGTCGGAAAGAGGACGAGCCAGAGGGCTCAGAATAGTTGTCTTCTCTCGCGCTTGTTCCGGGGGCATGTAATGTTTTGATCATCATCATCTAATATGGTTGTTTCGGCGTGGATTTGGAGGACTATGGAGTTCAGCAGGCTGGGCGCAGTTTCTTCAATAGTATGTATATATTGAGTATTATTCCGGATGATAATTATGGGTGATAATGTATAGTTCGTCTTTTAGTCCACTATCTTGTTACTATAGTTAGTTAGTTAACTAACTAACATCATTTGGCTTTGTCAGCAGGATTCCCAAATAGGAAATCTTGTCGTTGTTGCAGCGCAAAACAGCACCTGGAGATCTTGGATCCAAGCCTACTGGAAGAATGATAATAGGACCGACAGAATAAAAATTGCGAATGTCAATGATCTCGATATACAGTAAGAATTCCCTTCAGAAATGTCAATGCATGTATGTATACTACAATACTCCGTATAGAAGAGTAACCCTAGGCGGATTGCGCTAAACCCAAACGGATGCTAAGCGACGCACAACCCCGTGATTCGTGATTTTCGCTCCACCACCGAAAGACTGCGGCTTTTGTCTTGACGACTTTCGATCCTTTCGACGACCGACCGCTCGACGACATCGACAATTCCCCCTCGGACATTCCACAGCCCACGCGGTCAAGATGCGGTACATTCACTCCGATGAAACGTTGCAGATTCCCGAGAATGGTGAGCTACCTGGGTGTTTTTTTTTTTTTTTTTTTTTGCGTTGTTGAGATATCAGAATGGTGTTGGGAGGAAGCGTGATCGTGAACTGGGTGCTGCGCCGGCTTCAGCAAGGAAAGACACTCTCCAACGAAGCAACTGGAGAATAGCATGAGGAAGAGGAAGCGGAGGAAATGAATTGTTATCAGCTTTGCTTTTTTTAACCGTCTCGAATGAACCCCAAAACTAATTCGAATTTCTCTCTTTTAGTGAAGGTTCACATTCGCTCGCGGATTGTGACCGTCGAGGGACCTCGAGGTATGCCACGGAATTTCCAGGAAAATCTGGCACCATCCAGCCAGACGGGTCCATCGAACTGCTGTTAACATTTTCACCAGGCAAGCTCGTTAAGGACCTCTCTCACATCGCCGTTACCTTCGGCCGCCCCTCCCCGGAAGTGATCTCTATCGTGCTGCACCACGGTGCCCGCAAGGGAATCGCTACCCTCCGCACTGTCCGCACCCTCATCAACAACCTGATCATCGGCGTCACCAAGGGCTTCAAGTACAAGATGCGCTACGTCTATGCTCACTTTCCCATCAACGTCAACATTGACAAGAACTCCGAGACTGGCCTTTACGATGTCGAGATCCGGTATGCAGCATTTTTTTTTGTTTTTGTTTTTTTGTTTTTTTTTTGCGAGCGAGAGTGTAGTGGAATATTCTATATCCATCTCGACACCACGGTTAAGAAATGAATTGGTACTAATATTCGCTGTATAGTAACTTCTTGGGTGAGAAGTACGTTCGTCGCGTGACTTGCCAGCCTGGTGTTGAGATCATCACCTCCCCCAACGTCAAGGACGAACTCCAGCTCTCCGGTAACTCCCTGGAGGGTGTCTCCCAGAGCGCCGCCGACATCCAGCAGATCTGCAGAGTCCGCAACAAGGATATCCGAAAGGTATTTGATTTCCTTTCCTGAATCTGAATCTGGATCTGAACCTCTGCTAACGAGTGTAGTTCCTTGACGGTCTGTACGTGTCTGAGAAGGGTAACATTCTCGAGGAATAGATGTACTGTCGCCCGGGTTAGTTAGGATGTCTGGAGAATATTTCTTTTTATTTTCGCCCACTTGCATATGGAGCAAAGCGAAATGAAAGCCAAAAATTTTAAGACCATGAAAATTCAAATATGCCCTTTGACGTGTCCACGGATATGGCTTTCTTCAGCTGGGGAACGTGTGTAGAGTCAAAAAAAAAACCCCCCCTTGCATCCGGTTCAGTTTCTATGATCAATCCATTTCTTACTGTTCTAATCAGTTGATTGAGAAGCGTACGAGCCTATGATGGGACTGAACGAACCGTTATAGGGCATTTTAAGGGATAAATAAACCATGTAGAGTCTTATCGAGATGGTCTAGAACCGGCCAGTAGTTGAGGTGGTTAAGGTTCCCTGATGCGGTCACAAGCAAGCTGACTACATCCATCCCATCTCCCATCCCACTTCACTTGGAGATTCTCTCTTCCTTCCCCACCTCCCAAATCCCCTTGTCTAGTAAGAAAAACGAACAGGCAAGCATGTGAAAACCAGACTTCAAGGCTCGGGCTCTATCGGAATTCCCTAGCCACTGATTTTCCCGCTGCGATAAAGATGAAGATGTCCCTGGTGGCTCTGTATACACTGGTCCTTGCCATCGCTGGTATGGTACTGGATGTGACAACCTTTTGGAAAGAAGTACATTTGAACCAAGATGCCGCATCTTGCACAGGAAGCTACTGCTAATTATCTCGTGCTCCAGAGACTTCTGTCATGGTGGAGATCCAAATCCCCTCGAAACCGCCTGCGTCATTGTCTGGCTACCGCAACAGCCTACGAGGAATGGGAAGAGGCAGCGTTTGCGCTGGATGAGCTTCTGAGTCTAGATTTATGGTAAAGCCCTATATCTAAATTCTCCAAAAAAAGGATCGAATCTCGTTTTTTAATCCTTGTGGCAGGCGCCAAAATCCCACCAGTAAATATTACGATTACCGTCTCATCATGGGCAGGCTGACGGCTCTGATGACCGCTCGCGAGGATGAAGATATCCTCACGTTAGTCAATCTCCTGCGGTCGGGACTCGTCCGAAATCTGGGCAATATCACCTCCCCGAAGCTCTTTCTGCACGCCTATGCGGGCACCAAGCTGCTCATCGATGATTACATCACGCAGGTTGGACTCTCGATCCAGCATGTGACAGCGCTCCAGACAGTCCCCGTGCACGACAGCGGGTTCACCTCCCAGGCCAAGGTGGAGCTGCTGCACGACACGCGCCAGGCATTTGGTCGAACGACGCTGCTTTTGCAAGGAGGCTCGATTTTCGGGCTGTGCCATTTAGGCGTGGTCAAGGCATTGCATTTGCAGGGCCTTTTACCTAGGATTATCACGGGCACGGCTACGGGGGCTCTCATTGCAGCTCTAGTTGGAGTCCATAGCGAAGATGAACTTTTAGCGTTTCTCCACGGCGATAATATTGACTTGTCTGCGTTTGATCGGCAGCAGAGCACCAGCACCAGCACTCTGCCGTCTGGCTGGGGCAGCTCGTGGCTTTCGTCGACTCTCGCCGGCAGGGGGGTGACGACATTAATGCGACGGGTCAAACGGTACTTCACGAAGGGCTATTTCCTTGATGCAGGAGTCCTGGAAGAGTGTGTCCGCACTAATCTGGGCGACCTCACCTTTGAAGAGGCGTATGCACGATCGAAACGTATCTTGAACATTACAGTCGCGACATCTGGTCGTAGCGGAACACCTAACCTACTCAACTACCTCACCGCACCGAACGTGGTACGAGTTCGCCTTTCTAGGCGGAGGTTGATGATTGATATATGCTAATTTTTTTTTTTTTTCTTAATCAGTTAATCTGGTCCGCTGCTGTGGCATCCAACGCCTCCAACAACTCTCTCTACGCCCCCGTCACAATATACTGCAAAGATGAAACCGGCTCAATCATGCCATGGCCACACTCGCAAGACGTGGTTTTCCAACCGTGGCGGCACATTCACTACGACGAAGGCGACTCGCCGCTCTCGCGAATCGCCGAACTCTTCAACGTCAACCACTTCATCATTTCCCAAGCACGGCCGTACCTGGTGCCCTTGCTCCGATCGGAGCTCAACTACCTCGACCGCCGCCCAACCACCGGCCACTGGAACCTGACCCGCGGTCTCACGCGGCTGGTCGCGTTAGAAATCGGGCACCGGCTCCGGCAGCTCAACTACATGGGTCTTCTCCCTTCGCCGCTGGCCAGACTGCTCATCGAGGAAACCGTGCCCGGGTCCAACCTGACTCTTGTCCCGGACCTGACGGTGCGGGATTTCCCGAAACTGTTCCAGAACCCAGACCAGGCGGGGCTCGCGCACTGGATCTCAAAGGGGGAGCGCGGAGTGTGGCCGGCGATCAGCGCGCTCAAGGTGCGGTGTGCTGTGGAAATCGAGCTGGACAAGGGGTACCAGGTTGTTCGGCGCCGCAAGCCAGCTGAGCTGGAAGCGTTGCCGCTGGTTGGCCGGCCGCAGCCGAACGAGGGAGTTCCGAGGAAACGCAGGGGGTAGTATAGTATCGATTAACTATGGGAGGGAGGGATGTGTGTATAATGAACAATAAATAACTAGTCCGAGCATCAGTTTTGAGTTTGATCGATGTATAAGTAATGTCTACGCAAGTAGAATGATAAATGTAGCAGATACCATCTATCTAGTTACATATCAATCATAGATCGTGCCTGAGTTGAGTTGAGCCCTTGACATTCTAATAGTAGTTAGTACCAGTACAGCACAGCACAGCACATTCACAATCCCACCACCCCGCTGAATTTCCCCCACAGAGGTAATCAATCAATCAATCGATAGATAGATGGACGATCTCGATCTCGATCCTGCAGCTGGTTCACGTAGCGCACCCAGTAGAGGACCTAAACCTAAACCTAAATCTAAATCTAACCCCAATAGAATATAGAATAGAATATAGAATAGTATCAGGACTACCTGGACCTGGCTGTGGATTCTTCCTTCCTTCCTTCCTTCCTTTCTAGTAATAGCAGGGGTGGGGGGGGGGGGAAGGAGGATATATCCATACAGAAGTAACAGCTTGAATACCATGATTACATGATTATAATTGCCCAAATGGGGGCCAACTATGAGTGCAAAAGGGGGGAAATGAATATATAGGAGGAAAACAGGATGCAAGAAATGGAATATGGATATCAAATAGATTACATTACATTACATTACATTACAACACAACACAACAACATAGCACAGCGCAGTACAACTTGGCCGCTCGAGCACTAATGGACGGCCGTCTGGGGACGCACTTGCTGGGGACGAGACTCTTGTGGAGACGGGGACCGGAGGGAGCGCGAGCGCGATTGTCGGCGTGTATCGGCTTCGGAGGGAATGTAAGATAGAGGGGGGACTATAGAGGTTAGTGATGCTATAGAGAGAGAGAGAGAGAGAGAGAGAGAGAGAGAAAGGGAAAGTACTGCTGAATCCGTATCCATGGGCAGCTCCGTCGCGGTTCTGCGGGCTGACTTCCACGCGAATGGCAACGTCTAATCCGCCGTACATGCCGCTGGTATTGCTAAAGCCATCTGCGGCCGAATGGCTCGAGCCCGCCGTCGACTCTCCCTTGTGCAGAGGGGAGTGTCCGTTCTTGGGAATGGGTAGGGGGTCGGTGTGCGCGGCGGCGTCTCCGTTGGCCAGAGGAGTCTCGACCTCGGTGATGCAGGCGTAGTTCCGGGACGGCATGGTCACCTTGTTCCACGAAGCGCTCTTCTCGACGCCACCCGGCTGCTGGTCGAAGATGTCCATGAGGGTCTCGTCGGTGTCTGGATCCAAATGGTGGATCTTGTTGCGACGCGCCAGGAGATTGGCCACGGCCTTTGGAGGCGGCTTGTTGGTGATGGCGCTACTCACCACGTTCACAATGTACCGGGGGTCGTTTTCGCTGTGGATGCCGAGCTTCGGATTCGCGTAGAAGCGTCCGATCGCCGCCAGGTGCACGTCTCCGCCGAGAATGGTCACCCGCACGGAGTGGGCTTTGGCAAAGTCCTGGAGGCGCTGGATAAAGAGTCGGCGCTCCCGCTTGTGCTGGCGCGCGGTGTAATGATCGTCCAGGTCGTCGAGCAAATCCACCTGGCCGTCGAACTGGTTGAAAAAGCCGCCGGCAAAGCCGAAGCGCTTATTGAGCAGCCGAATCGGCGCAATAATCGGCGAACTCAGAATGTTCTCCAGCCAGGCCAGACGTGGGTAAGCAATGGGGACCCCCAGGAGGACCACCAGATGCTTGATGTCGCCATGGGCGGTGGCGACCTCGTGCTCCAGTCGGGAAAAGATGAGATCGTAAGTGTCCGGGTAGTTGACCTGATGGCGGGTACGCTCGGTGCGGGCATCGACGCCGATAAATGCGATGCGCTTCCCCAGACGCATGTAGATGTTGCGACTCTTTTCCTCGACGTAGGGGCCCGGGCGCTTGCCCACAATCCAGCTGCGATCCTCCGTCTGATCCTCCAGCACAAAGGTATCCGCCAACTGGCGGGGATCTGCTCCCGCCGTGCCGTTGACGGCGTGCATGGTCTGCGGCGCGTCGGTGGTGTAGGTGGATTTCGGGGGCGCAATGTGGTGCTGGAACAAGCAGTAGTATTTAAAGGCAACGCCGCCAATGCCCCGGAAGACCGAGCACCTCATGAAATGATCGGTATAGGAGCCAAAGCCGTCGATGATATCATGGTCGTCCCAGATATTGATCTGCGGGATGCGTCCGTTGGCGGCCTGGAAGGGTTGAGTCGTGTACCATCGCACATAGTTGGCAAAGTAGTAATCGTCGCACCGGGCGCGCAGGTCGTTGTCGAATCCGTGGGCGCGTCTCTTATGCGGGTTGGCGATGGAGGTCCACTCCTTCAAGGGGCCGTCGACGCGGATGCCGTCGTTGTAGATCTGGTCGCCACCCCCGATCATGACATGGAAGGGTTTCCGGTCGTGCACGCGCAGGACATCGTTCCATAAGTTGGGGCCGACCCAGGTGTTCATATCTGTCCCCACGGAAAAGCCATTGCAGGAATGGAACATCAGGCGCATGGACTGCGACCGCGACGGGACAACAAAGTCCCAGGGGGGATGAACCTGGGGGCCGTCGGGGGATCGAAGTCCGGGGATGGAGTATTCCCATCGCGCTTCGTAGTTCTCCAGGGGGAGAGTCAGGGAAAAGCGCCAGAAGGCCTTTTTGGGGTCCTCGAAGAGGCGTAACCCGTCAATGACTACCCCCTGGGTGGTGGACGACGACGTGCTGGTGGGGAGGGGGCTGGCGACCGGACCGGCCTGGCGCAAGCAAAGACGCGGTTGAGGCTGGCCAGGGAGAGTGACAATCAAGACGCTTCCATACCAGATGGAGGAGGAGGGAGTGACATCCATATTCTTGAAGTTGAGGAGAGGGCCACAGGTGACGTCAACCTGGACATTGGGATGGGGAGTAGCTGTTGGATAGAGATGATTTAGAAAGGAGTCCCGGGAAGGGCTGAAGGGTGGAAAGGTACCTGAAGCCATGATTCGGCATGTAAAGAGGAATACAGTAAGAGTTCGGAGGATGAAGAAGAAAGAAAGAAAGAAAGAAAGAAAGAGAGTGACAGGAGGATGAAGAAGAGAAGAGAAGAGAAGAGGGATCCCTAGTTAAACACGCTATTTCTTAGTCCTCCTTGAATATGCAAGTAATATAAGTTACAGATTTTCATCTCATTATTTTATCGTCCATAATTCAACTTGAATCTACCCAGACAATATTTAAAAAAAAAAAAAAGAGAATATCTTCAAAGAACTTGGAAAAATCCCTCCTCGAATGTCCATCCATCACTTTCATACTCCAGCGTCGTCGAACGGATCAATCTCTCCTCGTCATCTCTGGCTTCATTTCCAACTCCAATCTCCTTCAGCAGCGCTTCAACTCGTCCGCGGTTCGCAAGCGTATCCAGCTCCGGCTGAGCCAACACCAGATCATGAGCCTGTTCCAAAAGCACTGAAAGTGGGATGTCGTCGTAACCACGCACTGCAAAATGATCGTACGGTCCAGAGGCCGGGGTGACCATGCCGGAAGACCCGGGGCTCATGTCCTCGTCTTGATCCAAGGAAGCTGTATAGGGTTGAGGCGGAGGAGAAGGAGTCTGAGGAATCTCCGATTGTGGCAGTGGTGCGGCCGTGCTGAACTCCAGACTCTCTTGGGTTCTTGCCAACATCCGCTGGAGGACATCTTTCGAGTTGCTGCTGTTGTCGTCGTCGTCGTTGTCGTCGTCGTCACCAGTATACTCGGGAATAAACAGATTCTCCAGTCGATGCACGGCCTGTTCTCGTCTCTGCATTCGATCTCGCTCCCGGATCTGATGGCACGTCTCCAGCCCCGGAGCAGTCCAAGGACGCCCCTTCAGACTCCCGTCCTCGGTAGCAGACTTCTCAAACGTGTACAGATCGTTGATGTATTGATTGATCGTGGACTGGCAGCTGTACTGCTCCTTCGAGACCCCGTCACGCACGGCAAACCACGCTCGATACGACGCCCGCTGCAAGATCAACCGGCCCTGCTCGACGTATTCGGCCAGACTCGCCTGGAAATCAGACAATCCGCGGGCTCCATCCTGGAACAGAATCCCACTAAAGTCCCACAGCCACTGACACCACAGGGTCGCAATCACAATCTCCAGCCCCGGGTCGTCGCTCGAATCCAAGGCCAAACAATACGGACTCGAGCTGAGGATGCCCATGCCCACATGGATCTCGCCCTTGCCCAGGCTCGACTGGAGAATGCGAATCAAGTCCGGGACCGTCACCGTGTACGCATTCCACCCGTTCTCCCAAACACACCAGAGGTCGTCCACATCGTGCGGGAACCAGTCGAAATGCCGCGCATACAGCGTTTTGCAGGTATAGTCGAACCCCAGCACGTACTGCCGCCCGGCAAAGAACGGGCTCTTCTTCTCCGCAGCATGCTGCCGTTCCGCAATGGGCAACATCGAAAACAACAGCTGCGGCTGCTGGCCCGCATCCCCCCCAGACGACAGGCTGCGATCCGCCGCGAATTCCTCGTACGACAGCCGACGGCAATCCACCCCGTCAAACAGGTACATCGCCTCGCGTCGGCTCTTCCCATCTTTCCCCCTTTCCGCCGAACACAGGTACAAATGGTAATCGACAATATGCCAGGGGTGGCTCACCACATAAGCGGGGGGGGTCTCCTCATCGTCCGAGCGTCGGTTGTGTTGGCCGTCTTGTTTCTGGCTTTCCGCTTCACCACTCGAATCTTCGCCCATCGGAGTCTCCTCCCGCAGTGTGCCCTGCACAATCTCATGAGCATACTCCAATGCCTCTTCGCTGGTCAGGCCGCTCTCCCGATGCAGTTTCCGAGCTAGGCTGAGCTCCCTGCGAGTTTTCCTCATCTTGAAGACAACCTCCACAGGTTCAGGTTCAGGTTCTTCACGGGCGACACGACAGTCAATCTGATATGACATGACAGCTGGATATTCACATACACACACACACACACAGGTTTCGATACACAAAAGGACAAGAACTCAGTTGAGAAAAAGAAAGGAACCCAGATTAAGTATTATTAGTTATATTGAGTCGTTCGTTGCCTGCCTTGCCTAGCCAAACACAGAGAAGAGCATAACACAGCAAAGAAAGAAAGCAAGAAGAAAGAAAAAAAAAAAAGAAAAAGGGACAAACTAATTCATTGATTGCATCAGTGAAATGTTAAAAGATTTTCAATGTGTGATTTGAAAGAGCAGCGTGGATATGCGCGGGTTGGGGTTATTATTTACTGGGAGCCCTAAGCTGCGTGAATATAAGAATATATCCATTCATCTGTTCATCCATACATATATATATATATTTAGAATTGGAATTCTCTTCTCTTCTCTTCTTGTCTATCTGTTTCATCATCTAGATTTTATGACTGCTACTCTACTAACTTGGTAATAGTAAAGACTGCATATATAGCTCACTATGTGATTTAAACAACTTCCTCTACTCTAAGTGCATATAAAGAAAAGAAAGAAGAGAAAGAGAAAGAAAAGAAGAAAGAAAAGCTTCTTCTTGTCTTGCATCTGAAACAATCATGCATACATGCATATATGCATACCTTATATTGATACAGTAAAGTCTAGAATCAATCTATTATCATTGTAGCAGTAGCTCATGTCTTAATGAAGAAGAAGAAGAAGAAAAAAAAATATCTACATCTTTGTAATGAGCTTGATCAAACATTGCTTCTACTAAGCATTGAACAGAAAAGAGGTAATAGTGGTGGTCAATAATAATAATACAGAATATATCGATGGAAAAAGAAAGAATTACCCAAACACCTTGTCCAACCAAGTCTTGTTCTTCTCTCGCTCAATCCTCTCCTTTTCCTTCCAATTCACAGCCCACAGCGTTCCCGTCAGATATCCCCCCAGATGCGCCCAGTGGTCCAGCGTCGCCATGCGGAAGGGGAACACCATACTCAGGACTTCGAAGGTGACCAGACCAGCTAGGAACACCCATCCAGGCGCGGAGATGGTGTCTTGCCATTCGCGCGGAAGGAAGGCGATGGTGAGTTTTTCACTGGTGATTTGATTGTTAGCAAGATAGACTGCGCGGGGAATGCCAAAGGGGCAGGCAGGCAGGCAGGCAGGCTTACTTTGAGTGGATCATGCACAGAGCTGCAACTAACCCCGAAACTGCTCCACTGGCTCCGAGAGACGTGATGAAGAGCTTGTTTGTGAGGACGTGGATCGTCAAGGACGTGAAGGATCCTATTACACCAGCTGCCATGTATAACGCAAGGAAGTTTCCTCGGCCGATTTCATCGTGCACTTCCCCAAGTCAGTCTTCCAGGTTGAACGAAAACGCAGAGAGAGAGAGAACGCGAGTAACTCACGTTTTGTGCCAACAAACCAAATCAGGGCCATATTCGTCGCTATATGTCGCACTGTCTGGTGGCTAAACACGTTTCCAATCAAGCTGAATGGACGCGGATACGCAGCCACACTGATGAAGTACCGGTTCAGAAGTCTCCATGCTGGAGGCCAGGCCTTCCACAGAACGAATATTCCGACGTTCGCTCCGATAATTGCCACGGCTGTAGCCGCAGCCGGGGGCAGGTCTGGCCACATACGGTCTGCCTTGGCGGGAGGTTCGTAATTCGCAGCGAAAGCGTAGCACAATCCGAGCGTGAGCAGAGTAAATCCAAGGGCGGGGAGGATGCGACGGCGCTGAAAGTTGCATTAGCCTTCACTTATTCCAATTGTAATCCAAGACAATAATCACCGTGGTCAACTGTGTGACATCCATTTCATAATTTGTAGCTCGAAGATGGTGCTTCTGTATCCACGCTAGGACAGGCCGCTGAGTAGGATCAGCACGCTCTTTGACTACATACACATTGTTAGCAGCGGGTATCAATGATTAACTGAGAAAAAAAAAAAAAAAAAAAAAAAAAGACGGTGAAGACAAGGGTTATACCCTCTAGAGCAGAAGTATCCTCATACTTCTGAAGCGAAGTATTCTTCTCCATCTGCTGCTTCCACTTCTCGCGGTCCTTCTCCTCTCCCTCCAACCATTCCTGGCGTTTCCTCTCCGCCTCCGCCAAAAGCCTTTCCTCATTCTGCTTGCGGTATTCCTTCAAAACACTCCTTCCCGATGGATCATCTCCCTCGCCCAATTCAGCCCCGTAAGAGCCGCTTTGAGGTTTATAAAGACCCAGTTCCTCGGCTCGTCGAATGAGCTTGGTCTCCTCTTCGCGTTCCTCGCGTTCAATCCGAGCCATGATCGCCGCATCCTCATCAATTGGATAGTTCTCGCGGAGATACTTCAGACCGGCATCAAGACCAGCAGCTCGGACAGCACGCGTGATATCAGCAGGGAAATCAAGGTCCAGGGTCCCATCAAGCCGCCTGCCCTGCAGGACAGAGAGTGCACGGTTCCCCATAGCAAGCGAAATCTTAGCGCGGGTTCCAAATATCGCATCGATCTCGGCCTTTGAAAAGGGCTCGTCGCGCAATTTGACGCCATGTTCCGGCGGCGGGACTTTCTGGGAGAGCAGACCGGCGGAATTCTGGAAGAACCGGGCGGAGATTTGACTTGGGGACGGCGGGCATGGGGCTTCGGGACGTCGCAAGCGGAAGGGTAACGGGGTAAATAGGCTGCTGGAGTTCAGAAACCGGCGGGAGATGCTATCTAGCAGCCATGCTGGGGAGCTGTGACGGCCGATGGAGCGGAATGGAGCGGTTGCGTTTGGCGGGAGCAAGCTTGAGGCACGGAGCCCCAACCCTGGAGTTCGCCATGCTACGCAGAGGACATTGCTCATATCCTGCGATTTGGGAAAGCAGAAGCCCCTGTTCTAAGAACTCAGGGTTCTGCGGTCCGGGATTCAAAAGAGTAGCGATTCTGCTGGAGTGGAAAACATTCGAGAGAGCAAGCAGGAATCAAGTTGATTGTCGCGGATTTCTCCGGCCTACCGAGGAGTTGTTCCGGGCGTTCAGGTACCATCTTTAGTTGCATACCATACACATTATTTATTTATATATTTATATATATATATATATGGTTTTCAATAATCCAGAATCAACACATTAATTCCAGAAAGACCGCAAAAGAATTCCGAACAAGAGTGTGAACACCACCTTCCAATCACATGACAATGAAGCTCTTCCCATCCATCATTCCAAACCAACCTACCATAGTTATCAAATCATATATCCACCCTAATCATTACAGACATTAAACCTATCCCATCACAATCCTCCAACTCAGAGAACCCAAAGAAAAGAAAAAAAAAATATGTCCGCAGAATCTCTCCCCATCAACCCCTCCGCCTTCGCCGAAGCCATCAAGGAACTCTCCCTCCCCTCCATCTACGCAAAAGCCTCCGAGCTCAAGAACTCAATCGTCCACCTACAGCGCTCCAACACCGAACTCCAGACCTTCGTGTCTGAGTCTTGCGAGACCGAGACCGAGAAGCAAGAGCTGCAAGGGTACATTGCTGAGAACGAGGGTGTGGTTGAGGCGATGAATGCGCGGATTCAACTGCTGAAGACCGAGGTGGAGAATCGTGGACAGCGGTGGATAGAGCTTGACGAGACCGAACCGAAATCCGATGAGGTGCAAGAGGGGGGACAGAACCGCGAATCTTTTGCTGCTGCTGCTACCACCAACACCACTGCTACTACTACTACTACTACTACTACTACTACTACTAATGGTGCGGGGGTGCATAGGGATCGGGAGGACGAAGGAGAAGGAGAAGAAGAAGATGGGGTATACCTGTGATTGGGCGGGTTATTTCTACAAAGATCATCAACTCGACAAGATCTGAGGACGAGATATTCCAGGACTGGCGCGCCGAAGCGTTCTGTAGTACCGTTACAAAAATCGGGGGCTACAATAGATGCACATATGTGTGTGTGTGTGTGTGTGCAACATCGTCGCAAAAGGTGGAGGACATCATTGGCGATCTTTGCCTTACCTTACGCCCGGGATTGGTTTGTCTGAACATGGTGCCCAGAGCCCAGTGTTTGAAATGACTTGAAAGGCGGCTACCTGGCTAAGACTTAATGGAGAAATGGAGTGATCATGGTTATGCATCCATTGTCCGATTGCCCATCGTCTCAGTTTAATGTACATAGACGGGACCATTTCCTCCTCATTACACAGGAAAACTCGAAAGGACGTCATCCACCTCCAGTTCGTGCTTCCGCACTGGTCTAGGTGAACACAACTGCATTCCAAAAAGTAAATTTTGAGAAAAATAAGAGGCAAACTATCAAGCGGGATATTGCAGGATAACAAGAATAAAACACTCGCTCTGCGTGCTAAATGCTCAAATTCTTAACCGTGTCATATCATCTGCTGACCGATCCCACACCGGGAAGTGGGCAGCGAGTAATCAAGGCAAGGAGACAGGCATGACTGTAAATTCGAAAAACCAAGTTCCAACGCCAGGTTAGGAACACGTTCCGTCATCGTTAGGGGGAAGAAAGGAAGCAGGAAAAGTAACGATGCTCTCTAGCTCAGCTAGAGCTCTGCTGACCCCAGTGGCCGCCGGCAAGAGCCTCTGGAGGGATCCGCTGCTGTTTGATGAAGAGGTCGATCAATGGCTGCATGGGCTCCATTTCCTTGTCAGAAACCAGCTTGTAGTATTTCGCAACGGTAACAAAGTGGACAAAGCACATGTTGAGAATATCATGCTTGTTGATATGCCAGAAAGGGTTCAGCCAGTGCGCATGGTATAGATGGGCATAGCAGCGGAACATCTGCTTCATGATTCCTTGGCAGTCCTTGTAGAAAGTACGGGGAAAGCCGCTGGACTTGCCAATCCAGTCATCACCGGCAGCGTTTGCGGCCGGGTTCAAAGCGGGGGTACCAGCAGCGTCGTTGATCGCAAAGGTATCAGGTATACCGGTGACATTTTCTGTGGGGAACATCACGGGGTCATGGATTTTGCTGACAATCCACTTTTCGACGCGATTGATGAACTTGGGGGCCGATATCTTAGCAGCATGAGAGTCTACAAGCCACGTGTAGGTCAGGCTAGAGAGGGAATATTCGGTTAGAGCTGGCCTTTGATTGTCTATGGGGGAGGGTATCGTTCAACTCACCGGCCAGCGGACATAGTTGGGCAAGTACTCTCATTGCAGATGGGCAGACCAGTAACCGTGTTCACTTCCTGGATGACCTGAAGCATGCCATGAAGCAAACGGTACTGTTCCACAACTAGAATGGGGTAGGGGGACACGTTAGTCTCTGAGCGACGTAACGATTATCGACGACGCTTACTTTGATGAGCCAGCCATTCTCCCAGTTCCACATTCTTCGGACAAGCACACAGCGTCAAAAAGTTACCCTTCACATTGAGCGGAGCATATTTCTCCTGGAAAAAGTATTTGGGAGCATCGGGATCGTAGACAGCGGGGTTCTCCACGGTAGAGTAGTTCGACGTGAGAGACGGCGAATTAGACACATGGCCTGCCTGAGGAACGGGCGACTGAGCTGGATTCCCGTTGCTCATCTTCGAGGCGTTGTTATTGTTATTATTGTTGTTATTTTTGTTACTACCACCCCTGCCAAACCCTTGGCGGCTGTAAGAAAGGGTTCAATTCAAGTCAGCATCCGCAGACTCAATGGTGGATGAAGTTGGGGGGGGGGGGGGGGATGGAGTAATAGGGGAAAGAAAATAAATAGGGGCGTAAGAGAACTCGAAGGTAAAGAACGGACATGCCAAAAGAGGCAGGTCTCCCTGTCTGGATCTGTGCTCAGGGGGGCGCTCGGTATTCATTATGCTTTTTAGGGGGGAGGGGGAAACCGCCGATGGACCATGCTTGCAGCGGTATTGGGCATGATTCCCAGGGAGAGAATGTGACGGACAATAGGAGAATTGTACTTGATCTAGGAGGGGTACAGAGAGAAATACTTACACACTTTGAAAAAAGGTCGCCATGATGAATGCCACAAGTCCAGATAATCCGCCAGTTCAACAGAGGTGCCCAGAGGAAATGAAGCAGTGAGGATGAGGTCGAAGATGAAGATTAGTAGAGACTCGTTTCACTTATCGGTCTGGCCCCCCGTGGGAGCTACCCGCGCTAAACCCAGATGGGACCCGGAATGGATTATCTGCACTTCCTGTGAGAAGAGCCTCAGGCTTAAACAATAATGCGAGGCGCATGTACGGATGGATAACTTCTCTCACTTTCGCCAACCTGAGGTAGCTTGATCTCTCCAACACAAGACCATTGCTTGCATCAACCTTGTTTAGCTATTTCTTTTCCTCGACCGACCATGTCGTCGTCCGACGAAGATGTGGTACGGCGTCCTGGGCGAAGTGGTGGTGGTGGATTGAGCCAGCCTGAAAGTGAAGCAGGTAGCCCGAGTCCTGTTGCATCCGATGCTGGCAATATGAACGGTGTTGATGATGACGATGCGGATCTGTTTGGATCGGACGGTTCTGATGGAGGTTTCGATCAGGATAATGAGTATGGATTCCCATTTACCGATATGCATCTTATTTGAATTCGCCCGAGAAAATACAGCTAACTAATGCACCCCCAGTCGGCCCCAACGAACCCTTGACGATGCAGAGCTTGATTCCGCTGACGACGAAGATCGTTACGATCGGGTGGGTGATCGGATGGACTACGAAGGTGGCGACGAAGGAGATTTCCAGGAAACCGTCAATATCATGGATTTAAGCTTGGGGCGGGCTCCAGAGCCAGTGACTTCTAATGGCGAGGTTTGCGATAGTCGACCCCCCCACTCCGCTTTCTCCATACTGATTCTATTCAATAGGTATATACCATGCCGGTTCCCAACTTTCTCTCCATAGAAACCGAAGAGTTCAACCCAGAGACCTACGTAGCTCCCCCGTACTCCACTGCAGCAACATCTCTCTGCTGGCGCCATGACCCAAATAATGAGAGCCTCTTGCAATCCAACGCCCGAATTATCCGCTGGGAGGATGGATCCATGACACTGCAGTTAGCTTCTGCTCCCAAGGAGCAGTATAGGATATCGACCAAACCTCTCGCGCCTTTGAACAAGATGGGCGACTATGACACAAAATTGGATTCCCACGTCTACCTCGGAGCAGCAGCAGAAACCTCTTCCGTGTTCCGATTGACGTCTCATCTGACCCATGGACTTACCGTTTATCCGACAACTATGGAAACCGACGATGCTGTGCAGCGTCTCCAAGAATCCTTGGCCGCAGCCGCTCGTGGTGGCAAGAAGACGGCTGATGGATCAGCACCCGTGATTGAAGTGAAGGAGGACCCTGAGCTGGCCAAGCGCCAGGCTGAGCTTGCTGAACGCGAGAAACTGAAGGCTGCGCGCCGTCGTGAGCAACTTGCAGATAGGGAGCTGGATCGTGGTCGCCGCTTTGGCATGTCCCACCGCACTGGAGGTGCTGGTCTCACCGTGGGCGGGTTGGAAGACGACGATGGCTTACTTACTACGAGACCTCGGGCGAAGAAACCTCGCCGACCTAACCGTCGGGGGGAGATTTACACCGATGAAGAAGAAGAGGGAGACTACGACCGCCGTGGCCGCACAAAGGAGGACGAGTATGACGAGGATGATGGATTCCTTGTTGGTAGCGACGAAGAACTGGAAGTTGAGGAAGATGACGACGAAGAGGACATCCTGGAAGATGATGACATGGATGCAGAAGGCGAGGATGACGACCTCCCAGCCGCCTCGAAACATAAAGCAAAACGAGCCTCCCCCGAGCCAAGAGCTGAAGCAGGAACTCCGCCAGCTAGGAAGAAGAATCGTTACGTTGTGGACGACGATGATGAAGAGTAACCCCTATATGATTACCTACTACCACATACCTGATGTCATTTTCCCTTTCCGCACCATATAATCCGAATCAATCCCGTTTGTTTTAATGAAATATGTACAATAAAATAAGTTGGAAAAAAAAAAAAAAAAAAAAAAAAAGATAAATCCATTCACATTAAGAACGCCTGGTATATATATATACTGGATATCGACTCGAAAAACATTTTTCCTTCTCAAAACTCCAACGCCGCGTGGAGGAATATGGATAGATAATAAGATTTCATGCTGAAACGCCGTCGGGCGACAAGTATACATTGTCTGGGTACTCGTCAGGTTCAAATTCAAATTTGGCAATGACATGCCTCGCACTCTTCGCTACGCGGAGGCAGAGTAAATCCTGCTCAGCGTGGGGATCGACGTCGAGATTTGGGCTGGAATGTAGTCGTTGCTCCGGGGGCAATGGATGGGAGTCAGATGACTCATGCCATCGTCGTTGGCGAGCCTCCATTTCTTCGATGAGGGAGAGCACGCTTGGCGAATTGAGGCAAGGTGGTTTAATGCCGGGGTCGATGGGCCCGTGTACAACGCTGTTCCGGACGAGCTGTCGGAGCCAGTCTTTCCAGGCCGCTGTTGGGTCGGCGGATTGATTGATGGCTGCAATGCAGTCAGGGCTAGATACTTGTTTCCCAAGCTCAACAGGGTCGGCTTTGGACACACGCAGCCAGGAGTCGGCGATTACGTTGAGCAGCGTCCCTGTGAACATGACGTTTTGAAAACCCGTATCGAACCTGGAGGGACAGTTTGGGCAGCGTATGATTGCTTGCGCAGTTCTGGAGGAAATGGAGAGCGAGCATATTGTATGTTGAGAGATTGGGAAGGATTTGAGGGAAGAGAGATGGCTGAGACAGAGATAGAGGTATGAAAGGCAAGAGCATTGAGTGTCGGCCGACGCTCCTGAGTCCGAGGGGCTGATAGGAGGAGTTAGACCTGGTGGCAATAGGAATGGATTGGGCGCTGCTGATGAGACGCTGTGGAAATCTGGCCAAGGAGAGGCTGTTGATGGAACTGAGCTCAACGGTTCACCCAGCGCCAACTGCAATGAATGTCGGTGGTTTTCATCAGTCGACAGTCGGCACGGAAAGTTGCTGAACGGAGTTGGGTACATCGGGGAGAACAGCTGGGTGGAATCGACCGTAGTTTCTGTCCCCAAATCTGAAGAAAACTGGTTGTTATCCGAGCTGGTCCACATGTCACTGTTAGACAGACCCATGAATACCACATTATCGTCATCTTCTCGCATACGCTTCTTGGGCGGCCGTCCCATCTGCTTCTGGACGGAATAGTGGCAGATAAGTGACTGCTTAGTGCAACGACTACATCCCGAGAGTTCGCCAGAGCATTTCAACTTTCGTTTCCCTTTACGACCATTAAATTATTAGATATTTCAACTTCTTCTTAAAGAAAGAAACCAAAAAAAAAACTCACTACACTCATCACAAGCCGCATGCCGTTTCACTGGCTGCAGCTGAGAGGGCGCTGTTTCGCAGGCGGCGGCAGAGGCACTTGGGGGGGTCAACTTGTCGGTGGACGCGGGGTGCGGTTGGCTCCACTGGGATGCTTCATATTGCATCTTGGACACCGAATACACAGATAATACCGTGGTACATCAAGGTAAAAGACAGAAAAGACAGAACCCCCCCCCTTTTTGATCTGTTGAAGAGCGAGTAAACCAGGCGGGAATCGCATGTCAGACAACGAGATCTCGTCGGGTTTCCAATGACTTCAGTTACTGCCTAATCAGGGAGGCGGTATATCACGTGGGCGGTCAACAGGTCCTCCCGACATTTTTTTTATTTTCCATGAGAAAAAAAAAAAAAGTCTCTATACCGATTCTTGTTGATTTGGAGCACAGCATTTGCTGCATTTCTTCGCCATCATGAGCTCTCTCAAGGCCTCGAAGAAACGCAAGGCCGTTACCCGTGATGTGGAGGAGGAAGCTGGGGTCTTTTCTGGCGACGAACTGAACGCTGGGGATCTGGACGGCGCGCTGTCGGACAATGCTCACGACCTGTCCAGCGACGAAGATGCCAGTGACTCTGAGGTTGAATTGGTGGATGAGTTTAGCGATGACGAAGATGAGGATGAGGAAGAGCTCGACAGTGATGAAATTCCGTCGGATGACGATGTGCTTGCGAAAAAATCTGGTGTATCAGCAATTGATGTCAAGGGACTTTCCGACGACGATGATAGCGAGGAGGAGCAATTGAACTATCGTATTGAAAAGGATGCGAATGGAAACGAGCGATATCTTTACGACGAGATTAACCCGGACGATAACTCTGACTATTCCGATGCCGACGAGAAAATGAACACTATTGGTGATATCCCGCTGTCTTTCTACGATCAATACCCTCATATTGGTTATGATATCAACGGAAAGAAGATTATGCGCCCTGCAAAGGGAGAGGCTCTGGATGCATTGCTCGATAGCATCGAGATTCCTAAGGGTTGGACCGGTCTAACTGATCCATCGACCGGCAAACCCTTAGAATTGAGCCAGGATGAGCTCGAGCTGTTGCGCAAAGTCCAAATGAACGAGATCCCACAAGATGGGTATGATCCGTATGAACCTCTGCTTGAGTGGTTCACCCCCCAACAGGAGATCATGCCTCTCAGCGCTGCGCCTGAGCCGAAACGTCGATTTGTTCCCTCCAAACACGAAGCTAAGCGAGTGATGAAGATTGTCAAGGCTATTAAGGAAGGCCGCATCTTGCCATTCAAACCCCCGACGGAAGAAAATGAAGGAGAAAAGGATATAATCAAATACGATCTGTGGGCGGATGAAGCAGAACGACCTGATCACCCCATGCACGTCCCCGCTCCTAAGCTTCCACCCCCAGGCTACGAGGAGAGTTATCACCCACCCCCAGAGTATCTTCCCGACAAGAAGGAACGCAAAGAATGGGAGGATGCTGATCCCGAAGATAGAGAGCGTGAGTATCTTCCCAATGACTTTGGCTCTCTTCGCAAGGTTCCTGGTTACGAGACTTTCGTTAAGGAGAAATTTGAGCGCTGCTTGGACCTTTACCTGGCTCCCAGAGTGAGGAGAAGCAAGCTGAATATTGATCCTGAGAGCTTGCTTCCTAAACTCCCAAGCCCAGAAGAGCTGAAGCCATTCCCCACGGCTTGCGCCACCATCTTCAGAGGACACAAGGGCCGTGTTCGCAGTTTGGCAGTTGATCCTACTGGCGTTTGGCTTGCTACAGGTGGGGATGATGGAACTGTTCGTGTTTGGGAACTCCTCACAGGTCGCCAGCTGTGGAGCGTCAAGCTGGCTGAAGATGAGGCTGTGAACGTGGTGCGCTGGCGCCCTGGCAAGGACGCTGTTGTCCTTGCTGCTGCCGCAGGCGACGATATCTATCTCGCAGTGCCTCCCGTGGCGGACCCCGAGACCGAAATGGCCAGCTTGGACCTGCTTGATGCTGGCTGGGGATACGCAGCCTCGAAGCCTGCCCCTAGCGCCGCTGATGAGGGCAAGAAGAACACTCCTCCCCAATGGATTCGCCCTTCGGCCTCTCTCGCAGACTCTGGCGTCTGTGCTGTCATTCCCCTGCGTTACGTTCCCAAGTCTATCTCATGGCACCGCCGCGGAGACTACTTCGTTACCGTGTGCTCTGGTGCCTCGACCCCAGCCTCGGTGGCGATTTCAATCCACACTCTTTCCAAGCACTTGACCCAATACCCATTCCGCCGGCGCATTAAGGGTGGTGGACCCCCACAAACAGCGCACTTCCACCCCTCCAAGCCGATCCTCTTCGTCGCCAACCAACGGACAATCCGAGCTTACGACCTGTCGCGCCAACTTCTCGTCAAGATTGTCCAGCCAGGTGCCCGCTGGATTTCCTCCTTCGACATTCACCCGACATCCTCGACCGCGGCCGGCGGAGACAATATTATCGTTGGTTCCTACGACCGCCGCCTGCTGTGGCACGATCTCGAACTTTCCCAACGCCCCTACAAAACCCTCCGCTACCACCGCAAAGCCATCCGAGCTGTCCGCTTCCACCCCGGTGGCCGCTATCCTCTCTTTGCTGACGCTAGTGACGACGGCTCTCTGCAGATTTTCCACGGTAACGTTACCGGCGATATGCTCAGCAACGCTACCATCGTCCCCTTGAAGGTTCTCAAGGGCCACAAGATCACAGGAGAGCTAGGTGTCTTGGACATCGATTGGCATCCCCGAGAAGCTTGGTGTGTCAGTGCCGGTGCGGATGGAACATGTCGTTTATGGATGTAAATTTCCGTAATTTCCCCGTTGAAAAATTTTAAATGTAACATTGCATGTGTGTCCCCTCCCCGCTTGTTTTCTTTTTTTTTTTTTTCTTTTCCTTTTCCTTTTCCTTTTCCCTTGTGGCCTTGTGCCTTGTCTGTCTAGTCTACAGGAAGGGGGGGCGTTTTGGTGTATATACGTTCATTGAGTCTGATATCCACAGCGATAAAAATAAAAGTTTCTATCACTTTACTTCTGTCCATTGTATAAGCGTTTTATATATATATATATATCCTATCATCATTAACGTCTATATCGTAGTTTTAAGTAATTGCTGGCCGGTCTGTATACAAGAACCATTCGTAGATTAGGTGTCCCCCCCCTCCCTTTTTTTTTTTTTTTTTTCTCTAGATAATACCACCACCCCAATCCCTCCTTAACTTCTCATACTTTTTCAAATCCGTAACACTCGGTCTGATAAATGTCTTGGCAGAAACAAAGTCCTCGAACTTGATCGTATCCCTGCGCTTGATAGCAGAGTATCCCGCACGCCGGAGCAAACTGCCCAGATCAGCACCGCTAAATCCTTCGCAGTCTTCAGCGAGGCGTCGCAGGTCCTCGCTGAACTCGATGGGCAAGTTGCGGACAAGAGTCTGCAGGATATCAACGCGCTCCGAGGGACTTGGGAGATTCACGAAGAGAAGGGTTTCAAGACGACCGGGACGCAGCATGGCGGGGTCGATGATATCGGGACGGTTCGTGGCGGCGATTACGTAGATGCCCTGGCGACTGCTACCTAGACCGTCAAGCTCAGTGAGAAGGGTATTGACGACACGAGCGGAGGCCTCGGAAAGCGTATCGTCGCGTCGGGGAACAAGGGCGTCCAGTTCATCGAAGAAAATGACGCAGGGAACGGAGGAGCGCGCACGGACGAAGACCTGGCGAACGGCACGTTCGGACTCACCCACGTATTTGTTGAGGAGTTCGGGGCCCTTGACGCTGATGAAGTTCGCGCGGGACTCGTTGGCCACAGCCTTGGCGAGGAGGGTTTTACCGCAGCCGGGAGGGCCCCAGAGGAGCACGCCCGTGGGGGCGGTGATGCCGACGCTGGCGTAGAGGTCTGGGGTTCGGATGGGTTCGACGATGGCCGTGACGAGTTCCTCGCGGATGCCGCCGAGGGCGCCGATGTCAGCCCAGGTTGTGTCGGGGATGGTTGCGAAACCTTCGCGTTTCGAGGACGGTTGGATCTTGGGGAGAGCTGTAAAGAAATCCGCATTGGATACGAGGACGACCTGCGCTTCGTCGCCGATGGGGGTTTCCTTGGCGTGGGTGATGAGTCGTCGGAGCTCCTTGACTCTAGGGCTGAGGTCGTCCTCGACGCCCTCAATGTCCATTTCTTCCCCGCTGTTAGACTTCAGTAGTTCCAGGTATCGCTTGATGGCTGCGGAGCCGGCGGTGGATACTAGATCGTTGAGATCGGCACCAACGAAGCCAGGGGTTCTTTTAGCCAGGGTTTTGAAGTCGAGGTCGTCCGCGAGGCGCATTTTCCGGGTGAGTGCGCGAAGGATCAGTTCTCGGACGGGCTCTGAAGGTACAGTCATGTTGATTTCTTTGTCGAATCTGCCTCCCCGACGGAGAGCCGCATCTAAACTATCCGGGCGATTCGTCGCTGCAAGAACGATGACGGGTTTCCCATCGGTTTTTTCTAAAGCCAGTTCGTCCATGCAGGTCAGGAGTTGAGCGACGATTCGCTTCTCCATTTCTCTCTGTGCGCTTTCTCTTTTCGGCGTAATAGCATCGATCTCATCGATGAAAATAAGGCAAGGGGCTAGCCTCTTGGCTTCCTCAAAATGCTCCCGAAGGGCTTTCTCGGACTCTCCTGACATTCCCGAAATAACGGACGGGGCTGAGATAGAAATAAACGGGACCCCGAGCTCCGCGGCAAAGGCGTTTGCAATCATGGTTTTACCGCATCCGGGCGGACCGTGAAGCAGAACACCACGAGGAGGCTGGACATTCGAGGACAGATAGACCTGAGGACGGGTCATTGGCAGAATCACCAGATCCCCCAGCTGCTGAATCACATCATCTAAACCACCCAGATCCGCGAGACTAACATGGGTAGGGGGAGAGCGGTCGACGGCAGCACTTTCCGCTTTGCGCCGCTTGGACGAATGGGACTCGCCTCCATGGTGTCGCTTTTTCGTCGATGTCGGCGCAGGCGTTGTATTTTCCGAGTTGGGGGCCTCGGATTGTTTCTGCTGTTTGGTGGAGGTACTCCACATGCCAACAATGCTCTTGTTCAGGCTGTTGGACTCCTGTTCGAGTCAGTACCAGAGCCATCGATCGGGGGATAATAAACTGTGGGATGTACCGGGACCGGTTGCTCCTCCTCCAATCCAGCAAAATCCCCGTCTATGGAATCGTTCTCCTCTTCTGCGACCTCATCGGCTTTCAATACCTCCACGACCCGCTCAATGCTGTCTTCGAGGGTTCTCTTTGGTTTTCTGCCGAGGCTGGAATTGGACCTCTTAATAGAGTCATAGATCGCGGTTACTGACAGGCGAATTTGGCCATTTTCTCCTTGGTCGTCGATTAGTTTGCGAACGACTTGGTAGACCTGCAACCAAAGGCGTTAGGAAAGACCAATTAAGAGAGAAAAAAAAAAAGGTATATTATATTGTATGTAGTTTTTCAGCCACTTACCTCGCGATCAAGGCCTTGCCTCAGAGTTGACCTGCCTCCACGGGGCATCTCCTCCAAATCCAGATGCTTGCTTTTATTGGAATGTTTCGTGGTAGAATCTCTGGTGATGGGCAACTGCACCGGATGAATTTCTACAAATTTGAAAGATCGGAGAATAGATTCACCGATGTAATCTTGAAAAATAGATTGCAGATACTGTAATTTCATTGGTGATTTTTGCGTATGATGCTGGTAATACAAGTACCCAGGAATAATACCGTACCGTACTATACGCACAGAGCCTGTACCAAAATATCAAGCGCGGGACGTCATTGTGGTGGTTTTTATCGGGCCGGCTGCGTTTCTTATCACCCGGACTCTCTAAACTTGTCCCTCGTGCTCTATGGAGGGAGTATTACCAGCGAACGGGGCATCGTCGGAGACCAGTTTACCAGTAACGACAATATGCGGTGACAATGGGGAACGCAAACAGCTCCCATAAGATCTCAGCACAAGACCGGTGAGGTTTCCCCCCTTTTTCCACCCTCGAACCTGGCGTTATCTTTAACAGGAGGGCCGCCGGCGATGACTCTCTCTCTCTGATCCCGGTTTCCTCTCAACGACGATGTAACTAACAGCCAGCCCCTCGCGTGGGAACAGAGCGATTCTCGACTTGAAAAACCAGCGCGACAATCTTCATCGGTACCAGAGACGTATTACGGTTCTCACTGACCGCGAAACCGCAATCGCGAAGGAATGTCTCGCACGGAATGATCGAAAGCGCGCCCTCCTGGCTCTGCGCCGCAAGAAATACCAAGAGTCGCTTTTGGCGAAGACGGATGCGCAACTAGCACAGCTGGAACAGTTGACCAGTCAGGTGGAGTTCGCGCTGGTACAGAAGGATGTTCTCTTTGGGTTACAGCAGGGAACGCACGTTCTCCGAACGATTAACAAGGAGATGGGGGGTATCGAAGGGGTGGAGAAACTGATGGGGGAATCCGAGGAGGCGAGAGCCTACCAAGAGGTATGGATCCCCCCCCTATTGCTATTGCTATACAGCTTGGTGGCTTGCTGACGAGATTCGCGGAATAGGAAATTAGCCAGATGCTTGCAGGGTGTTTATCCAACCAGGATGAGGATGAAGTTGAAGACGAATTGGAGGCTCTCCACCGCGAAGTACAGGGCCCCGTTCATCTTCCAGAAGCCCCGACTACAGAGCCTCCGGAATCGATGCCAGCTGTGCCTGATGATACGGAACCTCAAGAGCAGTTGGTAAAGCAGAAAGCCCGAGCCCGTGCCAGAGCGAGAGAGCGAGAGGCTATTCCGGCCTAAGCTGATTCCTTTCCTTGACTTGTTGGATCGGCACCTTTCTAAACCGCAGAATTGTGATGACATGCGCTACAGCATTCCGGTGTTGGGTGGTTTATCATATACTTGGTGACGAAGACAGTACATTAGATTTCAGACTCGTTGATTCGGTACTTTAATCATAGACAATTCAACATGAATTAAATGCAAAATGCTGCTTACCCGCTAGAGTCCCGCTCTACAATACATCTACATAAACTAGGAGTTCTCTCTTGCCCCGGATGTGTCCTAAGTACATTCGTAAGGTCATCAATGCTACCTGGAACGGTCTCTCATATAATGGTCAGGAGCATGATCCACTATCGAGTCCGTCCTCTAGAAGGAAAATCACCTCACTGGCCGGGCATGATCCTGCCACCCACGCCACTCACACCCGGGATCGCGACATGGTCATTAGGATTAGCCGCAGCCTCGTACAAGAAGCTAACAGGCTCCCTATTCAAAGCCATAAACTGGCCCTTGAACCCAACGTACCCGACCTTTGTCACATCTTCCTCTCCATCGCTCCAGTTGTCTTCAAAGAACAAGGTGATCGATGTAGTAGTGTTCCAGTGCGCACGGTTCAAGGGTAACTCGAAAACATCAGTTCCTGGAATTGGCTGTGGAATTTCAATCGTTTGGGTTGGTTTCAGCTCGGAAGCTGTGGCAAAGTCTAGGTCGTCGCGGTTTTTGAAAAGCTTCAAGGTCTTGGGAGCGGAGGGGGTTGGAGCTGTGTATATCAGAAGGGAGTGAACTTTGACTTGTCCGGTGAATCTGATAGTAGGTAGGTAATTTGTAGAAGTATTAGTCTAATTTGAGGTATCCAAAATGATATCGGAGGTTATCCCGCGGGGTAAAACAGTGACGCGAAGTAATCTTTTTTTTTTTTTTTTTGAAAAGGAAGGAGACTTCCTGTATTCCAAGAAAGACAAGGTAAAGCTTACGGAATATACATCAAGAGTTGCTCATCTGCATCACTCTCCAGTTCTGGTTGATCGTTCTGTCTTTCCGTCCATGTTTTCTTGACAATCGCTGCCCCAGAGTGCGGAGTTGCTTCTGTATCTCCAGGTTAGAGATTAAGGACAAGCTAAAACAATCAAACAGCTAGCGACATACCGTTCAGTGTGATGATTGAGTCAAACTGGATTTGAGAGTAGAGAAGGGACTGGATTGCTGGTGTGATATCATTCGAGTGGTCGTGGCCGTCGTCTCCCTCGCCGTGGCAATGCCCGTGATGGTCGTGACTATGATGGTGGTGGTGGGACATGACGGAGGGCGATTTAAGGAGTGAACCCTTTAAATAAGAAGTAAATTGGCTCTTATTTGGCTTGTTTCAAAATCGATGTAAAAGCAGAAAAAAACGTCGGACCTTTCTGTGCTCCGAAAGGGGATCGTGATGGTGTTTTGCTGTGCGAGAATTTTCCATCTCAACTCATCGCGCATGGTTGCCGAGTGTCGCTCAACACTGTGGTAAGAGAACATGCATTACAATCTACTTTGTGCAAGTATTCCATTGGAACATACTGTATTTTCGGACCATGTATGCTAATATTGTGCGCCTCTCCGCCCATCATTGTCTCAACTATACAGGTTACATGGTTGCAGGGACAAATTCAACGTGGATTACGACGCTGTCGGTCAAGTATTAGACGGCTACCATCTAGTCATATCTGACATGATAGCTCCAATCATTGTGATTTGTAGTAGTTCGGAGCATATTCAAGAAGGTAGCTCTTCTCTATCTTTGTGATATCACGAATGAACGTCTTCTCGCCTGTCTGCAAAATCTCATGGAAGATGACCCAGTCCGCTTTTCGATTCTAGGAGTCGCAGGTTAGCCAATACTGCAGCTCAACAAGGAAGTAAAAGGTGGACAAAATGGGCGAGGCAAAACTTACAAACATCAACGAACTTGGATGGGCATGAAGCGTTATGCCTCCACTGACCGTCTTAAAGGTTCCGTCCGGTTGCATCCGCGCAGCATGGGCGAAATAGCCAGTTGTTAGACAACGTTGGATTTTCTCAGACGGCTTCCCGAGATCTGCTTGTCGTGAATGAGACAGGGGACTTTCATCCGCTTTAATACCGAAACGCTCAAGGTATCGCTGGAGTTGCGCCCTTATGCTGACTGCTCTTTGCATAGATCGGTAGTTCAAGAGATTGTCGCGGCACCACTTGGTTTCTTTCTTTCCCTTGGTCACAAACGCCTGGTAGACGTTTAAATATGTTAAGTGATCCCCCTCTTCGACGGCAAATTTTCTGCGAGTGCTCTCGGATTGCCGTTTATCCCCATCGTGTTGCACCCAGACGGATCCCTGTAGACTGACCATGGCGGCAATGGATAAAATTTCGCTTAGACAGCCAAATGACTGCGCAGAGAGGAGGACCTTGGCCATCATAGGATCAACTGCGAGTTCAGCCATCCGCAAACCTAAAGGTTTTGTTAACTTGGCGTAATCGTCAACCGCTCCTAAAGAGTAAAGAAGCTCGAATGCACGAATCACGAGGTCCGCAGGAGGCGATGTTAGGAAATCAAACCGGATTATGTTGTCGATTCCCAAGGCCTTCAGTTGCATTATCACCGGTGCTAAGTTGGATCGCTGGATTTCCGGTATAGTCATTTCGGGGAGTTGCTCATAAGCTTGCTGAGTATAGAGGCGGTAGCATTTCCCGGGTTTTGTCCTCCCAGCTCTACCAGCACGTTGAACAGCTGCTGCTTTCGAAATGGGCACAGCCGTCAGTGTTTCTATACCCGTAGTGGGGTTGTAAGCTCTTAGTTTGGCGAAACCGCAGTCTATGACATTAACGATCCCGTTGATAGTGACCGAAGCTTCTGCAATATTCGTCGAAACAACGACTTTGCGTGTGTTCTCTGGTGAAGGCTCAAAAACGTACATCTGCTGGTCGGTTGTAAGACCAGCGTATAGAGGGAGCGGGAGTAAAGCCTGCGCCTTTGGATGAAGCATCGCTGCACGCTCGGAAATTAGTTGGATTGCTGTTTCAATTTCCTCCCGGCCCGTGAGAAAGATCAAAATATCACCTTCAGCTTCCTGCAGGTGGATGTCAAACACGGTTTTCACGGCTCGCTCAACATAGTCCTCCGCAGGCGATTCGAGGTAAAGCATGTCAACCGGATACATTCGTCCTTCAAGGCTAATAATTCGTCCAATACTCCCCCCAATGTGGCCAAGCTCCGACTCAGGTTGGAACTCCTCTCCGGCAAAAAAGCGCAAAAACTCTTCGGCTTGTAGGGTTGCACTACTGACCACTATCCGAAGTTCGGGGCGTTTTTTCATTATTTTCTTCAGCACTCCCAACAGGATATCGGTGCTAAGGGACCTTTCATGTGCCTCGTCCACCATGATTACTGAGTAGCGGGATAGCAGAGGATCTACAAGGGCTTCTCGGAGTAACATTCCGTCCGTCAAGAATTTGATCCTTGTTGAAGCCGACGTCTGGTCTTCAAAACGAATTGAATAGCCCACCTCCTCGCCTAGTTTGCAGCGCATTTCTTCTGCGACTCTGGCGGCCACGGTCGTGGCGGCCACGCGACGGGGCTATAAAAGTTTTAGCTTCCATGCGAAGGAGAGAAATTGGCGGAGAAAAGAAAAATTAGTACCTGTGTCACAGCAATAGATTTTCCATCTCCACACCATCCTGCTTGATCAAGATACTGGGGTAGTTGCGTTGTTTTACCGCTTCCAGTTTGTCCAACGACAATGGTAACAGGATAGTTTTCGACAAGATATAACAGGCTCTCCTTGTGCCTTGCAATCGGGAGCAACGACGGAGGTTTGTATAGTGATGGGATGAAGCTAGTCCCAATATCTAGTTCTGAAGCCATTTGCGAAACAACAGATTCAATGCTTTTCGAATCAATAAGAGATGCAGTTTCAAACAAGGACGGGCTTGAGCTTTATTAAGTGATAGAAAAAAGGCATATTGGAAACACACGCAGTGTGACCCCGTACTAGTCAAGGCTGGCAAGACCCAAAGACATTGTCGTTGCAGAAATCGAGAGAATCAGGATAGAAAGCAGGTATACATTCAAGGCAAGCCAGAAAGAACCATCTTGTTGCGGTGGTATCACGTGGCTGCACGTCACCGCGCATTTTAATCTCGAGGCCGCCCAAGAGTGGCTGATGCTTTAAGCTCCGATCCCGCCGCCTCCAATCGCAACCAGTTCCAAATATCAGATTGCTTTCTGCCTGTTGGGCCTTCTTTTTAGTCGCAGGTCCTCCATATTCTCTTGGGGTTCGACATCAAAGTTGCCTTTTCTCGTGGACTTTCAGATTCAGCGCTTCATTAACCCCCCTCCCCCCCTGAGTCGTCTGCATCATGTCGGAGGAAGACAAAACAGTATGCTACCCTTCTTCCACCCCCCCGCGCCTATTCCGAGGCAAGCTGCTCACTCTTTACCTAGATTGTTAGCAAGCCGTCGGCTGGACCGAATAGTCCTAGACCAGAGTCTCCGACCACTGCGCGCCCTCTGGAATTCGACGATGAATTCCAGGAGACCGGTGTCACATCCGCCCCAGCTTCAACTCACCAGACTGCCACGGAAGCCGCCCCGCCAAAGCCGCCCCGCCCATTGAGCCCCCAGCAACAAGCGGAGAGCACCCTCAAAGAGGCTTTCCCAACTATCGAGACAAGCGTTGTCAAGGCTGTGTTGGTGGCGAGTGGCTATGACGTGGAACGAGCTTTCCACGCTCTTCTTGGTTCGTGTGGTTGACCTAGATATCACTGGGCCACTTAGATTGACAAGCATCCCTAGGAATGACCGATCCAAATGCTCAGGAAGAAGTCCTCCCGCCAAAACCCCCCCGCCCGTCTGCAGCGCAGCGACAGCTAGAAGCTGATGAGCTTTATGCTCGTCAACTTGCCGAACACTACAACCGACGTGCGCAGCCACCGCCACCGCACTGGGAGAACGACCAGTACCGCCGGCAAAGAAGGGAAAGTGAGCAGTCTGAGGAGAAGGAGTACAACTTTTTCGATGGTGCGCGAATATGATGGCGATTTGATATCCCCGTGCTGACCCGCCTCGTTGTAGATGACCTCCCCGTGATTCGTGAAAATATTCGCAAGGGCTTCCTTGACACTCAGACGAAGGTTAACTCTTGGGTCCAGAACTTGAAGAAACGTCTTGACGGCGAAGAGGAAGACGCAGGTCATCGTGCCACACAAAGCTATGGCGAGGACAGCTACGGTCGATCGCGACGCAGTGGGGATCGAGAACGCTACGATGCGGACCCTCAAGTTTTGAGTGATGATTTCTCTGCGCTTGAGCTGAGGGATGGGGAAGGTTTGTGGAATCCTCTCTGTTCCCCTGGTTGCTACGTATATTTTTTGCTAACATCTCTTTCTAGCTCCCCCTCCCCGACCCCCAAGACCGCTTGCCAACCCTAATTTGTACAAGACCTCACTACATTCACCGGATACACGCAAGGTTTCCTTCCAGGACGGCCCCCCTACTGAAATTGGCAGCCTTTACGATGCATCAGAGCCCGTCAAGCACCAACCGGCTGCTGGAGGCAAACCAAGTAAATGGCAGCCTCTGTCGACGGTCGAGCCGTCTCCTATTGGGGACAACGACCCGTTTAGCTTAGGCGATAGTGACGACGAGAGGGACACCAAGGCCAAGGATCAAACCCCTGAGGAAAGTGATCGCGTAAAGAAAGCCGCCACTGAGGCCACGGCTGGGGAACTTAATACCTCGTCCAAGGGATAATGGTGGGAAAGCTGTTCTAAGCCTGTCTTGTTTTGGCCTTCTTTTACGGCCTATATATTTAGCCTTGCGTTTTCTATGCATTATCCTCATGTCATTCCAAGCTATATTGTCCTGTATTCCTTAGGTTGATGTTGATGATACCAGAGATTGTTCTACGGAGGCAGAGTAGTTGAGAGTATATTAAATTCTTCTTCGCATCCCAGAGAAAGTATAGTCCAATAGTATGATCATTTTTATCATAAAAATGCGAATAACAGGGTATCTTGAGTTCAGAATAACAGAGAAATGCAACCCCTAACACAGATTAAAAGAGAGAAAAAAAAACCAAGCATAAGAATCATTCAGACGCCTCATTTGGAAGACCACGCGATGCAACCACCGCCTCCTTTCTCAAGTCTTTGATGACGGTCTAACGCACCGAAGCAAAAATCAGGATCAAAGCCATGCATATATTGGATACTTCAGGTTAAAACCTACCGCAAGCGCATCAGGGTTGACTCCATTCTCGATCAAAGAGACACATAGAGAGAGCTCCGTTCGGTCCAAATTCGTGTTCTGGATGGATTCGTTAGAGCATTGCCAAGTAGGAACAGAGGGGAATAAGTGCAGAAAGCTGTTGAGAAGAATGGGGAAGACACGTACTAGGAGGGTCGAAATCTCATGAAGAATGTCAATAACTTCGCGGGCGGCTTGACGTTTGTCATCGGATTGTGGAGGCATTTTTGGCTAATGGGTGAAGCGTACAAGGGCGCTTGCTACCTTGGTAGGAGGATCAAAAATCAAAGCTACAGACTTGGAAGTTTTGCGGGAAATAATGTCAGGGGATGGATTTGATGTGATGACGGAGTAATGGTAGTTGCTGGTGTTGTTGATGTTACTATCCAAAGTTCATCCGGCCCTTTTGCTCACATGGTACGAAAGGTACCGGCAGTTACGGTATTGCCGGTCTGGAGCAACCCGTACGTATGTATTGCCAGCAGTATTTTTGGTATTAATCACGTATCTATTTTTTTTTCTTATTCTTATCAAGGAGATTTTTTCTTCCAGGTGGTTTTCTTCAACATTATATATATTCCTCTTCAATCAAAGACAACTTACACCAGTCATATTTATCGAGTAGTGGGCACGGTTCATTCTTCCGGCATCCCGACAATCATCTCGACTCCAGCAAAGACCCTTCCTTTATCCCGGGCCTCGAACTACCTTGAATGTAGATCTTGGAGGGACTCGAGAATGTTGGATCTGGTCATATCAGACATTCATTCCTTGGACAAAACCCAGGCATTTGAGATTCTGGCCCAAATCACACGCGTCGAGAAGAAAACTTTCCCAGCCAATGAGGCATTCCCGTTTGGCGAGGAGCTCTGGCGCAAGAAGCCCAACACGAGGGTTTTGTATGTGACCCGTCCATCGCAAGGCACACAACCTTTGATTGCTTATGCCGTTTATGTTCGGCAGAAAGGGGTTGCCTTGCTACACAAGGTCTGTGTAGTAGAGGCATTCCGACGAGCAGGTGTTGGGATGCAGCTTATGGAGTATATTCGGATCCGACTCCAAAAGGAGGGTTGCCAGCATATCCAGCTATGGGTAGACAAAGCCCGAGAACCTGCCCGATCTCTGTATACACGGAATGGCTTTGAGGAACGTGAAGAGATCCTCGATTACTATGCTCCAGGGCGCACAGGGATCAAGATGGTCCTCGATCTCCAACGTGGCACCTGAATCGCGCCCCCTTTGCCACTCCTGTGAATCTCCCTCGACCCTTCAAGGTTCGGTTTAGACGGATTGAAGGAGTAATGTGATGTGTGTGCCATATGTGAAGGGGGCAATTTGACTGCCATTTCCTCCTTAATTCTCCGAGGTGTCCAGGAATTCATTGTGAGTGGGTTCGGTTGGTGGTTCTCCTTGGCTACGAGGGGCATCCCTTGCAGGGCGTTGCATTTCGTAACGTGAGCTTATCGCGCCAGGCCCGTCTTCTCCAACAATGCCCATACTTCAGTGACGTGAAGCATATCCAGGTATGGCTCTGTTGAAGGGGTCGAAAGCTTCGCGACTCTCCTGTATAGGACAGGACGTCCCTTGGGCGCGAACTCCTGGTGGAGAAATCACCTAAGCATGGGCACACTCCCACCGTGCTGCTTTTTTACCCACTTGTCACTCTGTTTCTTCAAGTCTACTCTTGTCTCTTCAAATCCAACCTTCTTCAGATGCTTTTGAACGCTCTCCGTGAATACTGGTTCTGTCCCTTTCAGTGAGCAGCTGCCCGAACCGCCCAGTTTCCTTCAGAGCCATGGCGCTTCTCGCGTTGATTCTGTTGAGTCTTCTACTCACAGTAAATGCGAACTTGGTTTCGAATTACCCTGTGAACTCCCAGCTCCCCCCAGTAGCTCGCGTATCTCGACCGTTCAGATTTACATTCTCGCAGACCACTTTCGGCGGAAGTAGCTCGGAGACAACCTACAGGCTTTCGAACGCGCCATCATGGCTTGAAGTTGACAGCAAGTCTCGTACTCTATCAGGAACTCCTCACAAAGAAGATGTCGGGTCTCCAACATTCGATCTGATTGCATCGGACCAGTCCGGGTCTGCCAGCATGCAAGTAACGCTCATTGTTACCACAGACGACGGCCCGAAACTTGGAAAGCCTGTACTTTCCCAGCTGGAAGATATTGGTCCCATGTCATCCCCGTCTAGCATTATCGTTCGCTCTGGGGACTCGTTTTCGATCTCGTTTGAAACTGACACTTTTACGAATACTCGTCTGTCGACCGTATACTATGGAACGTCCCCGGAAAATGCGCCTCTCCCGTCTTGGATAGCATTCGACCAGTCATCTCTCCGGTTTTATGGCACCACCCCCAGTATTGGCCCGCAGACTTTTAGCTTCAACCTGGTAGCGTCCGACGTGGCGGGATTTAGTGCCGCTACCGTGAATTTTGAGATAACGGTCAGCGCGCACATTCTATCATTCAACCCAAGTGCGGAGACCCTCTTTGTGACTGAAGGGAAGGAGATTAGAAGCCCCCAATTCATCGACAGTTTAACGCTGGATGGCCACAAACCCACGAGCAATGAGCTGGTTGATATTAACATTGACGCCCCTGGCTGGTTGACGGTAAACAAGCAATCCTTATCGATCAGCGGCACCCCCCCAACGGACGGCAAAAATGAAAATGTTACTATCTCTGTCAAGGACAATTACCAGGATGTGGCAACATTGGTTGTGGCGATGCGGTACTCACAGTTCTTCCACGATGAGATCAAGGAATGCGATGCAGTTATCGGGCAATACTTTATGTTCGTGTTTAACAGTTCGGTTCTCACCGATAGTTCGGCTGAACTCGATGTCGATTTGGGCAAAGACCTGCCATGGCTGAAATACAATCGCGACAACAAGACTCTCTACGGGCAAGTCCCGTCCGATCTCCATCCGGACAAAACTACGATCGAGTTGACAGCCCACGAAGGGACCGCACAGGATAAACGATCAGTCACCATCCGCACTATAACCGGGGATGGCTTACAGGGACAGGGAATCGGCGATGCCGGTCCCGGCAGCGATGGTTATCATAGAAAGAAAGCTGGCATCATATTAATGGCCATCTTCATTCCCTTGGGATGTCTAAGTATCGTTTTGCTTTTCCTCTATTGCCGACGCCGTGCAAAAGGGAGAACAGGAGCCGAAGATGCACAAGGCTTCGAGGAAAAAGCACTGCCCCCGCCACCGCTGCCGCCCACCGGCTGCTTATCACACTGCCAACCATTTGAAGAAACCAAGCGAGGACAGCCTCCGACCATGGGGATGGCTTCGCCGCCAGTATCAAAGCCTCCGAAACTGGAGCTCGAACCGTGGTGGAATGTTCATAGCGACGAAGCAAGTGGACACGGACAGGATCCAATCGACAAAGATAACACTTTCTCGAGTTCGACAATTGACTGGGGCTTTGCCCCGTTGCGGGTTTCCGAAATCCCTGAACAGGATGAGAATAAGCCACCCGAGGAAGAAAGACCAGAAGCGTTTGTGAAGTCTACTCGTCTTTCGTGCCCGACCAGTCCTCCGGTGCGCAGACGGACGTCTGCAAACTCGGCGAGACGGGAGCCACTCAAGCCAATCCAAGCGCGACGATCTTTAAAACGAAACTCGGCCCTCTCGTCACGATCCAAGAGGTGGTCTAAGCGATCAAGCGGGATTTCCACCATCGCCTCAGGCCTTCCGGTACGGCTCAGCGGTGCTGGACACGGAGCAGGAGGTTTGGGGCCTCCCGGCCACGGAGTGGTGAGGATATCGTGGCAGAACACGCAAGCGTCTTTGAGAAGTGATGAGAGTAGTCTCGGAAATCTGGCGCCTTTATTTCCTCGTCCCCCACTGCGAACCAGAGAGAGCCAGGAATACACCAAACGGGTGAGCTTGCGCACTGTGGACCGCGATAGTTTGACTATTTCGGAGTCTGATTCCTTGGCGGCCTTTGTTCAAGGCCGCGCGAAGAGTCGCAATTCGTCCAATCCCATGTTCGCCGGCCAAACGGGCCGTCGAGTATCGTCGGGCCTCCGTGCACTGGAACGGGCCCGAAGCACTGGTAGCCGAGCGGACACCATCAATAGCTCTGTCTACCCCGAGAATTGTCGGCGGCAGTCTAGCGTGAGTCAGGCGGAGCGTCCCTGGTCGCTGGCATTATCCGGGTCGATCTACACGGATGACAACCGGCATTCCAGCTATCTACGGGCTCTGTCGGAGGAGTCGCCGAATATCCGGCCCCTGGCAGCTGTGATGATGGCCAAGGGACAGAGCCAGTCGAGTTTAGCCCAGAACTACTCGAGCATGATCGCCCCACTTCCCCGGTTCATGAGCGAGTTGAGCTTGGCCCACATCAGACGCGACGACGCGGGAGAGGTGTATGGTGATAGCCCCCTTTACGGTGACGAATCGCACAATTTCTTCGGCCGTCGCCGTTGGTCCCGGTCCAGCCCATCCCTGATCAAAGAAGGCACATGGATTCCGATCGCGTCTTCGCAGCTGCTTCGAAAGAGCCCGTCGACTTCATCGATCCCGTCCGATAGCAAGACGCGGCGAGTGAGTCTCATACGACAGGCTGAGCGGGAGTCCAACTACCCACGCAGTTTCCAGCGGGACCTAACGGGGAGTGGGACCAGTGATATAGCGTTTGTTTAGGTGTACTATGATGTTCTTTGTCTGTTTGTATAGGTGTAGGTACATACAACAATGCCTTGTTCAAGCATTTTAGAGATATCCATTTTTCTTAATTCTTATTTATCTATTTATTATTGTTCCAACATGATACTCTTGTAAGTTTCCACCTCAGGCTACCATCTCATCTGTATTCACAACCACTTGACACCTACCAGAGGATACATTCTTTAAGCCCCTACGTTGTTGCTATGTCTATGTCCAAGTCCTTTGATTGTATTGGATACAAACGCTTGATTCTTCCTTAGCAGTTGATCCATAGAATTTCATCCCAGCCAATAAGAGTGATTTCAAAAAACTCCGACTGTTACCTACCTAGGTACCTAAGGTACTTAAATTCTTCTTGGATACTATTAGGTACCTAGTCAAGGTGTACTCTGTAACCTTAGTACATCTTACTAGTACTCAGCCCAAGTAGCACGCGACTAGCAAATTTGCATCAGCTCAGCCGCCTATACTCGTAGATAGTAGTTGCAGAGAGGGGTATAAGAAACTACCCTAGAGTAGACCTCGATTACATCAGATTATGCATGATTCTCTCAGAACTTGAACAAAATCTGGAATCCCAAAACTGACCACCCTTTTTTTTTTTTTTTTTTTTTTTTTTTTGGGACACTCCCGCACGCCGCCTATCATTCTGCCCTTACCCTCATCTTCCTCCTCTCTCTCTCTCTCTCTCTCTCTCTTTCTCTCCCCTCTCTATTCCCTTACTCTCTTTTCCTCATTCCTTCCAAGCAATTTCTTTCAACTTCAGATCCCTGACCTGGACTTATGTGCATTTAGCCAGAATTCATCCTCTCCCAACGTTAATTGTGATCTGACAGAAAATATGGGCCAGACCTTGTCAGAGCCCGTTGTCGATAAGGTGGGTGAAAAGAACTGAATGAGTTTGCTGCCTTGAATTCCCCCTCCCTTCCCTGCTTCCCTCCCCACACTACATCCAAATGCCATCCCATTGCGAATTCCGTATTCTCGCTGTCATTATGCCTCAACCTGGCGACTCTTTCTTTCTTTTGGAATGATGGTTGTTCCTTTCACTCTCTGCCCTTTTTTTTTTCTTCCGAGGAATGGGCTGCATCGTGGCTCTCGCTCATCTCTGCGGGGTTCCCCCCATCCCAACACGACACACATCCAACGAAAAAAAAAAAAAATCAAAAAATAAAGAAATTTCCCGTCAGGCAATATTCTGATCTATCACCCACTATTCTCCTATGATCGTCGATCTACCGTTTTTCTATATCGCTAACATTAATTCCGATCCTGTCTCTAGACTTCGTCTGAAGGCCAAGATGAGTGTTGTATATATGGCGTTTCTGCCATGCAGGGCTGGCGAATCAGTATGGAGGATGCCCATGCTGCCGTGCTAGATCTCCAGGCGAAACAAACAGGTGTCAATTACAAGCCGACCGATCCGGATAAACGCCTGGCGTTCTTTGGTGTATACGACGGACACGGTGGAGACAAAGTCGCTCTCTTCGCGGGGGATAAAGTCCACAGAATTGTCGCAAAACAAGACTCGTTCGCCAAAGGTGACATTGAACAGGCCTTGAAGGACGGTTTCCTAGCCACTGATCGGGCGATTTTGGAAGGTGTGTCACCATCGTCCTTTCCCCCCCCCCCCCCCTTTTCTTCTTGTCCAAAAGTCCTACTCAGAACTAACCCGAGTAGATCCGAGATATGAAGAGGAGGTTTCCGGTTGTACCGCTGCCGTCAGCGTGATCTCGAAGCATAAAATCTGGGTGGTAGGTAACCCTTATTTGAGTCGTTCGCAAAGAATTTGTTTTTTATTTTTCCTGACTCCCCCATCCAGGCCAACGCAGGTGACTCGCGCTCGGTGTTAGGCGTGAAGGGCCGCGCAAAGCCCCTCTCTTTCGATCACAAGCCGCAGAATGAAGGTTTGTGGCCTATCTCTACTTGATTTTCCTGCCTTTGGCGTAGTTTGCCAGTATTCTGACTACATCAATATAGGCGAGAAGGCTCGTATTAGTGCTGCAGGCGGTTTCGTTGATTTTGGCCGTGTAAATGGTAACCTCGCTTTGTCGCGTGCCATTGGTGATTTCGAATTCAAGAAAAGTCCCGAACTTTCTCCTGAACAGCAGATTGTTACGGCCTATCCAGATGTTACGGTCCACGATGTCACTGATGACGACGAATTCCTCGTGATTGCCTGTGACGGTCCGTATAAGAACCCCCCCCTTTCTTTTTTTTTTAATTTGCTTCCTGAAGATGAAGAGAGAAAAAACCAACAAAAAAACCTAACATTCGTACAAACAGGTATCTGGGATTGTCAGTCTTCTCAAGCTGTCGTCGAATTTGTTCGCCGTGGCATTGCTGCCAAACAGGACCTCTACCGGATTTGTGAGAACATGATGGACAACTGCTTAGCTTCCAACAGCGAAACTGGTGGTGTCGGTTGTGACAATATGACCATGATCATCATCGGCCTCCTTAATGGCAGGACCAAGGAGGAGTGGTATAACCGGATCGCGGAGAGGGTAGCTAACGGCGACGGCCCTTGTGCTCCGCCCGAGTACGGCAAGTCTCTCGAGGATCCCACGGCATCCAATCCCTACTGACTGACCGGTGGGGGGTGCAGCTGAATTTCGCGGCCCTGGAATTCGTAACCAATTTGAAGAGAACCCAGATGACTATGAACTCGACAATGATCGCATCCGTCCCTTCAGCGTTCGTTCTGGTCGAGTGATTCTCTTGGGCGATGGTACCGAACTGATTCCTGAACAAAATGATGAAGAGCTTTTTGACCATGCTGCAGAGGATCAGGACCTACCCAACCAAGTCCAACGGCAGGACGCCGACTCGGGCAGGAATGAACGCGAAGGGACCCCTGGACCTCAATCCAAGACCGATGCATCTATCAATAGTTCAGAATCCACGAAAGAGAACCCCTCGACTAATACCCCCGGAACACCGCAGAAACCAGCCACTTTATAGTTCTACCCATGCCCCTTACGTCTAATTATCTTCATTTTGGTTTTTGAAAACGAATCTCGTGTGACAGTACGACGCGTACATGCCGCCTCCAACCGCCTTTTCGAAGCCTCGTGTCTCTCTCTCTCTGCCCTCCCCTCTCCTCCCTTCCTCCTCCTGGCTCTTTGATTCCGGTCCCTTCCAGTCTACTCCTCGGCGGCGGCGGTGGTAGTAGTGGTAGAGGCGAAGCAAGTGAAAGATGATCACTGTTGTTTATTTGCTTAGTGTTTTCCCCCCATCATCCTCCATCCTCCGCTTTTCCCTTCAAGACATCTCCGGGGTCAGATCATTTTTCACATTACGCACGATGGGTCTATGAGAGGGGGCGCCTATAGGGCAAGAGGTTTCTGATTCTTATCTCTGTTTTCTTTTCCTTTTACAAGCCGCGAGCGGCAGGCCTCATGAGAGTACGTTTATTTCATGTCTCGACAATAAGATACCGCAACAACCACCATTTATGAACCTCTTTCTATTTTCTTAACTTTTTCCATGACTTCAGTTATCATTGCCTACTATGGTCTTTCCCCCCCTCCCCCTTTATTCCATTTTTGCTCTGTGCTATACCTTTTCTCCCATTCTGAATGGCTGCGAGGACTTCACATTCTCGGGGAAGTCCTGGTTTTTACATTGCACATATGTCGGCGTAACGGGGGATTTTAGTGTACGGCATGAAGCAAGCACTGTTTTAAGTCAGGTCCGGCGATGGTATCTACTCGAATACGTTGCCGGCGGGAGTTCCGATCGTATGCAGATAGAATCCGTTAGCTGTTGCACAGTTTCCCTTCCCCTACGTAATAATAAGTAGGGCAGATCATCGAAGTTCTGATGATTCCATCAATTCAAGAATTGGAAGGAAAGACAGAAAGAAAGAAAGAAAGAACGTGGTTGTACTCTGGACTCAGGTAACTGTCACAGTCAATTCAGGTACCAGGAATTCAGCAGAATTACGCGCCAATAGCGGGTCAGAAACCCTGTTATGACATTTCCTTACCATGTCATTTATCCACGTGTGGGATCACTTGGTCTCAACTCGACTTGGGTACTTTTTGGTATTTTATTTGGTATTTTATTTTTGTCTTATATTTTTGTCTTATATTTTTGATTCTCCCTAAAGCTTCTCCCCCTATTCAAAGAAAAGAATCAGATCTTTCTTGTTTCAACAGGCTTTCTACGCACTAGTTAGTAGTTCCTACACTAGGTGCTCTCTTACTTTACCGTGTTGGGCCGGACCTCCCGCTCGCTTTCTTTTCTATTCCGTCGTCACCTTCACACACCCTCTCCCAACATCGCTTTCTCTCTCGCTTTTCCTCCCGCCATCCTCCACCCTTTCTCGCCTGGTTCAGTTTCCTTCCGATCCCTCCTGATTTCATTCCTCTCAGTGGAGTGATTCGACAGAAGTAGAGCAGTGCTCCCTCAGTCTGACACCATGTCCTCTCCGCTCTCCAGCAAACGCAAACGCGCCAATTCCCAGCTCCCAACCGCAGACATCGCCAAATCGTCCACGACCGATCTCCTGCAGCCCTCGTCCCGCGATGCTTCCGGTGAAGAAGGTGACGATTCCACTGGCCCAACCCTGCCGTCCAAGCACCCCAAGAAACTCGACGTTACTTCCGCCGCCGCCACTATTCCGCCGTCTAAACGGGCCCGGAAGACGTCGGTCAGCGACGGTGCCCCCAATGGCCCATCTAACGGCGGAGAGCCCTGGAAGGATTCGTCCGCGATCAGTAGGGAGGATCCAGGCGAGCCGTCTGAAACTACCCCCGCGAGCAGTGACATCGAGAACCAAAGCAAGGGCCGCCCGGGGTTGCATGTTAAGACCTCGTCCGAGAGACTGATGAGGCCGCCAGAGCGTGCGGGCTTGCAGGATCCTGTAGGCTACCATACTAATCCCCCTCCAGTTGGGCGTCCAGTTCGAGTCTATGCAGATGGTGTTTTTGATTTGTTTCACTTGGGGTAAGTTTTTTTTTTTTTTTTTTTTTCCTTCGTTTTTTATAATATGTGTGTGTGTGTGTGTGTGTGTGTTGATGATTGCCATCGATAGTCACATGCGACAGCTTGAGCAAGCCAAAACCGCTTTCTCAGAGGTGCACTTAATAGTCGGCGTTACTGGAGATGAGGAGACCCATAATCGAAAGGGGTTGACTGTTTTAAGCGGTGCAGAACGTGCCGAGAGTGTTCGTCATTGCAAGTGGGTTGACGAAGTCATCCCTAACTGTCCTTGGATTGTTACCCCCGAGTTTATCGATAAGCATCAGATTGACTACGTGGCACACGACGATCTTCCATATGGAGCTGCGGAAGGTGACGATATCTATGCACCGATCAAAGCTCAAGGCAAGTTCCTGGTTACTCAACGAACGGAGGGTGTCAGCACCACTGGAATTATCACAAGGTTGGTTTTTTTTTTTTTTTTTTTTTTTTTTTTTGGCCTTGAGAATTCTTAGTCTAAACCGTATACAGAATTGTTCGCGACTACGATCGTTACATTTCTCGACAATTCAAGCGTGGTGCCTCAAGACAGGAATTGAACGTGTCCTGGATCAAGAAGAACGAACTGGAAATCAAGCGGCATGTGACAGAACTTCGAGATAGCATCATGACCAACTGGAGCAACACTGGCCAAGAATTAGGCCGCGAGCTGCGACAGCTGTGGCAGAACAGCCGACCAGGTAGCCCGGCTCCCAGTGCAAGAAACAGTGTGGACCTTGGAAATTCTCGTGGCCTCGTTAGTCCTACTACGGGCAAGTCACATATTTCACGAGTAGAGGCTTTGGGACGTTCGGAGAGCGCGATTGTCAACGGGAGGAACGAGCCGGACTTTGCAACGGGTTACAGTCTAGGTCTGATTGGTGGTGTGAGGGCGTGGGTATGTTTTCGGTTTCTGGATTCTGCAGCTCTTCTCGGCTAACAACGCAACAGATGCGCAGTCGCCGGTCTCTCTTGGAAAGCCGAGCCCAGTCCCCGACCAGTGAAGAGGAGCACGAATACGAGCAGGAACGGAGCAACAACGGTCTTTCTGGATCGTCGTCTTGAAGTACCCCCGAGTCGCTAAGTTGCCTCAGTCGATTTTCCCCCTCGGGTTTCTCTCAGCGAGCTACTCTAATCATAATTTCCGGAATAGCTTTGGCTTGACACAATCAATGCATCATTTCCTCTTTCTTCTTTATCTCTCTCTCTCTCTCTCTCTCGCCACTCTTCTCCCTATGACAAGCCCACCACGAACGACCGATCAATTACCCTTGATCCGAGTAATGTCTGATCTTTACACCTCATTCACCAAAATCCACCTTTTTCGCTTCTATTTTCTTGCTAATTTTGGGCGAATGTCACATCCCACATCACATCACGTTGCTAACATTATCATCATTTTGCTGTATAACACTGAAAAGGACGCGCAGGCATGAGGAATAAAACGAGGACGGTTCCTATTTACCGTTTGCTTTTGCTACTCTTCTACTTCTACTTACCAATCTTTGCACGGGACGAAATTGCAACCTCTGTTTTCTTTCTCTTCATGTTTATGCTTGTTCTAGTCCATATTTTGGTTTCGCTTATCCTTCCGACGCCGGCCCAAACATGACGTATTTACTAGTATCTAATAATAATAGATTCCTTGCTTGGTTGTACTCTGTACGGAGTAGATTGAACCTATTTTCTTTAGGTGGTCTTATTAAACGGATTGAATATTTAATTTTCCGTTACATATTATATAAGTTCATCGTTGTATATATACTCTCCTCACCCTCCATCTAATTCTCATCTGTATTGCATGATATGATACTCAAATACGACCAATTCAGCCTCGGGAAAGGTTGAACTCGCAGTAGGATCGGGACTTTTTTTTTTCGGTGACAAATTTCTGCAACCCGATGACGTCCCGTTTTAGGGTTTGAGAGCTATTTGGATCTCAATCCCGGATGGAATCATATATAATGTCGTGGTCTATTTATTTAACTTACAATGGGACGTCGGGGTTCTGTGCATGGTCCTCCTCTTTAATTCGTCTCCGCTCGCACTCCCGCATCCTCCTCACTCTCGGCTGCACGCGTGGTGGGTTGCGGTGGAGGGCTTTCACGCGCCATAGCAACATAGATGGCACTGCCTAGAATCAAAGCAGACCCCGCCCAACTCACCACCGACAGCGAGCTGCCCCAGATTAAGCGATCATAAAACAGGGCAAACAGCATCTGCGTGTAGATCATGGAGGTGGCTCGCGACCCAGAAGAGGAAGAAGAAGAAGAAGAAGAAGAAGAAGAAGAAGAAGAAGAAGAAAGCGGGTGGCGTGGTTCTGATTTTGAGATGCTGTCATCGGTCTGGTCGTCTGTGCCGTAGGATCGATGAGGCGAAGGGTCCAGCTTCGGAAGACTCCGGGGCGGCGGGGGCACGTATGATAGCCCAGCCGTCAGCAAGAACTGCAGCAGGAATCCACAGACGCCTAATCCCAGGAGCAGCGTCCATTCCAGCGTTGTTCCCGGCAACTCCAGCGGGATCGACGGAACAAATAAGATCGCGAAAGTCGAAATGAGAGTAGTCAACAGGGAAAAGTATGTCACTGAAACCAGGGGATGGCAACGTTGTCCGATCACTCGGATCGACGAGTACGCCGTGGAGGCGCCAGTGACGCCGATCAGCGCAGCAATGACCGCCAACACGCGGTGGTATTGATCTGCATCCCCGGGGTTCTCTCTCGCAGCGCCCACCGAGTCGGGCGGCGGCCCAGTCACCGAACGCAAAAGGGGGAATGGTCGGGCAATCAACACGACTCCAATCAAAGACACCACCCCGGCCAGTTGCTGTCTGCGGGTGAAAGTCTCCTGGGGAATGAAGATGGAGCAGGCGTAGCAGCTGAGGATGGGCGCTAGGAACGTCAAGACGGTTGCTTCCGACAACGGTAGGTACTGGACCGAGTAATAAAGCCCATACACGCCCCAGAAACCACCCGCGGCCCGAAGCATCAGCAGCGGGCGCATCTCCCGGGTCCCGAGCGGATGGGGCACTTGGGTATACCACATGTACAGGTAGCTCGCAATGACGGTGATAGACATACGTGCAAACAGAATCTGTCATGGGCAGTTTTTTTTTTTTTTGTCAGTAATGACCAGCCAGCTTTCCCAAACATCTAAAATTGCCAACTCCTCCTCCTCCTTCGTAGCCAAGCGACGCACCTGAAAAGGCTTCAATCCTTCCCCATTCCGGCCCTTGAGTTCCAACACCTGGGTCATGACATTCATAGACGCGCCAAAAAACTGCGACATCATGACCAGGATCATCCCCTTACCCTGGCGCCAGACTTCTCTTCCATTGTGGCACGTCTGCTGTGTCCATGTGCGCGGCGACGGCGACGGCGACGGTACAGAGACGGAGGGGCCGAGCAACGGACTGCGTTCATCACGCTCAGTCAGATTGCTGTTCCCAACTTCATCCGCCACCGGCGATGCAGTGGCCCGAGACGACGGAGACGACGCCATCTTTATCCAGCCAAGAAGGAAGCTGAAGCCTGAATCCGAGATCTATATGGTATAGAGTTGTAAAAAATTTAAATATCCCCTGATCCCAGACGTCGAGAAAGACAGACCCCGCTAAATTCGGCTCCAGCCACGGTATGTAACCACAAACCAACGCAAGTGATTTAAAAAAAAATAAAGATCCAACTGAACTTTCGGGTAGTCTGCCGGAAGTAAGGAGAGAGAAATAGAGTAAAAATCACAAGTAGTAGGTAGGTAGGTAGGTAGGTAGGTAGGTCTGGTGTGGAAGAAGAAAACTTGCAGAGGATCGATCAGGTTATCGCTCCGCTTTGCCGAGGAGGCTTCTCTGATCAATTCTCTCCGGGAGTTACTTACTAGTAGCGATACTAGATAGACAAGTGTTCGAATTGTACGTATTCTACATAAATGTAAACGTATCCCCCCCCTTCTCCCTCATCATATTCCCAACTCTCTGCGTCCCGACAATCCGTTCGAGCTTCAACGCATCCCACTTGGAAAACAACGCTCGCACCCCTCCCTCTGCGGCTTCAACGACACTCGCCGCATCCAGACCTAGAAAGCCCACAATCTCACCCCAGAACACGGGGTTCTCGGGGACCCCGTACAGGATGATTCGCTTGACACCGCGGATTTGAAAGCGGCGGAAGTGGTGCAGGCGCTCCGTGTACAGGAGCACAGAATGTCGGCCGTTCATGAAATGCGAGCGCGCACGACTGACGTCTCGCGGGTCCGTGTATTCCGAGATCGCGCTGAAGGAGACGTTGGTGGTTTGCATCGAGGTGGCGAAGTAGTTCCGAATCCGGACAAAGTCGAGGTAGGAGGGGATCAAAATCAGCGTGCCTGCCGCGGAGCTGCTGCCCTTTCCGTGGCTGGATGTGATGGTGCGGACCAGGGATGACAGGACTGTGGTTGTGAAGTGCTTGAAGCGCGCATCCGGGTCCTTCGCTGGGGAAACGCAGTCGAAGCGGGAGAATGTCTGCTTGACGGACACGGGCAATGGGACTTCGGAGATTGCTCCGTTGTACACTGGGGTTATTTTGACCTTCCCGGAGACGTTGTGCATGTGCGTTGAAAACACCGAGTTGATTTCGGGCGTGACAAATGAGGACAACAAGATCAACTGTCGCACGTATTGTGCATGGTTGTCGAGGTACCAGTTTCGGACCCGGCTGAAGTCGCAGCCGTGTGCTTCTTTGGGTTGGAGATTAAGGTGCTGCAGGATATAACTGACGTGCTCCCAATTTTGCATGAGGAGTGCATCGGCATGGTCCACTATCACGACTTCAATCGAGGATAGGAAATCGTGATCCCGTTTTTTGGCACTACTACAACATCAGCATGCATATTGCGAACGTTGGGTCATAGAGACTTACTCTGCTTGATCCATAATCGTACGTAGGCCGAGGGGACTGGCGAGAATCAAGTCCGAGGTGTAAAACTGCGCGAAAAACTTGACGGTTTTCCGCGTAAACTTGAGGCCCAGTCGGAACATATCATCGTCATTTCCACCAAAGAGTTCGCGGAAATCCTCGGTCTTGCTCTCCCAGGATTTGTCGTCGGTCGCAGAGAACGTATCCAAGAACCGCTTCCTGTTTTCTTGTTGTTCGGGCTGGAAGAACCGAGTAATCGAATTCACTGCCCGGACGCAAGCTTGCTTCGTCGGCAGGAGGTAAAGTACCTTTGGTCGTGTAAAGCCTTGATCCCGAAGGTCGAGGTCCGCATCCTGCTCTTTAGCCAGCCGAGTATTATTCTTGAGCACTCGGTCCCGTGTCTTTAGTACGTGGTTCGCTGCGTGGACGGCAAGCAGGTCGCGCATCTGGCCCGATTCGGATGCCGTCCTGCATCCATATAAAACATCTTGGTAGTCGAAGATGTACGGAGCCACCTGTTGAATATTTCCATTGACCTCTCCGATATGCTCCGCCACGGGCGACTGGAGTTTCTTCTTCAGCTATAATATAATTAGCGATGGGGTTGCCCTGAAAACTCCCAACATAAATCACTGACCTTCACATGGGCCATGCTTTTCATTGCGGACAGAAGAGGTACGTCGTCCGTTTGGCCAAGCTCCGGGATCGAACGAAGAAGTTTCAGCCCGGTGGGAAGCTCCCTTCTAGTTGTCTTCCATTTATTTTCCCCTGCAGCCTTGATCTTTTGGGACAATTGGTTCTCCTCTGGAGTGGAGAAATGCATCTCGAATGGGTCGTTTTCTGTCAAAGTTAGGATTGCGTTTCCCAAGGAAAGTGACCTCTCTTACCATTCTCTTCATCACCGCTGTCTTCCTGAATGTCGGCAACATCTCCCGATTCACCTCCATCTTCTTCGTCCGAGGGTTCCTGCTGCTCCAAATCGTCATCGAGCGATTCCTCTTCGTCTGCTTCCCTGTCTTCAATCGCTTCAATGCCATTACTCCGAGCCTGCTCGCTTCCCTTCTCGTGCTGATGAGTAGTTTTCCTTTTCTTACGAGCAGGCCCGTTTTTATCTGTTTTAGCCTGGAGTAATTGAAGCAATTCATTATATGGCCGTTCGGATTGTTGGTCGTCTTCGTCGCTGTCGGAGGATGCTTCATCAACCGCGCCTTCATCCAGCATTTCATCTTCAAATTGATTATGCATATGACTTTCTCCTTCATCCGAAGAGGCCTCTGATCTAGCCAGGGCTCATTAGACAGGTTCTGAACGACTTGCGATTGGACTTTTAACTCACTCCACTTCGTCGAGTCGCGATGTTGAAAAGCCTCCCCTGCGCTTCGCAGGGGCTCTTGGGCCTTTTCCACGCCCCCGGGGAGCTCGACCACGAGGAGGAGCCATCTCAGAGCAATTATAATGCACTTAGAGCACCTGGTTGTAGCTCCAGAAAGCCCCTTCTGTAACAGGTTGCACCCTCTTTTTTTTTTGGCGGTCATATATTTTTTTTCGCTGGGGGGTTACTTATCTTATCTTAGCGCGGAATTCCCGTTGCGCACACACAATTTGAGCCTCGCAGAAGAACCTCCGCCGCCGAAGTCTAGCGGATCGGAAGATTTGGGTCAGAAAGAAATCTCCACTTCCCAGCACGGTGAAAGACGAGGACTTCCTGAGTGTGACAGAGATAAGAACGGCTTCGCTCAATCGGACTCGCTCCCCTTTATCCTGCAAATATGGCTGAAACAGATTCTTTCCTTCATCTGGCTCGTCCTCTGGGCCCTGTTGCAGCGGGGTCTGCACCAACCACTGCCCCTTTGAACGTCGTTATCCAACCTCAGGTAGGCCTATCGATTCAGTATTGATGCTTGAAATTTTTTTTTCTAAATGCTGATGGCTTTGTTGTAGGCTCTTTTCTCGATTCTCGACCACTCTCTCCGTCGCAATGCTGATCAGGAACGTGTCATCGGAACTCTCTTGGGAACCAGGTCTGAGGATGGTACCGAGGTGGAAATTCGCAGCACCTTCGCTGTTGGACACACAGAGACAACAGACCAGGTTGAGGTCGACATGGAGTATCAGAAGCAGATGCTCGCCCTGCATCTCAAGGCCAACCCCAAGGAGGTCCTGGTCGGTTGGTACGCCACATCGTCCGAGTTGAACACCTTCTCCGCTTTGATCCAAAATTTCTACAGTGGTCAGGGTGATGGCACATGGCCTCACCCCGCTGTCCACCTGACTGTGTCCACCGAGGCTGGAAAGGATATCGAAACCCGTGCCTACATCTCTGCCCCCGTTGGCGTGACTGCTGAGAGAGCCGCCGACAGCGCCGCCTTTATTCCTGTTCCCTACGAGATCCGCTACGGGGAGGCTGAGAAGAGTGGTCTGGAAGCTATTGCTTCCGCCCGGGACTCTGAAGAGCGTGCGGCCTCTCTCTTTACCGACATTGAAGCCCTGGAGCGCGCCATCGAGGAGGTTCTTGCCATGATTGACCGCGTCTCTCGATATGTCGAGTCCGTTATGGATGAGGAAGCCCCTGCCTCCACAGCGTTGGGCCAGTTCCTTCTTAACGCTCTTGCCTTGGCCCCCAAGGTTGAGCCTGCTGATATCGAGCGTGACTTGTACGAACCCCCCCACCCGGTTTTATAGACAATGACTAACAATTATCTACAGCAACAACCACATCCAGGATGTCCTGGTGGTTTCTTACCTCGCCAACACCATTCGCACACAGATGGAACTGTCCAACCGGCTAGCAACCGCTCAACTCACTCTGGGCGGAGAATCCGGTGCTGCAGAGGCTGGCGCCCAGCGTGGCCAGAGGGGCAAAGGTGGCCGTGGAGGACAACAGCGCACCCAAGAGCGGAGTGCAGAGGAGGCTCGTGCATAGGAGTATTAGGATTTCACTATGAAGATACCTTTACTTTACCTTTTCTCTTTTCCCGTGTCATATTTTCGCCCCTTTCCTTTAAAAACATTTCTAGCCCTATTTTACTCAAAACACCATCCGCCTTAAGGGGGGGGGGGGTTTTTTTTGCGAAGGAAAAAGAATTTCCTCGTCTGTTTTTACACCTAGTTCGCATATGAGGCTGTTGCTATATCTACAAATCGACCTCGACTGGGGTAGTCAAAAGCAGATGGAGAGAAAGAGAAGGGGAGGAGAAAACAAAGGAATCAAAAAAAAAAAAAAAAAAGGCACGGCGTATGGGAGTCAACCTGGCTTTTGTTCAGAGTGATGGGCTTAAAAAGAGGAGACGCGGGAGCTATGCATGCATGGATGTGGACTGACGAGATATTTGAATCGCCAGTTTTCCGGGATTTCACTACTTCAACAGGGATAGATAGATAGATCTTTCTACTACAATTGGGTTCATCTCTGTGGTTTGCTTGATCTGAAGATTCTGAAGCTCTGTCTGTATTGTGCCGATGACATGAAATGGACTTGCATGTTCGACCATTGACGAATCCATATTTTGGGAGTTGAATATGACAGACAGACACTAAAAGGACAGAGATAGTAATTTCATTCATAGCCTGCCTGTCTTTACTAAGATATGCACCTAATGTAAGATGTAACTATAACGCCTTCCTTCCCAATGCAGATAGATGGATAGTTCTCGAGCTCGCATTTTCAAATGGATATCACCCAAACCAAGCCTCCCAACGCCTCAAAAGACAAGCGACGAATAAACCAACCCGCCTGAAGCCCGAAACAGAAACAAAATATAGAACCGAAGAAGAAGAAGAAGAAGAAGAAGAAGAAGAAGAAGAAGAAGAAGAAGAAGAAGAAGAAGAAGAAGAAGAAAACAAAGGCCAGCATCGTCAATCAAGCAGCAACCTTCCTCTTCTTGGACACGGCATCTTCCGTAGCGTCGGAATCCCTTCTAGCGCCTCTCTTCCCCTTCCCCTTGGACTTCTTCCCATCCACACTCTCACTCACGTCCTCAAGTCCCTTTTTATCGGCATCCTTCAAGTTCCCCACTTGATCATCGTTTTGATCGAAGGCCTTCCGGGCCTCTTTCAGCTCGCGCTCCATCCGTAGTAGTTCCTGCACACGGCCAAGCTTGTTGGGGTCCCGCCGCAGCGCGAAGCGGAAATCATCGACTTTGATTTTCTGGCGGCGCGAATAGCTCGCGTATTGGGCGGCGCCGTGGCACATCTCGAGGACGAAGTCGGTGACGATTTCGTCCAGCACGCGCACGGTTTCAGGGAGGGGTTCCGAGGGGAATGATGGGTGCGGGCTTGGGTCGCCGTAGGCAAGGAGGAGGAGACGGACTAGACGACAGTTAGATTTAATTGAATGAATGTCCGAGTGTAAAGCGCAGTGACTGGGTCGGCGCGCAAGGGAAAGAAGCAAAAAAAAAAAAAAAAAGCGTACGTTCAGAAGAAAAATTCATTTGGCCCTTGTGCCGGGCGGCACGGGCTCGCGGTTCCGCCATGCTCTTCGGTTGATTTCTCTTCTTCTTCTTCTTCTTCTTGTTGTTGTTGTTGTTGGCCTCTGTGTCTAGGTTGGCTTTCTCTGCTGGAGTAGAAGGGGTGTTGACGGGGTCGTTGGGGGTGAATTGGGGCTTGAACCCGGCGAAAATCAGCGCAGTATCTTGAGGATTGAACGGCCAGGGAGGAGCGAGCTGACTCGACACATGACCTGGGTTGATCTGATGGGGCGGGCCTGGAGGAGTCCCGCGTATCTCTTGCGGGGACACGGAAGGGCGTACAGTCGAAGATGGCTCTTTCGCAGTTCGAGTTGGAGCTGCACGAGGCGGAATCGGAGGAGGGAGCATGAAGTGGACACGTCGGCGGTGAGGCCGATTGGTGGTCGGCATGGCGGCAGAATGGACAACTCGGCTTTCCACCACCAGGCAAGCTGTTATCTAGAAGCTTTTGTTGTTCCAAGATAGATTTGCCTTCAAAGGCTTGGGAACTGTTTCTTGAACTTGCTGTTCCTCTTTACGATCTCTAGGATATTTCTCCCAGGGTCTCAGTTGGATCAGGAAACCCAACAACAGCCTTTCCAGTGTTGTCAAAATGGTAAGTGAATGAAGGAAACAATACCTTCCCCCCTGCTCTGCTACCACCGTGAGATTGTTTGAGGTGAAAGGAAGCTGGAGGAGTTGTTGTAGTTGTTTGGATGATAAAGATAGAGATAACTGACCTGATTCTATAGTCGGCTCTATTCAATTTTCAGTCTCTCCTTCTCGTCATTCTGCTCATCATCTGTACGAGCACCTATGCCCACCACATCATGCCTGGAATCATGGACCGGAATCAAAATGGGTAGATATATGTCTCTTTTTCCTTTCTGGATCAGTCCTGATAGTTGGCAGATTTTTTGGGATATTCTGGAAATGCGCTCGAGTTGGAGAACGACTAAGTCCATACGTTAGCATTTGCTGCGTCTTGATGGCTGTAAGTCTCACGGAAGCAGGCCCCTTTCTCAAACATTTGGATATAAGATTGTATTAACACAAAACGATGGTCAATAGGCGTCGATTTTCTTTGGTGGCTAAGTGCTGCCCCTTTAATATACTTTATAACCTTAAGAGGGCATGGTCACCTACCCAATTATCCAAGTTGAAAATGTCTTTCTGGGCATTCTGTTTTGTTGCCAGGAGTTTTTATGAGAAATGATTTAAATGCATATTATTGTACAAAAGATGATAATTTACACTCCCAGGTATACTATATACAAACCAATACGCCAGTGCTCTATCGATTCCCGTTGTAGAGTTGCCAAAATCCCCACCGTTCGACGCTGAAGATGCTAGACGTAAATGTAACCCACGAAATAGAAAATAATAAAAAAAAAATATGACGGGTATCTTATGCCTTGGATTTCATGTTCCTTTTCAAACGCCGCAGACCCTTTTCGAGCAGCGCCTCGGCCCCCTTCCAGTCCCCAGGTGTATAGAGCGTAGGGCTAGGGTTAGAGTCCGATAGCTTGTCAAGTTCCTCTATCGCCATCCATAATCGCTCTGGGTCTTTCAGATAGCGCAAGGTCTTGAGTGTATGCTCATCCATGGTATATCCCTGGCTCTCCATTTCCTTGACGGCCTTCGCAATTTTGGGAATGTTGTGTGTGTTCACATGATTGCGAATAACCATGTCCCAGGTCACCTTGTTGAATTGTACACCATGTTTGGCCATCATCGCCCGCACTTTCTCTGCAGCATGCGACTGCTTGTTGTACACGAATGAACTCATCAACAGTGTCCAGGTTTGGGCTGTTGGCTTAGCATGAATGTGTTTTTTCTCAGGTTGTTCACTGGCTTCGTTGGAAAAATGTAACATATCTTCAACCAGACGCACTGCAGGTCGGAGCCCTCGTGGATCATTTCGGAATGCAACCAGAAACTCATTATAAGTATGATCGCTCGCTGCTAGTGGGGCGATGGTTGCGTGGCCCTGCCAAGTAAGGCGTTGGAACTGGGCGTAAACGCGCTGGACCGAGGATATATTCTTTTGGCACCGGAGGTAGGTCGCGATCATGATATGCAAAGCGGGCAGAGAAGGCGGTGATTTTTTGCTGCCAGCTGGAGTATATTGGGGTGGGATAATTGTGAGGTCCTTCAATGGGGCGATGTCGTGCAGTTGGTTATACAGTTGGAGCATTGAGTAAAACACCTCATTGGGATCATCGTGTGGGTCGATCTGTTTTGCCCTCGAGAGAAACTGGTAATGCAGAAGCTTACTTTGGATCCAAGCGTTCTCACGGAGATCCTGGCGTGCATTGATCTCCTGTGATAAGGAAAGAACACGCGCTTCGTCCTGGCGAGCTACAGCATCGGTAAGGAGAGTTACATAGGTATAGGTGTCTGCCTCGAATCCCTGGGAATTCATGTACTGCAAGATGTCAAGCCCAACCTGTGGATCTCCTGTTTTGAATGCATTCGAGAGGACGATGTTCATCATGTCGCGATTTGGGCGTATCCCAAGCTCAAGCAGCTTCGGAAGGATGCGGAAGTTGCGTCCCTTGCCGGTGTTTTCAACAGAATCTAGGGTCAGGAGCTTGCAGCAGTGGCGGAGAACTGACGGAGAGTTTAGGAGAAAGTCAGGATGTCCTATATTCCGTACGGATTCAAGTGCCTTGATCGCATTTTCGATGTCCTGAAATTCAATAAAACGCTTCATGTAACAGAGGTAAGTTGGGGCCACTATGTGTAGCTGTTTACTCTCCGCATAGTTGTATGCCGTGTAGAACTCATCACGATCAGCGTGCAGCATATAGAGCCGGGCAGCTTTCTGAGGCAAATAGAAAACCGGCCAGAGCTTTGGATCGAGGCAAATCTTGATAAAGGATGGATTCTTCTTGACAATCTCGGGGTGGCAATCAGATAAACTCAAAACGCAGTCTGCGGACATGGCGAACACTGGCTTGTCTGCACTTTGGCAAGTAATGGTGAGAAAGTCGGGGAGGTGCTTGGGGGAGTGCCACAGCAACCAAAGAGAAAGACGATGCCAGTGAACAGTCTTCTCGAGCTTGCCCAATGCCTCCCACGCATCACGAAAGCTTCCTTGGCCATCATCTATTCGAAGTTTGTCGAGTAGATCCTTGTCTCCTTGACTCAAAACAAGTTTTTCCGGAGACACCACGCGTGGCCGGAGACGCAAGCCGCGACGGGTCGCTCTGTGTATCTCGTTACGGACCATTCTCCATTTCCGAAGCGTCAAGTTATCGTGAAGTAGTGACTGTGATCTTATTTTCCTCTCTTCCTCCAGCAGTTCTTTACCGACATATTTGAAAGTCTTTGCGACGCCGCCAGTGACACGAGGGGTCACATACAAGAGCCTCCCCACTCCATCTTGAGTAGCATCTGTGCCTTGTGATCGAAGATAAGCGACGCGGGGAGACCTTCGACGCCGTCGACGCGGTTGTGGAGTTTTAACATTGTCATGTACAGGTTCTGCTGTATGCTCAGGGTCATTTGTCTGGTTGGCGTCTAGTGTTGGCCGAGGCTCATAGGTCCGAACAGGAACAACCGGAACTGCGTTCTCGGAACCTGAATCATGGCGCTCGGAGGGAATCCTCAAATCGTTGATAATAGTGTCGGACGCGGTGATATTCCCTTGTGCCGCATTGTCAGAAAAATAGCTCGCTGCTGGGACTGCTCTCCTCTGTCGATATAAATGCTGAAGGCGATAACTCTGCCGCGGAACGCAGGAGGGTAACCCAAAGGGCACGCGAACACGCAGTAAATGGAGCGGACAAAATGACATTCAGAATCTCGTTGTCACATACATTGATTATACGTGTGAGTTGAATGAGAATACTTTGCGGACAAAAGGGAACGAGCAAGAAGTCCGGTAATCTCTACGAATGATTTCCCTTCCGAATCATGAAATTTTGCCGGCCGCCAACTGTGGCTGGTGGATCCGCCGCCAAACTGTGGCGTCGCTTTATAAGATGCCCGCATTCCGGCAGTATCATTAATATTGTTATTCGATTTATCGCAAGCTTGCCTTGAGCTGATTCTGGCTTTGTTCACCTGGATTTTGTTTTTCAATTATAATTAGCAGCTACATCGCGTCTCCTCTATCCACTTTCCTATCAATATGTCATCCAATCACGCCTCCCTCGATGCTGCGGCCACAGACAGAAAAGCTCGTCTCGCGAAACTTGCGGCCCTGAAACGGAAACAACCAGAGCCAGAGACACCATTATTATCTGAACCCGGTCCTAAAGAAAATGTCGCCCCAGATGATGTACCGGATGTGACAAAAAAATACCTTTCCGGAAGGAATTACGACCTGGAAACTCGTGGTCCGAAGTTGGGTTTTGACCAGCTCCCAACCGATGGACAAATCACATTGGAAGAACAAGCCGCCGAGATAGCGAAGGAGACTTCAGAGCAAGCGAAAAAGGATGCAGAGGCAGACCAGCCGATCGATCTCTTCAAATTACAGCCAAAGAAGCCCAACTGGGATCTTAAAAGGGATCTGGATCAGAAGATGAATATTCTCAATGTGCGGACACAGAATGCAATCGCCAAGCTTGTACGACAACGGATAGAGAATGCACAGCGCGCAGCCAAGGCAAAGGGGGCCGATGCCAACGGGGATAAGCAGGGAGAAGAGGTGGGAATTGAAGGTGAAATGCTCGTGGAGGGTATTCATGTCCGTGAACGAGAGGAAGAAGTTGACAGGGAACAGGAGGACGAGGACCTGGTATAGTTTTGATACCCATACGGAGATTGACCGATGCTTCTGTGGTTTGTTGGAATCGTCTTATATCTTGCTTTATTGGGCGCTCACATTTTGGGATATGGGTCACATGTCAAAGGCGTTGCGGATACCTCTTACAGTAATGACACGAAATATTACTACCGATACATGTACATCATTCATATTAATCTAAAACTATCCTGAGGTTGTAGAATGGGTTCCATGAGCGCGTAAAAATGGATTTTGTGACAGGCTAAGACACCGAACTCCCCATTCGCTTTTGCTCCCCTCCAAATTGGACCACGATGAATTCATTCTCGAGAATTAACCCCCCATATTCATGGCCTGAGTTAGAGCTAGACGCTTGCTGTAGGGGCTCAGGCTCCGTTCTCGCCGAGGTGGAGGAGGGTGATTTCTTTCATCCCGCCCCCGGTCATTATATGAACCACGAGGCTGGGCTCTGGGAGAAATTCTTCTCTGGTGGTTACTCTCAGCCACGGCCTCTGCGGGCGTCATCGACCGTCTCTCTCGAGCAATTCGTCCCTTGTCCACACCACGACTGCGACTTCTATTTCCCCGGTCCTCATGGTGGGATACATTCCGCGAGCGACCCCGTTCTTTGGGGCTAGATTCTCGACGTCTCCGCCTTGTATTCCTTCCGCCTGTCCATTCGGGAGAGCGCGATCGAGCCTTCTGCTCGGACGAATACGAAGAAACTGAGTAATCGGAAGATGAGTCACTATGGCGTCTCTTCCTTGACCATGAATGAGGAGAGGATTGCGAATTAGCCCTGTTCGATCTGGGTCTTTCAGTGGGCCGTTCACGACGTGGGGATTCCGAGCGTGATCGACCAGTAGATATTGTAGACACAGAGCTAACTGAATGTGAAGATGTCGACCTCGTTCGCTTAGGCGCATGGTCTCGATCCGCTCGAGGATCGAGTTCATCGAGCTCCCTTTTTCGACCGCGCTCTTCCTCCCTCTTTGTCAGGATGCCATCCGCCACACCTTTACTAATTCTATTGGTGAGAATCACTCGGGTATTTTCATTGAGAACCTGAATTTATAATTCACTCACGTGCGCGAAGGGTCTGATGGGACTTCTGTTGAAAGCTGCGGACGTAGTTTCGGGTTCTGTAACTGTTGCGTGCGCGAGGGACGAGCCATGTAAGGCCGCTCTTGAGCGGAGACTTTACACTCATAGCTGTAGTGCCGTAGGAGGGGGGAAAAAAAAAAGTCAGTATAATTAGCGGGAGACCTTGGAAGCTAGGTACATATCTCGTTTCAGGCATTTTTGGCACAGGGTCGAGGCAGTCGCTTTACTAGGACCTCTCACCCCTGGAGCGTTTCGGTATCGATTCATTGAGAAAAGGCCGGCCTCTAGAGAACTGATAGAGAAAAGATGTATTAACGATATAGCACGCGCATCAACCAGCACTGCAAAACAAAAAGCTATACTTGCTTTTTCCTCTGCATTTCTCCCTTCCTGTCCGCGGCTGTCTGGACAAAAGCTAATCATAAGCGCGCGGCTAGCCCAAGCGGCCCACGAAAAGGCGACAAGCGAAACCCGCCTCCGGTCTCTCCGTCTGGCCTCGTCTTGTCTTTATCTCTGCTGTCGTTCTTCCTTCCAGCCCAAGCGACTTCTAATCGAAAGGCTCTACCCATCATCGTCCGACGCCTTGAAAATCTCACCGAGGTTTTGTTCTACTTTGGCGGACGTGGAGTTGCTGTTTTTTTATCACCAATCTTTCGCTTGCTGGAATCCTTTCCTCCCCCCTCTTTACCTAATATAAAAGCGAGAAAAAGTCATGATCAAGTCTTTCTGATAGTCATGTAAGACCAGTCACTTTTCTACCCTTTGCTTGCATATCTCCTTTTCAGGAGTTGGCCTTCAATTAGTCCCCTTTTATTTTATTGATTTTCTCTCTCTCTCTCTCTCTTACACACACACACACATTTTCTTCGTTAGCGTCCCCGTCTGCTTTTCTCTCATTTCCCGCCGCCAATCCTTATCCTGGACTTTGCGATCTAACCTCTCAAGTAGCTTTCCTTATGGCGAATTACGTTGTTCAGAGATATGTCGTCTTTTCTTTTTGGCTCGTGTGAAGTGGGATTTTCCAGTGGCTTTTTCTCTATTCGAATTTCGGTTTCGTCCCTGTGAACTTTCGCGGCTTTTTGGCTGTTCACGCCAAATTCGTCTCGTCGGGTTTCGCCCTATTCTATCCCTCTGTTCCTATTCGATAATCACGCCAGCAAAGAGTCAAAAAGGACTCCTGGAAGGTTTCTAGGTGTATAATCCATGATTATGACGTCGAAAACGTCTACGGGAGACGGACACCGTCTCTCCTTCGCAAAGGTATGTTCTGACGGTGCCTTCATACAAACTGGATCGCTATCTCGAGTCCCTTCTCCTAACACACACCTGAAAAGATTGCTGCTTTGCCCCCACTATTGCAACCGGAAGTTTCTGTTGCATCTGAAAAAAGAATCGGTCCACAGTCTATTGAAGAACCGTCGCCTTCAGAACCGCAATGCCTGCTGGATAACGTTCTTTCTGGCCACGACGGCCTAAATGCCGCGAGTATAGAGGCCCATGCCATCGATCGAGACATCGATTCACTCTCACAGGCCGTGCAAGTCGCCCAAATCTCGGAGAAGACAGGCCAGGAGAGCATGGAATTCTCGGTCGAAGGCCAAGAAAATGGAACTTTGAAACACGAAACCTCATTTGAAGATGATCGGACCCACCTCTCAAACTCCTCAACGAAGCCAACCAGTTTTGATTCAAAAAGTATGGCATCTGTGACTACTTTTGCCATGGACGAAAAAGATTCCCTACGCCCTGATGATAGCGCGAGTGTGCAGGCCATAGACGAGGAAGAATCTCTTTCTGGACCGGCATCTGGTGCACCAAACTCATTGACGGGGTCTGAATCTGGTGCGCGTGGCTTCAGGGATCTCCAAAGATCACGGGTACCTCTTCCGAGCGTGGCTCCAATTTACAATGATGGTTCTCAAAGGACCAATGGTGTCTGTATAGCAGACGCGGTTTCCAACAACTTTGTCGTTGCCAACCCAGATGCATTTTCGGCTGGTCGACCTTTGCATGGATTCCCCTCGGAGCCTGATGAGAAGCTTCTTGAGGCTATGAAATCCCCCAAGGACCGTCTTCTAATTCTGCAAATAGAAGAAAAGGTCAGACACTTTATCCAGAACTCCAAGTAAGTCATCCGCCAAATGAATTCAAATTGTTTTTCACTTTACCTAACACTGGAAAAGGGAACAATCTTTGGAGCTGCCACCTTCCAATGCCTTTGGTCGACTCCTTGCGCATAAGTTGGGTGATTACTACCATCTCACCCATTTCGTGGACAACAATGTTACTTCAGTCCGACTCCATAGGACACCTTTCTGCCGACTGTGAGCACATATCACTTCCTAGCTTTTCGGAGTCCCTTTTTTTTTTTTTTTTTTTTTTTTTTTTTTTTACATGCGAACAAATGCCACGAACACATGCTGATTTTGTCTAGGCCCACCCCCCTCTCTATTCTACATGCTTCAACAAATAGCACACCGCCTCCGACGATGCCAGCGATGAAAATTATGCGTCGCACAGATGGGGAGCGGCCTTCGACCGAAGGAAGCATAGCCGCAAGTTCGTCGGCTCCCTCCAAAGCTACTTCAGACGCAGGTGACAGTGGTCATGATGGGGAGCGTTGCGGCTCATCCGCCGGAGCCACGCCTGCTAAAGATAGGCTGCCGCTCACTAGAGAGGAACGCGAAGCGAAGTATCAGGAAGCTAGAGAGCGGATTTTCAGGGATTTCTCAGAATCAAAAACCCCAGACATAAACGGAGATTCCACCACCAATATTTCCCGCTCCAGCTCCACTAGTGGGCGGAAGAAGACACAGAGGCAAAAAACTCCCCATGACGACAGTTTTGAGGCTCGTTCCCAGTTCAATGCGTATTATCCAGGCATGAATTACTCCAACGGACCAATATCGTACGGTATGGGCATGGGTGACCCATCAGCCCCCAATCAACCTTATATGGTAGGACCTGGAGTAGCGCCACCAAGTATGGGATATGCCCCTGCTCAAGGCGGCGTCATGTATTCTGGACAAGTGAATATGACCTCGGCGCCTCATTATCCCATGCCGGTATCTCCTCAGATGACTACAAGCAGCCCTTGGCAGAATGCCGGTGTTCCCCAACAATCACCCTACTCCGGGTATGCCGCCATGAACCAGTCACCAGCAATGACATCTGCCAAAGTCTCTCCGGGCTTGAACAACTACCCTATTTCAAATCCAGCACAATTCCAGCCGACTCCTCCGGGTTGGTCCTCTCCGCCGTATCAGAGTGGCTACCAACAACCCACCCATCGGAATCAACCACCAATTCCGTGGACAAACTACCAAACGCAACCACTCAACACAACCTCTTACCCATATCCCCAATACGCTGGCCAACCTATGAACTCCGGAATGCCAACCCATCCAGGTTCACATCCCCTGCCGGGTACCTTCAATGGCAATAGATCCCACTTCAATCCTCAAACGCGCTCCTTTGTTCCAGGTGGCGCTGGCTTGGGGCGATATCCTGGCAAAAGTAGCCAACCCGGCATGTATGGGGGTCTGCAGCCCGGTCTGCAGCCTCAATGGAACGCATATCAAGACCCGCATAGCAAAGGCCAGGAGCAATCTGGACCCAGTTTACCCCGGGGGATACCTTCGGGAACCAAAGATTCGATTGCCAAATGGGGAACACCGTCTCACCTTCCTCCAAAACCGCCTCCATCCGAAGTTCCATCTGATTTTGAATTGAAGCACCGGAATCCCCCCCTTTCCTCCTCCTCCTCCTCCTCCTCCTCCCCCCCCACCAATTCTTATACTGGGAATGCGTTGCCCAACCCTAAAAATGGCCCCCTTGTTGTTTCTGGAGGGACGAGTCTTGCACGGCCAAGCTCATAAGTAGGGAGGTGAAGCTATCATTGCGAGCTTGCGAGCTTGGTGGGGTGATTGGGTAGTTTCTCGTCTGTGTGAGAGGTCAACGGTACGGCTTGATATAATCTTCAGAATCCGTGGTAGATAGCTTTTGAAAGGAAGCCCAGATCGAAGACGCAGCTAGACGTGAGATTAAACAAAATGCAAAACTGACTTTGTGAGATAAATCTGGGTGGTCATTTGTCTAAAATGTCAGCCTGGTGCCGTAGCAGTCAAAAGGTTGAGTGAGATGGTATGGATGTGCATGCATCCCCATTGCTGTGGTAGATTTGGATGGGCTGGGGAATAGCGATGGATTGATTATCAGTGTCTTAAAAGGTCAATTTTCACATATCAGTAATGTATTGCTATTTATTCTCTTCCTACTGATGCGTAGTACTAACTACTAGTTAACTAAGTAGGCACGACGACGTAAAATAATAACCAAATGTGCTCCTTTAATTCCAGCAGGCCACGATAAAGGAACAAAACAGCACCATACCAAGTTCCGCATACACCCCGCGCACCGCAATGGACAAAATTCGAGATAAAATGAAGAAAAATCTGCTGGAATATCCCAATAGCTAGAAGTACACGCAGGTAGAAACAAATAGTCAATAGTAGCAGTATATAAGAGTACACATGCAGGTCAGGCCGAAACCCTGCTGAACCCTTCATTCACCCTGTATCAACAACGCCCAAGCATCCAGCCTCTTATCTCGATCTCTACTGCTGCTGCTGCTGCTGTTGTTTCTCGGCTCCCTCCTCCGCGTCGTTGGCCGGTTTCGCACGGCCTTGCCCCTGAGCCTTGCCGTCGTCCACCTTTAACCGGTGGATCGCCCGCTCTAGCTCTTCCACGCCGTTCTTGCGGAACTGGGTTACCTTGCGGACATTCATTGTTGTGAGTTCATCGAGGGTCTCGAGGCCCTGGCCGCGTCGGCGAAGAACTGTTCGTGCGGTAAGCGCAAAGCGCATGTCCTTGGGTCCATCGACAAGTTCCAGGATCGCACTGGGTGCCTGGTCGTCTTTCTTGGGCTCCACTCTCAGTACTCTGGTATAGCCGCCGGGACGCTCAGCGTAGCGTTCACGGAGGGGGCCGAATAGTTTGGGGAGGATATCGTGGGGTGTCTGGTATGGTGTGATGATGTTGGTTAGTTTTTTTTTTTCTTTCTTCTTTTTCTTCTTTTTTGTTGCTGTTGTTGTCTCTTCTCATCTTTTTCTCGCTCGAAGAAACTAAAAATAATAATAATAATAATAATAATAATAATAATAATAATGAAATACATACGTAAAAAGTCTCAAGAGCCCTTCGTCGACTCGCCTCGGTGTTCTTCTTGCCCAATGTGATCAGTTTCTCGGCTAGTCGTTGAGCCTCCTTGGCTTTTGCCCATGTCGTCGTGATGGATTCGTGCTTGAAGAGAGATGTGACGAGGTTACGAAGGAGGGCTTGTCTGTGCGATGATTTCCGACTCAGATGGCGGTATTTAGCTGCTCCTCCGGCCATGGTGATGTGATGGTGGTGGATGTGGATGTGGAAACGAGATTTTATTCCGGGGGGGGTTTTAGGCAGGTTGGTTTCGATAAGTAACGGTAGGATTCAATTGTTTTCCAATTCCGAAGCGGCGCGACAAAAATCCAGAGTTGCGAGGGAAAAGGTTAGGTTAAAGGAAAGATGTTTGATGTCGGGAAATGATTGGAATTGTTCTGGAGTTCTCAAAAGGTGCAGGATTCGATTCGCCAATCGGAGTGTGTTGAGCACAACCTCTCTGGGCCCGCAGAACGGAACTTCTTCGATCATCAACCATACCATACCTAACCATCACTCGACTTGATTTTCTCTCCTCTCTTTCGACAGGATATTATCTTAAGATATAACGTTATCAACTCCGTCAACACCCGTGAACATACCCAGGTAGCTCCCTGCACCTACCAAAGACTTCCCCTCCAGTGTTAGTTATCATCCAATTGAATAACGCCGTCGCTACCTCTCCACCACACAAGATGGGCTTCTTCGCTGGCTTTGTACGTTGTCGTGTTCATATCCATTCGACGATGATGCCTCATTTCCCGTCGAAAGGGGAAATCTAGCAGCAGAAACAAGAGGAATCCGTCCTTACTAACACTCCATGCAACGAATGAACAGTTCAGCGGCTTCGCCCTTACAACCTCGATGCTCTATCTCACTGTCCAAGTCCACCGGTCAACTCGCATCGACCAACGCGACGCCATCCGCGAACAAACACAGAATATCAATTGGCTGGCTTTGTCTACAGGTGCTTACGACCGCCGTCTGATTCCGAGCGATATCCCGCGTTCAAAGGAGGGGGCCGCAACACCACAGATGAAAGATAAGCTGAAGCATCGGTGGAATGAGGAGGTGCAGAAGCTCGCGAGGAAGGCTTATGATAGCCGCTGGGATGGTGTGCGGGATACGGCGGCGGAGGGATGGAAGAGTGTAAAGCGGCTGGTGAAACGGGATTGATATTAGGATGCTTTGCTTTCCCTCCCTCTTGTATAATTGGTGTTTATTTGGATCCAAAAGCATTGGGTTACGGTTTTTTTTTTTTATGTTTATGAGTAGCTTTGGTTAGGATACCCTTCATTACTGTCTCGACAAGCGTTTGGTGTTATTATTGTATGTCCAGCACTCTGCTTTTCTGCATATATAAGTATATTGGTATTGATTAATTAATTAAATACTTTGTCGGAGTTATAGAACGGCTTGATCAGAGCTTCTATCTTTATTCAAGTCGTTCGGGCCTCGTACTCTCGGAGCAATAATAATGGACTTGGGCAGTTCAAAGACTGTTTTCTCGCCCTAGACATCTTTGCTGGTGATACCAGTCAACCAGTCAATTTAATTCCAGAGATGGGTCTAGAGCAGGGGAGAGGGATATCTGGTCGGCTGAAATAGAGCATGGTCATGTCTCAGCGCCTTCCGAGTGAACAGTAGACAGGGTAGCAGTGCTCATGCTGTCATCGTCGCTCCAGATATCTTTGCTCTCGGTTTCCATCGTGCGCATAGCTTGAGCAATTTCCTCCAACTTGGCTACAACGTCCAAAACCCCGTTGTTGACTCGATCGAAATATCGATCATTAGCTTCCCGCCGGTCGCGTGCGAGTAGAATATCTTTCTCTGTCTCCTCATCTAGGTTCCGAGAAGAACTGTCGGCTTCTCCCGGGGTTTGTCCCGCAGGGCCTGTCGTCCGCGAATCCATTTTCGCAAAGGGAGGCTTCTGCGCCGCCGGGGGTTTGGACTCAACCACTTCATCTTCCGCTTCACTACGCGCCCAGGCCTGCGCTAGCCACAAATGTTTCATTCGCAAATCCTCCAGCGCCTCCGAGTGTTTTTCTCCAAAAACATGTCCGCGGGCCGCTGCGCTCACTTCTACATCCGATAACGCACTTTGCATCTCCTCCCATAGCGCATCCGAGCCGTCTATTTCACCTTTGGACTGTGTGCGAGACAGAAACGGGGAGAGCGCCCCATGGGTATCAAGAGGTTTTGAAGAGCGATTCCGGTTTAAAAGCGGACGTGGAGGAGCTTGACCTCCTGGAGTGACAACCATAGGTACAGGTGGTTGAACTGATAGATTGGATGCGTTATGAGAGGGCGGGCCTTGAAACAGAGCTGGGGGAGGAACGCGCTGGGAGCTCACTTTCCTCAGCATTTCTGGGGCGGCGCTACTATCCATGGTGGCTGATGAAAATCAAGGGAGTGCAGGCGGGGTCAGGTATTGAAACGGGGTCACATTCTAGTCAATATGCAAATCTCGGGTCAAGAGACATGAAATATAAGAAAGAGAGAGAGATGAAACAGAATGCTATCAATCACTGCTGCTTATCGTTATCGACATCGGAAGCGGGCCATGTTTTTCCGATCCCGTGCCTCGCTTAGCTGCCGTTTAGGGCGAAGGCGCACAGGAAACACAATTTCGCCCTCTCCGACTTTAGCGAGACCGCCGGCCGTGAAAGGAACCTTTTGACCCTTCGACTTCGACAACCATCGCATCCAGCCATTTGGCGCATATCCATCAGTCGGTAGGTACCCTCCTGGTTATTCGGTTCTATTCCTTGTCAGCTTGCAGGGCAACAAAACCACCACCTTTGCAACATCTCCAAAAAATTTCCCGTTCCAGATATTCAACATCATCTCAAAAAAACCACCACCCCACGAGAAAGCCCACCACCAATAAATCTCCCAAACACACATACGAAACTTGCTTGTTTTTTGTTTTTTTTTTCTTGCCTTGCCTTGCCCAGGTTTCTAACGCATCTCAATTCTTTTAACAGAAAACCGTCCTTTCGAACATAATCCGACAAGATGGGTAAGGGACAACCCCGTGGTTTGAACGCCGCCCGCAAGCTCGCAACCACCCGTCGCGAGAACCGCTGGGCCGATCTGCACTACAAGAAGCGCCTTCTCGGCACTGCCTTCAAGTCCTCTCCCTTCGGTGGTGCTTCCCACGCCAAGGGTATCGTCCTCGAGAAGGTCGGTGTTGAGGCCAAGCAGCCCAACTCCGCTATTCGCAAGTGTGTCAAGGTCCAGCTGATCAAGAACGGCAAGAAGGTCACTGCTTTCGGTGGGTGTGCCCTTGATTTCCTTGTTTTGTTATGAATTGGGGTAGATATTGGCGCTTGGATTTGGATCATAAAAGAGAGGATGGGAAATGATGGAAAGAGAAAGAAAAAAAAAAAAAAAAACAGATTATTGGGAATACTGGGGAAACTTCAATCTACACCTACATGGGAAAGAACGCATCGCTAACCTGAGAAAAATGCTTTATAGTCCCCAATGACGGTTGCTTGAACTTCATTGATGAGAACGACGAGGTTCTCCTCGCTGGTTTCGGTCGTAAGGGCAAGGCCAAGGGTGATATTCCCGGTGTCCGTTTCAAGGTCGTCAAGGTCTCTGGTGTCGGTCTGATGGCTCTGTGGAAGGAGAAGAAGGAGAAGCCCCGTTCTTAAACAACCAACCCGGGCGGAAGACGATCGATGTGATATCCGAGAAGAAAGGGCCCATTCCATTGAACGTTGGGAGGCACGCTCTATGGGTCTGGAAATTATGGTTCAGGATGGATGACCCTGCAAAAAACCATTGCAGATACTACGATTGATATATTCATTAAAAGATGGCGCCATGATTTATTTCTTTGGGACGGGCCCTAAAATTCACAAAATTCTTCAAACCTTTTTTTTTTTTTTTAACTCCATGTAGGATGAGTAAAAGCCTAATAATAAGTAGTATTTCGAAGTCAAACAACGGGGGCTACTAGGATATAATGATTATTTAGGATTCCTACGACTTTTTACGGCCGCGATTCGCAGAACCGGTATACTAAGTAAGCCCGGACTTTTCATGTATTCTCTCATAAATTGAATTTGTTTTATCTCTAGCTTTTGTTTCGTCATAAAGAGTCCCGCGTTTTAGAAATTGATGTCTTCCTTCCGGTAATGGTCCGACACAATACGGTAAAGATAGGAGGGCGCATGTCCTCCCCTGTCGCACATATTAGTTCTACTCTATATATATATATATCAGGGAAAAAAAAGGAAAAGGGGGGAAGGAAGACCCACAAATTCGTAATATAGAGATCAACCAACTCCGCTGGAACGTAGTCGTACAGCGGGTTTTGCACATCGATCTGATCAACTAAATCGCCATCTTCGTATCCAATGACTTTGCTAGAGTCCCCGTACTCAATCAGGGAGTCAAAGTCGAACGGATATACAGGGCTCAGCTTGTAGACACCACTAACGACCACAACCGGCGTCTGGTGAACCTTGGCTGCCCGAGCAATAACCCGAGTGCCTGCTGCAGCGATGAGCCCGCCGTTAGCGAGGACGGAATGTGTGCCCAGGATGACTTTATTGACGCGAGACATGAGGGCAAAGATGGCGGAGTCGGGAATAAGGATCACAGTAATGCCCAGCGCAATCAAAGGTTTCTGGAAGGATTCGGTGCCGAGGAGGTCATCCTCGTTGGGGGCAGTGCCACTCACGGTGGCATGCGTCGCTTCGTGGTTATTAGGGTACGATTCAGCATGGATGACGGTAAACTTTCGTTTCGCAGCAGCTTTGAGGAGGAATTTCTGTACGGTAGTCGATGATGTGTGCGTGAGAATGATTTCGTTCGAGTGGATGTGTTCAAGCGCGTAAGCCGCAATCTGGTCATCAACCTGGCCCAGCTCATCAATAATTTCACCGATCCCATCGAGCACCTCGGCGCGAATATCCTTGTTCGGAGGGTGTCCGGGTAACCGGCCTGATGGGGAAGCAGATACTGGGGTCCCAGGGAGGGAGGGATCAGGCTCAGGGTGGGAGAGGAGACTGAACATTGATATGGGGGTTGCGCTCAGCGAAGATAGCGACTTCGAGTCATGGCGGGCAAATAGAACATCGGACGGGTCTATACGAAGAAGCGTTAGTCTGTTCAAAGAATACGCAGCCATCTGCTTTTGTATCAGCTGAGTGAGGAATTACCGTCTCCCGCACGGGGGGTCTGCGGTTGGCTTTCGGAGCCTGCATCACTCAAGGTAAAGTCTCCGTCTCTGTCATCCTCCGCCTCATCTCGAATCAACCCCAACACACGTCTCACAATGTTTCCAACCACCATCTCCCTGGGCTGCGCGGCGATTAAACGTCTTCCCACACTCTGGACCCGCTCAATGAGCTTCGCTGCATCGTTCGTCCTGCATGCTGAGATGACGCTGCGCAGAAGGTAAGCAGTCGCGGTCGCGCATGACCTAGAATGCCGGATTTGTCTTCGCTTAAGGAGGCTATATACTGTCAATATTGGACAGGACAAGAGCAAATGTAGTTGAGGACGTACGAGATCAAATTATCAATAGATGTGTCGATAGGATTGGTCTTCAAGGATTTCAAGAAGGATGCCAATCCAGGCGTCAAAGCGACCGAGTTTACTGGCATTATTTCGATCCTCTAATCCGCAGGGGTTGTACCTCAAGATGATCCAAGTTCTCTCTCGAGCGTCCTTCAGACGTATACCATTAGCGGGATTCTTGAGTCAGGCATGGACTTTTCCCACACTCACCAGTATCTTTCGTAGTCGAAGAAATGAACAGTAAGAAAGGAGGACTGCAATCCTCGACGACTAAAATGCAAACAAGTCCCTCGTGGAGCTTAACTAGACAAGTGATGGATCAGAGAGGGAGGGAGGGGGGTTGCAGAGACGATGGTGGGATGTGATGAAATGGAGTTTTTGCCCGCCTGCGAAAGAAACCATTTGCTTGGCCCCAAACCAACCCAAAACCTCGTCGATTTCCCTCCTCCAACTAACTGCCCACCATCTATCTCTTCTCTTCTCTCCTCTCTCCCCCTCATCATCGACATCTTTCCTCCAAACTCGAGTTGTACGGCTACTGTGGATTTCTTCCTTGCTGTTTATTACCTCAGCTTTCCCCTCCGTTGTGACCTACCCCGGTTATCGATCTATCATCATCACCACCATCATCATCATCATCATACTTGCTGTCCGTTTCCGTTCCCAACCCAGCAGGACTGGAGGTAGCGGTGCTTTCGAATCACGGGTTGTCGACTGGCGCATTGAGGTTGGTCATAGTCAGATTCAACTTTCTCCACCCATTTCTCCTATCTCCCTTTTGCTTCTACCGTCTTCCTGCCTGCACTTTCCCTTCCGTCCATCCCCAGAATGGGTCCCACCCACTTTACTTTGGTCCGGTGATCGCTGACTGCCGCCCTTCGCGCCGCAGATACCTGCGCCAGCCCGGACACCCGTGGACCGAATTGGAAGATGAATTCCCTGAATATTTTGTCGTCCCGAGTCATTGGCCGGTCGTCGAGCCCGAAGCGTAGCCGCCAACGATCTCGTTCACAAGGGGACATCTCTCCAGCGATACCCGGCGACCTTGCGAAGCTTCGGTCCTACAGCGAAAGCAACTTTCATTCAGCTGATGCCAATGAGAAGAACAGTGTCGATGTACCTGATCCCACGGAGGATTACGACCATTACGAACACACCTTTAACGAGAAAACGCCGCTAATACGAGGGCTCCAAAAGGATGCCTCACTGGCCACGAGAAGCTCTCTCGGTTTGATTGCCCAGCGCCTTTTTGAAGCGCTTACCGAGACAATCAACTTCATACTCTCCAGCCTGGCTGCCCCGGGGATATATGTGGCTCAATGTTTTCGTGATGAAACAGGTGTCTACTCTCCGGTGGCACCTATGAGAAGGCTTCAGCGGTCGATCTTTGGTGCTTCGTCCTCAGCGAGTCCGGACACGCCAAGTAAGAATAAGAGTCAAGCGGACAGCAATCGGCAGCCTGGCTCTATGAAAAAGCTGAAAAGCCACGCCTCCCGGGACTCCATGGCCTCAACCACCACTTCCGATTCGGAGGGGGATCGTCGCGCTGTTAAATCTCTCCCAAGTAGTCGACCGCGCGCCTCGAAACCCAAGAATTCGGCCCAGGAGTCGGTATCAGATGCAAGCGCCCCCCGACGTTCTATCCGAATCAAGCTCAACAACGAAGAAGCCCTGCAGCGGCAACGGCAACGTCGGACACGCAGTGCCGATCAAGATCAATCGTCGCCGAGCCGATCCCCAGGGTCCCTCGACCCTGACAGCTTAAAATCCCCAACATCTCCGTCGGTCCATAAAGTCACTCGGTATCCTCACTCTCCCATACCCCCGCGGCCGCTCATTCCATCGCGTCTCCCATCATATACAGCCACCGGACGAAACCCGAGGATCCCGCAAAAAACCCTGGTTCTGGACCTAGACGAGACCCTCATCCACTCGCTTGCCAAAGGTGGCCGCATGTCTAGCGGTCACATGGTTGAGGTAAAGCTCACCACACCGATGACAACTGCACTCGCACCTGGCGCACCCCCAACCACCCTAGGACCTCAGCACCCGATCCTGTATTATGTGCACAAACGTCCTCACTGTGATGAATTCCTCCGTAAGATCTGCAAGTGGTATAAATTGGTTATTTTCACCGCGAGCGTCCAGGAGTACGCCGACCCGGTAATTGACTGGCTAGAGCAAGAGCGGAAGTATTTCCAAGCGCGGTATTACCGGCAACACTGTACTTTCCGAAACGGCGCTTACATCAAAGACCTGAGTTCAGTTGAACCGGACTTGAGCCAAGTGATGATCCTTGATAACAGCCCTGTGAGCTATATCTTTCACGAAGGTAAGCCACTTCTTCGTTGATTCCTATATCCCAACAATCAACTCCAACTAACAGCACCCCAGACAACGCTATCCCTATCGAGGGTTGGATTAATGACCCAACGGATAACGGCCTGCTTCACCTAATTCCCATGCTCGAGGCTCTGCAATACGTGACCGATGTGCGGGCGTTCCTGGCATTGCGTAGAGGAGAAGCAGATGCTCTTTGATAGTTCTTGGGATGGGGAAAATAGACAGGAAAATTATACTCTGCTTGATGCCCCGAGATTTTATATAATACATGCAACCTTTTTTATTTCTCACGTTGCACGCTGTAAAGAAGGTTGATCGAAGCATGATGAGTGTTTTTAGCATTATTATTGTTATCTGCATACCCCTTTTCTACCTACACTGTTTATTGGCACTTGTTTTTTTGTTTGTGTATGTGTGTGTGTGTGTGTGTGTTTTACTTCCACTGGTTTTCTCTCCTCATGGTATATTTCAACATGTCACTCTCCTACTATTACTTACATGAAGTAATGAATCAATTCTTTTTCATTTCTTATGAGGGAACCTAGGCCGCTATTATAATATATATATATATATATATATATATCTATATATGTACTTATTCCTTTAATTGTGGGGAATATTCTAATTTTTAAATTGTTTGATTGTATTTCTAATAATAATAAACGTATGTATGTATGTATAAAATGCATGTAGTACTGGTGTTTTATAGTCCCTTGGCCTGCTGGGCTTCGGTGATTGCCTCCTGAAGAGCCGCGATAGCCTTGGTAATGTCAGTGCGGGCTGGGTCTGTGATGCTAACACCCATGTGTCCAAAGCGGATATACTTGGTGGCAACCTCCTTGTGCAGGCCGCCCGCGAAGATCACTCCACGCTTTAGGATGCCGGGGAGGACATCTGGTGCGGCCAACCCCTCGGGCAGCCAGATGGCTGTCATGGCGTGGGCTTGGTTCTCCGGCTTGGACGCCAACTGCGTCAGGCCGAGCCCGGCAATCGCAGCCTTGACACGGTTAGAGGCCGCGGTGTGCAGATCGAAGCGCTCTTGCATCGGACGGGCGGTGATCTGGGAGAGCGTAGTGTGGAGGGCGTGCACCAGTTGGGTGGGGGGGGTGGCAAAGTAAGAGGGCTTCAGGTTCTCGTAGTTCTGCATGATGGGGAGCCAGTTGGCCATGGAGCTGTAGTACGAGGATGGCGGGGTCTTGCGCGCCTTGAAGGTCTCAATTGCTCGACCGGAAACCATGAGAATGCTCAGTCCGGGGGGGCAGCCGATAGCCTTCTGGCTGGCTGTCAGAACCACATCCAGGTCCCATTCATCAAAGGCAATCTCCTCACAGCCAACACTGCAGACCCCATCCACGACCACCAGGGTGTCGGGGCTGACCCGACGAACGATCTCGGCCACACGCTTGATGTCGCTCAGCACGCCAGTGGAGGTATCAACGTGTGTAATAGTGATGACCTTGTAGGACTTCTCCTTCAGCGCTTGCTCGATCTGCTCAAAGGATGGGCGCTCTCCAATGGGGGCCTTGAGTTGTGTTGCATTAGCTCCGTAGGTCTCCAGGCAGGACGCGAATGAATCAGCGAAGTAGCCAGTGTGTAGGACAAGGGCATCCTCGTCCTTCTCGACCAGGTTGGCAGCGACGAAATCCCAGCCTAGGGTACCACTACCGGAAACCACGAAGGGCTGAGCACTGGGGTTGGTAGACTGGAAAAGCTTCCGGACCATGGTCAATGTTTCTCCAAAAGTCTTGACGAAGCCGGGAGCGACATGGCTCTCGCTAAGAAATTACCCCCGCGTGTCAGTATAGATCATATCATCTCACCGCCAATGTAGCTAGGCAGTTAGGGGAGTAAACTCACGCGTAATGGCCCATAGACTGGAGGACGGCATCATCGAATTCGATGGGACCAGGGATGAGCAAGGTGGGGTGAGGGGCTTGGGCGGACATCTTGACAGCAGGAGATGACGATTGTCGATGGTGGGAAGTGGCAGGAGGGTCCGACGACGGCGGAGTAGGAGAGCGATCGAGGGGCTTATATTCAATGTCGTCGGGGACTTGGGAGTTCCTCTCGGTCGAGAACGGAGTGTTAAGCTCAGGCAGTGGTAGGCGCTGATCCAAATGTCTAGAGATCAGGCTGAGACGCTCAGCCGTGGTGCGTGCGGACGCCAGCGTTTCCGAGGGGTCGGCTCTTGACGGGAGAGCCCGCGGGGTATGACGAAGATGGGATCCAGGTGGAGGAGGAGAGGAGCTGGAGAGGGACAAGTCGGAAATCGCCGGAGAGTCAATTCTTGTTGATTCCAAATAGATAGTACTTTACCATTGTAAGTACTAGTATTAGTGACCCACCCTGACTCCTGTCCTCGCGATTCTTCTCCCGCTGGCGTCTTTCAGAACCGCGGAGCCATCCGTAAGGACTAAGACGCGTGCATTTCTGCTGTCTTGACCTACATAAGTTTTTTTACTATACTACTCTGTTTAATTGGATGAAGCGATTCAAGGTTATTCTACCTCCATTCGGTTTATTACCCCAACGTCCATCACTATGGCTCTGTAGGGTAACAAGAGTCAATGGAGTATCAAGCCTCACTGCTTCCGGATTCATGTCCTATTTAGGGCTTAGGGTTATCAACTGTGGCTGAGCCATTGGATCTAGCTTTCCCCGCGATAGCTTTAGGGATGTTGTACTTGTACTCTGACTAGCTGCTGCTGGTATACCTGGGCTGTTGAACCAACCAACCTGTTTCCACTCCAGGATGACTTCGCGTCTGGTCCTGGTCATTGGTGACCTCTTTATCCCGGATAGAGCCCCCGTATGTGACTTCACCGCTCCTCCCAAGCACAAGCTTTATCTCGCCCTGGCTAACCTGTTATTCTCAGGATCTCCCGGCCAAGGTACGCATCCTCGCATCGCATCACATCCCCAATACAATCCCCCCCCCCCGTGATTGACTCGGTCGCAGTTCCGGAAGCTCCTCACGCCAGGCAAGATCGGCCAAATATTGTGCTTGGGTAACCTTACCGATCGCAATACCTTTGAGTTCCTCCGTGGAGTCGCCCCGGACTTGCAATTAGTCAAAGGCGACTTCGATGTCGACTCCACCAACCTGCCCCTCTCGAAAGTGGTAACTCATGGAAGCCTACGGATCGGGTTTACCCATGGCCATACAATCATTCCACCCGGTGATGCAGACGCTCTGCTTATCGCTGCTCGTCAAATGGACGTAGATATACTGCTTTGGGGTGGTACCCATCGGTTCGAAGCCTTCGAAATGGAAGGAAGATTCTTTGTGAATCCCGGTAGTGCCACGGGTGCGTTGAGTACCGGGTATTGGCCTGAAGGGGAAGATCCGACACCGAGTTTCTGTTTGATGGATGTAAGTCAGGCAACTTGTATACACTACCCAGGTGGATGTCTTATGCTAACGTCTTCCAGATCCAAGGTGATGTTCTTGTGCTGTATGTTTACCAGTTGAAGACGGATGCCAATGGGGCCGAGACTGTTGCAGTCGAGAAAGTCTCATACCGTAAGAATAATCCATCCTCATGAACTGATTGATGCTTCTGCTGCTTTGCCTTGTACATATGCCATAGATACAGCCATGATTATGACATTTCTTTCATCTGATGATAACACATATTTTTTTTTTAATTGTACCTTTATCTTGATGCTGGATGAGATATTCCTTGATATGAAACATTTCCGAGTTTGTATCCCCTTGCACCAAAACGATTTCTTATAAGCGCCGAGCGTAAGGCTCGATAAGCTTGATTTTCCCCAAGCGCACCGCACCTCCAATTGAGGCCAGAGCCACATAAAAGCAAAGGAAGAGGGAAGACACGTAAAAGCAGATGGATTTAAAAAAAAGATAATTGAAACGAGGCCATTTAAACTTGGTCTATGAGAATCCCTCCCCCAAAATCTTAGCGCCGAAAAGAGTTGTCGGCGAAGGAAGGGTTCAGATGACAAAAGTCGCTAGGCCGGAAAAAGCAACAGTAACTTCGGCGTCGATCTAACGCGAGCATCACATTTACTTTCTTCTACTCAGTATCTCTAATCATCAATCGCATATCATCGCCGCTCGTTCTCCCAAGGAAGAGGGTCCAAGTTGGCTGTGAAACCATCTGTTACCCATTTGAATACGTCTCTACCCTCTCCTCACCGATTTTCATCCCTCTAGCTCGCAGCACTAGTCAGGCGGAGAGCTCCCACCACCACCCACTCTTTCACCTGCGACTCTCGTGACCGGAACAGGGTCTCTCCCACAATGGCTACCGAAGAACACGAAATCAAGGATGAGCGCCTGGAAGCTCACGAAGAAGGAGGCGATGATGAGGTAAGGTTGGCTCCAACAGTCGGCGGCCGATGAAACAAGCAGAGAGAACTGAGAGCTTCGCTCCTCGGATTCTATTTGCCTGTATTCGTCGCCGGAAAAAATTTTTTTTTTTTTTTCGAATATTATCGCGATTCTATATTGATGAGTCTTTGGCTAATCTGGAGTTTTGCATTCTTAGGAGGAGATTGCTGCCATGAAGAGACGAGTGGCCGAGATGGAATCTGAAGCTGCGAAGCTGCGCGAAATGCAAGCTACCCTCGATCAACAATCCGAGAACCTGCGAGAAGATAAGGAAGAGATCGATGCCCGGAGTATTTTTGTCGGCAATGTGGATTATGGAGCCTCTCCCGAAGAAATCCAGGCGCATTTCCAGAGTTGCGGCTCGATAAACCGGGTTACGATTCTCCTAGACAAGTTTACGGGGCAACCCAAGGGGTATGTTGCGCGTCGCTACCCCCTAAAACAGGGCGTTTGGGCTCGTTTTCTACAAGGAGTTCTGCTGACTTAGTGCTGTAGCTACGCTTATGTAGAATTTGCTGAGCCTAGTCTGGTCGCCCAGGCCCTCGTGCTAAATGAGAGCGTGTTCCGTGGCCGAAACTTGAAGGTGGGCCTTTCACAAGACCTGAATTGACTGGTTCTCGTTTGCTAATTAGTTGTTGTATGCACAGGTCGTTCCCAAGCGCACCAACCTGCCCGGCATGAGTCGTGGACGCGGCCGAGGTGGTCGCGGCCGGGGTTACCGGGGAGGGTTTCCCCCTCGTGGAGGCTATCGCGGCGGCTATCGGGGCCGAGGACGAGGCTATGCACCTTATTAATGATCTCCATCGTAAGGCCAATGCATTTACGGGCGAAATCGTCAAAGAAAGCGCCAGGAAATCTCAAGCGAGTCCACTGTTGAGCTTAGAAGAAGCGCCACGGGAAAAAAAAAAAAAAAAAAAAAAAGAAAAGAAAAGTCCGTTCAGTGCGGAGCCATAGGAGTTGAAGATGGTTCTCTATATTAAAATTTCATGGAAGGCTTCTCTCTGGAGTTACGGACTGGAATGTACAACTGTATGATAACCATCTGGCACCAGCGTCCTGGACCGGATGGGCAGGATCGCTTGTACCTCTGATGTCGCATATTCTACCCCCTGAATATTGATTGATTTTACGATCGACCATGGGAAATCCAAAGGGATAGTTAGGAATAGTCAGGGGATAGTCTTTGGAGACAATCCCCTTTTGTTGAGCATTAATTTTGCAAGAAGTATAGCGGACGCCTTGTCATCGGAAGTAATGGAAGAGTTACATGTCAACAATAGATCCCAGCGGCCTTTCCCCCTCCCCCTCTCCCCAGCAGATGTCCGCCTTGGTCATTTATGAGGTGATAGTGAACTATCGGGACTATTATTATTAGCGATGAGAAGATTTAGTACCTAGGTAGTTAGTTAGACAGCAGTCTCTTCATAAGCGAGGTCATGATCTTGCGAATGATTGGAACCGGATAAGAATGTAATTTATTATTCTCTGAGGTAATTAATGTGCTTTAGATGGAAAAGGTCATACATAGTCTTCGTGGTGGTGGTGGTGGTGGTGGGAGAAATCTCGTTGCCTTGTCTGGATCTATAATAAGAAGTCGTAATAGTGGTTTCATCTTGGCTCAGCTAGTTAGTATTTTGCAATTGATGATGATGACAATAATAATTATAATAATAATAGTTAATAGCTTGATAAAAAGGGATCAATCCTTATTATACTTGAGTCGTAGTAATTTCAGGATGGTCGCCTCTGGGAAATCCAGCAAGATTAACGTTAACTACTAAGTAACCCCCGCAGTCGACGATGGTACCATCACGAGTCTCTTACACTAATTTTTTTGTCCTTCAAGCACACTTCTCAACATAACTACAACTAGAGCAAATCCATAGATTTTGAGGAATTAATAGTGTCTACTTTTCTCTTGCGATACTTTCCTTGCAATAAAAAAAAAAGAAAAAGAAAACGAAAGAAAAGAAATACCTATCTTCTCCTCCCGATCGAAGCCCCTCGCCCCGTGCTGATTGGCTCCCCAAAGGCAACGTCAGGACTCAGTGACCTTTTTTCTGCTCAGCCCCAATAAGAAAGTCCGCGCCTCCATTGAAACTGAACCTGTTGAGCCTTAGTTCATCCGTCAAGGTTGGTTATCGCCAACGACATCTTCAACTCTCCCTCACTCACTCACTCTCTCTCTCTCTCCTTCACTCTCTCCCTTTTCCATCCCCACCACCACCCTTTCCTCTTCGCCTCCGCCATCAATCCACCCTCCCCCCCCCCCACAAATCCTTCCCGCTGCCCGACCTTTCTTCCAGCAACCATCGTTATCATCGGGTGTCTGTGTCTGTGAACAAACGGTACATGCGCACGCCGCGAATTTCCTGTCAGGCTTGCCCTACTCGGCCTTTTCCCACCTGGAGGCGTGCACAGCCCGCTGGATAGAGTCAACTCCAGAATGGGGTCCAATTTGCCTGCGTGAGTTCCCCTCCTGTTCCGTGTCCGTGGACTTTGGCATCCGGTCATAAATCCTCCTCGTTCTGCTCCATACCCATGCTGACGGAAATGATATATATAGCCAGCCAAATCTCAGAGTCACGAGTAAGATTCCCGAATTCAGCCAGACTTCGTTTTCGTCCAACTTGACTTCGAATTTCGACAAAAGGCTTTCTTGCTGTAGATGGAAAACTGACTGAGCTTCCCCTCCTTTTACAGTCATTGCGGCGGACGGGCTATATAAGCGCGATGTTTTCCGTATGTGCTTCTCTAATCTCTCTCTCTCTCTCTCTTTCTTTTACATCTAGAGATAATCTAATTTTCCTTCACTATACAGGTTTCCCCGATCCCTTTGCTGTGGCCACTGTCGGGGGCGAGCAAACCCATACGACGTCCGTGATCAAGAAGACTTTGAATCCTTACTGGAATGAGATGTTTGATCTGTGAGATTTTCTTATCTGCTTTCCTTTTTTTTTCAATCTTTGAATTCATGCTAATTCCTTGTTTCTTTCCTCGTGCTGTCCAGACGAGTCAACGAAGACAGTATTCTCGCTATCCAGATTTTCGACCAAAAGAAGTTCAAGAAGAAGGATCAAGGCTTTCTCGGTGTTATAAATGTCCGGATCGGAGATGTCATCGATTTACAGATGGGGGGTGATGGTAAGTGGCACCCCTTACCGATTGTCTGACACAAATGGCCTTCTTCGTGCTTTCCCCGCATCCAAATGCGGCACTATCTAGGAACCACTCAGCTGACTTGAACCCCTCCCGACTTGAATAGAAATGCTCACTAGAGATTTGAAAAAGTCCAATGATAATCTTGTTGTGCATGGAAAACTCATCATCAATTTATCCACTAATCTCAGCACCCCCAATACAAACCAAGCAAATGGCTTGCATCGCTCACAACTTCAGTCTTCGACGTCCAGCGGGCTTGTTCCGCAGGTTGCTTCTGCTGCTGCTGCAGCACCTGCACCACACCCCCCAACGGGGCCAAGCCCAGTCGATCCTCCCCCAGCTGCATCGAGTGCATCTCTAAATCCTCAGCGCGTCCCATCCACCACCAGGCCGACCAGTCAGGCTCCCCCCCCGGTTAACGGAGCACCAGCTCCTCCCAACGGACAGCCTCCTCGTGGAAATCTTAGCTCGTTCGAGGATAGCCAGGGCCGTCTGCCAGCTGGCTGGGAGAGACGGGAGGATAATTTGGGAAGAACCTACTATGTGGACCACAACACCCGAACCACTACCTGGAACCGCCCATCGTCGAACTATAATGAGCAAACGCAACGGAACCAACGAGAAGCTAACATGCAATTGGAGCGGAGAGCCCACCAGAGCCGAATGCTCCCTGAAGACCGAACCGGTGCAAGCTCGCCGAATCTCGCAGAAAACCCGCCGCAAGCTCACACTCCACCCGCTGGCGGTAGTAGTAGCAATGCGGTTTCTATGATGGCCACAGGAGCTACGACCGCCGGCACTGGCGAGCTTCCACCTGGGTGGGAACAACGAAATACTCCTGAAGGCCGGCCGTATTTCGTCGACCACAACACCCGCACTACGACCTGGGTGGACCCCCGACGACAGCAGTATATCCGGATGTACGGTCAGAATGCCAACGGCAACAACACCACGATCCAGCAGCAGCCCGTTTCTCAACTTGGGCCCCTACCCAGCGGCTGGGAAATGCGTCTGACTAACACCGCTCGAGTGTATTTCGTTGACCACAACACCAAAACAACCACCTGGGATGATCCTCGTCTTCCGTCTTCACTGGATCAAGGAGTACCGCAGTACAAACGTGACTTTAGACGTAAACTGATCTACTTCCGATCTCAACCGGCACTGCGGATCATGTCCGGACAATGTCACGTTAAGGTGCGCCGAAATAACATTTTCGAAGATTCTTACGCCGAAATCATGCGCCAGAGTGCTTCAGATCTGAAGAAGCGTCTGATGATTAAATTTGACGGCGAAGACGGTCTGGACTATGGTGGTCTCTCTCGGTAAGGCCTTTTTTTTTTTTTTTTTTTTTTTCCAACTCCTCAAAGCTTCAAAAGATTACTGACGATATACAGTGAATTCTTCTTCCTCCTCTCGCACGAAATGTTTAACCCGTTTTACTGTCTTTTCGAATATTCTGCACATGATAATTATACCCTGCAAATTAATCCCCATTCTGGTGTCAACCCAGAACATTTGAACTACTTTAAGTTCATCGGACGAGTTGTTGGACTGGCCATTTTCCACCGCCGGTTCCTCGATTCGTTCTTCATTGGAGCATTCTACAAGATGATGCTACGGAAGAAGGTCTCTCTACAGGACATGGAGGGTGTTGATGAGGATCTGCACCGTAACCTGGCATGGACCTTGTACGTTACGCAAATCAAAAGTCTATTGATCAATTCTAACATTCAACAGAGACAACGATATCGAGGGCATTATCGACCTGACATTCGCGGTCGATGACGAGAAGTTTGGAGAGCGCCGCACAATTGAGTTGAAGCCCGATGGCGAAAACATACCCGTGACGAATGAGAACAAGGGAGACTATGTTGAGTAAGTTTCTTCCTTTTTTTCCCCCCTTCTTGCTGATTTTTCAGAAGCTAACCGGTTTAGATTGGTCACGGAATGGAAGATTGTGAAGCGAGTGGAGGAGCAATTCAATGCATTTATGTCCGGATTCAATGAGCTGATTCCTGCGGATCTGGTCAACGTGTTTGATGAACGCGAGCTGGAACTGTTGATTGGAGGTATTGCGGACATTGATGTTGACGACTGGAAGAAGCATACCGACTACCGAGGCTACCAGGAGCAGGATGAGGTCATCCAAAACTTCTGGAAGATTGTCCGCACCTGGGATGCGGAACAGAAGTCTCGTCTGCTTCAGTTTACCACGGGTACCTCGCGTATTCCAGTCAACGGCTTCAAGGATCTTCAAGGATCCGATGGGCCGAGACGCTTCACTATTGAGAAGTCTGGGGAGCCTACGGCTTTGCCCAAGTCCCACACATGGTATGTTTGTTCTCAATTTCGAGGGGATCTAATACTAACCAGCTTAGTTTCAACCGTCTTGATCTTCCGCCCTACAAGAACCACGATACGCTAGAACACAAGCTGTCTATCGCTGTGGAGGAAACATTAGGATTCGGACAAGAGTAGATTATTTCGAGGGACAAAAAAAGGATTTTGCATACCAGTCTTAAATGGTCGAGGCCATGCATTTACCCATCCCGGCAACGCCACTGTCTGTGTTTATTATGGAAATAGATATAAACGCGCTGCCAGCTTTCCTCAGGGCCTTCTTTCCGTATGGAAAAGGCTGGGCAGATCAACTCTTCTTTACGGCTGGCCAAACAAGCGCAACGCACCTTAACCTTTCCCCCTTTTTTTCGCGGTGTGGGTAGTAATTCCCTTTTCAGCAGGTCATTCGTTGGAGGAGAATGGAACCGAACAGAACAGAACAGGACCGGACACACAACTTGGGGCTTTTTCCATGCGGGTTGCACATGGCTTCGTTCAGCTGGACTACATTCATTTCGTTATTTGATTGTGGCGAACTTTGTACATACTTGTATTATTTGTCTACAGAACAGGGCTCAATTATTACCGTCGAATTGTGTCGTCAAGTTCCAAATCGATTCTCCTCGCAATGCACGCGAAACTATAGTGGTAATGTCTACTGCCAATAGTTCCCCGGAGAGCGATCTGACAGATCACCAGCAAGTCAATAGTGAACACCATGACGGACCGAATCGACCAATCCGAATTGCAGAGACTGAGACCAGAGCGTAACCTGCAGGCAGGCAGGCAGGCTGTACACAGGGTCTCTCTGTCTCAGTTATCGTGTTCCCAATTTATCCGTTGTGGTCTAGGTAGTAATATACCTAGGTAAGAGGCCAGCTTTTACTCCGTAGATAACGTTGTAATGGTCTTCCTGGTGCTTCAGACCTTTCCTACCGGTCTGAAGAGTATGGAGAGTATGAAGCGTCAGGGAGGCTTTACTTTCAGAATGCATACCACAGAGTAAGAGCAGTACTACATACTACATAGAGATAATGTGGCTATATTTATATTCAAATATATTTATAGGGTGCTGCTATTCTCACGGCTCAGTTGGTCATTCTCACGGCACAGCTAGCCTCTTTGGGCATAGCAGCTCCATATTAGCAGGAACCTACCTGTTTATAGAATAGTGCCAACTAGCTAGACCTAAATAAGACTAGACTAGTCATATGATCATGAAAAACACGCTAGAGAACCTCGAGGTGTTATTTTATTAATTTCTTATATAAAAACAATACTTAGGAATTTAATTTTAAAGTAATAAATAAGACTGTAAGTTCTAATATTTATATAATATATTTACTGACCTATTAGAAGGCTTTATTTAATTAGGAATCCTTCCTCTGCTACACGCTGATCTGACTATTCTCGCTCCCTCCAAGTAATTGATTCCCTACCTGCCTGGCTTGATACTAGCTGCTCAGTATATTTAAATAACGACAGATCTTGTGTAGTACAATTAATAGCTCCGCGAGGTCTTCTACAAGGTTATATAGGTGCTGGTAGATGAATTTAAAGCTACTATGAAGGTATAATCATGTAAGATCTTTCTCTGAGTAGCTACTAGTCATAGAAATCAGAGAGGTATAATCTACGGATGATCCAGGTACCCTATATAACTACATGCTAACTAGCGAGGACCCATACACTAACTATAGTTAGTTAGGTACCCACTAACCTAAAATGGTTAGCTGTGCCGTGAGAATGACCAGCTGAGCCGTGAGAATAGCAGCACCCTATTTATAAACTCAGTTCAAAGCAGAGTACAGTAGTTCCTCCTGCATTTCCTACCACGCTGTACTCGGACTCTAGATCACTTGGCTGTGTTTCAGGGTTATAAATTCTTCTCTCTCTCCTCCCTTACACCTTGTTATCCCTTTCTCTTTCGCTCTTAATTTTCCCATCCCAGATACCAGCCATACTCTTCATAGACCACCCACCCCCCGTCAATAGCGTTAGGATTCTTCTACAGAGTCCAATTAACCCATCAAGATGCGTCTCCTCTCCATCTTCTCCCTTCTCATGGCTACCTCTGCCTCGGTCCTAGCCGCAGGAACCTCTACCACCACCACCACCACCACCACGACAGCCCCAACACAAACCTCTACTTCTTGTGATGCCCAGAAGTACGTTATGTTATCTCTTTCCCTCGATTCCCTACAGACATAGATATCAGAGACGAAAGAGGATATAGCACTAACCCGAGATACCGCGGAAACAGCATCCTTGACGCCTGCAAAGCCTCCATCCAGAAACAAGTGGATGCGTGTGGTCCCAACGACTGGTCCTGTCTCTGCGAACAAACCAATAATTTGTTAACGTACTTCTTCTTCTTCCTCCTCCTCCTTTGGCCCCCTTGCAAATAAATATATATATATATAATATACAGTAAAACAAACCAAACACTAACAACCACAACCACAATCAACATCAACCCCATTACAGCTGCTACAACAACTGCCCCAATGACCCTGCCAGCTTTGGCGTCCAGCAACAAAAGACCTCCTACTGCAACGCTGCAAGTGCATACAGCACCTCGACGACTGCAACCCCCACCGCAACAAAGACTGCTTCGTCCACTTCTACCACCTCCTCGACAGAGAGTGCGACGACCTCTGCAACCGTGACCCCTTCGCCGTCGGGCGGCGCGGCCGCCGGACTAGGCGTTGCGAAGGGATTGGGAATGGGATTGGTTCTGGGAGGTGTGGTGGTGGTTGGTGTTTTGGGGTTATAAACCCCCCCCCCCCCCCCCTTTTCTCATTGCCTTGTTTTAGATCCGCAACAGCAGGGGGGGAAGTGATGTTATTCCATGGATATTGGTCTGGTGGTGCTGGGGTGTATCCATTTATTATTGAGTGAGTGAGAGAGAGAGAGAGAGACCTTGCTAATTACCTACCTACTACTTACCTAATGAATGTAATAACTAGTTTGTTAATGAACTAACGTTGGCTGGTTTATATTATGATTTACTCGTCAGTAAAGCTTGCACCTCTACTATACTATAAGATCGATATCTCCATCTACTTTATTAGTATGTTCTCCAGCCGATGTGACTCTTAGGTAGGTGGGTTGTTTTTGGTTGAAAGGGAATCGTGGCTTTGAGTTCTGGACTCGATCGCTGGTCGATTCTCGGTTGTTCCTGGAGTGACCGTGATCGACTACCCCGAGAGTTTTATGATCTCACTAGTGATTAAGTTTCAAAAGGTTAAAGGTAAAGGTAAGGTTCACTCGAAGGAGAAGACCAAACCCCGGATATATCGTAGTGCTACTAGGGTATATATGTCTCTTTGAAGCTCTCTCGGCTGTCAATTTGTCAAGGGGCAAGAGGCAATATAGCAAATCACCCTGTTCTCATATATATATATATATATATATATATATATACAAGAGAGAGAAAGTAAATTGTATAATATTTATTAGTTATGCATTGCGAGGTGGTCCCTCGTTTGTAAGGCATAAACAAGCGACATATCAATAACGCCACGAACCAAAGACAGCGACAGGAAGGAAATGCAAGTCATAACCATGACAATGACGTTATCCTACAACTAGTTTTTCGCACTAGCAGGCAACATTTGAAGACGTGGAAAGTGTCATATGGGCAACCGCATCGACGAGCTCGACCGGTATATATATAGGGTAGAAGACAAGGGGCAGGCAGATCAATCGCCGAGGACAAGAAGCGCAGACAACCGCCATACGAGTACGGAGGTTGGAGCACATGCATCTGATTGATCTTACTCCTTCATGCGAAGAATAAAGTTCACCACCACAGCGGCCAGCAACGAAATAGCGAGGATCGTGGGCCCGAACCGATCGTCAATTCCACTCTGGCCTCGTTTCCGGATGCTCTGTGCTCGCCAGTGGAAGGTGACCAGGGCGTATATCATAGCCGCCATGGCAATGAGAGTGAACAGGCCGGCGGAAATGCGTCCGATGCGATCACCGAAGTTCAACAGACCCACAGCCAACCCACCGAGGATGACGGTGAAGTTGAGCCAGGAGAGAAAAGTTCGTTCATTGGCGAAGAAAACCTTGGGTTCGACGCGGGTAGGAAGAGCGATGCGTTTGCCTGCATTGAATCGACAGGTTAGCAACCGTTTTTACGACATGTACAATGCAGCGACAGCAGCCGCTCGATCATCAATGCAGCCGCAGAGTTTTCCAGCTATGGATGGACATTGGCACTAACCTGGGGCAGTCTGGAGAAGTGGCTGGCTAGACATTTTTGCGGTCGGAGCGTGCAAAAGCGAGGGCTGATAAATGACGGAAGACGAAACTGCAAAAGGAGAGAAAGGCAACGGAATAAGAAATACGAAGCAATCGGCAAAAGCAGAAGTCTGGCGTATAAATAAGAAAAAGAGGATCGGATTGGTAGCGATAGTGGATCAGTCAGTCAATCGAGACGAAGAACAGAGGCAAATGCGAAGTGATGAGCTCGAGACCCGGGTTTGGATGGGGCTATCCTTCCGAAACAGGCCTAGTGGCTCATTCTGCCTCTTCTCACCGCCATCCAACCCCCCCCACGTGCACCAGGCTCTTCCTGTGGTTGCCTGAGGCGCTTCTGCGGACTATTATCGGCCCGATTCCCGTGACTGTCAGCCGCGCACGGAACCAGGCTAGCGTCAAAGGGGAATAGCGCCGCGGATTCGAATTCCTTTAGGTATAGCGTGCGACCTCTTTTGTCCAACCACCAGCCGCGAAGTCACGCCCATGATGCCACGGACAACATACAACATCCAACAGCACACACGCCTTGTCGACCTCGATCTCTGTTCTTCTCCATCCAGTGCTATCGGCTTCTAGTTCTCTGCTATTCCTGTATCATTTTTCCATCTTAGGTAAGTGTAGCTTGCTGCCGCGACGGTCATCCCTCTGTTTTTCCCTTTTCCGGTGTCGGACCGCATTGCTCCCCCCACAATTTGCGTCTCTGGTTGTCTCTCGTCTGGTTCTACCCACAGCTGCTTCAACCGGGACAACATCGCTGCGCTTCTAGAATACTGTATGTATAGGACCACACTAATTCGTGTACTTTAAGACTCGACCGTCATCATCTGTCGCGACCTACGTGAATCCACCCACCCACAATGGCTGTCGAGACTCTTCCTACATCGGTTCGTAATTCTTTTTCAGCGTCGAAATGGCATCATCGGCACCTCGCGCGCTGCCAATCCCCTGACCTGCCATTGACCGAGAAACTTCAGTAATGCGCTAACGTTCTGCCTTCGCTCTGATTATTATAGCCCGTACCCATTGCGGACCTGACAAAGATTGCCACAGAGGTGCGTTTTCACCATTCTCTCAATCAAACTCCCCGCCGTGTCATCGCGACGCACCCGGGACTCCGATGACTCTACCCCTGTCCTAGCGCAGTTGGGACGCCATAAGAATAGAGCTTAATGAACTAATCCCGGTATATACAAATAGGCCTGCGACTCTGCGCTAGGGGCGGCTGATGGATATGAGCACACCCAAGTTGGAGCGTGGAACTCCGAGATCATCGTAAGTCTCGCCCTCCACAACAAAAACCATCCAGAACAGTTCTCTCTCTAACATCATATTCCTATCACAATATTAGAACACCATCCTCAAGGCTCTCATCACCGCCACAGCCCCCTCTACACCATCAGCTTCTCCCCCATACCGCTTCACCGTGAACAGCACCATCGTGCAACAAGGCCTGATCGATAAGTCCTCCGCTGCAGACGGTGCCGCGGCCAACGCCGGAAAGCGAGGCATGCACTCTGCATCTGGTGCTTTCTGGGATGTCAACCGCGACGGAATGTGGACATTCAAGTACCCCGGTGCTGAGGAGCGGGGTTTGGACGTCGTCGTGAGTGTAACATGGTTCGCACTTGGCTGATTTATCATCATGTATCAAACTCCGAGGGGGGGGAAAGAAAAAAAAAAAAGGAAGAAAACAAAACCGAAAAATATCCCACAGATTTATGAATAGCTTGCATTTACTGTTTCTGTTTCTGCCTTTTTTTTTTTTAGTTTGTGTATTTGTGTATTTGTGTATCTTTCGAGACCCATTTTCGTTGCTTCGCTACTAATGCCTTTGATCACCGGTGGTTTTTCCATTTCCTTTGTTGGGGAGCCTGGTGCATTTGCCCGAGACAAAAACTACTTGCCTGCCTGTATTTTGATTTTGGCATTGTTTGCTTTTGCAGGAGAGAAAGAGTCTGGCCTTATACCATTATTGATCTTCGGCCGTGGGTGAGTGCGAGTTCATGCACATATTCTTCATTTTATATTAAATACACATCACATGCCTGCTTGTATCTAGACAAGACAGCTATACGGAGCGTAAGCTTATCCAAAAAAAAAAAAAAAAAAAAAAAAAAGGTGCTTGAAGAAGAAAAACAACCTAAACTCCGAGGCAGAAGGCAATGAGGACCTCCCATTCATCCCGATCCCTGGCGCCACGCTAACCTCATTACTGTGGAAAATCAAACATTCGTAAAAAAAAATGTAGCCCCATTGCAGTGGTCCGATAAAGAAGGATCATTTAGCGAGGCTCCGAGTAATCATTTAGTGCCACGCAGACTGCTCCGCGGTGATGACCACTGTACTGACGAATAATTTGGCCCGAAGCCAGCTCCCAGAGCCGTGCGTAATGGTCGCTAGAGACGGTCACCAGATAAGCTGAATCGGCAGAAAAGGCGCAATCCCAGACCCATCGTTGGTGGTTTGCAAGTGTCGTTTCCAGGAAAAGCGTACCGGTACTTGGATCCATGGGAGGGCCATCAGGCTGGACCGGGAACGTTTGTTGCGGTTCGTTGGTGACAGGCGGGGTTCCATTGATTAAACTGAATGGAATGCTATCGGCCTTTTCTCTGACAATCGGCACTACTACATTGTTTTGGGTTTCTGAGGGTACTGGAGATGGGGATGCTTCTTTTCCATCTGTAGATGGAGCCTTGGTTTTGGCCATGGCGGCCGCTGCAACTGCCATTTTTGCAGGGGGGTAGTCAAGGTCGAGGTTCCAGACTTTGGCAGTGTGGTCAGCAGAGCAGGTTGCGAGGTGTTTAACGTCAGGTGAGAGAAGAACCCGTGTGAGGTAGTCCTTGTGAGCTTGGAAGGTACAAATGGGAACGATCCGGGTGAGTTCAGCATCTTGTATCATGCGCCATATGTAGACATTTCCCTATAAAATACCGAGTTAGCGATTGGAAGGGGTGGGGAGACACTATGCCGAGCACCTTTTTGTTTCCAGCACAAAGTAGAGATCCATCGCTCGCAACACTAACACTGTGCACTGCAACATCGTCCTCGGGAATCAACTGGTGGGTGCAGACGCTCTCCCCTAGATCCCATACTCGGACAATACCAGCACGGTCACCACTGATAAGCTCGCCTTGATTCGGATGTATGACTACATCGTTTACAGGAGCTTTATGGGCGTAATTGCGTTGGAGGCTACCAGTTCGAGTGTCCCACACCTTGACGGTGCCGTCTTCGGAGCTGGTAACCATCCATTTGCCTTCACAATGGAATGCAACGCCTGTGATATTGTTTGTATGGCCGTCAAATGTCATGACAGGATTGGGGTTTGTGGACTTGATGTCATATAGTTTGACATTGTTGTGGCCAGCTGCAGCGAGATATCTCTTGTCTGGAGTTATACAGAGACGGTTTACCTGAGAATCTGGGTGTTGGATAGTGCGCGAGCAGATTCCAGACAAGGCCTCCCAGAACCTATTCAAAGACTCATCAGCCCAAGATTTCTCTTTACATGGTGGAGATCAGCCTACCGAATAGTATGGTCGTAGCCCGCTGCGAAACCCGATTATTACAAAAGAGTCAACTCAGCTCCAAACAAAGTGTGAACTGCATCAGCTGCGGCAAAGGAACCCTTCGAATGCTTACCAGTACATAGAATGACACTCATTTTGGTGATGCAAGTTCTGACGAGGGACTGGAGGGGTTGAAAGAGACCAGAACACGACCGTCCTGCTTACAATTCGAATTGAGACTTGGAGGAAACCGCCTGGGATCTTGCCGGTTTTAATGCCTCAGGATCCCTACCTCGATCTGGCGCAGACGGTGCACGTGAGCGGTCGGGAAAGCGGTGGGCGAAGAGCAAAAAAAAAAAGTACATTTGTTGGGAAAAGAATGACTTGACGCGGACCATCCCTTCGTTCTTTCTTGTCTTCTCATCTTTTGGTCTAGCCACGGTACTGGACATCAAAGGTACGGTGAAAAGCATGTTTCAGAAGGACGTGCACTAGAAATACCTTTGCAGATGTATCAGATTGGGTTCTTTTTCGCCTGAGGTCGATTTTCCCGTGGACAACACCACGCCCACGCGAACTCGGTTGTCTCAAGCTATCACCTCTTACGACGCTGGTTTTCCATCCAGAAAGGCAAAAAGAAAGGGACTCCGTTATCTCTATCCCCTGCCGAACGAACCTCATACCCTCTCGGGCGTTCACGAACCCTACTTGTCAGGTTGTTTCGGCAGCTTGGACACGAACGAAAGCACAGAGTGGAGGCGGGCGATAGCGGCAAACGCTTCCGTCCTGGATCTGGTTTGAGGATATTGCGCTGTTCCAGTCTTCCTTGAAAGATGGGTAGCGACGTACCTGAAGGTATTTCTACCTCCCTCGAGACCTGCCCTCCTTTTCCAAAACCTCAAGAGCTCGATGCTCTGATGGGTTGTTCCACCACCACTTATCTGCAAGAGAATGATCTGGGGCTTACACCTTCCCCTGGGTCCCGACTGCAGGAGTCTACCGATTCTTCCCACCAACCGTCCCAAGATGAGGGGATATGTTCCGACGAAGCCGTGCCATTGGCGGATTTCTCTGCCCACCTCGATTGCTTTGGCCTCGCCAAAGACAAGATTACGCCCCGCCCCGGTAATCAACATAGCATTGCCTTGTCCTCGGATGAGGAAACGGCATCAGCGGCCCAGATAAGTTATGGGCAGCAAAGTGCAGTAGGTAGTGAAGAACTTTATGACCCTCTGTTTGATGAAGCCTTTGCGATCCCTGAGCTCGATTCAGTGTTTTTGCCACGCGAGGGAGAAGAAGATGTAGAAGGGGGACGAGAGCGAAAACGAACCAGCGAGGAAGCCTTTCCACAAGATTTCGAGCTCTGGGCATTACCTGAAAAACGCCAGCATGTTGAGTCGCCGGAGGAAACACCGTCCCTTACTTATTCTTCGACACAGCAATCGCCTGCATCTTTCTTTGACACTTTCGACTTGCTTTTTGGCGATTCTACGAATGACACACCTGTCGACTTGGGCAATGATATCTGCCCGGAAATTCCTACTTTTCTCACTAGCCAGGTTGAAGAAGTGGCCCAACCTTCGATGAGCGACTCAACAAAAGAGCGATTTCTTCTGGGCTCCCAAGATCTCCTCGCCAACTCTACTCGTGAGATTCTGCAGGTTTGCAAGGAACCGGAGTATGTTTCTCCATACCCAGCCGCAGGAGGGGCTTTAGGCTACTTTCCGTCAACGCCTGGGATTCATGCCAAATTTATTGAGGCCTCGGATGAACGAACCCATAGTCGGCTTTCGAATCTGCGGACTAAGGTGCAGCGGCTTACGTGCGAGCGCAATCATTACAAGAAAGTCCTGTCTCAACATCCCAAAATGGATGAAACCACGGGCAAGACAGCCGAGCAATTACTTCGCGAAGAGAACGCCATGCTCCGCCGAGTATCCTCCCGACACCAGGGTCGAGTGGAACAATACAAGAAGGAAGCAGCAGAGTGGAAGGGCAAGCTTCACGATCTTGGTGTCATCTACAACAACCTTTTATACGAGATTAGGGTCCAGAAGCGGATACCTACTGTAGCTCCAATCCCCACCGGCTACAAACCACCACGCCTGTCTACACCTATGGAAGGCCACATTCCCTTGCTGGATGCCCCTTCCGCAACCCAACCACCACCACCACCACCACCACCACCCCCAACTGCCACGCAAATGGTGGTACCGCGCCCTGAGCCTGTTACCATTGACTTGACGGATGAAAATGACGATACGCCTCCCAATTCACCCCCGGAGGACCGGGAACGTCGCATGGCGATGCTCCAGTCGCTGCGCAATAAAAAGTACGACTGGCTGGGTGCGGAGGGGCAGCATGGCGGTTCGGAAAGCAGAATCCACGATGACCGATTGGCTCAGTTGATGGAAGAAGAACTAGCGCGGGCGACTTGATGTTCATGATACCCTATTACCGATTTCTATTGTACTGCATACATGTTGCATAGCGAACTGGGATTAAATTGATTAGTATACGGAGTATGTGGGAGTCCCAAGTGTATGATTATCATAGAGTTTGTAAAGACTCCAAGTAATGATGTAACAAGAGAGGAATCATAACTGAGTATTCCTACCTGGGTAACTTATACTAGATATCATCCTGGTACAACGCAATACAGAATAAAGTACGAATTAGCTCCGATCCATGGGCCAGTCCAGGCCCAGAATCTCCAGTCTTTTGACGTGTCATCCATTATTGTATCTCCAGTAGAATATACCCAGATTGTGCTTCTTTTTCTATCCCTAATTTATCTCCATTCTCTTCCCTCCCATCCTGCTGCCTGTTCCTGTTCTTTCCCCCCGAACTTGTGCTCCGTACGACCTCCATTATTAATAGATTACGCCACCGCTTCTCCCCTCCCTGCATCTTCTCTCTATCTTTGCTTCTCCCCCATTCTGTTGTTTACCACTGTTTGTTGTTCTTCTTTCTTATTTATTTATTTCTTTTTCCCTTCCCTCTCCACACTAAAACAACCCTCAAAAAATTCTTCTGGATTCCTGATCCTGTTCCCTTTGTCGCGTCGTTCCTCGTTGGGCCGCTTCTCTCGCTTCTCTTCTCTTCTCTTCCTTCCCCCTTGCTCCTCTGCCGGTCGCAAACGACGATTCTTTCTCCTTTCAACCCCCCCTCGAATCTAGATTGCGCATTGCATGCACTGGTGCATCATCTGCCTGTATATTCTACTCTGTTCCTCTTCCTCTTCTTCTTCTTCTCCTTCTCCTTTCTCTCCCCCTCCCTCTGAGACAAAACACGTCGCATCGCATCCCTGCATTGCCTAGCCCCAGATTATTCGCCCTTCCCTCCCCCCCCCCCCCTCGCGACAACATCTCTCGCATGGCATGTTTCGGCTGCTTCCTTGGTCCTCTGCAATCGGGGGGAATAAGGTGATGGCCGAGGAGCTCAAAATGCTCGCGACCTCGCCACATTGCGCCACGCCCCCCGTCAACGCTTTCACACTGCCCCAGTTGAAGCGCAAACGATCCGACTCCAATGATTCAGCCACAGGTCGAGATGTCCCGGTCGCAACTAAGCTACGGACCGATGATGCGCCTGCTCCGATTGTCACACTCAAGCAACGCCCCTCTACAACCGAAACCCACGCGCACAACCTATCGCCAGCTCCCCTACCAGATCCATCGTCCGACAACAAGTCAAGCCAGTCGCCACCTTCCCCGGAAAATCGGCGATCGGGTCCCTCTGACCATGCACGCGACAAACCGGACGCGCGCGAGCGCAAAGTGGATGTAGATCGGCTACGGGAAACCTTGGAAGCCCAGCTGAGTCTGGAAGTGTTGTTGAAGCACAACGAACTCCGGTTGATCGACCAGGAGATCGCCAAATGTCAAGTCGCGTTAGAACAGTTGCGGCGATGCGCGGAAATCCCCTACCCCGGCTCTTGTGTCACCGGCCCTTTGCAGTCCGTCAGCAATGGAACGGGTGCATCGGTCTGGGCTCCTGGAAATGGACCTGCGCCGCTTTCTCCAGCGCCCTGGAGCGTTACGGACGGCCCTTACTCCCGCCACTATGCCCGATGGCTCCTTCAGGACTCTCGCTTTGACGGAGGCGACCCCGAACCTGGAACCCCGATGGCTGTTGCTGGTACTCCTGTGGTGGAAGGTCGCTCAACCCGTGGAAATCCTATCGACCTGGGTTACTTGGCTGGCAAGTCCACCCGGCCTCAACGAGGATCGGCTGGAGCCAAGCTACAGTCTCTACCTACTGGGTACCCGCCACCAAAGGAAAGAGCTGGTCCCATGATCATTCGACGAAAATCGGATGGTATTTTCGTCAAGCTCGTTTGTCTAGATTGCCGGAGGGACAACTTCTCGAGCACTCAGGGGTTTATCAACCATTGTCGTATCGCCCATAACCGCAACTTTGCCAGCCACGATGCCGCCGCGATGGCCTCTGGCGAGCCGGTGGAAGTTGATGAGGCGGGGGCTGTGGTTGGCGGCAAGCCTGAACCTCCGGCCGGGGTCGCTCCCGGCTTTGTCCACCCTCTGATCCGCTCAGCTCATGTGATTGAGTCAACAACCCCAAGGACACCACCACTGTCTTCCGCGTCTTCCGCCTCGGAAATCTCGAAGCGGCCTTCCCCTAGCCGAAATGCATCGTCGACGGTGGAGACACCTCGCCTCCTTTCTGCCCAAAGCCTCCGGGACGGGCAGAATACCCCTGTCACGGCGAAAGCCTCGAACGATGCATTCATGGCCTCTGTCGACACCCCCCACCTATCGTCCCTCATGAAGCTGAGGGGTGTCGTCGGACTTGATCTGGGCCAACTGGTAGGGGAGGCCAAGACGACCGTAGACCTGAATGGATATTCCTCTGAGGAAGGCGAATCGGATACGGAATCCATGTCGCCATCTGTCACCTTGAAGCTCAAATCGAAGCCGCTCGGGTCTCATGTTGGACGACAGCCGATGCGAACCACAGCTTCACAAACGGCTTCCCAACGGCCAGACGGTCACAAGGGGCCTGACAAAATCAACCATAAGCCACTCTCCTTGGAGACCTTGACGCCTACCCGCCCTACTATGCCTTACCAGTCTCCTTATGGGCCCGTGAGTTCCCACCCCGAGGAGCTGCGGGAAGTTGACGGGATGGATCATGTGTCAAACATGAGTCCAAACACTGTGGAGTCCAATCAAGCGCCCAGTCTGGTGAGCGATGATGATGATGACTATGAAGCAGCATCGGATTCGGACAGTCCCGGGCCGAGCTCGTCTGAAGCGGAAGATGCCGAGGACGACTTTAGCCATATCGATGTAGAGGACGACGATGACACCACCACCTCGACAACCGCAAGCGACCCTAATCCCAAGGCGGGCGTGGGCATGGCCAGTGCTGCGGCTCCTCGCGCGTCGCCCATGCCAAAGGCAATGCGACGCGGCAGTGTGAGGAAGCAGGGCCAACTGATTTCATCATCTGTAGTACCGCTCGATGGAGGCCGAGAGGAGAAACGCGTGAGCTTTGCCAGTCCGGGGAGCAGCCCGGCGAAAGGCAAGAAGGATGGGAGTGGACGACGATAAACCACGATAGATTTCTTTCCTGTCGCTCCTCTACATTTCCATTCGAATTGTGTGAAGGGCCTCGGACGTTGATGTTTTTAATGATGTACTCTCTTCTCTTTCTTGTGTGTATGAACTTCAGGGGTTTGACGAAATGGATTCTTGTTAACTAGCGACTAGTTATTCAGACTCTGTAGTAATCTGTATCAAAGGCTATCCTGATACAGTATTATTTTCCAAGTACAGAGTTAGCAGGTTACCGTTACCATATGGTAAGAAATTTCATTCATACCCGTACATCATCGCGCGTCGTCTCACACCTCCTCCTCCTCTCAACTTGAGATAACCATCTACTACCTAGGTAGTAAGGTAGTAAGGTAGTACATATCTCATCTTGAATCCGTACATTTAAATGTCTCCCGATCCAACCCTACACCCCAAACCAATCACCCCCGGCAAACCCTTCTCTGCCCTGCTCGCCGCCTGCTACCCAGAGACAAGTCGAGAACAACCACTCGCCGAAAAGCTCTTGCGAAAGCCGCCAGGGCAGCAGCGAAGAAGACAAACACGAACACACCGGGGGGGGGGGGGATTCTCAACCTGTTCCTCTGGAGCAGAAAGCCAAGTCCGCGAGTTCCTGGCTCTGGATCGGTACAGGTATGAGGAGGTTCTTCCGGGGGTTCTAGCTGCGCGGGGGGGGGGGGGCGGAATCTGGAACGGAGAGTGAGAAATGGAGAATGGATATGGATATGGAAAAAGGGAAAAAAGGTACTTACTTGGGGAGAAAAGATGAACTGGTTAAGCTTGTGGAGTGGGGACTGTATGTTTTCTTTCCCCTTACTATATATATATATATTATATATAATATGTGTGTGTGTGTGTGTGTATATAGGAAACATGGCATCTTCCGTCCTGCGCTCATGGGCATGGTCAAGGCGAACCAGGACAGTGTGGTTCGAAAGACAACGGGGGCTGCTGCTGCTGCAGGTGCAGGTGCATTCTGGTTGGATTGTTCTTCTGAAACATCCACACCCACATCAACCCAAAACCAAACAAGAAAAACACCCATAGAAACACTCATCCCCCCCCCCCCCCCCCCCCCTTCGCGGCGTCGGCCCCGCAACCGCCTCGCTAATCCTATCCGTTCTCTCGCCTGCAATCCCGTTTTACAGCGACGACACCTATCTGTGGCTTTGTCTGGAGAGGTATCCGGGCCAAAGAAAAAGAAAGGAGGAAAAGGGAGCAGCGTTCTCAAGGCGAATGGAGCGCTCAACGTCAAGTCTAGCCTTTCGGAGGATCGGGGTGGAGAAGATACATCTGGAAAGCGAAAACTTGAGGATGAGAGCGAGGATCGGATGAAGAAGAGAAGGGGACGGGCTTGATTTTTTCTATATGTTCAAATGAGTGTAGTGTATACATAGATAGGATAGGTACATGATCTATGCTCTCGTACTATCATAACAACGTAAATCGTAATAGCATCGTACTGTATATATATATATATATCACCATCTCTAATTCACCCAAGTCTATGAAAGATAATACATCCGGTTACCGGGTATAGCGTATCCATATTAACATCCGAGCCGGCCCTCATTTAATTTCTCACTGCGAGACCGGAGACCCTGTGACTTGGTCATGCTCTTTATTGTGCATCGTTGTAGCCGGACTGTTTGAATGGCTATTCTTCTCCCGCATATTCGGAACCGCAGACCCATTTGCAAGGTACTTGAGCTGTTTGCGAGCCTTTCGCCCGCCGCAGCAAGCCGTACAGCAAGAGCCTAGCTCGACAATGAAGGCCAGGAGGTTGAATGCGGCCGCAATCCACATGAACGCCAACATCTGGGTGCCGAGCTTGGCGCCGATATTCAGGTTGAAACTGCCGCTAGTGAAGACGTTCCGGAAGATGATGAACATAACGGTGGCGACAACAGCAGCAACAACCGTAAAGAGCGCGGTGAGGAAAGTAATAATAGTGAAGGGGAGGGCGCGTAGGAAGAGGAAGGTGTTCCGTCGGTGGGGTGGGTGAGTTTGGTTGACTGCTGGGTCTGGGGAGATGGACTGCGGGGGACGGGAGGAGACCGCCAGCGGGCTCAGGAAGATAAGCACAAAAGTGAGGACCGTGGATACAATGAAGAGGCCGAACATCCAGTGCGAGGCCTTCCGGGCGATGTCCAGAGCATGGGAAATATCTGCTGGGAGGGCAACTAGGAAATGGTGAGTGAGTACAGTTTCTTTTTTTTAAGACGATTCGGGAAACGGAGCACTGACTAGATGCCCCAGCAAGAAGTTCGCTCAGGATGATCGATACTGGATCAAACCAGTAGAGAGCGCGAGGTTTGGAGCAGAAGGTAATGCCCTCATTGTTGTACCCTTCGCAGAAATTCCACAGCCCAACCTGATAGAAGTCGTGCAGACCGATGGAGCGAGCAACACTGTTAATCAACACCGCGTTGGGAACCGACAGAGGGATGATATTGGAGAGATCAATTTTGAGAAAATAGGTATTCCGGAGGACCGATTTATTGGAGACATTGCCAATGACCACCAGAATTAAGAATATCCAGGCCAGTAGATGAAGAAACGAGCGAAGGATGCGATGCCAGAGCACGGTCGACCGGCGACGGCCATAGACTGGTCGTTCAGAACCTCTGCGGAAACGAGGAAGCTCTGCCATGGGATGCCGCCAGGAGTTGGATCTCGACCGGCAGATGCAGAACGAGGGTAAAAAGAGAGGGTATTAATACTCAACCCCTAACTGTCCAGAATATTTACAGGATAATAATAGAATAGGGAGAGGATACGAGGGGTTTTAGGGATGGGTTGGCGCGGATAGCTTCGAATGGTATGACGTTAGAGGTCCCATGAACCAGTAAAATAAGCCAGAGAATAAGAGAATAACTGACTGTAGCTGGTGATGGTTGATGAGGAAACAAGATCAACGGTTTCTCCATTACCCTGAAGAGAAGGACCCTCAATGGGACTGTATGGGTCTGGTAGGCAGGAGGGCCGAGAAAAGCCTGTGGATATATTACTGCCTACAAAGACAAGACAATCTTGAGTTAGTAGTGCTCACCTAAGAGGCTAATAATTCCTACCTAACCTGGTATCTCTTGAAATCGGGTTGTTGATTGGTGCCTGAAATCTTTTGTGAACCTTGGAAACTCCTTCACGTCATCATCGGCAACCCGGATCCATCCTGGTCTCCACTTTGGTCTCCACTCTTAGACTCTAAATAAGGATCAAAATATGATTGGTCTACACCCTGGACTTTAACAGCCGATGATCACCTGGATCGCCCCACTTGGTTTGGGTGGAGTGGGTCTGTCTCAGCTTGTTCTTTCCCTTTCCTGAATTTACCAAATACTGAAATTTTACTAGTTTCGGTTTTTACCCTGTACTAGTAGTTTCCTGGCTGTCCAGACTCCAGACTTCTACCCTTGGTTTTATCCCAGGGACATCCTCCAATCTTAAAACTGGCCGGCTTTTGCTTCGTTTTATATATATATATATATCAATCTACCCTTTCCTCTGCATCCGGTCTCCCTTCTTCCTCCGACGAGCCGCCTTCATACACCATGCGGCTGGCAGCGCTTCTGCCTCTGCTGGCTGCTGGGCATGCCCTCGCGGAAACCACCGAGAAGGAAACTGCTACGAATACCCTTCTCACTCTCACAGGGTCTATTGCAACAACGACCATCAATGACGCTACTGTTCCGACCGGCGACTACCTGACTTACTCCTCGACAATCTATCTCACCACCCACGGCACTGCCCTCGGTTCAACCGTCGTCTCTGGTAACGACACTTCGACTGGCAACGCGACCACAGCCCAAAATGCAACAATGACGACCACGTCAGAGTCGGTGACCGTGCTTGTAGGCGGTCAAACAACCCTCTCCGGCAATGGAACCGCCAATGTCACAAGCACAGCGCCGCCAGCGTCCACCTCCACTGCCGTCAATACCCAACCATGCAATGGCTACCCCGAGTTCTGCAATCGCAAGTACTCCAATATCACCATGGTGGCGGCCCATAACAGTCCCTTTGTGATGAAGGGCAATGCCGCAGCGAACCAGGAGTTAGATGTGACCTACCAGTTGGAGGATGGAATTCGAATGCGTATGTTCTAAGCACGTATGAGAGAGAATTAACGACCCAGAGACTGATATATTTGGCGCTTGGCGTGCCACCCAGTTCAATTACAGGCCCATCTCGTTAACGGTACCGTGTATCTCTGCCACACTACCTGCGACCTTCTCAACGCCGGAACCCTGGAGGCATATCTTACGACCGTCGCCGGTTGGATGAGACAGCATCCATATGATGTTGTGACCATTCTGATTGGAAACTATGACTATGTGAACCCCGGAAACTTCACAGCTCCGATTGAAAATTCTGGATTGATGGACCTGGTGTGGACTCCTCCCATGATACCTATGGGGCTCGAGGACTGGCCGACATTGGGCAACATGATCATCTCGGGCAAGCGCGTGCTGGTTTTCATGGACTATCAAGCCAACCAGACCGCCATTCCATGGCTTATGGACGAGTTTTCTCAGATGTGGGAAACTCCATTTTCGCCTACAGACCGAAACTTTCCCTGCACCGAGCAACGTCCTCCCAACCTTTCGGAAAAGGACGCGAAGGAACGGATGTACATGGCCAACCACAATCTCAATCTCCAGATCGACATTGCCAACATTAATCTGCTTATTCCCAATACCGCGCTACTGAATGAGACGAATGCTGACACTGGTTACGGTAGCCTTGGCTGGATGGCCGATAACTGCACAAGTAAGTTCACTCGCTCTTTTTTTTTTTTTTTTTTTTTTTTTTTCAATCCAGTCAGTTCTAACAACCACCCAGCCATGTGGAATCGTCCACCAAACTTTCTCTTAGTCGACTACTACAATGAAGGAAACTTCAATGGATCTGTGTTCCAAGTTGCAGCCGACATGAACAATGTCACCTATAATCGGGACTCTTGCTGTGGGACCACGTCCGCAGGTTCGAGCGTACTACCTGGACAGAGCCTAATGGGAACGATATTCCTATTTGCTGCTGTTCCCTTCCTTGCACACATGTTGTAAATGTTTTGTGGGTAGATTTGTTTTACTTTTGTATATACGAGTATTAGATGACATGACCTAGTACCTAGTATTATATATAATTTATGATGAGATGATGACCACGTTATAAGAAATCTATCTGTCCCTGGTAACCCTAACCTGGACATCAAACCCAATCAACAAACCGTAAGGACTAAGCTTGACTCAACTTAAACCCCCCGGGAACCTGATACTGAAACACCCCCAGGGGATCATACTTCTCAGCAACCCGACGCATCTCGCGCAGATTGTCCTCGCCATACCCACGCAACGGGTTCTGCAATCCCGCCGCATAATTCAAATAAATGTACCGATTCCCCCCGCCACGCGATCTCGCGTAGCTCTCGATCTCTTCCACCATGGCGTATCCAACCGAGTCGAAAAGCGGGGTATCCTCGATCTCATCCCATGTAAACCAGAGGAGGTCCACTTATTCAATCCATCAATTATTTCGTTCTTTTTTTCGAGACGGAATTTAAAAAAAAAACTCACGTATATAATGCCCCCCGTCTAACCCAAGTATATTCCCACCTCTCTTCTTACCCAGGTGCGTGAAAAGCGCGGGAAAGGGCTGGTATAGGCTCATGATGGACCAAGCGCTGCTTTTCACGGAATGCTTTATTTCCTCGATGGCTTTGGTTTGGATTTCCACGGCGCGGTGGAGGATTCTTGGGTCGTTGGCGAATGTTAGAGTGAAGAAGTTGTGGCTGGTGTTTTCATCAGTATCGGTATCGGTATCCCGCAGTATCATTATCGATACGTTAATACCTAGAAGAAGAAGAAGAAGAAGAAGAAGAAGAAGAAGAAAAAGGGACATACTGTACCCCCCCTGGAGGCTCAAACTCCGACGTCACATCATCCAAATCTGCAATCCGCATCGTGCTGGAAATATTCGGTAGGGCGTAGAACCGCGCAAACGCTGCTGGGAATTCGACCGGTTTCGTATACTCTAGCGCGTTGCTGATCACCGGGACTCCGAGCTCAGAAGAGTAAGTGTACAATGCGATCAACGAGGCGTGCGGGTCCTTGTGGAGATCGCTGGTGAAGTCCACGAATGCGGGGATCTGCTGGGCTGCGGTGGACTGGTTGTAGGTGACGACGCCGCCCCAGAGGGATTCTTGCTCGAAGGCTTCGAGGTCGATTCTGGTGACGATGCCGAAGTTGTTGGAGCCGCCACGGAGGACTTTGAAGAGGTCCGGGTTTGTGTGCTCGTTCGCGGTGGTGATTTGCCCGTTAGCAAGAACGATCTGGTTCGTATTTTTTTTTTTTTTTTTTTTTGGTTAGAATACTATGGATTGGAAGAGTATGGTGTGGCAACCTACCTCGAAATTTACTACAGCGTCGCAGACAAGTCCGTATTGAGCGCTATGAAACGAGTTCCCTCCTCCTGTGACGAAGCCACCAACACCCACCATCCCGGATCGACCACCCGGAACGGCCATGTTATGCTGGCTTAGGGTTTTGTAGACGGATTTCCACCGCGCCCCGGCCTGGATAGACGCAGTACATGTGTCCGCATGGTAGACCGTCTGATTCATCTGGGACAGATCAATCGTCACCGCGTAGTCCCCATTCGTGGATCCAGTCACTGTCCCATGACCACCGGAGCGAACTGCAAACTGGCATCGAGGCGAGTTATCATTGGCTTTGACGAGAGTCGATACAGCTAGGGACACATCCTGTGCTGAGTGCGGCTGGACCACACAAGAAGGGTAGAGTTGCTGGTTATCAGCTCTCCAGTAGGACCCGATGGACTGGTGATACACATCGCTAGTAGGGTAGAAGACCCTATCGCTCAGCGATGTACTTTTCAGCGCAACACACTGTCCTTGTTCTTACTGATCAGCCTCGGTTTTCCGGAATCATTCCCGAGTCGTTCTCTGAGTGACTTACACATGCGGAGACGGAGCCATTGGCTGGACATGTCTTGAGGACGGTATCCAGCACTGAAACGATACTGTTCGCACAGACTTTCATAGTGACAAGAATCACGCAGGAGATTTCCGTTTCTTTTTTGTTTTCTGAAGCTCTGTCGACTCGGAAATGTGGAAGGCGGGGTTAAATTCCAATCGACTGGGGGCAGGACATCTTTATCCCACCAGTAAGAGAGCCTGGGAACTTCATTTGTCGAGCTGCAGTAGTGGTGCTAGTGGCCATACGCTGTTGGGGTGATTTCTGTAATCATTGCTGAAATAGTGGCTATAGTGTTTATACCTAGGTAGTAGTTGAAGAGTGGTTCTCCATACTAAGTACGCAAGTTCAAAGAGTAGACAAGATTACTGGTAAGAGGCTATCCCAATTGCAACTTAACCAGTCGCTCCAGATTTGTCGATCCATCCTCCTTCACAACGACCTCTTCCATGTCTCTCAGAATACTCTCAATATATTCCCCCGCCCCGCTCAGTTTTAAGACATGTGCCACTGCCCGATGGACAGCAAGGAGCCGAGAAGATGGCGGGTCGATAGTGCGTTCGGGACTGAGAGAGAGTGTACGAATAACTGGAAATAATGGATCCCGGAAAAAGGGCCGTTGTTCAGTTGAGTCGATTTTATACTCATATGGAGCACCATGTGTGGCTCAAAAAAAATCTGAAATTCACCAAAACGACGGTGGTAGTCAAGGGTAAGTGTTAAAGCATTCATTGGACTATCCATGTTTGGACCATCAATAAGATGTATAATGCCTGGGTCAAACATATCGAGGATTTGAAGCACATTCTTTTTCGTATCGCTCTAAAATAGAAAATTAGGTCAGTGATATGAAATTCGAATTCAATCAAAACTAACACTACCAGTTCGGGATTTCCTTGTGAAGTAGATGTGAGCGAGTGTGGGAGAATATGAGCTACTTCCAAGTATTGGAACTTTGTCACTTGTTTCCGCTCCCAAAGGGCGGCCGTCATCATCTCTGAACTCTTCACCGTCCCGTTCGAATCGCTTTTGGCCTCAAATTTATCGCACTTCTGCGACGGTCACGAATGAGACTGTTCCGCCGTAGGACAGAGACACAATCGGCAGTACCAACGGGTGTGTGTATCTGTTTGGAAGCCAGCAACATAGGCGTAGGTTGTGTGGCGTTCGGACAGAAGAGGCTCTGACTTGAAAACCCGCGCTTTATTAGCTACCGCTATCAAAGGTCCCGGGGGGATTAGCCTCACGAGGAAGGAAGAAATTATCAATCATATACTCGGCAAATTCATTGCTAGCACTGGCCCATGTTTCTTTTCGGGATAGTGATTTAGTAGGATTGTAAAGAGGTTTCTCGACTGTTGATGGTCACAGGACGATGAAACCAACGGTTCTGGAAAATGTGAACATCAACAGTCGAGAAACCTCTTTAAAATCCTACTAAATCACTATCCAAGTGTTCCAGCGAGACTTGGTGACGATGAAAAGCCATGGTAATCTTAGCAGAGATGATACTTTTGAGGGGAAATGTTCTGAAGCGGGATGTATATGTACAGTAGAATCCATAACTCGCCCAAAACAGTTACAGTCGGTGATCACCTGACGCCTGGTCCCACCTGACGCCCGATTTCCCCTCACTAACTGTTTTTTTGATAATTTTTAACAACTTATATCTCAACCAATATAGGTTTAATTGAAGCCGCGATAGAAGCAATTAACTTATTAAAGATTAGTGATTTAATTAATTATATTAAGATTGCGAAAGAGTTTGGTATTAATTAAATAATACTATTAAGACACTACCACAGGGTACAGCACCCTAAAGACTACTAATATAAGTAACAGCAAGTTCTTACTAACTAATATAAAAAAGAACTAATAAGCTATATTAATAAGTTTACTAAGTAAGGCCTTTTCATGTCCCATAAGATGCTTTAAAATTTTATAAAGGAAATTACTGGCAAGAAGCCTAAAAAATACTAGCCTAGGTATTTTATAAAATATTATTAAAATAATCTTATCTTAATCTATATAATAATTATTAATACCGCATGAAAATAAGCTAATTTTATATATAAATATACTCTATATTTCAAGTTATTAAGCTAGAAGATATAGTAATATAAGCTATAGCTAGAGAATATCTATAATATAGATAAGAAAGAATTTTTTATTAAAATACTAGTTAAAAGTCTTAGGATTTTCTTAAAGTAAAAATATATAGCTAGAGGAGGGCTTAAGTAATACCTGTAAGATAGAAATTATAAGTAGATAATTTTAATTACTTATATTTATACTAATAGAATCTCTCTCTTACTAAGTCTTATTTACCAGGCTTTTACTAGTAATATATAAGATTCCTAGCTTTAAGATTTTAATTTTAAACTTTATTCTTACTTCTTTACCTCTTCTATAAGTAGTTAGACCAATAATAAACTAGGATATACCTAGTTAACTAATATATTTAACTATAAGATTAAGAATAAGATATACAGGTAATAGAAGCTTCTTATTTTTAATAATTATAGATCTTACCTTACTATAAAGTTTATTAATTACTATAATACTAATAAGATCCTATTAATAATATATCTACCTTATTTAACTTATTTACTATAGCTATTTAATATTAGGATCTTTAGCCCTCTCTCTATTACTTATAGTAAGAATCTTGAGGACTTTCTATATAAATTAATAGGTCTTAATTATATTATTAAATAGGACTTCTTCTGCCTCTTCTAGCTAGCCTGGGAACAGGCCTTATTAATAAAAAATATTCTTTCTTTATAGTAAACTATAGAAATATAACTATTAAATCTAGAAATAATTCTAGTTTAATTTAATAAGTAGAATAACTCTAGGCCCTCCTTAAATAATTCCTCATGCTCTATCCTATAGATAGAGAACTAGCAAAAGATTAAGAAGCTTTTAAATTAAGTTATTACTAATATATATAATAAAAATATTAAAAAGTTAAGCTTAATAATATATTACCTTTTTATAAAGAATATTATTCTAAAATTATATTATTAAGGTCTTGAATTAGCCCTCTAGAATAAGAAAAAAAAGTATTAATATAAGAAACTCTTATAGTTTAAGCTTGTAGCTCCTAAAAATAGTAGTATAGTTTTTTACTCTTTTTAAAAGGTTTAGCAGGCTCGTGATTTTTAAATATAGAAGAATAAAGCTATATAACTTGCTAAGGTATTAAAGGAGTAAGAGAAGGTCTATTAATAACTTACTAAAGAGGAGAAATAATACTTGCTTGAAGAGTAAAAGAGAAATTAAGTATTCTAGTAAGAATTATAGTTACTAGAGGTAGAGTAAAAGAAATAACAAAAGGAAAATACTTACCTAGCAAAGAAGGTAGATTACTAGCTTTAAAATAACTTCTAGTAGGTAAAGAAGTCTCTAAAGAAGGTCTCTAAAGCTTCATGCCAGCAAAAATCTATAGAAACCAGGCCAACAATACCTATAGAAGTCCTAGAGGCCCCTCTAATAGTAAATTATTAAGGCTGCAAGATCTGGCTCCCATAGCGCTTTCAGACTAATTAAAAACTATATATAGAGTCCTAATAATAACTATATTTATCCACCAAAAGATCACGCGATAATAATAATTATATATGGTTGAATTGCTTCATATTCAATATTGCTGGTAGTAGTGAAATCGGGCGTCAGGTGGGACCGGGCGTCAGGTGATCACCGACTGTAGCGCAATACACAGCAGAAATCCAATTCCTCCCGGCTTCACTTCACACCAAGCAAGACGAATAACCTCAAGCCAACAACCATCACTATCCAATTGCACCCCCCCCCCCCCTCCTTTCTCTCAATAAATACCAAAAATCCTACCTTATATATCGCACCTCAGAAAAAGTACTTCATCCAAACAACACCCAACATGGTCGACATCGTCCCTCTCTCCTCCTACCCCTCCTACATCGATCTCCTCCCCGCCATCCAAACCTGCAACATCACAAACCTTCCCGAAAACTACTTCCTAAAATACTACCTATACCATGCCCTCACCTGGCCGCAGCTGAGCTTTGTGGCCGTCGTGCGCCCGCGCAATGGCTACACGAAACGCACAGGCGCCGGGACAGGCACGGGCGATTTGTCCGAGCAGTACCCCAAGGTTGTCGGGTACGTGTTGGCGAAAATGGAAGAGGAGCCAACGGACGGCGTGGCGCATGGACATATTACAAGTTTGAGTGTGATGCGGACACATAGACGGTTAGGAATTGCAGAGAGGTTGATGAGGATGAGTCGTATGTTTCCTTCTCTTCTGACACATGTTCTTTTTCTTTCCTTTCTTTCCGAAAAGAAAAAAAACAGGGGGTGAGCTGCTGCTAACAATTAGTTTTTTTTTTTTTTTTGGGGATATAAATAGAACGTGCAATGGCTGAATGCCACCGTGCAAAATTCGTCTCCCTTCATGTTCGCATCTCCAATACCGCTGCTCTTCACCTTTATCGCGATACATTGGGTTTCCAAGTCGACAATGTCGAAAGCAAGTACTACGCTGATGGCGAGGACGCTTATGCGATGCGCATGGATCTGACCAATATGTGGTTGGACTGGGCTGAGATCGAGAGGAAAGATCGGCTGCGTCAGGCAAAGGACGAAAAGGACGCGGATGAAGGTGACGAGGTTGGAGATCTAGGCAAGAAGGAGAACAACAGTGAGGAGAAGATGGTGAAGGTGAAGATTGGACGGAGCTTAGGGGTTGGCGACCTGGTTGAGAAGAATGAGGCGCAAACAGCCTAATAGAGTGATTTTTTGCTCATAGATACCTACCCTACCTAGTTTGGATGGGATTGAATAAACGAGGATTATCAGGATTACTCTTGATAAGATACTGGGAGAAAGTATGTATGTATACATTCTAGTGACATGTCCACTATCAACCAACAAAAGGGGGGGAAATATCCCTAAAGTCTTTTGTGTGCTAGATAATGGTATTAATCAAAAGGTCATCATAACTTCATTATGCTGTATGAACTCTGTAGCCTCAGCGCTGACAAGAAAAGCAAATGACAAGAATTTGAGAACAAACACTTGAACAGAGTTAAGAGACAAAGATAGTACACGAAAGGAAATACCAACATTCTCTAAAGGCCCAATTCACTTCCCCTTCCCAAAAAACACCAACAAAGTCATTATTAACACATAAGAATCTAATTGCGAGTCGTGTTGGGGGTTATCTCCTCCTTTGTTCCATTCCCTTCTTGCGAAGAGTCAATGCTTGGTGTGCCGGTTGCATTGACTGCACTGCTCTCAGATCCAGCTGCAGGCCGCTGGGCGGAGGGCAGTGATGTGGCCTGAGGCATAGTCTCGCGATTGCGATTGCGATTGAGGTCCAGATTCTGCAAACTTTGTTCTAAGCTTGCCGGTGGCTCCGCCGCAGGTTGCTGTTCTTCCCTTTGTCCCCGGCGAGATCGACGTTCCTGGCGTTGTCGATTCTTTTTCATCCGACGCTGCTCGTGCTGTTCGTCTCGAGCACGCCGCAACACATCCCGGAAGGCCTTTCGGGTGGCTCGCATCTCCTCTTTGACGGCCCGTTTTTCGGCCTGGTTGCGTTGTCGATCTTGAGGCGATTCCCAGCGGCCCCAGCTACCGCGTCCTTGGGAGCTGTTTTGGGACTGGTGGCCCCAGCCGTTTCTCCAGCGGCTGCTACGGCAGGAGATACGCTCTTGTCGGCGTGAATCCCGCAAGACTTCCAGTTGGCGTCGGAGTTCCACCGCTGCATCATACAGGTCACGGTTATGATGATCATTCAAGGAGAGAAGCTGTGCCCGGACTGTCGCAAGATCGGAAGAACTTAGCTCGGACGTCGTAGACAGGGAGTCGATAGAGGATAGCGAAGACTCTGAACAGCTTGACCCAACCGAGGCTCTGCGGATACGTTGATTTTGTAACTGCGGAGATGGCTGATTATTGCTGGGAGCGTTGATATTGGGGGTGGACGGAATTGGCGGGTAATAAGCCGGATGTCGTGGGGACCTGGACCAGCCACTGAAAGCGGGTTCTACTTTACGTCCTTGAAGACCGGTTTGTTCTTCAATCCAGCGGCCATGAGCCATAGCATGTTCTTCAACCTGTCGGCCGTAATGTTGGGCATGGGCGCTAATCTGGTCTCCATACTGTTGGGCTTGCTCTGAGATGCGCTCACCATACTTTTGGGCTTGCGCAGCCAGGGCCGAAATCCATCCTAGAGGTCCACCTTTATTACCAAAACTCTCAGACTGATGTTGCTGGCCACCCCATCCCCACGGGGGATATTGCTGGTAAGGGGCCGGGTAAGGATATGCATGCGGAGGTTGACCGGGGTGAAAGAAGGGAGGTGCGCCATGTGGAGGAAAGAAGGGGGCTGGATTGATGCCTGAAGCCGGGAATCCATAGGGGGCAGGGTTCTGCGCAAAATGAGATGGAGAATTTGGGTAACCTGCAGGGGTGATAGACAAGTTTGCCGCTGAAGGGCGTTCACTGCCAACTTCTGACGATTGCGCAGAACGAGTTTCTTGGGACGCCCTAGTCGCAGCGGGATAGCACCTAGGACATAGTGGAGATACAGGTGCATCGCGAGGGTCAGTCACGTAGAAAAAGACGACCTGGGCAGCACGGGGTTCGAAGAAGCACTGGTTCCATTCTGCCATCACAGCAGCGATACGCCTCTCACGCTCTTCGTCCGTTTCCTGGGGCCGGTCTTTGCGGTCTCTTTGGATCTCTGCTCTCACTTGACGTGGCAGCTCGGCAGATGATGATGCAAGGCCTAGGTGCGGAGGAAAGAGGTGACGTAGGAACATATCCCAGTCCTGCTGGGAGATGTTCTCCATGCGCGAACTCCAACAACGGGGTCGACGAGGGAAATCCTTCGACTGGCTCCGAGGGTAGACAGTCATATGGTGCTCCATGGTTTCCTGTTCACTCTCCACAGCAGGAGGCGGTCGTTCCACAAAATAAGCAGCGGCTGATGTAAAGTGCACAGGCAATCCTGGAGCCGCGGTTGTAATTTCACCGCCTGAAGTCACAGATACTGCATCTCCACCTCGCAGACGCAGCAAGTTGCGGTTTCCGTCTGTTAAGGCAGTCACATTCCTGTTGCTGTTTGACTGCGACAGTAAGGGGTCTACCGCTGAGTACGGCGGTGGGGGAACCTCATTAGGGTCCATCGCGGGGGACAGCTCGTCCGCCGTGGCACAGGGAGGTTTGAGCTAATTTGTTGTTTAAGATCTTCGGACTTTAATTAGTGGCCATACATAACGGGTGAAGACGCTGCGACAGTGTCTATCCAGCTCCTTCCGAGGATAATATGCCTTCTCTTACCTGAGTCCTCCAGGATCCTTGAAGACGAGTAGCGGAAGGCAGCAAGATTTAAGTGATACCAACTGGTTGTGACTAGTCAGCTCAAACACACGCGTTGACAGCCAGGGAAAAAACAGTATTGCGCAAAGATTAGAACAGTTACTTACCTATGGTAAAACAGGCCCCGGGAAATCCGACAACAGAGAAACCCAAGACAGACAGCTCGAGAGCGAAGCTGAAGACAACGCTCACCGTGCGCGGAGAAGCACCGGAGTGGCGGGCTGAGATCACGGGGAGCGGATCGTGACTGATTGGCGAATAAGGCACCAACCAACATCGAGGCTGCTTCTGAATGTACATACCCTCTCAAGCCATGGCCTCATTTTAATCCCGAAAATGAAGCTCTAGTTTAGAATAATCTCCATTACATATATACACTTCATTTTTGTTGATGTTCAAAATTCTATCCTATTCATGTGCATGATGATGATGATGATGATGATGGTATCGAACGAGGAATCCAAGTCTTCCTACGGCCCCCGAACTCCGAAGCCGAATGAATGCTGGGCCATAAAGGAGGAACTGACGATAAAGAAATAGGCAGGAACATGCAGGACTTTAGAACTCATTCATACTAGTCCCATGCATCCCCCCATCCATCATCCTCGTCCGCATCTTTAGGTTTCGTGTCAATCTTCTTTGCTGGTGCGACAACGACCTTGGGCTTTGCTGTACTACTGGGACTGGAAGTTCGCGAGATTGTGGTAGAATGAGATTTGTTCAAGCCCCTAGGCAAAGGTTTCTTTGCCTTCGACTGCGCAGCAAGCCATCCTGCAAAGTCCGGTTCTCCGCCATCATCGTACGGGGCAGGGGCTGCTTTAGGCTTGGAAGTAGAAGCTGCGGACGAAGAGGGAGACGCAACGTTAAAAGGATCGTCGTCGTTCTGCCAATCATCGCCTTCTTCGCCATCCATAGCGCCCCATGCATCGAAGCCATCGTCTACTGGTTCTTCCTTGTGCACTGGTGAAGGCTGTTCGGATAAGGACCGGTTCAAAGTCTGGGCCGTAGGGCGTAGCTTTTCCTTGGCTTGGCTAGAGGGTACTGGGGAAGATGGTTTTGTTGGGCGAGGTACAGATGCAGAGCGTACGGGTTCCGCCTCAACGGGTTTTGTGGTGTTGGCAGAAGGCTCAATCTCGCCGTTTGCTGCGGTTATCTTGTTAGTGAACGAGGAAATCGCCCATCCTGCCCAGGATTTATCGTTAGATGTTCCGATACGAGCGGTCTCCTTGGGAGCATCTGGACTGGTTGCTGCTGGCAGGACTGTATCGGGCATGTTACTACCAAACTTCCGTACGCGCTGGATATATAAGTCGAGAGTCTTGTTGGCTTGATCTCTTATCAACCTACAGGAACGTATTAGCCATGGGATGCGATCATAAGATAAGCTATATAATGTACTTTTCCCGGTCAAGAAGAGAAGGGCAAATGGCTGGAAGAACCTTTGTAGCGCAATCATCTTCGGTGAAGCACTCCATCGTTGCGGACAACGCCAGTAAGCCAGCGTTCCGAGCATGGACGAACGGATCCCGAAGGGCTCGAGTGAAAGCTGCGATGAGAACTTTGGATCGCGACTGTAAACAACGGTTAGCACAGGTTGAATTGAAAAGTGTCCCATGCACTTACGCCCTGTCCTAGGTTTTTGGCGATCTTTCCCAAGCAAATCGTAGTATTAGTACGGATACCTGGTTGGTCATCATTGGCAGTTCGCGCCAGGAACCTGAGCAGCTCGCCATTGATAGTTCGGTCTGAGAGCTTGTTGATCACAGGCAATACTGCCTTAACCGTCTGTTCGCGAACAACTGGCGCAACATCTGTGAATCCAGAGGTCTATGGAAGAGAACGTCAGATGATATGAATGCCTGTGAGTGGAGAGATATAACCAACAATCTGAGGGAAGATCTTGTCATTCACGATCTTCTGGGGGAGATTATCGATCATCATCGGCAAGTGATCTAGGAGACAAACTCGGATCGCGCGATCAGGGTTTCCGAAGAGGCGAACAACAACCGGTGTAAGTTTAGCATTAAACTCGTCCTGGGACAGCTTTGCCCCTATCTTTAGAAGGGCCGATAGGACCTTTGGGCCACCTCCTCCAAACTCAACCGACTTTAACAGCTCTGGGAGCACCTTCATCTTGAAGAAATCTTCTGGGAAGTCTTCCGACAGCCCATCGAGCTCACTAGGTCAGTCAGTACATATCCACAATAACGCCCTTGGGGAGAAACCGACTTGAGAAATTCCTCCCGCTCCGCATCACTTTTGAGACCTAGACTATCGATATCGTCTGTCAAACGGATAAGTGGTGTCTCAAAAAAGCCACCAGTCTTTTTCCCTTGCTCGACGAAATGAGCAGGACTCAATCGTATTTTGGGGTTAGCTGTGTGAAGACGTTTATAGCTCTGCTGCATCGTGGGCGGGATATTGGTGGGTTTGCCTAATTGGTCTCCTCCAGAAAAGTTGCCATTGAATACTTCGAAAATCAAAATTCCGAGGCCGTAGGAGTCAATAGCTGTCAGCGGGTTCCGCTTAATTGCGTCCCACCCGCCTTTAACAACCTCCGGGGGGGTATATCTCGCAGCGTCCGGTACGAGGCTGCCATAGGTCTGCCGCGGGTTTAGCAAAATGGTAGGGGCCACAGAATACTCTGTCGGGGCATCTAACTGACATATATAACCGCCTGATCATCATTCATTGAACTCAAGATATCAAACCCTCCCAACTTCCATTCGCCACTTTCACTTGTGAAGACCGACGAAGCTCTCACAGCACCGTGGACGGAGGAGGCATCCCCGTTAATGAACTTGAGCGTAGACTTTTAAGAGGAAACACAGTGGAATCAGCATCATTCGCAAACCATAATCACAGATTCAAGAACATACCGCTACTGTGTATAAACCCCATTTAGATGTCTCCTCGCTTAGACTTCTGCGCTTCACATGCCAGGAAAGGGGAACCACCCGTTCGGTCACAATATAGATGGTGCTCTCTGTCTAAACGTCATCAATATGTTTTTCCCTCTTTCCAAACGATAGAGAGCCGCTGGTGCCCTTCATTAAGCGTGTTCAGGATCAAATACCTCAATCGTATCCAAAACCTTTATTACCCCCGGATGTCTCAAGGTTCGTGATTTTCGGACCGCATTCTTCGCCAGTGGTAGGCGGGACTTATTGGCGGCTATTTCGAAGGTAAAGATACTGCATGAGGAACTGTCTTCCTATATTCCGAAACAAAAAAAAAGCAAGGTATTAGCGATCTTGGTTCCATAGCCAAGAGCAACATAGGGGAATACACCACAACTCATACCCGTTTTGTAGCATTATGAAGCGTCCAGATCGAGTCGGAAATGTCCACCCTATCCCCAAGCGTATAAGGAAATGAGCTGCTTTTGGCGATTGCAGACGCGACGGCCGATTTAAGGAAATCCATGGCGGAGGGTGACGAGTTGTCCTCCCTGTCCCGAGAGCCAACTGACTCGGTTGGAAGCTTAGCTGGTCTCTTGCGGACACAATTTGGCGAGGCACTGTTTGTCGCCAGAAAATAGAAGCAAATGCAGCGATGACTTTCGAGGGTGTTTAGGTATGCGATCACGCGCTCCAGTTCCAAAATTAAGCCACAGCCCTCCGAGTCGAGATATGCTATGCCTATGCAGCGGGCAAAGGAGATGATGTCCCGGTCTCTTTCCTTGAACCTTTGGCGGGCTCTGGACTACATCCCCCCGCCCCTGATCCGGTTTAGGGCCGATGGGGGGGAACGGCGCCCAAGAACACCCTCCCTCACTTCCTCCCTCGCTCATTCATTCATCTTCACTCCAAGCTCCATCTTTAATGCTTAATATTAGTGACATCCATATACACATATTCATGCTGAATGGTTAACGGTTTTTTTTTTTGTTTCTAACTAATACCCATCTCGAGTCTCCTTTTGCATCTGGTAAGTGGATCGATGTCCTTCAATCTCCCCCCTCGTGACATACTATCCCCCCCCCCCCCCCCTTTTCTTCCCTTTCCCTTCACTCTCTCCAATGATGCGACACTGGTAAAAGGTCAGACCGCGTTTCCCTCGAAGAGATGCCACCGTGAAGCCGCTGGGACTTCCATTCATACTACAGGGAATAGAGCAACCCCGAGCAGGCACACGAAATCCCTTCCGCAGTGCGCGAACGCTCTCCTCATCGAGACCCTCCACTTTACTTCCCACTTCTCAACCACCCATCACAAGAAAATGCAGGCACATGCTTCGTGAAAGCAGAAGAAGTCCCTAGTCGCAAGGCCCACGACATTCTTTTTCTCTCTCTCTCTCTCTCTCTCTCAAATCTACCTGGGAGAGACATTGTGTACACAAAAAATTCTGGCGCCACAATTTGGGGTTTCTGGTCCGCTTTGTCTCCATGAGGAATTTCAGAAACTAATGGCTGTGGCGAACAATATATTGGGCTTTGTGGGATATACATCTATACTGCAGAATGGGTGGCGAGGATTGGGACAAGTTGGGTCGGGTTGGAGTGAGGAGTTTGGACGTGACGGCGTTCCTCCGGCGTCGATGCTGTGTTGGTGGAATTTATTGCTCATATCGGGGTACAGCTCTCTCTCTCTTCCTAGCTTGGATGGGGTGAAGTACTGCGGTGCGGATGCTCTCAGCCTGGGTTGAATGAAGACCAAATTATAAACTGAAAAGACCTGAGGAGATCTATTCTATACTCTATTATACTACTTGCTTTGGTTTCCTTCCCGCTCCGCTGGGGGCTGCTCAAAAGATGTGAAGGTACTAATGTGTGTCAGCAGAATGTTTTTGATACGAAGTCTACAAAATCTACGACGTTGGGTTTCATTGAGTTGTTGAATAAATTTCATTCTGCTTATCCTCGAAGATTGCGCATAAGAGACCAAACCACCTATGTAAACAGCAAGCCCCTCCTCCCCACATCCTTATACCCTCGGATGAAGTCGCACTGAAATTGTCAAGGTTGAACGAGCAATTTCTAGGCTCCCTGCATGCTAAAGGTCTTTGGAAGTGCATATCATTCGTAATCCAGTCCTTGATCTCTCAGCGCTTTTTCGTGACAAGCAGTGGCTTGGATGTCAACAGAGGGATCATCGAACAGCAAATACTCAAACCCATTCCTAGAACGGAGTATGAATGTGAAACGACCAAAGAATCCGTTCTGACAAATGGCATCCATAGACCCCAATATAGTATTAAGCGTGGTGGGAAGCGACAGGACCCGAACTACAGGTGGCCGCAATAGAAGGCATCGCCCACACATCAATCCCAGACAGTAGTCTGTCGGCCTCGTCCAAAATAGATCTCAACCCCGCTTTCCCCTTCCGATTCCCCATTTTCATTCTGCAATTATTAGCGAAAGCTCTTAAACAATCTCACACAAGCCAGAGAAGCTTACCGAGTACAGATCAGAATGAGTCTTCGTAAGCAGTATAAGGTTGGCGTGCGCGGAACATGAGATTGGAACTCAAAAGACAGATAAGCTTGTAAAACACATTTATGCACTTGGTCCGCGAAATGGCAGGCCATTGGAACCAGCAGAGCCCTCGTCGCTTTCAGGCGGGGCTTGAATGCCGAACGGGGGTAGATGTGGTTGTATTTATCGGGTTGCCAAGACGATGGGGTATAACGGCTCGCGCACTGCCTGTATTTGACAGGATTCATTTCGACTCGTCCGTAGCCTCCTGAGTCTGGGGTCCAGATGCAGCAGCTGCCGGGGGTTGGGATGGCATTTGAGGTGGTATTTGAGGCAGCTGGTTATAGCCGCTGTTTGGTGTACGGTGCTGGTTGGGAGGATAATGATGCGCTTGATGTGGGCTTGACTGGTAGTGTGGCTGTTGCTGTGGATAATTTCCACGAGTAGGCGGCACTGATAGCTGTGAGATATTGAGTGGGATAGAGGTTTTGTGTTGTCACTTACTATGGCCTGGCTGTTGGCCTGCATACATTGGCTGACCATGCTGCCCAGGAGACATGTACATGACATGTTGCGGAGGTTGACCGGGCTGAGAATTCTGGTGCATCATCATCGGAGCACCCCGACTAGGGCTGGGATAACCATTGTGTGGCTGAGGTGGCGGGGCGTGGGGATAGGCATGTCCCGGATTCGGAGAGTACATCTGCATTTGAGGTGTAAAAGGAGTCATACCCTGGGGGACGCCCATATACGGCCCACTGGATGGCTGTTGAACCATCATAGGTGCCGCCATCCCGCCTTGTGGATTCACAAACTGAGGGCCCCCCTGATAGTGTCTCATATGGCCCGGCTGCGGCGCACCTTGGTTCACATAGAACTGGGGCATGGGCTGGCCAAATGCTAACTGGGCGTGCGGCGTCATAGGTGACGGATACCCATGCTGAAGCCGAGGAGAAGGGAACATTTGGGATGTTGATGCAGACAATTGCATCCGGTGAGGGTCATCAAAATGGGGTGGACCAGATCCGGGATGCTGCTGGGGGTGGAGATGAGGGCCATGGGGTGGGCCCGAGGCAGGAGGCATACCAGGGGTCTGCTGGAACTGATATGGCATCTGTGACTGGTGGGGCATCTGTGGGTTCGAAGCAGACCGATTCTGAGGAGATGCAGCGGGCATGGCATTTGGAAACTTGAACATCTGCAAATATGTCTTCTCTTCTTCTCCATTACCGACCTTCCACGTAGGTTGAGTACTGTAGGCGAAAGGAATACCGCCATTGGAAGTATAATCTCTGTCGGTCTGTTCTGCGCCTTCTTTCTTCAGACGTTTGATGGAATTAAATTGATCGTTAAGCGATGGACGCTCAGAAATAGGGCGCGGTTTTTTTGCTCCAAAAAAGGCAGATGGGCTCGTGGCACGCGAAACAGAGCGTCCTCTACTAAAGCCAGTAGAAGCTGAAGTGCCCGGTGTGAAGGTGCTTGCGGCAGGATTCGGTTTAAATTCCATAGCCCGTACATTGAACTTCGTTGAGGCAGAGGATGCGGACGTATGGGCCTTTGTAGGGCTGGAAACACCGGATTGGTCACCAGCTGGACCGGTAGGTGGAACACGGATGTCCTGCACCGGTAGAGGAGATGGAACCGTGCCCGTGGCCGCTCCCTTCCGTTGCTGAAGATTGTCTGCAAGACGATGACCAAGCATTCCAGTACCCTGGCGGGCCGAGTGCAAAGGCTGGTGCGGAGAGCGTCCTCCGGGACCACCTTGAGGGCCAGTTGGAGGATACATCTGACGGTTACGAGGATAGCTCGGGCGATCCGGTTGCACCTGTGTAGCCGTTGCGCCGCTCTCCGGTCGCGGAGGCACTTGGGCACGTTCTGGTAGCTTCTGGTCAGCGGCAAGACCTATGGCGGGTTTAGTTGAAATCTTCTCCTCGGCATTCTGTTGGGCTCGTTGAATAATTTCTTCCTGCTTGTGGGGGTCTTTGGCAAGGATAGGCACCAAATCCTTTGGCACTGGGGTAGCAAGCTTAAAGTTCTTGGAGAACTTCATCAGCTCATTAAGCTTAATGGTACGATCGTAAGACGCCTGGTTACGCCGGCGCTCCTGGAACTTGAGTTTCTCGTTCGTGGCAAATATGCGAAATCGGTCCAATACTTCATGTTCGTAATTGTTCTCGGGGGAAGATCCCTTTGGAGCAGTAGACGCGGTAGAGGGGATTTTTGCGAGAGCAGCTTTGTTCTCTGTTTCGGCCGGAGTGGCTGTTGTACTCGCAGGCGCGGCTGGTGTCTGTGACTGAAACGGAACACTTTCTTTCAGTCCCACAGCCACGGTGGGGGCTTCTGTGGTACTTGTTGCCCGCTTGAGAGCGCCAGCAGATGAAGCAGCAGTAGCAGCGAGTTGATTGGCAGCTTGCCGGCGTGCTGGGGGGGTGTATTTATTCGGCTGACCAGAAACCAAGGGAGGGAAATTCTTTTCATCACGGCGGACACCGCTATATTTGTCTTCTTCATCGCCACCATCCGTCGAGACGAGACCTCTTTCCTCTCTGACATGTGCATTATCAGCCTCACTGCTCTCAATCTCACGAGCAATCCGAGCAGCCTCCGCCTCCTTCTGCTTGTACGTTGGGTCTGAGCGATCGATGGCGGTGGTATATATGTTCTCATCATAGCTACTAGTCGCGCCGAAAAGCCTGGCATTAGCTTCGAATTGGTCCCAGCCTGCCCCAGCTGCCGTGGGATGCTCAAGCGACATATCCGTAGTAGTATCGGCTGCCGGTTCCCATCGTTTCAATGTCCGTTCTCGGATAGCAAGGTTGCCGGAAATATCCACGTCGGTTCTAAACCCTGTAGAGGCTCCTGAAGCAAAGGTCAATTGTTTAAAATCCATAAGTGGCAGAAATGAGTAGCGCGAGAGGATACCACCAGGGAAAATAACTATGGGACGGCAGAGTGCCAGCACAAAAGGACATACCATTGGAAGTCTTTGCCAACACGTCGGTCGTGGAGACATTCGGCACCGATACATCAACCACATCCTTGAGGTCAAAAGACACACTGTGATCTGGCGCTGATCCAAGGAAAGGGCTAGCGACTTCACTCACGCCATTTGCACGTTGTTGCTCGGGTTTGGCTTGTCGTTGCACCATCTTCAGTACGAAGGTGGATTCGCTAGGCTCAAGAGACGAATAAGAAAATATCCCGGTAAACTTGTCACCATTTCTGGTGGTTACAGTAGTGTTAAGTCCCTAGCAAGCGTGAGTCTTTCTTCGCCATTATCAGGCACAAATTAAGGATGCTCGTACAATGAAGCTAGTGAGCAAGAAGACGAGACGGTCGTGGGCATGATTATCCGGAGTATTCGATTCTTTCGAAAACGGTCGGGGGGAGGAAGATTGCTTTTGAGGCAGGTTGCCGTTCTGCTGGGAATAAGGAGGGCGCTGGGTAATCGGGTTTGTGCCTTGGGTCCAAGCCTTTTGAGAATTGCTGCGCCTATAGAGGGGAATAATGATTAGTCAATGCACGACATGAGGGGAGGGCTTTTTTGAAATATCATGGTCCAGACGGTCTCCTCGAATCGACGCCATGTAAGATTTAAGAGGAATGGGCGTCGAACCCCGGGGTAAAAAGGATAGCCCAGGCCGCCACAAAGAGCTTAGCGGCCCATGGAAGGCATAAATATGGTATTATGGCCCGACATTCAAGGTAAGGGAGATCATGACAGTGCCTCCGTGAGGCGACAAGCAGTGAGACCGACGCAGGAAGAGCAAATAGGTTGAGGGAAGCGAGAATGAGACTTGACGAGAGGACAACACAACATAACATACCTTTGTCCACCCTCCAGCGGGCTGCCTGACTGTCGTCGACCCCCATCTGACGCCTTGGAATTATTGGAGGCCCTTAGTGACGGCCTAGAGCCGGGATTCTGTGCAGGTGTATTGCCAGATGCGCTGTTCGCAACTGGCATGGAGTTGACGGTAGAAGCCATGGTTTGGCTCAATCGTCAGGAAGAACAAAGCTCAGGTCTTGGCACGATGCAGAGCCGTTAGAAAAGGACGGATAGAAGGCACGAAGCCGCAACACACCGCCTGCGCTAACAAGGCGCAGAAGAGCGCTGGAAAATGTTGGGGAGAAGGGGGGGAGGGGGGAGAGAGGAGGAGGAAGGGAGGAGGGAGAAAGGAAAGAGGGGCTGGAGGGAATGGGGGCAGAGAAAACAGTGTGTGCGCGAGGAAAAGCACACAAGCTTGAAACGTCCAGTCACGGGACCTCAGAGAGGGAAGTAAATTGGGTAGAAGAGGAAAGAAGAGGGAAAGAAGAGAGAGAGAGAGAGAGAAGAGGGGGGGGTTAACAGGAGTCGACAACAGTCCTGGGGGAAGGAGTGGAAACAGAGAAAAAGAAGAAGCGGTTCAATTAAGGATGGAAGAGCATCAAAGAAGCAAAAAGCGGTTGAAACGTCAGTCAAAGGAGGAAGAAGCGGGTTAGCAGAGAGAGAGAGAGAGAGAGAGAGAGTGAGTGTTGAGCTAAGTTAGACGGGACGACGCCTGATCTGGTGTGGTGGAAATAATCCAGGACCCTTCGTTGGCAGCTCCGGAGCCACAGGTGGGGAAACTATCTCTTTGCTCTCGCTGTGTTCCTTACATGTCTAGACTTCGGTTCCTCGACCCAGGACTCAAGATATGACATCGACTCGTTGAATTTGCCCCTATTGCGGTTACCACACTTAGATGGTTCTCTCTCGTTCCTTGTGCTTCTTGCTTCCTATCTCCAAGATGGCTCCAGGTAAAGGATATATCAACCCCTTCCAAGAACACCTTATACCCCTTGTGTTTTATGGTACTGGATGAGACAGTGCTCGATTCAATGTTGATACTAGATTTAGAATTGACCAGTCTATATTTATCCCCTTTGAGTCGCTATGAAAGCCGCCAAGCTCCCCGTGCCCTTGCTTTCTAATTCCCAAAAATCTTCCCCGAACTTGCATGATTTGGAACGAATCCAACTGTTGATGTCCCGATATCGTAATTGATTCATACGGCCTTCGTTCCACGGGCCGCACTATAGCGTCTTTGTTATCCCTTGCGGATCTCCTCATGTCACCTCCTCTTACCCAAGTATCGAGTCCATCGATTCACTTGCTCCTTCACTCGAACCTATTTCCTATTTCAGGATGGCCCTCAAATGTGTTCAAATTGAAATTGCTTCGGTTGCAGTACCATGGGAGAAGTTCTCTCTTGGGATATTCTTGTGAACGACATCTGTCTCCCTAGCTCTGAAGCCATACTCACCAGCTTGTTTGGAGTGGGAATATAGATCAGAATGGAGAAATGTGAGGGAAAATCGAAACCACATCAGACACATTCCTATTACCTAGGTAGTTAAGTATCTTACTCATCCTAACACTGGGAGAGGAAACTGCCCAGGTGATAGGATCTTCATCCACGAATACAAATTTAGGTTCATGCTACTGTAGGTCACGCTACACACCCAACTTAAGCAATACACTTAGAGCTCAGTGAAAACGAGATGCTCACTTATAGTTTATTCCACGCGAAAGAAGCCCTCATACTAATTTTCTTTTCTTTGATTTTTACCAATTTCGAATCACAAGTCTGGTAATTGTTGCTTGTGAATTCGTGGGGTTCTTACGTGGATCCGATAGGAATTCGATCTACGGAGTATGCACGGGATAATATTCAAAAATAATTCTCATCAGCCAACCATAGGCCCGCTATGCATGCAGATTTTGTGATCACTTGAGAGATTCCAAGACTTTGGTGAGTTGCCGGTCGCAGGCAATGATGAGGCATACAGTACCTATTTCCCGGAGAATTATTATTTTGGTCTTGATAAAAGCATCCCAAATAGGTTCCCAGATTGCTTGTAATGTGTCAAGTTATGCATGCTCGTGGAATCCCATTGGATCGGTCTGCGAGTAAATTATGCCACAACCATGAAGAGGGGCCCTATCGAGGATAATAGTTCAGTTTGGCAATTGTGTTTCCTTATCTCACATTGACAGGGAAACCTATTGTCCAAGTCGTAGATACTACCTCCTAGGTAGGTAATCTGACAGGATAGCCTCATTCATTTATTGTACTCCCCATCGTTGTCATAGTCATTATTGGTGCTTCGATTCGGGCGGAGGAAATACTGCATGGTCTCGATTCAAAATGCAAGCCCCGGTGGGCGAGGATCAGCCCTATCCATTCTACCACCCGTAGACACTAGACAATAGGTAGTACCGTAGTTTAACCAGAGAAAGTAGGGAGGAATCGTACCTAACCTGGTCCTAACCTAGGCCAGTTTGTTGGGGGCTAATAGGTAGAAGTTGGATCCAACTAACACAAGCGCACCTAAATGAGGGAGGCTGGTACGAGCATGTGATTGGATTGGACCCCATTTCCTGCCTCAGGCCGCACACGCACGTCGTGACTTCAGCCCAAATGGACGCCTTTCAATTCCTCCTCCTCCACATGCCAGCTGAACTCCTAGGCTTCTTCATTTTCCAGTATCATGCTGGGTCACTTGTAGCTCAAGTGTTATTGATACCTTTTTCTTCTCAGCGCTGTGCGTCAGATTTTCTTTCCTCTTCCTTCATTTGTTCTCTGTTCTGATTTAATTATCTCCCTCCCTTGCACACATTCGACGTACAGTACTCCGGCCCCTTCTCTGATCCTTGCTCGCTGCACCCTCTTTCCATTTTTCCTTCCTATTTTTTTTTCATCTTTAAGCACGAAAGTCCCTGAGTTCGTGCGCACATGCAGTCATCCTCGAGTACTTCTTCGCGCAACCTGCGAAGTCCGTCCGCACAGCACTTCCCCTCTGGTTCTTCGGGAAGCAGTGTCGAACCCGCCATGTCTTCACAATCTTCTGCACCACGGAGCTCATCGGGTTCCACGAGATCCCAGTCCTCAAGGACTATGGTGGTAAGTTTGTATTCTGATTGTTTTGTTTCTCTGAGCCTAGTTCCGGTTAACTAACTAGCCATCTTTGCTCCACCCACAGCCTGATAGACAAATCTCCCAAATTGAAAAAAGCGTGACACATCTCCTCGTGGCAACAAAGCAATTACTGGAAACATTGACGCAGTGGTCTCGCAGACAGGCGTCCGAAAATGAAGTTTCAGATGTTTATGTACGGCTAGGCTATGAGTTCAATCTTGCCTGTCGCGCTTTCAACGCTATTGGCGTGGACACCTCGGATCTTGGTCCTGTTCCGGATCTTCTCCGCACAATCCTTGAAGACACCCTAAGCCAGGATGCCTCTCCGCAAAGTCTTGATCGTTTCCTCCCTCGAATTCGCGACATTATCATCAATCTCCTTCACGGCCTGAAGAAAAAGCAAGCTCGTCTGCGGTCACGACAACAGAGAGAGGAAAGCAGAGCCTTACCTGCTCGACATGCGAGTGCAGGTAGTGTGGCAAGCAACGCAACCACCCAGGCATATGAAGACCTTCCCTCTGTGGCCACATCCCCCAAACGACCAGGCCGGACCCGATACGATAGCAGCGGATCATTAGACGATAATTCCCAAGCCACGACCCGAACATCACCAACGTCATCAGCTGACACCAAGGGCGGGAGTTACTCAGATCGGGAGGCATCGAGGCGCGAGGCACAGAACATACTATCCCAACCAGCAGCCCAGGACACAGGGATGACCTCCAAAGGGTCCACGTTAGCATCTAATACCTCCGGCTACCCTCCACCACCCCCACCCCCACCAAAACAGGATGATGCTATCGGGGCTTTGCAAAGAAGTGGAGAGCTTGAACGCCGCGCATCTCGAAGATTCTCTGCTTATCAAATACAAAAGCACCTAGGTGCCTCAAATGGAGTCCCTGTCCTTCCCACCCAGAATTCTCCTGTTCCCAATCGAGGCCGTGACGTCCGAGAATCCCTGAATGCCGTGCGTTTACGTGGCTCATACGCACACGGGCGCCAACGATCAACCAACCGCCCGCAAGATATCGCTAATACGAAAGCCTCCCAACCGCAGCCGCCTTCAAACGGGCCTTCCTCGGACGAGGAACGCGCAAAATCCCGCACCGCAGCCCCTACGGAGCCTTCAACAAATGGTGTCACCTCAAACGAAGGCGAGTTCCAGCAACCCACAAATGACACATTAGATAGTGTTACTGGCAAAGCACCGGTCCTGCCTCGCCCCCCGCAAGAGCCATCGCTTGCAGATGCCTTTGAGCCAGTCAAGGATGCAGGCTCTCGTGCAAACCAGTCGCCAGAAACGCCCAAGTCGGTGCATCGACAGCCTGCCACGGCCACCTCCACCCCACCTCGGTCGAGGCAATTCTCCCCCGAACAGCCTTCTCCCGGGAAAGATCTTACGCTGTTTTTACAGTATAAAAGTAAGATTAAGAAGTATATACTTCCCGAAGGCCCTTCCGGTCTGGGCATCGGAAGACTTCAGCTTGCTTTCATCGAAAAATTCGCATGGAACACACACAACAACGGTGTGGATTTGCCGGAAATTTACATACAAGATCCAATATCCGGTGTAAGACACGAATTAGAGGATCTGAGCGACGTAAAGGACCGATCTGTGCTTGTTTTAAATGTGGATACTCTCGATGAGGTTAAGAGGCACTTCGATGATGAGTTTGGTGGGGTCCGTCGCTTAATTGAAGGTGTCAAGGGGGCCTTGGAAGGGCAGGAAAGTATGATGCAACGCGTTTCCGACCGCCAACTGGAAGCAGCCAAGGAGATAGCTCGTCTCGCTGCTGCACCTTCTATCTCAGTCTCTGGCTCTCCCACACCAGGTAATTCCCGAAAGAGTCCGATTTCTGGGAGTCCCAGTCAGGCTGCCGAACTCTCGAGCCTACGACGCGATCTGGCAGTGCTGCGACAAACATACTCTAGCTTCTCAGCAGACATTGCAAGCTCAATGAATGCGATTCGGTCAAAGGCCGAAAGCGTGAAAAGTGCTGCCGCAGATGCTTCTGTGCCGTCCTTCGAAGGGGATGCCGGTCGTGCACGAGTCAATTCTGGAAAGAAGGATCTTGCGGAGGAGTCCGAGCGACTTGTTGCACGCGTTGATGACCTTCAAGACCTCATCGAGGATTTACGCAAGGATGTGGTTAGCCGAGGAGTTCGACCTCTTCCACGGCAATTGGAGACTGTCAGCAAGGATATCAGCGCAACCACGAAGGAGATCAAGAAAATGCAAGAGTTCCTCAGGAGAGAGAAGCCTGTTTGGACTAAGATCTGGGAAAAAGAATTGCAACTTGTTTGTGAAGAGCGTGATCAACTTACCATGCAGGAAGACCTCGCGGCTGATCTGCAAGATGATCTGGAAAAGGCTGCTCAAACATTTGCTCTCGTCGAGCAGGCCACTAAACAGCAAGCCATGCAAAATTCTAGCGGCGGCCCTGTCGTTCGAAACACCTCACGGAACATGGTAATAGATCCGGCGGTTGACCCTATGAAGGCAAAGGACAGTGTTTTAGGCGAAGTGCGTGCCCTTCAACCCAACCACGAATCCCGCCTAGAGGCCATTGAGAGGGCGGAAAAGGCTCGACAGAAAGAATTGGAAAATCGACGCATCGGGCTTTTCCAAAAGGAACTGGGTTCTTTTGTGCAGGAAGGGAAGCTGAAGAAGAGTGGCGGCGTTGAGGAAGCTGAACGACTTCGCCGAGCGAAAGACGACCGCATTCGCAAGGAGGTCTGGGAGAGACAACAAGCCCGAGCAGCCGAGATGGAAAAAGCAGAAGCAGAAGCAGAGGCATCTTCAACAGCACAACAGCCCGAAAGCCCTACACCCGCGGATGATCCAGAAGATGCCGAGTCATCTCAAGGGAAAGCTCCAGGATTAGGAGGAGATAATAAGGACGGCGAAGACAACCCGGAACCTGCCACTGTGGAGGACGGCAATAGAACAGATCCGGAAACTCGGTAAATCTGCACTCGCCTTCATCTTTCTAGTCACATTCATTCCTTGAACTGTGCTCATCCATCACAAACGAGAGAAAACCATCATCTTTTCTTCCACTTCCCTAGTCTCTTCCTTTTATTATTGTTTTCGTGCTTGCCGTTTGTCTATAATCCCTTCGCGTTTTAGCTAGCCTCATTCCCTTCCGACATTGTCTTGGGTCCTCTTACCATCTTTCTGTTGGTTGAGTCCCCCATTACACATTTGTATATTCATGATACCCTGTCGTCGTCGTCGTGACTTGTTAATGACCATCTAATGATATACGAGGAAGACTTGGGCGGATCTTACCTATTATTTTTTGTTTCTGTGTTCGTAGCTGAGGGCACTATTATTCAATATCCATTATGCTGATATTCGTAGTTCACTATTTGCCAACGCACTTTCTATATCGAATATACCTTGCATCAGTTATAAGAATCCCGTCGTATACCCTTATCTTGGAATCAAACGCTGTTATTGCAGTCCCTGTCCTCACTGTCCTATGCTATCCGGGCCTCAGGCTAGTTCACGTGGGGAGTGGCATTCGTCCACCCCGCATGATTCAACCTTGACCTTCAACACCCTTCTTATCCGATGCAATGGCATTCAAATACTTTTCCTGGTTGGCATGCTAGAAACAAGGGAAGACAGCCCGAAACTTATCAACTCCACATTTCCCTCTGAGGGTTTCTATCTGCCGGGGTACCGTATTACTTCGCAATGGATACCTGCGCGGCTACTGAGCCCAAATCCCATGACGAATATACTGTAGGATGAGTCTGTGCTCTAACATGCTTTTAGTCACCTCTTTTTACCTGTATTAGAAAAGCTAACTACGAATATAGGTAACTCACGCATTTCCGCTTGTCCGCTCAATCTAAACATCCGCAAACCACTCATGAGCCAGTGCCTCGCGCGCAGTGATCCTCTTCTCTGGATCGAAATTTGTCATGGCACAAATCAAATGTTTGAAGTCATTATCCACTCCGCTCCAAAGAGAAAACGGCCTCCGCGGGTTTTCCTTATTGAAACCATCTCGAACGATTTCAAAGACATGTACCCAAGGATTGTCCCCGAGATATTTCAGGAACCCCTTTAGCCCATCCTCGTCTGCAAAGTAGGAGATTTGACGCTCAATCACAACAGCCAATGGGTCCACCGCCCCTTCTTCCAACTCATCGTCTCCAACTGCAAAAATCACTCTTCGATGCATCGCATAAATGCACTGGAAGTAAAGTAAGGTAAGTACGCCGCCCTTCCCGGTCAGAAGAACAAAAGATATTCAACGACTTACAACAAGTGCAAATGAGAAAATATCAGACGGCTTGTTCACAGGGCCCTTGGCATGGGCCTCAGGGCTCCTCCACATCCAGTTTCCTGCCTGTTTCCCAATCATAGATGACCCAAGAGGGATATGTGCGGCATCCTCAAGATCCCCGAGCTGGACGTGTTCAATAACAGCAGTCCCGGATTGGTTGTTCCTGTAGTCAATGAAAACATTGTCCGCCTTGATATCTGCATATAGTAGTATATAAGCCCCCTACTCACCCCCCCCCCCCCCCCCCCCCCCCCCGCCTCTCGAAAGGATTGGCTCACCAGTATGCACAATATCCTGATCATGAAGCTCCGCTATCCCACGAAGGGTGTCCCTGAGTACTCTTTTCATCATTTCACGAGGTAGGTCCATCTGGGCAAGATGTAAAAGGTGGTCTGCAAAGTACTCGAAAACAAACATCGACTTTTCGGGTATGGTGTCTTCAACAAGACGGACATGGCTAGCATAGCCGCGTAGTCTACTGTTTATCGCTTCAAGATAGTCAAAGTTGACCGCGTGTATATATTTCAAAACAAAGGCTCGATTATCGGCACTGGGATGCAATTAGATACCCGTCATGAGCGATTAAATCCCACTTACGTTGCAACGTAAACCTGGCGTGGGGGGTCTGTCTCTTCCTGGAGTACTCGTTCGACGTTATAGCTGCGACCTGACTGGCCGATGAATGGACCAGTCCGAGCAGAGCCAGTCGCCATAGTTCTTGAGTTATAGCGAGTGAAGATGGTCTCTGGTAAGGCCAACTTGCGGTTTGAGAGTTTCCAGAAACTGGATTTCAGATATGCGCGATTGAAAGAAGCATTTGCGGCCAGGAGGAAAGGGAGCTGACATGGTGATGACATTAGAAGCGTGCAGCTCAGAGATATCGGTAAGCTATTGGACTGACAGAGAACTCGGAGTGAACAGAGTGATTGGATATAAGAGTGCACAGGGAGCCCAAGTATGAAAAAAGTTCTATCTTGTGTAGTGATAATCTTAATACAGTCCCCTGGTGCAAGCCCAAGGTATAGAAGGGGTGTAGAACAGCCTGAGGTCTACTCCGTAAGGAGAAGTTCAACAAACAAACAAAAAAAAAAAAAAAAGAAAGTGACCAGTGCCGGGCTCGATCCGGCGACCTTATCGGTGTTAACGATACGTGATAACCAACTACACCAACCGGCCTCTTGCTGTGGTAACTTTGGCACATTTTGGCTATGTAAGCCAGGGCTAGTCAGTTGACAGCTCCCTAAGGAAAGTCATACCGCTTTCTGTATGTGCCATAGCTGTCAAGAAATTAAAGGGATACAGCTTTTTGTAGGTCAAAAAAGTTCATTGTAGGTCAGCATTTCTTGGCATGGTGTACATATACCTAAGTGTAGGTCGAGAGTTTGACTTGGCATCATCGAAATGATGATTCTTAAGGTACGTTAGGTATGAATTAGGAATCCTCTCCCCCTCTGTTCTCAGGCCTCTATTTTCAGGTAGCTTCGGGATAGTTCTTAGATTTAAAGGGGTTCTAAAGTTGTGACTTTTATTGCTCCGTATACCAGGAAATCAATACGGATACTTATGTATCAAAAATCCACGCACGTCAAACTGTATGTGTACAGAGTGGAATTGATCCTTGCTCTGTATCTAGTTACGTAGCAGGGTTCTACGTCCCTTTCCAAACTATGCTAAAAAAAAAATGTCAGGCATAATAAATAGTAGAATGTAAAAAAAAATTGACAAAAAAGATGACCAGTGCCGGGCTCGATCCGGCGACCTTATCGGTGTTAACGATACGTGATAACCAACTACACCAACCGGCCACTTGATTGGTCACCTTTCGGACTGAATAGATTGAACACTTAGGACCATTATTTTGTAGAAGTTCTAGTATCCTTCTACCACCTAGCGACATACATATCCTCCACGTCATCCACCCACAACCCCTTGCTATGTGTTATATGTTGCGAACGAGGTACTTTATCACAAGTCTTTCATGATAACACATGCTTTCAATCCTCGAGCACCAAATATGTACGATGGCATCACCGGTGCAATATCAAGTGAAATGGCCAGATCCGTCGCTTCCAACTAGACCTTTGGCTCAACCCAGTTGATTATCACTGTCTCGATGCACGGTAGACACATTGGGGCAATTGCGCGAATTCCATGGTTTACAGCCGGTAGTTTATTTCGTCGTCGAGCCCGTCCAAGCAATTTGGCTGACGCGCTGAGGGTAAAAAGCAGACAAGATATTGAAGAAATGGAGTTTCACCTTTTCCGATTAATGAACAACCAAACCCTCTGCAACTCATGCCAATTCCGTCATAGCCGTTGAGTGCAGGGCTATTGTCTTTTCCCACTTTTATGATGCTGGGAAGGTTGGTTGGTGAATGTCACTGAGATATGTGATAAAACAGGATCTACGACATACGGAGTATGATTCCCGGGAAATATGTTCATATACATGCTAGAACAGCCCTTGGTCCTGATATTCCATTGCAGTTGCTGACATACATAGGCCAGACGAACCACGAGGCTGGTGTAAACCCAGGATACAGACAGGCAGTGGTTGATCTAGCTTGTGATGATGATGAAAAGGGGACCTGTGATCTGAGATTGCTGTCTTTCCCATGCAGGATACATTCTGATGAAGCGAAGCATTAGGAGCAGGTACGATCCACCTAAATTCTGCATATGCTGGCAAGACTGGCAAGCTTTTGGACCGGTTACGGTGGAGTTTCCAGACAAACCTTTCCCCGATAGACAGTGGGGAGGAACTATTACACGCATTATGAACAGCCGGTCACTATTTGATAGTGAAGTATATATGCGGCTGGTACAACTCGGAAAGATCTGTGCTCTCTGTGGACGCTCGTGATGCAGGCCACGGATTTGGATGGACGGAGCATGATATAATGGTCTGTGCTCGTCTCGGGTAGTGCATAAAACATTACGGATCGATATTTGTTTCCTGTTGGACAATATCCCATGCTATCTATTTGGATTGACAGCTAGACAGTGGCTCGTTTCTGCTGTCGGTAACGAGACGGGGTTCGCATTTCGGGCCACGGACCAGATGAAGACAAAAACAAAGGAGGGTTCTGCAAAAACTAAAAGGCACAAAAAAGAAGAACAGATGACCAGTGCCGGGCTCGATCCGGCGACCTTATCGGTGTTAACGATACGTGATAACCAACTACACCAACCGGCCATTGTTGATGGTAGTCAGATTTAATGGCATATGGTCCAGGGGAATGCGATAGGGCAAAACCCCTAAGAGTGGAGTCAAACATAAAATGCGGTTGTATGGTAACAAGCACTGTTACGGAGTACTCCGTACTCGGCATCGCAACCAGTTAGGATACAGGGTTTAAAATAACATTACACTGTAAAAGAAAGGATAACAAATTGAGTTGAAAGGCTCGAGGTACTGGGGGGATTCAACGATCTAATTACTGGGATCCTCGAAGGCCGGTAGTGATATCAAAAAAATCGTCGCAAAAAAAGAACAATGACCAGTGCCGGGCTCGATCCGGCGACCTTATCGGTGTTAACGATACGTGATAACCAACTACACCAACCGGCCAATTGTATAACAAGAATCTTCTTTAATGCACTTATAGTCCAGCAGTACAATCTCCGCAGTAAATTCTCCCAATGTGACGGCTAACCAGCATTACCAACTTTGGTCATACGGCACGTCAGAACAGATAGAGCAAAAGCAAGATAAACTTCATACCTACCTGGCTTATATAGCCTATTATCATCGATTTTGTCGTTATTTGCACGTGGCTCTGTACGACTATTGACAGGAAAACGTCGGGAGTGTGTTACAGACAAGGGTACTAGTTCCCAAACTATATATCCGAGTCAAGGTAACCTAGCCCTACCTGCACCCAGCACAATCATCCGAACCACCAAGAGTCTAGAGACCACATAACCTCATCATAAATCAAATCGTATCGTCACCCCCCAGGCTACTGGAAATCCAGAAGTATCCATGCCCACCCTTAGATTCAACACACATCCCCAAGCCCTAAAACCATAGTACAGTACACACCAAGAGCGCCTAGACACAACGAGACGCAAGGAGCCGCATCAATCACCCTAAAGCGGAGAGTTAACTGCATGGCATAATAGACGTGCCCTAGATGATGATACCAGACCATACTATCTCCGTATATAAATTCCCACATTGCTCGATTTGGGTTAAGCCGATATACCCACTACCGAGCACGGAATACCCAGGACGGAGATTGAGCAATCTCGCGATAGAATTTAGAGCGAAATGCACGTCAGCTATACATGTATAAATACTCCATGGACACAAGTGTGATGAACATGTCATCATACCTGGATAGTAGTGGCCCAACACAAGGCAAGGGAATAGGACGCCAGAAAATGACAAGAATCGACAATCGTGCCTATCTCACACACTATAACCTCTCAACATGGGACCCCAAGAGCAAAACAAAACGCATAGCAATGGCCACGCAATACACGAGAATCAAGAACCAAGTGTGGAGACAGGGGAGTGTGTCCCTCCCGCGTGCACTGCTTAACTATCTCCAGCAGCGCGGGGAGAACTTCTCCATGACCTCGAGCGAGAATACAGAAAACAGCGCAGAGTACATAATCAGCCAAAGAGCATCACCTAAATACATCTAAAACCCAAACACAAGAAAAGAAAAGGCAAGGTCGAATCCCCATCTATAGATAACTAGTTGCTGTTATACACAAAGACAAGGAAGGATGCCGCTTTCATAGCAATACCACGTACCTAACTCATCAAGACAAAGAAGTACACTTCAAGTTCGAACCCTCTCATAGCAATAACCCAGTACACTAGGTAGATTGGAATCCCGCACTTTTAATGTATGTATATACTCCGTACAGTATAGCAAGAGTCAAACTGCCCTAACCTAACCTACTTGGACACGCTAAGAGTAATGTCCCCGTTCCCACTCATATAGTCAAAATCCACCCGAACCACCACAACAAGAGGCCGGTTGGTGTAGTTGGTTATCACGTATCGTTAACACCGATAAGGTCGCCGGATCGAGCCCGGCACTGGTCACTTTCTTTTTTCTTTTTCTTTACTATTTCTCCGAAATATTTTTGGCCATGTATATATACATCTACATTTTTTTTTCTCTGCAACTTATTCTATCACAAGAAAAGGAATCACATCCCCGCCGTGGACATTAGCTGCTGCTATTACTAGCCCAGGAAGGGCATTTCTCCCTAGTGTCCACTGTATGTATGAGCATATCTACAATGGCTTTGCACTCGCCTGGGTTCTGGCAAATATCATGTCATGTTTTGTGAAATCTGATCTACCAAGTCTATTAGTAATGGAGTCTATACACAGCTGAAATCTATGGTAAAGTATCTGTAATAGAAATAAAAGGAAATTGCTGTGGAAGCAAGGGGGTGAAGCAAAGCCAACGAGAAGAAGAAGAGAAAGCGAAAAGAAGAGAAGAGAAGAGAAGAGAAGAGAAGAGAAGAGAAGAGAAGAGAAGAGAAGAGAAAGAGAAAGAGAAGAGAAAGAGAAAGAGAAGAGAAAGAGAAAGAGAATGAAGGTCAAAATGCAAGACAATGAAATCTAGTGGTGTATCAGAGGTCAAAACAAGGCCTTCTACTTCCTTGCAGCCCTCCTGCTCATGATAAACTTCTTCAGACTCAGTCTCCTCACCCGGAACAGATAGTATAGGGTGATCGCACCGAAGACATTAAAGGCAAAGTAGCACCAGAAGATGCCATAGTTTCTCCACCGGTCTTTGTAGTAGATCTCCCGTAGCCCCAGATAATCATCTGCCGAGGACATAGAGCAGTATTCGCAGCTTGAGGTGGCGTTGGGGTTGTAGAGACTGCCGCCTGCCAGGTCGAGATACTTGCTCATGTACTCTCCGCATGTCTGCCCAGAGGGTGGGTTGAAAACACTGAGTTCGTCCTGGCTGCAGACCACAGGACGGCCATGTAGTGCGGCGCTACTGAGCCCACCCACGTAATATGTGAACGGGGAGACGCGGTACATGAAGATCCAGAACCCGGGAAGCCTGGAAGGCGGTTGCATGACGCCATTGAAAAGGAAGGATAGACCAAACATGAGCGTGGCGAGCATAGCGGCAAGGGCTGACTCTTCTATGGCGGAAATAGTGAGCTGGGCCATACTGGCAGCGTAGATGTAGAACTGGACAATGAAGAGGAGGACAAGACCGCGAGACTCTGCGTCGGTTGCTGTTCCGAACACGGTAAAATAGAAACAGGCCCAGACACAGACACCCAGGGCAAGTTGCCAGGGAACTTCGACCATCACCTGAGAGAGGATGAAGACTTTCCAGGAGTACACTCGGGATGGTCTTTCGCGGACCTCGTAGAGAGACCGCTGCATCACAAATTTGGGCATGATTTGGTTGACCATAGTGCCGAAGACTGTGCAAAGCAGGAAGATACTGAACAAGGAGTTTTGGAAGCCCTGTTGAGTGTCGTTGGACTTCCAAAAAGAGAAGCCGATAAAGAGACCGGAAACCAAGCCTAGGATGTACTTGGAGAAAATGTACTCGGGCTGGCGGAAGTACTGGCTGAAGACACGACGCAGGACATAATAGAGTTGACTCGAAAATGGCATCGCAAACTCCAAGTCGTCGTCATCACTGATGGACTCTGGATTCGGGCTTGTCGAGGAGTTCTGAAGCTGCTCGAGCTCAGCAACGACTGCTCCATACTCCGGACTTTTCTTCCAGATTTGGGGCCAGTCCATAGAACCATCCTTGCTATTAACGATCTCGATCATATACTCCGCGGGATTTTCTAGAGCACCACATTTTCTGGCTCCACTGCGTTCAAAGTATTCAAGCAAGGTTGCAGATTGTTCCCCAATACTTCCAAAGTAGACAGTTCGGCCGCCCCTCGCGAGGAAGAGTAACCGATCAAAGGTCTGGAAAAGCAGTGCGCTAGGCTGATGTATGGTGGCCAAAACCGCCTGTCCGCTGTCCGCTATCTTTCGGAGAAAAGCACAGATAGTCCATGAACTCTGTGAGTCCAGACCACTGGTTGGTTCGTCGAGGAAGATCAAAAGAGTTGGTTTGGCGGCAAGCTCAACACCAATACTAAGCAGCTTTCTCTGCTCAACGTTTAGCCCTTCTCCAAGGGTTCCCACAACGGCCTCAGCAAAATCCTCCATGCCCAGGATCTTGATCACTTCTTCAGCATAGGCATACTTTTCTGCCTTAGGTACAGATTTTGGCTGGCGTAACATAGCACTGAACTGAAGGGCTTCGCGTACAGTAGTGGTTTCAAGGTGGATATCCTGTTGCTGCACATATCCTGTCCTTCGAGGGAAACTGGATCGGGGAGCATCTGCATTGATGCGGATATCTCCTGTAACCACACCAATTAAGACCCTTTGCGCCAATACATCCAGTAGAGTGGTTTTACCTGCCCCGGAAACTCCCATGAGAGCTGTTAGTGTTCCTGGCTTTACCCACCCATTTACATCATCCAAAAGCCGTCGCGTGCCGTCGTGTACAGGGATGTCATAATTAATACCCTTCCACGAGAGAACGTCTGTCTGTTTGGGGAGATTGAGGGTCTCCGTGGTTCCCTTTTCTGTTTCTGTCACAGCAATCACACTACCAGAGGCCGGGGTTTCAACATCACCGCGAAGGCGACGAGGAGCATGGCCAGGGCGGAAGAGAAGAGCTTCAGCCTTTGATATCGTTCCAGTGCGCATCTCAGTCGCAAAAAGATACAGGCAGTTGAAGAAAATCATCATGGCAACTAGAATACCGTAGTTTCGCCATAGATGTCTGTATTTGTATTCGTAGTTTGCGTTAATGAAGACGTCTCCGGATACAGTGTGTTGGCCAGCCACCGAGCCTACGACTGAACAAACAAATGACGATCCAGTTGCATAGCTGGGGATCATTGACGCGCACTCGAATTCTCGACCGTGGAATTCGTTGCTGATTAGAGCTTCATAGGTGTAGTACATTGGATTGATCCAGCGGATCCACGAAAACCACGGGTGCATATAAGGCTGTGGTAGAGTAAACCCGGTATACACCACAATGGATAAGATGAGGACTCCTGCTAGGGCCATAGCCTGTCCAATCGCCCGAGTGAGGGCAGCCATTGTACGGAAGATACCAGACATGGCCATAATGGCCGTGATGAGAAAGAGATAGAAGATGAAAAACTGAGAAGGCTCCCGGCGTAGGTTTGTCATGAAATAGAGAACGATCGAAAACGCAGTACATCGGATCAGCTTTATAGGAAGGTCAACGATGATGCTGGCAAGGGCTTCAGTGAATGGATGGACGAATGCATAAGTAGTTTGTTTCTCAACGACCGGACGCTGGGTGTATAGGGTCATGATCTCATTCATGGTAATCAGGGCGTTCATAAGAACGGCGAAGAAGAGAGTAGCTCCCTTTTGAAAGAAGGCGCTGCTGTTAGAGGGAGAGTTATAGAATACGGAACCTAAGATAAGAGAGAGCACCAGCTGGACGACGACAGTTGACATTGTCGTGGGTATATCGTTTCGCAAGAGCTGGAAGCCACGCCGGATACAGAGTCGGACTTGCATGGGAATTGAAAGAAGGTATGGACTACTGGTCCGCGTATGCTTCGCCTGTTGTGCGATATGCTCTGCTTGGAACTCCTTGGCCTCCTTCTCATCCAGAGGATGGCATCGACGATACTCTGCGATCTCTTGCTGCAGCCCCCTGTATTCCACACTGCACTTCCAGTACTCAGAAAACTCGCGGGCAGTACGGGGCACTGACTGCTCCATATCGGGACGTGCTTTTCGCTCCGCCGGGTTAGTGATGGATGTGAGAAAGTCTGGGGCTACCTGTCTTTGAGGCCGTTCCCAGCCCATTTCCTCAAAGTATCGGCATGCATCGTTGCACGAGCCATAGTATATCTCATATCCTTCGTAAAGGACAATGACCCGGTCGAAAAGATCATACATGGACTGGGAAGCTTGGTAGGCTGCAACCGCATGGCAGGACTCTCCAATATCAGATGCAAGACGAAGTGCCTTGATGAACTGCAAGGCAGTTGCTGCGTCCAAACCCCGTGTGCTGTTATCCCAAGCTCCGATTCGGCACCGTGACAAGAACATTTCCGCGATGCTGACCCGTTTTCTCTCTGGTCAAAGGTTAGCAACTCTAGCTAACTAAGTGAAGGGAGTGATTTGGAATCTAACCTCCGCCACTCACACCACGGATGAAGTTGTTGCCAACCTTGGTGTGCCTGGCGTGCGACAACCCGAACACGGAAAGCACCACGTCCACCATCGTTTGGATGTATTCATCACGGCTGATATTTTCAATCCTGCGCGAAGGAGTCCGGGCGCTCGCCGCAAAGTGCAATGTTTGGTCGACCGTCAAGTGTGCGAAGTGGGTGTCTATTTCTTGGTTGTACGCTACTTCTCCTCGGAAGTTCTTGACCATCTGCTCCAACCCGACCCCCTCATACTGGATGTCGCTTTCCGGTTCAAGCGCCAGCCCACCGAGATGTCCGCATATCGTCTTCAGAAATGTGCTGCATCCGCTGCCTGGACGACCAAGTACCAGCAGAAGCTCCCCACCCTTGACGAGTCCATCAAAACTGTTCAGAATCCGACGTTTCTCGGAGCCGCCCTTCGATCCAAGCATGCGTTCTGATATCTTGCGGAAAGGAATGGTAAATGTGGATGCGAGGGTCTCCTGATACTGGAGGGTAGAACCTGCGCCGGAGACAGATAGATTGGAAAAGACCACCCCCTGGCTCTGGGGGGTGACCCCAGAGCGCGCCATAGCTTTCAGCGCCTGCTGGGCCCATAGTTTGTAATCGAACTCGGGGTTGGTAGGGTCGATTCGAGGATCGTCTCTTAAATCAAACGTAGAGGTTTTGGATAGGCTGCGGCCGATCTGGCTGGATGCAATGCGAGTCACCTGCTGTGATTCACGTTCCATAGCCGCGTTGACAGTCTGTGCATCGTCTCCGGAGCTCCCAGAAGGAGGCCTATCCAAAAGGCGTTCCATCGTGAAGAAGCAGTCCGTGGGATTGGAAAAGAAAGAGCAAGACAGGGGGAGAAACGAAGGGAGGTAAAACCCGAAGAGCACAAGGCAGACATTGGGAGAGGATATCAAATGGAACTACCCTACGAGCCTGGAAGGTTCATCTAAAGTATTACTTACCTACATTAAGGAACGTAATGATCGACTATCGGAAGGCTTCAACTCCGTCTTTCTGGGTTTATACATTGATCCACGCTATGTGGGAGCTCGGGAAACCCGGATTCTCCTCTCGATCCACTAATTTCTTCGGGACCATCCATAGTCTTGATTTTGGGCTCCAGCATCCAACCATAAGCCATGGTCTAGAAAAAACCACCGGCGAAACGGTGCTTGTTATGCCGACCTCTTGATTCAAACGCAAGTTAACCGCCGGTTAGTCGGGGATTTTCTTCGTCCGAATCCAAGGGAATCTCCTAAGCAGCGAAATTTAGGGCTGGAAGTAACTGACGGGATTAGCACTAGTATGCGTATTTACTCATTCATTCAGGTTTTATACCCACCTGTGATACAATCATAACATTGGAATACGCAATTATACCATGGAAAAATGAGCATGTTGAATCTAGACTCTTGGATGGAATGAATTATTGTGGGAACCTATTATCTTAGGCAACACGTATTGTCACTGTATAAGTGAACTGTTTTAAGCCGGACCGAGAATCAAACCTATAGAGGCAATAACTGAATTGTCAAACCTTAGAAGAAGCCCCGTGATGTAGTAGTTTGGTGATGCGCAAAGAGTCTGAATGTTGAGGAAAACTTCGGTCCCTAGTTGACGGGGCTCGGACGACAATTCGCGGTTGTAGTTGGTTCTGGACTTTGTGGAGCAAGCGAACAAGGAAGAAGTCCATCACTTACTGTAAGAGCTAAGAGATAGATTTCGGATGTCCGCACGTCAATCTCGGTCAAAGTCTCGTGAGGGGTGTGCAATGCCATAAAACGAGAAACGGCCCTCACAGAGACCAATACTCTGGTTATCTGAATCCGTACACATCGATAAGCCGGCTATGCCACTGAGCCCTCCTTCAGTATATATTTTGATGGTCTTTAGATCCCTGCTGAGCCACATAGCCTCTGTAGGAACTTTACCAAATCTGTTCACTAATTCGCTCTCTCATGCTGGACTTTGCTGCACGTAAAGCTCTTCTTTTAGAAATCTTTGGCCTGACCTAGACGGATGCTCATTTCGAACCAAGATGGTTTCTTCAAAAGTAGGGTTACTTTGATGCAGCCAGCCTAGGTGTCGGAACTTTAGAGCCTGTATACCTCATGAATAATAGTCTCACAAAGAATTCATAGATCACTTACATCACGAATGATCCTCAAGCTCCTAGGTCCCTGTCTCAGACTGAGTCCCTCCCAACAACGGATGTACTTGGGGTCACCAAACAACCATGGAGAGCTTCCATATTTCATACTCCTGACTCCAAGCGCATCCTCGACAAGCCATATAGCATCAGTTGGGTAATGACAAATATCAATAATATGGAGGCTTTCAGTCTTGTTACCGATGAATGATTCTGAACCGCAAGCTATAAACCCAATGCCACAGATATAATGTACATTATTTAGCAGTATACTGCATACTATAAGTCTTTCAGCTGTGTCTGGAATGTCCATGATTTCCCTATATAGCCCATTTCGAAAACCAACAAGGAAAGGACCCTCATGGTCAAGTTCTTGTAGAGCAGGTCTTCCTGGACGGAGGGAAGCATTTTTGAGGCTTCAAAAGTGTGAGAGGATCTGGACATCCTGCTTGCAGATTTAGTGCCAGTGCCAGTGCCAGTGCCAGTACCAGTTCTAAGTTCAAATCCACATGGCTTCTTCTTCTCAGAGCATGGGCGCTCGTTTCAGCCCAAGACAATATCACACAGATAGGGTATCAATAAAATATGTATACCAGACAAGGACCTAAGAAATGCTTACTAGTAGGCGTAATCCTCATTCCATTCAGAAATTGTCTATCCCGGTCAGGTTGAATTGCCTGGCATAGTCTGTATAACTGGATAGGCTGTAGCAAGACGCATGCATGATAAAGGCGTCTACAGGTGTGTAGTTTGATGAAGGAATTAGTCTAATCAATGTCTGCTGCGCAGGCCGTATCAGACTTCTCGAAACTTGCTTAGACGCGTTCTTTTCGAAACGAATCGAGCCAAAGTCAACAACGCGGTTGTCTCTGATCATGACTTCTACCCTTTAGGTACAAACACAATAGATTATGAAGGGAAGTATGTACCTGTATTGAGATCCCATGTCCATTTTGCTCGTGTGATCCCAACAGAGCATTATTATACAAAAGTTTGAAGACTCCATGGGCCCGATTCAATTAAGAGCGCTACTTGAAAGTGGAGAAGAGGAAGAAGAAGATGATGATGATGATGAAGAGGGAACATGAATTTTGTCATCTTCATACGTGACACTGATTGTCATGATTGAGGGGATACAGATGAATCTCACCCACGCTGACGGTCAATCCGGTCCGGGGTTCTACCCTAACAACCCTAACCCTAACCCATCAAAACCCTAAGAATGTAGAAGCACAGTAAACAAAGACACACAATACTGATAGCAGCATGCTGGGTGTACCCCTGTGTAAATGACTCGCACGACTCTCTATACCGTCTTGGTCACTGCTCTGTCCAAAGCAAGGCGACCAGACGTTCCAAGCCTTGACAAAGAGCCCCACGCCATCTTCGCGCGGCTCGCTGCTATTTCTTGCGCCGCGGTCGTACGTCGGGGTCAGCATGTCCTCAGCGTGCACGGCGCCAGGGTACACAAGCCCAAACACATCCGTGCCATTTGAAACCTGGTTGCAAGCCGGGACATCCTGGGTAATGGCTCGGTTGGGCGCCCCGACGTCCTCCGCTTGACTAGCCACCCCGAACGCTCTCCATGGATCAAACTCGCCATTGGTAAACATGACATTGCTCGCCTGCACGTTCCACCCGCCCAAGGACTGCAGCCAGCTGTTGTTGATGGTGGGGGGGATGCTGGACTGCGGGAAGTCTGCAAACGTTGACGCGATGATCTCTTCCGCCCGGACTGCGGAAACGTTGTAGTATTCGCTGAGTACCGTGTATGAATCACTCGTGTTTGATCCCTGGAAGTACCCCACCTGAGTCAAGGACTGCCACTTCCAACTCACGGCGTCGACCTCATCGGTGAAAGTCATGTCTTGGGGTAGCGTCTCTCGGAAGTTGGCGAAAACCGCATTGGCCTGGAAGAGGCCATAGGCGTATGCGTAGAAGGCGACGGCCGCCCCATTATTACTATTATTATTATTGCTGCTGCTGTTGTTGTTACTACTATCATTGCCCTCTACAGAGGCAGCAATGCCGTCGTCTAAAGGCGTAGCTCCCGCAGGGTTACCGAAAACCACCTGGCTCTCATTTGCCAAACTTTGCATCTTAGAAAAGTCCTGGAGGAACGTGTGGACGTCGAAACTCTCCATCTGATCGCAGAAGACTTGGGTAGTGTGGGCCGCTCCGAGGTTCTGGTAAGCACTGGAGAAGCTCAAGGCGCTGCTCAAAGCTCCTCCGATGAAGAAAGGCGTCACAGAAAAGCTTTTCTGATAGGTATCATTGGCCAGGGCGTCGGGATTTTCGACAAAGTAACCGGCTATTTGAATCGCCTCGAGTTCGGTTTGGGAGCCTGACTGGATGACTTGGTCAACGTATTTGACCACAGCCTCGATATCGTTGGTGCAGTTCTTGGGCAAGGCCCGAGTGATGGGGTCGAAATAGATGGAGCCATCAGACCGGGTTTCCATGGGGCCGCTCGAGGCCCAGGAAGCGTAGATGATCTCGGGGTGTGTCAGTCGAATCCAGACCGCGCGTGCTCCAGGGTACGATCCGCCGACAAATATCCAAGGGGTTTGGTATGGACCCAGGTTCGTCGTGCTGTTGAGGACCCGGTTTTCACCGAGCGTGGTTTGGTTGAAGTTGTTGGCAAAATAGACCACATCCTCAAGAGCTTGCTCGACGGTCAAGTACATATACCCCGGTGCATCAGCCAGCGGCAGACCACTGGTGTCATTCAGGGGCACGGGTCGACTGTAGCCATAGTACCGATGTTCCCAGCCGACCACCACGCCGTTCAGCTCCGCCGCGAGACTCGTAGCGACGCTTTTGGTTCCATTGTAATCTGCCAGAAACCAGGCGGCTGCGAGGGGAGAAATGCCGCTTTCGCCAAAGTCGAAGACGATCACCGGCCCACCCATTTTGTAATAGGTGTCGTTAATGAAGAAACGGTTGAGGTACGTGTCCGTGTTGGATGTGTTGAAGTGGTCAACGGGAGTGGAGATGCTATAATTTGGCACATTTGGGAGGCTAGGTAGGGATTCAGCAGTAGTCCTTTTGTTCGCCCGGTTGTTCATATTGATTGCAAGCACATTCTGGGCTACCAGAAGCCTGCGGGCGAGGACACTCGCTCTCATTGTCTAACGTTAAATCTTGGACAACAAGATATGCCAGATATCTGGTGAAAGACAAAAGAGGTCCTTAGGAATACCCCCCCCAAAGGGCCCCGGAATAGAAATTCTCAACTAATTGTGCTTCCTGGGATCGCAGCTGATTGGGTATTTGCAGAGGTTTTGTCCATCTCTGTTTCTGGTCTAAATTCGTGCAATAGGGACATGCATGCCATGTTCAGCTTTGGCTTGGTTTCGGATAGGATCTGTCTCCCACGCTTCGTTAGCCCAAAAACCACGATTTTCCGTTTCCTGCAGATATAAATCCGCTGCCATTACTTCGACACTATAATATTAGCGTCGAATTTCACTAGAAGACCTCGTGTCATATGCCATCACCTGTCATCGGACCCATATGGCTGACAGATTGGCAGACTCGTCTGTCTTGACAAGGCTGGTTGCTGTTCTTGTGTAATAAGAAAACACTTAGCGGCTGGGAATATGCAAATATAAGACTTTTACTATTATAAAGCCACAAAAAGACAGGTCTCCGATAATAAGGAGATCTATGTTGTGCTATATCCTGGCCTGTGACACAACCCCTGCGTCAGTTTGAGAGGCTGTGAATGAGCAGATTCGTACCTTTTAAACTAAACCTCCTAATAGTTAATGACTTGACCTTGGTCAGACAATCTGAATTGAATGATTGGTTGGAAGTTGTTGCGAGTCGGCAGCTGTCAGCAAGAATATCGGCGATTTTCTGATTAGGGCACGCCACTTTATAGGCATCTCAAGGCCAAAGGTTCCACCTTGTATTCCTAGCTATTTAATTTACGACTCTTTACCTTGGAGTTCTCTGTCAGTCGCTGCTCCACATCTTTCGATAGTCTAAATAGTGAATTTACTCGTCTACCCAAAGCGTCCCACGAGTAATAGGCGAAAGGTTCTCTCGCCTTTAAGTGGCAATTTGAGCGCGGCGGATGAATGACGCTCTGGGAACAGGAATCACATCATAAGTGTTCAGTATCCCCGACTCTCGGAGTGATAGTCCGTCTTTCTTAAGCGGTTGCATTTAGTGAAGGGCAAGTGAATGTTTCAGATCAATTCCCAAGAAGTCCAGGCTCTATTCAAGTATACCAGAGAACAACACAAGAGCAAGAACTAATTCCGGTAGTAGCCAAAATAGAGGTTGCAAGGTAGTAAACGTAAGCAATTCATGATAGATAAACGCTCTCAAAGGTCTATTGATCCTGAAACCATGGATGCTCCAATGCCTGATGCGCTGTGAGTCGCTTGGTCGGGTCCAGGCTTGTGAGCCGCTGAATAAGATCCTTGAACGCTGAAGTCGGGAAAAGGCCTGTATGGGAGATATTCCTCAGACCTTTCATCCCATAACATCTGTAGGACCTGGCAACTGATCTCATCATCGGCAATATGTTTCAAGAGGCCATCAACCCCTCCAGAGTCTCCAAAATACGAAACTTGGCGTTGTAGGCGAATGAGAGCAGGGAGTGCACCCTGGGATTGGTGTTTTTTGAAATCTTCGTCGGGACCAAAGATGACACGCCCGAGGATAGCGTAGGTGCAGATGCCATCTTTGCAATGGTCCTTCTAAACATAGTAGGCTGATATATTATCATCAAAATAGGACAAAGTAACTTTGCGATTAAGGAACTGGTGATGAGAGGAAAGGAAACACCAGGCAGGTCGAGAGCCTTCGAGAGGGATAATCTGATGAAGGTATACAGCAATAATATCTCAGTCGTCAGCCGCACAGGGAGAGTGAGTAGGCAAGCTCCTATAGCTAACAAGTCAGTTAGACTTGCCAACTCAAGCCATATGTTATTAGTGAGTTACCCTGGGGTTCACTCTGGAAAAGATACTCCATGTTTCTATTTTACATGGACTAGTACGGAGAATGAACGAAAGAAAAATAATCACAAAGCTATCCAATAATGCTATATACCCTATTTTTTTAAACTAATGCTCTTGAAATCGGCTGTGGTATTCTTGATGGCAATTTCCACCGGCAGTCTTTCCATGGAGCTTGCACCATAGAAACCATGCACGCCCTGCACCCTCTCGAGAATGAACCTCGCATCCTCCGGACGAGCAATCGGACCACCGTGACAGAGCACAATGATGTCCGGATTAAGCTTCACGGCGGTATCCCGAATAGCCTGGATATCAGAAACACACTGGTCCAGCGATTTGCCAGTCCTCGCGCCGATCAAGCCAGAGGTCGTCAAGCCCATATGCGCAACCAGAATATCGGCACCGGCCTTCGTCATCGCGATGGCCTCCTCCACATTAAACACATAGGGGGTGGTAAGGAGACCCAGCTGCGCCGCTTGCCGGATCATTTCCACCTCCTTGCCATACCCCATCTCGGTTTCTTCTAGGTTGGCTCGGAACTGACCGTCGATGAGTCCCACGGTGGGGAAATTCTGGACGCCCGCAAAGCCCAGCGCCTTCAGCTGCTCGAGAAATTTGGGCATGGATTTGAAGGGATCGGTTCCGCATACACCGGCGACAACGGGGGTGTTTTTGACGATGGGGATGACTTCCGCGGCCATTTCCACGACCACTTCGTTGGCGTTGCTGTAGGGCATCAAGCCCGCGAGACTTCCACAGCCGGCCATGCGGAAGCGACCGCTGTTGTAAATGACGATGAGATCACCGCCACCGGCCTCGACCGATTTAGCGGAAAGTCCAATGCCTGATGAGTTGTTAGGATCATCTGAAACAGGGCTTTAAGGTCTTACCGGCTCCAGCTCCAACGATGGGCCGTCCTTGTTCAATTTGATGACGTAGACGAGCGAGAATCTCGCTGCGAGAGGTAGGTGGTGCCATTTTCAATCGAATGTGAATTGAGTTCGACGCTGCTAAAGAGTGAAGTGGAAGAAGGGAGCATTGGTTCGGCCGGACCAGTCCTATTTATGGACAGTACCTGCTCGAATGATGGTGCGATATGTAATACACGTTTCGACCGTGATGGCAAGCGGAGCGGAGTTAGGAGAGCGCAGAAGACGGAGATGGAAACATGGGAAGAATCGCCCTGGATAATCTATTTTCAAAATAGTGAGGTAATTAATACACTTACGCAATCTTGTCATCAAATGGGCTTGAGTTCATAATTATACTAGTAGACCTGACACAAGCTCTGTTCTAGGTGGATACATATCCTATTGTTCAGCCCGGTGTTTTTTCACCAGCGTCATCAGGCTCTCTGCGATTGCAACAGCAAATCCACCGTCATTAATGTCCCTCTCGTCCGAAACTACTCGAATCCCACGGCCCTTCAATCCCGAGCTTAAAGTATTGGCAAGGATTCCGTCCGCTTCGGCATCCATGAACGTTGATCCCGCAGTGCTTACAAGACTAACCCCACCCCTGGGAAGCCAGACCTCTACCATCTCAGGATTTTGAGTGAAGGTGTGGAGTTTGTCCAGGATGAAATCTCCAACCTGCTGGCACTCGGCTGGCGAGGTCCTCATCAAGGTGACAGTAGGATTATGGACCATCAATTTCCGACCTCGGTACTGAGCTGGGACAGCTTCGACCGGCCCGAAATTCACCATATCGGTAGCTCCAACGGAAATGATGTTAGGAATGCCCCGCTTGAGCGTGGCTTCAAGCCGGTTCCTGTCGCAACGCATATTCCCCCCCGCCACAAGATCACAGATTTCAGTGGTGGTGATATCCAAGATTGCGTCCAGATGCCCTTCTTCAACTAACCGTTCCATGGCCATCCCTCCATGGCCAGTGGCATGAAATACGTAGACTTCCACCGAGTATTTCTCTTCCAGATGGTGTCGAATACGATCCACACACGGGGTTGTTACTCCAAACATTGTTATTCCCACCCGCGTCTTTCTCTTCATCAACTTGCCATCATTTCCTTCCGCCGGGGTTGCATGTCTCAACCGGTGTTCATAAGCCGATGCCATACCAACCATGGCTCCGGCAGCATTCCCCAACACTTTCCCCAGTAGCTGATTCATACCGGCGATATCCACAACCGAATACATCATGCTAATGTCGCATTCTCCGACTACGGGCCCGGTATCTCCTGATGCGATTGTGCTAACGATCAGTTTGGGGAGCCCAATCGGTGCGGCTTTCCTCATGACGGCCGATATCAGGCTGGTTCCCCCGCTGCCGCCCGCGCCGATGATGCCGTGGATTTCATCTGTGCGCGTCAAATCCTCCACACACCGACTGACACAGTCGATCATAAATTCGATGACCTGCCCTCGGGGTAGCCCCAGTAATTGTGTGCGGGAACCACTTGCATATTTCGCAATCAGATCAGTATGGCTCACGGTGATGGCAGGATTGTTGACAGCCTGACGCCCGCAGTCAATGAGCGAAATCTGGAGAGGACTAGCAAGGCGGGCCGCGGTTTCCTTCAATTGATCGTGAAGATAAAGGATCTCAGAAAGCTTGGTATCAAGCGTGCCTAGAAGGATGATGTGTGGCATAGTTTTCGTAGGTGAAGAATGAGATGCTGAAGTGGTGACTTGGTGATAATCACAGTACTGAGAATGAACACGGATAGTATAAAGCTCTTTTAAAGGCTAAGGTTTAAATACTAAAAGCACTTGCCAGACATGCCCCATATGATGATAATTAAGAAGAAGAAGAAGAAGAAGGGAAAGTGTGAAAGTAACATTAGATAGAGAGAAGAGTATACTAGTATGATAGTGGGGTTTTTTTCCCGCTGGCCTCCGATTTCCGCCATCTCCGCGCGGGAGTTAACATCTCTCTCACCCACAACGTCCCCTCTCTCGATGGACATTAACGATCACTCGTGCGTTTCCGGTCTATGTTGAACGGCGTTGATTTGCAGAGCCCATGTCCATCCCGCGAACTCGGCAGCGTGTTCCCGTCTCGTGTGAGCCTTGCCGCATTCGCAAGATCCGTTGCCCTCGGGATACCCCGCCTTGTGGTAGCTGCGTCCGTCGCCGAATTCCAGCAGAGCGATGCGTATATCGCAATAATAGTGGTTTGACGAGGACACCATCGCGGGAGTTGGCACGACGATCTCCCAAATCTCCGCGACGACCCTTACATGACAACTCGCCAATCGCCAATACTCCGCATCAAGGTGCCGCTGCGGCAGAGAGTAATGCCGACCTTCGAGCGCGGATCGAGAATTTAGAGCGATTGTTAGATGCGAGGACCCAGTCCCAAGGCAGTGGACCGCCATGTCCTAGTGTTCCGGACCTCGACACAGAGCCGGCGGTAACAGCGAACCCGACGGGCACTCTCATCTCGCTAGCTTCGGGACATGTGCGCTACCTACCGTTTACTTCTAGCTGGCGTATTGTCCACCGTGCTTCCCACGAAGCCTCATTCCCTAATCAGGATAGTGCTCTAACCGATACGCCTAATGGACCGTATCCCTTTGGCGAGCATGAGGTCGAGAATCGACACAATCTATTAGCAAGACTTCCCCCGACTGAGCACTGTCATCAATTAACTAGTCTCTACCTTGACTCGTTTGGTCCTGTATGTTTCTTTTCTTTTTTTTTTTTTTTTTTTGAACAGACCTGCACAACTAAGTTGATTAGATTTTTCCAATCATACACCGGCCGACATTTCAGAAGAAGTATCACCAGTTCTACGAGAATTCAGACCAGGTACCTTTGGTATGGCTGGCTCTGCTTTTCAGCGTCCTGGGGACTGCGGTCCTCGCACTGGACAAGGATAGCCCTATTCTCAGCAGCCTTAGCCGCAAGGCCAATCCGTGGGATAGAGTGACTGAGATCTCCGAGAGATATTACACGGCTGCAATGAAATGCCTTGAAGCAGACCGGTACCTTTGGCGCCATAATATCTCCACGCTGCAGGCGCTGCTAAATATCATTTACGGTATTCACCATAGTCATGGGCAGACATGGACACTGTTGGGCCTGGCTCATCACCTTGCGCTCTCCATTGGGTGTCATGTCGACCCGGCCACATTCTCGTTAGATGCCGTGGAGGTAGAAGAGCGTCGGCGGTCTTGGCTAGGTCTCATGATGCTACTTTGCAACCAAAACATGTCAATGACCGGATTTGATATGCATCAGAGAATGTTATCCTCTCGCGTCCTTCTCCCTGCAAAAGTGTGGGATGAGAGCATCCTACCTGGAAAGCCACCCCCGGTGGCCGAACCCGAAGAAGTTATGACTCCCATCTCGTACTTCATCTCGAAATCTCGCCTTTTCGAAATATCCTCCGAGATATGCAACCCCGTAACTGGTGCTTGGCCTGACAATCCAGCACTTCTTCGCCGCCTGGATGCCGTTATCCAAGCGGAGTTAGCTCCTTGGGAACAGAGCTACTTGTCGAAAATCCACACAGAATATTCTCTCGTCCATACTAACCTCCTGCTGAGCTTTGCACATCACTTAGTTCTACTCTTGCATTGTACTACGTTGAATGAACCATCCTTTGGCCCGTCCGAGCATAGCTGGTCCAAGCAACGCTGCATGGCAAGTGCACAGCGAGTCCTGGAACTTCATGCCGACTTCTACCACTCGCCCCAGTTCGCGCCTTTCCACTGGTACATCCGGGGTCGAGGAGCCTTCCATGCCTTTCACGCTGCGTTCGTTTTAGTCCTGATATTTTCAAGCGAGCCCGAAAGCCCACCGCCTGTAAATGTACTGCGAATGCTCCACGAATGTTATGATCGGCTAGAGGCTTCGAGGGCCCACAGTCTTCTATGCACCAGGACAGCGACTATTCTCCGCCAAATACTGTAAGTGTGCTCCGATCAGCTGTAATACCTACTACATATCTAGTCCACTCGGAAGCTAACGTGAAAAAAAAAAAAGATGTAGATCAAGCAGACTGATAGGACCACAAGGAACCTTTTCGAACGAACCCGCAACTGGCGTTACTCAAGGTGCAACTTTCAATACTTCAGCCGACCTCAGTAACGGCCAGCATTTTTCCATCGCTGCGGATGTCGATTTTCCTAGTTTCGCCCGGCAGATTGAGCCCCTACAGTGGGTTAACCCGATTAATATGGACTGGGACCAATGGGATGTGATTATGGACTCACTTGGGCTTGCATCCTAAGTACCATGCATAGTCTACCTGTAATCTGGTTCTGCTAATGATCATAGTAAGGTTCGGAACGGGGAACCTTGAAGAAAAGAGTGCATTGCTGTAATCTATAGAGAGGGAACTTGGAGTTAAAATTCACCATCTCTTTCTTTTGCTAAGCTATGCAACCCCCGAATCAAATCAACAAGGACATATATGACCGTTGGAAGTAGAAAATGGGCTCCCGTCTGTCAGCCCTATGTACTGAAGAGAAGAAACAACGATAAGAGACCCCCATCGAGGGGTAAATGGGTCTATACAGGCTAAGTTGACTCCATATTTTGAGAGTCACTGTCAATCTTGATTCTGCAGTGAACACGTCACGAATCCCTTGCTTCCCAGCTATTAAAGCCCGACTCCCGCCCTTGAAACCAACCCCAACATACGGAGTACTGAACTACTGAACTACACAACTGAGCTATTTAGCTACTCAAGTTCCCCTCAATCAAACCTCAAGATGTACTCCCCTAAAGTCGGCGATAGCATCGAGGACCTCGACACGCCGTCCATGATTGTCGACCTCGATCTTGCCGAGGCTAACATCCAAAAGCTCATGGACAAGCTCTTGCCAACCGGACTCAATATCCGCCCTCATCTCAAGACGACAAAGAGTGCAATCCTGGCCAAGAAGCTGGTCCAGCAAGGCGCAACCGGCGGATGCGTGGCGAAAGTGAGCGAGGCGGAAGCAATCGCCGCCGCGGGCTTTGACGACTTGCTGATTACCTGCGAAATCATCGGGCCGAGGAAAGTCGAACGACTGGTGGAATTATATCGCAGGCACCGCAAAATCCGGATAGTGATTGACAGCGAAGTCGGCGGGACGTCGATCAACGACGCCCTGGCGCGCTCGGGGATCGAGGAACCCATCTCGGTGCTGATCGACCTGGATGTCGGGCTGCATCGGACTGGCGTGCAGCCTGGCGAGCCGGCCCTGGCGCTTGCGCGACATATTGGCCAACTGGACCATTTGAGACTGATCGGGGTCCAGGGCTACGAGGGCCACTTGCAGCATCTGCATGATCGCGAAGAACGGCGGGCCCTGTGTCTTCACGCGATGGAGATCCTCACCGGTACCGCGGACGCCTTGCGCCAGGCAGGGTTCCGAATCGAAGTGGTCACCACGGGCGGGACGGGCACGGCGGAGTTTTGCGCCGCGGTGCCTGGCGTCACGGAGCTGCAGCCGGGGTCTTTCATCTTCATGGACACGGATTACCGAAATGCTGTAGGCTCGTTCTACTCCAACAGCTTGACGATCCTGTCCACGGTCGTGAGCAAACAGGGCCCGCGTGCGGTCACGATTGATAGTGGACTGAAGTCGTTGACGACGGATAGTGGCTTAGCGGAGTGCAGGGACCCGAGATATGTTTATGGCGTTCTTGGTGATGAACATGGCTCGCTCACCTGGGCGCAGGGCACACCCTCCCTGTCCGTTGGTGACCGTGTCGAGATGATTCCGAGTCACATCGATCCGACCGTCAACCTGCACGACTTTTATTTTGCTCACAGAGGAGGCATCGTTGAGGAAATCTGGCCAGTCGATTCACGGGGGAAGGTCCAATAGGGATCAGAATATGTACTAATCAAGCCACGGCCCTATATCTCATAGAGTCTATTTCTAATTAATTACATAGAGATAGTCGGCGGTATTTGGCGAATTATAGCAACGCCTTTCTAATTAGGAATTTGATGGCGACTCTTCAAGACTGCCTTGGGTGTCTAGATAACTATTAATTTCACTCTCTGAGTCTGAGATTAGAGGAAAAGCGGATGCATCGTCACATTCATTTCAAAGTGAAGAAGAATTAAATACATCAAGAGAGGATGAAAGATGAAAGATGAAAGATGAAAGATGACGTTGGGCTAAAACGCATGACTAGCCCGATTGGGTATAAAGAATCCCAGCCATCGGATTTCGATGGATTCAAATTGTTGTGTTGGCAGCTCCTTTCCTTCTTATCATGGTCGCATTGTTTATAATTGAGGTCGTCTTGGATCTCTTTCTGTCTGGTTTATCCCAGGGCTTGGTCCATCCTACAGAACAGAATGTTGGGTGAGATTCACAAGTAACCTGCATCTTAATCTTGTTGGTATGATATGACGTCCCGAGCGGCGATAGTATAGTGTCTTGGAACTTGAAGAAAGGCTGATGGTTCTCACAAGTCCAGTCTAGTCAGATCATGTTACTCTCTTCCCTATTACTCGGGGTAGCTTCATGCGCTGCACAAGTCTCCGCAGACGCAGCAGACCAGATCCTACAGCACAATGCCGCCATCCAAACGCTTCTCGCGCAGACGCCCGTCCAGGGCGTGCATAAAATGAGCGACGACGAGGGCGAGAAGTTCTTCATGGACTATTGGCATTTCGAGGACGACCCGATCGTCGGGAACTTCACTGAGCGCCAGGAAAGCAACCCCCCCCGCGAAACTGACCGAAGCGCTCTTCTGCCTCGTTCATATCCGTTCCATCCGTCGTTTGCGCTTGATTCCGATCGGCTGCGAAACTTGCGTTTTTCACACCTGGTTAAAAAGGACTTTCAGTGTCCGTCAGGGACCTACAGTTGTACTGCGATCAATCGACCAGATAGCTGCTGCTCTACCGATGAGACGTGCATGATCGTCAAGGATACGGGGTCTGGCGATGTAGGCTGCTGTCCCTCGGGACAAACCTGTTCTGGGACCATTGGTTCCTGTTCGCAGGGGTACACTAGCTGCCCATCGTCTCTTGGGGGGGGATGCTGTATTCCTGGGTATGAGTGTGTCACTGGGGGCTGTAGGTCTATCCCCAACCCAACCAGATGAGTTTGCAATCTAACCAAGTGGTCCAGGTGCCCGTGTTTTCACCGTGACAGTGACAATATCGTCGACAACGATCACGACTGTATCCACTGAAACAGTCCCCCCAACGAGTCCGACTGCCACTATCACCGAGACGACTAGTAGTATCAGTACTAGCTCCAGCAGCACATCACAAACCTCCTCCTCCTCCTCCTCCTCCTCCTCCTCCTCCTCCTCCTCCTCCTCCTCGACAGGAACTTTAGTCCCCCCTGCGCGACCCACCAGTTCGTCTACGAGTACCACCTCCAGGACGGCATCTACCTGTCCGACAGGGTTTTATGCATGCTCTGCAGTCTACCACGGCGGTTGCTGTCGCACGGGCCGCGACTGTGATACGACATCATGTCCCGTCGCATCGTCGACGACAATTGTGTCGAACGAGCTAACTATTGTGGCACCCGCGGCGACGAGCACCTCCACCAGCGATGGGGGCAGTCATACTGGACGGTGTGCGAGCGGATGGTTTAGCTGTGCAGATACGGTGGGCGGAGGATGCTGCCCCTCGGGGTATGCATGTGGATCAAGCTGTACGGCTGTGTCCACTGCGTCGACTACGGGGACGGTTGCGAAGGAGGCGCCGACCGCGGAGGGGAGAGCGGGTCGAGCAGGGGTGAGTTTAGGGTTGATGAGCTGGAGTTTGATGTTGATGATGATGATGATGATGATGAGAATATGATTATGATTTGATAATAATACCGTTCACACAGTAGAATAGTAGAGTAGAATAGAATCCCCGCGTTCCTGAATGTGGCGGCGGGGATTTCACTTCTGTTTTTTCCCGCCCGCGGAAGCACAATTGGAGCACATCTTATCAATTCATGCGGTTAAAGACTATCTTCCGGCCCGAGGTTGACTCTTGACTCTTGACTCTTCTTCTTCTTCTTCTTCTTCTTCTTCTTCTTCTTCTTTCCACTCTCCAATTCCATCCTCTCCCCCTCCTGGCCAGCCACCATGTCGAACAGCACCCCCCAGAAGCCTCTGCCCTTCGGGTACCAATTCATCGCTGGTGCCGTTGCCGGTGTGTCGGAAGTAAGTGGCGGGTAACTCTGATAAATATCGGTTAAATCGAATCGTGACTTAAAACTAACCCACCTGTGTGACTAGATTCTGGTGATGTATGTTGTGTTTAAATATATTCGAAATATATCCCGTTTTAAAAACTAATCCAAGCGAAATAGGTACCCATTGGATGTTGTCAAAACCCGAGTGTACGTTTTTTTTTTTTTCCCTTGCACCCTATCAATTCAATTGACTAATTAATACCTTACCCCAGTCAACTCCAGCAAGGCACGGCGGCTGCCGGTGAAGAAACCTACAATGGCATGCTGGACTGTTTCCGCAAGATCATCCGAAATGAGGGGTACGTCTTACACAATTATAAAAAAACAAAAAAAAAAAAAAAAAAAAAAAAGGTACTAACTCGGAGAAAAAAAGCGCCTCTCGTCTATACCGCGGAATCAGCGCCCCCATCCTAATGGAAGCCCCGAAACGCGCGACCAAATTCGCCGCCAACGACAGCTGGGGAGCCTTCTACCGCAACCTGTTCGGCATGGAAAAGCAAACCCAGGGCCTGGCCGTGCTCACCGGCGCCACGGCCGGCGCGACCGAGTCCTTCGTCGTGGTGCCGTTCGAACTAGTCAAGATCCGCCTGCAGGACCGCGCCTCGGCCGGGAAATACAACGGCATGGTCGACGTCGTGAAGAAGATCGTCCAAACCGAGGGCCCGCTGGCGCTTTACAACGGCCTCGAATCTACCCTGTGGCGCCATATCCTGTGGAACGCTGGCTACTTCGGATGTATCTTCCAGGTGCGCGCGCAGATGCCGCCCGTCGAGCCGGGAAACAAGTCGCAGCAGACCCGGAACGACCTCATCGCCGGTTCGATCGGAGGAACCGCCGGTACCCTGGTGAACACGCCCATGGATGTGGTCAAGTCGCGAATCCAGAATAGTCCCAAGGTGCCGGGCCAGGTGCCCAAGTATAACTGGGCCTGGCCGGCTGTGGGGACCGTGCTGAAGGAGGAAGGCTTCGGGGCCTTGTACAAGGGATTCATGCCCAAGGTGTTGCGATTGGGTCCTGGTGGTGGTATTTTGTTGGTTGTGTTTACAGGGGTGATGGACTTTTTCCGTACGATGCGTGGCGAGTAAGAAGAAGCAGAAGAAGAAGAAGAAAAAAAAAAGAAGATAGAATTTTTGGGGGGTGCGTGTGACCAAGAAGAGAAAGTTTTGTTCCAACTTTGCAATATAGATAGTATAATATTGTTACTTGTTGTTAGGTTGTGCCATAGAGAAAGAAAATAACGACATCTACAACATTGGAGATAATCCATCTATAATATCTTATCTTATCTATATATATGCCTGGGGGGGGGGGGAAATATACTAAATATAACATTTCATGTAGCTAATACAAGAATGATCTCATCAAGGTCAGCGAATATTACATGCGACCTAAATCATATATCAATGTATAAAGTTATAAAGACGGCTATATAAAACAAGACATACACAGCACGCGTAGTAAGTTCCGAAATAATGACAGCGACAACAATAAAAAAAATAACACGTATTAAGAAGAGTAAGGAAAAGGGTATCGATATGAAAACGAGAAAACGAGAAAAGACACAGTATAGGAAACCCGCCAACACAAAAGTGAAGATGTTGCTTTGAAATCCCAAGAGTGATCAAGAAACTAATAAGCAATAACATCGAAGCAGAGGGGCGTGTTAAAGCATAGCCACCATTATGCGCAAATCATCCGTACAGCAATAAATAAATAAAAAAAAAAAACATAAGAATAAAAAGCATCAGGTAATGATCTACCCCCAGAGGAACGCAAGTGGTACCGAAGAAACCATGATAAACGAGAAAATGGAAAAGAAAAAGAGATCATTAATCCGAAGAGATGTCAACTTCCACATACGCCGGTCAACCACCCCCATCCATTGGACGCCTTTGTATGCAACAGGTCATGACGTGTAATCATGAAAAACTAGTAGCTCCAGCGGCATCAGGGAAGACCCCTAGTTCATCTCCATCGCATACTCATCTTCCTCCTTGAAGCTCATACCAGCGTGCCCAGAGCTACCCCAGTATTGGGCCTGTCCGCTGCCGCCGTTGTTATTACCGCCGGTAAACGGAGGGCTGAGACTCTGAGGGCTCAAGGCGCCATTTGGCGAGACAGTATCACCAGCCATGTTGGTGTGCTTGGGTACTCGTAGGCCACTTCCAGGAGCACGGCTGTATTGGAAGGAGCTGGGGTCATTTTTCTCCAGCGCATCCAGAATCTCCGTGCGCATACGTTTCTCCTCTTCGGTTTGCTCAAATGGCCAAGTTCCCCCAAGGCTACTGATTAGTTCAGCAAGTTCAGCCTCTTGCTGGATCTTGACGTGCAATGCCCACATCAAATCCCTCATCCATCCCACGGCACCATTAAGAATGTCCCCCTTGTTAGGTCCTTTCTCCTTCTCCTCGATTGGGAGGCCCATGGTGATATTGCCCGCAGCTCGGCGGCCGGTGCCGCCAGCCAAAAGAGAGGTTGCGGCGTTGGAGCCTCCTCCTGTGCTAGGCAAGCTAGAGTTATTAACAAGCTGTTTACGGACTTTGTCATCTTCCAAACGGTGCTGGGGGACCAGGTGCGAAAGATCTTGGATTCTCTCATTGATGTTGTCACGTCGTCGACGTTCAACCAGGTTGTGGGACGCTCTCCTGCGGCGGCGTTTGGCTTCCTGTGACTCTAGATCCTGGGCACTTCCGGGCATGTGAGCATCTACCTTGGCCGGCAAGGAAGCATGCTTTCCCGACTTGAGGATTTCAGAAATACCAGCATGGTGCGATGGATGGCCTGGGGATGAGATAGGGGATTCTGCATAGGAGTGCGCACTTCCGGGTGTGCCATCCCATTGGTTTGAAAGAGTCTTCTGATGACGGTGCTGTAGACCCGTACGGATGGGCTGGGTGGGGAAGCTCCCGGACTCTGGAGTTCCGAGGGTCAGAGCGCCCAAAGCAGGTGTTTTGGGAGTCATGGGGCTGCGGCCATCCATTGATGTACGGTCCATTGCCTGCAAACTGGGTCGGGCCTTTGCACTGAGGTAGTTTTGCTCAAAATTGGAGCCAGCACTCTGGAGGTGGGAAGAACTCAGCTGGCCTTGGTTCATACCCCTAAAGTGGTCATAGTTGAAGCTGCTCTGTAGGAAAGGGCTGTGGATGGGAGCACCATCCGGAGTGTTTGAGTACATCTGTGACATCTGGCCTGGATGACTCATAGAAATTCCGGGACTGGAGTGCTGGTCCTGAAGGTAATTTCGCGTTAGACCATTCGCCCCGTTAATTTCCAAATCTAACAATTCATCTGTATCAATACCGGAGTTTCCGAAATTGAAACTCGAAGAGATGTTTTGTTGAGAGCTGAAGGGATAGGACATGAATCCGCTATTCTGCATCGTCAGTTCCGAGGGGTCAACCCCATCATTGGGGTTCCCGAATTGGTTGTGCATGGAGTATCCGGACTGGGACATCATGAAATGGCCTGGTTCACTATTGTGCGCGTCAGGCTCATTCTTTATGAAAATGCTTGCTTCAGTCATGGTGCACCCAGCTGAGCAAGGCCTCAACCACAAGTCGACCGCCTGACCACAGGGAGCCCTTACGATCCGAAAACGAAATGTGAAAACAAAATCACAGAATTGTGGTCAGAAACCGAGCGACCTCGACGGACGGGGTAATGGAGGGGCTGTTTGTTGTTCACCCGTCGTTTCGGTAAAATGTAAGCTGATCAGTGTGGCAAAGAAATAGCGCCAAGTCAACCACGAGAATGGTGAGTTCAAGGGCAAATACAGGTGCAAAATCTATAGGTTGGGTTGAGCTGTTAGTGACTGCCCTTCCCCCGAAAACCCCAGGTTAGAGACCTGGAGTACCCCGGATTATCTAGGAAGAACGCTATTCAAGTGAAACAAGGGGTAAAAAAACAGTAGATCACCTACCATAAACGAGACAGAGACGTGGGTTGGATGTACTCCGTAGATGAAGTCTGTTGGGAGATCGCTTGATATCGGCGGAATGAATGGAAGAGATGGGGCTGTGAAAATTGACTGGTGGTGGGTGGACAACAATGCAAGGTCAAAAAGGTATGCAGTCGAAGGCGGACGAGTCGGTAAAAAGCCACTACTATCGCGCGAGTGGATTCCAGATTCCAATAGGCCACACCGTCGATCGTTGGCCAGGCAAAGGGTGAATAATCGATCTAAAACACCGCTGTGAGCGACGTAGGAAAGTGGAATAGAAAATGGTGCGAGCGAGATGAGGAAGAGAAAAGAAAAGACAAGATAAAAATAGAGAGAAGAGTTGAGGAGGCGTGTCCATAAGCGAGGAGAGGTGAGACCAAGGGCGGCGGACAGAACAAATCGGTCCGCGGAGGCAACAAAGCTGGAACCGTGGGGATGGAAAGTCGGTCAATAAGGGCAGAATTCAAAAATGGGAGGAGACAGGCGGGGATCCCGGTCCTCGCAGTGGCACTGGAATGTATCTCCTTGACAGAGTGTTGGGGGGAGGGGCAAGGTGAGGATGTCTTGAGGATGGAAGAGGAGCGGTGACTGATAGAAATAAGGCGCAGATGAAGGAAAGATGAAATTCCTCAAGGCAGCGTGGGGGGAAGAGAAGGCGCAAGATGAAGAAAAGAGTGGATTATTTAGACCCAAGCGGTGGCCGATAGGGGTACGAGGCGGTCGGTGCTGGCAGTATGTTGGATAAGCTGCCTCCTTTGTCTTTCGAGGTCTCTCTTGTTCTCTTCTCTGACAACAGAATGTTGGGTTCAACAGTCGGCTTATTTGGACTTATTATATCATAGGGGTCAAAAGCATCTTCTGCATCCTCTGGACTCCGTTCCCCACTTGGCCAACCTGGAGGCACTCTCCGCGCAGGGGCCTGTGAGACGCTCGCTGTACTTCCCAAGGCTGCCCCGCGGTGAACTCAGCCTGCCGAGGGGACTTGTGCTGGGCAAATTGCACCGTCGAATAAGCGCCCCCCTCCCCCCCCGCGAACTGTTTCCCACGAAGATTCGATCGATGACATCCAAGCCCCGCTAACAGATGCAATGCATTCCCCCAACTGTTATTATCTGGAACAGTGGGCGCTACATCAAGCATCACACCGAATTTCCTGGTAAATTGCCCTGCTAAACACGGGGATCTCCTATGTCCAAGGATTCCAATTGTATCAGGAGAGGGGTAACTATCCCGCCTGGCTTGCTGGAGGGGATTTCGCTTTGGGTCCCAGGAGTCACCATGCAAGGGTTGGCTCCCCCTCAACTCTCTCGCGCTCATTGGTAATGCAGGGAGGGAAAGGAGACATAACTAATGAAAGACGTGCAGTTGTCTGCTTACCTAATATATTCAGATTATCTCGTTTCTAGTGGTCCTTGGAAAAAAAAGAAAAAAGGTCAGCGTCTTGCTTTAGGGAAGTATTTTTCTGTTCCCGAGTGAGGCTGGCTGATAAAGAAAATGAGTAAACACGAGAACAAGATGGGTGCGGAATACGAATCCAAAGGCACTCTCCCACCTGTGGCAGAGTAGCCTCAAGCTCCGTAACTAATCACTTAAATAAGAAGACGAGGAGCAAAGAAACAAGGCTGACGCCAGAGCAGCGGACTTCTCGGATGATGGTTCCTCCACCTGAGGAGATCGATCTTATCTCAATGGGCCCATAGCGGAAGAACAGATAAGAGACATCAACGAGGTATACCTACTTCCACCCTAGTTGGTATGAAAGACCGCAGAGATCAGGAATCTTGTGCTTGAAATGAGAGACAAGGCGGTTCAAAAGGGGGACCACAATGCAACAGATAGTACGCGAACAAACAGAGTCAGTCGGGTCTCTCGGAAAGCTTCGGCAGGAAAGAGGGCCCGGTAAAAGATGTGAAGAATGCGATCTATGACAAAAACCCTAGTCAGGACGGGATCGAAAGCCTCAGGAAGCGGAAGCAGAAAGAAAAATGACATGCAGGTAAGAGGGACGGGGAATAGAGCCTTTAAGACTCTTGAGGCATCCTATGGGGCCTCTCATTTGATATACCGGTGCAATGGTCATGCATGGCGTCGATCCTCAAGGTCGAACTACCGGGATTACACACTTTACTCTTCTTCAGCAAGAAAATAGCTATCTAGGTAGGAAACGAGAAAAGGGGGGGGAAGACCAGTGGCGATGAAGCTAACAAAAGGAAGCTATGCGAAGTATATCGGAGGAGGGTGTCAACATCGAATACTAGGGAAAAACAAAAGAGTGCCCGGGGAAAGGGATCTGGTTGGCCAACACACAAAGTAATGTATGGGAAGATCCGATTATTCACCAAGAAGTAGGGTAGTACATACAGTTGGATGGAGGAGAATAACTTCCACTCCTGTATCCCATGAGCAGCCCAGGTACTACTATATTTGTCACCTGTTGCTCCCCTGAGGCGACGTCATGACTCACTTCGTGCCAGCCTTTTTTTCTCTTTATTTTTAATTTTCACTATTTCTCCTTTTTTTTTTTTTTTTTTTTCGTCCCCCTCCTCTCCAGGGAACCTGCTTGCGCTGATAGACATTAATCCTCATGGTTCCTGTTCTTTCTCGGACTTATGATCAGGCTTCACCCGACTTGTCAAGACCCAGAAGGTCCTAGTTACCTAGAAGGGCAAAGGCCAAGCATGCCTGATCATTCACACTGCTCAACATACGAAGAGTGACCAGAGAGCGTGAATGGGAGTATCTGCAATGGTATTTTCGAAGTCAAGGAGGATCCAGGGATTTCCAACCAAGGATAGCGATGACATCATGGGAATTTTCCTTTTGGTGTGAAAAGAAGGAAAAGAAAAGAAAAGAAAAGAAAAGAAAAGAAAAAAATAATCCCAGACCTCTTCTCGACATGCATACCTCCATCCAGATAGAGGATATCTAGGAAAGGTGGAAAGGTGGAAAGGTGACTGTGGACAGTATGTAGGAGGAATGGACAGTGCGAGAGGATCTCCCTCTAAGACCCTATGTTGAAGATGATCATTTGTTCAAAGATGAGGATCGAAGCGGACTAGGGGATCGACAGAAGCTAGAAGCTACACCTCTGGTTGAGGGAGATACTACAAAACTAGAGATACCTAGGCTAGGTGGGTGGATTTGGGGGGAGGGGGGTTGAGCAAGCAGCCACTATCTATATAACTACGTACTAGTATAGTATAGACTACCTAGGTAGATTAGAGAGTCGGAGCTAGTCGATACAGGATACGGTCCAAGTATCAAGAAGAACGAAAGAAGGATAAGACTTGGGACAGCATCCCACCACGAATCATGAATAATATACCTAATCTAATGTCTACTAGTAGAATTCCTGCACCCACACTGAAGCAGTCCGAGCGTTTCGAAAGCTGACACCAGGGCGGTCCGTGACACTTGACTGTGCAGCCTGTGGCCTCCCGAGGAGGATTGCGTCTATGTACATAGGTTCCAGGCAACGATTTCTGATAGGCAGAGAGGGGGGAGGAAATATGGCGTAGTCCGTCATTTCCTAGCAGGTAGGTTAGTAGTTCAAGGTTGTGAAAGTTGATTTCCGAACCTGGAGTTTTGGATACTGAATACAGGAGGCAAGTAGTCCCCCCCCCCCCCCCCCCCTTGCTGGAAATATTCCGTACATCCATGCATGCAGAAAATCACACATACCCTTATTTCCTCGGACTTGACTTCGATTAAGCAAGTAGGAAGTTGAAATTAAATGAAACGTATCCTTGAACGCCTCGATCATTTCCTGTTCGATCTGAGTGATTTGGAATAGAAATGAACGAAGAATGTCAGGTAGACAAGTCACTCGGAAAACTGGGAGAGAGAGAGAGAGCTAAATCAGGACTCACGTTGGTGCTGGGCATGCTGTCAAATCCACGATACCCATCAATCACTCACTGGGAAAACTGATTTCTTACCTAGGTAGACATCGGTGCTGCGGGCCGAAAGGCCTGCTCAGAGCAGATGAGATGATTGGTTAGTAGGTAGGTATGTCAAGTATGTACTGACGGTTATCTCCGTTTCAAGAATTTAGCACGCTCTGTAAGAGATAGACTCGGTAGTAGATATGGCCGAATATAGCGAAATGCAGTCATGCATACCAGTGTCACATACCAAAGATAAGAATATCATGAAGGGAGGGGAATAGCAGAATAAACGTCACATTGAAGAAAGAAAAAGCTTCTTTTACCACTGGGATCTTAACTATTGAATCCTAAAAGAAATCCTGCAATAATACCAAGGTACTAAAGAGAATATTAATGCTGTGATTTACATTGGCTCCCGCACTTCTTGCCCGTGCCGTTCCGTCAAGGTTCGGAGAGCATGGCCGATACCCACGGTTACTGCAAGGAGTCAGTTCCTTCCTTGCGGTTCAAGGTTACTTACATAGGTAGGTAGGATGACGCTAATCAAGGTAGGACCCCGACCCCGAGCTCCCCTCACGAGAAACGCCATGCTTTCTGTATCTGGTAAGAGCCGTTATTGCGAGATCGGCGACTAGAGAGCGCGGAAATTGCGTAGTGATAGTTAGCGGAAGAGGGGAGATTAACCGGTTTTCAAGTTTTTGGAATCACCCCTGTCTTCCAAGGTTACTGGAAACAAAGTATGATAAAATTGATCAAGATAATGGTATCAGATCATACTAGTATCCGTCTATGGACATATATGGGCTATACTAGTGTCCTGAAGTCTGAAGGCCATAGATCCTCCTCCGTACGCAGGGCAGGGCAGGACACCAGAGTGCACAATCATGACCAGTCCACACTAGTGCGCCTCACTTCTGAGCAAGATTTAGTAATTTTGAGTAGCTAAAGTTGGAAAGCAAGGCTACTAAATACCTACGTCTACCTCCATCATGGATGGAAATACTGAGGTCTGTAAATGATTAAGCGCTAAGACAAAACAGGCACAGTGGAGTCAAGTTGGGGACTAAACCTTGGAACCCTCCAATAACCTCAGACCCAGTGGCGATTAACCAATCAAATGTATTGGCTCTGTCACCTTATGTGGCTTTGAAAATGATGATTGGCTCATTCAAGTTCTGATGGGTCACATTTTCTATTTTAGGATTAGCCTTGCCTGGAGAGAAACGTCTCCCAACGCTCTGTGGATGAACCTTGGATACTCTCAACTACCTCCAGCCCTGGGAAGAGAACTATCCATAACACAGGAAGCATCAAAACAAGCGAAACCTCCGAAGTCTCAGCTCCCTCCCCCCTTTAAAATTTAGACTGGTATGTAACCTTCCTTGATTGAGCTTGGTTTTAATTCAAGGCCATCACTCACTCACCCTTCGCACCCACACCTACACCACCCTTTCTACACATACCCTACCTACCTCCTCTTTTTGGGTTCCTTTATCCTTCGCACCCGGGGTCATATGACTAACTCCTCGATCTCAGCCTTGAAATACCACACTGAATTGACGTTACGCCGCTCGATTACCCCAATATCAACACCCCCCCCTCTTTCTTTCGACCCTCTCAGCAGCTCCCCACCTCCCCTGTTCGCGTCGCATTTTCTCTCTTGGGTTAAGGGTCTTCCGTCATTCCATCCTAGTGGTGTAGGCGCTTAGTGGTTGCGCACTATTTCCTGAAGAACCTGTTTTGACCTCCTCATATCAACCAGTGTCGCAGGTTCCACCTCCCGGGACCTCCGCGGACAAGACAACCAAACATCCAGCCAGAGCGAGCATTTGGGATATAATTTACGACAGGTTTCACTGACGCGACGATCACAAGCTTATCTGCCTGACCCGGTCCTGTCTAAGAGCCCGCTATCAAGAATCGGGCTTCGGATTCGCTCCGTGCGCAAGCTCTCCTTAGGCCGTTTCTAGTCCTGTCGCGCAGCAGTCATCTGGCCCGTGTTCTCTTGGCCCTATCATCTTTCTTTCCTCTCCCTCGCATACGCCTGCCCACCATTACCGATATCTGCAGATCATCTGCACGCAAAATACTGGTTTCCGTCGTGCATAGTCCCTGCAGCGACCTTGTGCTTGACATCCCTGTACAGCTATTTGGTGGCCTGCAACTCTTTGACACTAAAGCCACCCTGGTATATTCGGAATCTACGGTTACCGTCACCCTTAACCCCCTCCTTCACCTAGAACAACCCGGCCGTAGCAAGAAAGTCGAATCAAAACGATGGCGTCTACTTCATTTCGCGATTCTGTGAACTCATTGGGTTGGGCTCGACGAGAGGCCGACACCCCAGCGAACACCAACTCGTCCACACCCTTCTTCTCGAGGCTACAGTCTTTAAATCCATTTGGCCAAGGGGAAGGCTATCTCCAGCTTCCCACCCACGAAGGTCCCGGAGCTCCCCTACCAGCCGCAACCCGACGAGAGGAAGAGGATTCTTTCCTTGCACGTAAGTCTCCAAAGCCCCTGTTCTTGCATTCGTAGGTTTTTCTTTGATTGATGCACCGCCCCGTCCAGGTGACATGCGATTAGTTCCTGCGTCTGGTGGAGGTTCTCGGACTCCCTACTGACGACTATCTGTGCACCAATCCGTGTTATTTCTCTCTCGTGTTGTGTTCTTTTATACGATATTTATGTTTTTGCTTTTTTGGTTTATTTTTTTTTTTTTTCATTACTTTTTTTCCCTACTCTTTTTTTTGCGTTTGATTTTTTTTTGTATCTTTGCCCTAAGGCTAACCATATCGCTCGCTACAGTAAGCCGATGGGATCGGATGCTCATCTTCTTTGCCTGCAACCTTGGTGCAGCAGTCTGTTTCGTTATTTGCTTTTTCCTCTTTCCAGTGCTCTCCATGAAGCCCCGCAAGTTTGCTGTTCTGTAAGTTGCCCTCCAGATTCCGCCTGATCTTCTGTTTAAGTTCTCTGCATTCCCACCACACCCACCCCCCTGCATCAAGAGGCACGAGGCGGTGTAAGGCTTGTCACGCCGTGGCTGAGAACCTGCTTCTGCACCGCATCCCTGCCTCTACTCTTGAGTCTTGTCCTGCTCATTATTCCAAATTCCCTGAGTATCTTACTCTAACCTGTTTTGATATCCAACTAGGTGGTCGGTTGGGTCTTTACTTTTCCTACTATCATGGGCAGTTCTCATGGGACCCAAAACATACGCTAAGCATCTGGTCTCGGGACCACGCTTGCCGTTCACGGCCGCGTATTTTGGCTCTATTGGTTTGACTCTATATTTTGCTATCGGAGTAAGCTTTCCTATTTTTCTTTACCCTATTTTGTTGATTTTCAAGGACCGTTCCGTCGTGCATTTGCAACCCCCTGCATACCCACCCACGCAATTACGCTCTAAGTATCTTGATAATGGAGCTTTTATCCTACCCGCACCTATGCTAGAGGTAAAAGAAGCTAGTGCTTTTTAAATGACATCACCATCCTGCTATATCGGGATTGAGGTGGCCTGTCACTCGGAAGCAGACGAAAATATTTTGCTGCCTAGCAGGCGGAGGGTCTATGCCAGAATACTCTTGTTTTATCCAGATTTCACCTTCCGGCAAAGCACGAGCTTGATCAAGTAAATGATACAGTTGCAGACATGGCTAACGCGTTTCTCTCTTTCACAGCTCCATTCTACCTTCCTCACGCTTATCTCGTCCATCTTCCAGCTCGCAGCCCTTCTCTGGTACATCGTGAGTTACTTTCCCATGGGCAGCACGGGGTTGCAATTCATGGGACGTTTTGGTGCCCAGCGCGTGTCCTCGTGGATCACCAGCTAGTCGACTGGACTCGAACATCCTTTCTTCAGGCATGTATATGATCACTCAGCGCTTTGCTTATGCTTATACTTTATATACTCACAAGTAGATCTGCTCATAAACTAGCGTACTTATTCTGTATAGTTATTCACTACAATATCTAATTTATAACCAACACCATCAATATTTTCCCATAAGAAATGAACCCCTAGGCAAAGAGTGAAGCTAGGTACCTGATAAACCCTAGCAGCTATAGCCTACCCCAACCTCCCCCCCCCCCCAACGCTTATATGCCCTTCTCTTCTTTCATTTCCTCACTTCCTTTAGTTCCATCCCACACAGGGACTATATCTAGGTACAGCGTACTCCTTTGTAAGAACTGGATAGCGAAACCCAAACTCATCCTACTTCTTCTTCTTCTGCGGTAGGTAGGTAGGTAGGTAGGTATCTCATAGGGACAGGTCACGTAAGGAGACAAATTCAATCCGATCTAGTGTCTTTTTCTTTCTTCTATCTATTATCTATCAGGATGGACTAGTACCCTACAGTACAGTAGTAGCTTGAGCTTGTTCTTTCCATGCGTATTCCGTTCCTACCTGGTTAGGTACTTAGGTTATACGAGTATGCGATACATAGCATAAGGTTGGGGGGGGTTGAATTAACAGGACTTACAATGCGTAGTATTACTAGTGCTAGAAAGGTACGAAAAAAAATATATATATATATATTTCATAGACATGATTTTTTTTGGCCATGCAAAAATGCTATTGGGTCATGTTAATGCTATGCCATGCTAATAAAATGCAATGCAATGCAATGCAATGGAATACAATAGATGGAATCACCGTCCCCGACTCATCACCAATCCAACTGTTCCATTGACTACCTTTACGCCCGGGATTTCCGCTTCCCAGATGCCCGTTGCACCCCCAGAGCCCTTTTCAAGCCATTGCAGCAGCAGATCGTTGCTTTCCACCGGTTTGATCTGTGGCGACGCAGTGCCAACAGTGACATGTGGGATTGCGTTCACGCTGGTCCATTCTTCCTGGTCGTTCTCGTCGGGGGGCATGAGGCGCGCCACGAATGCCATTACACGATTATCCCAGACAAGACGCTCGAGACGGACCCGGGCAAGACCGAGCTTAGGCATGCCGTTGTGATCTGTAGGAGTATTTTCGTTTATCTTGTCGAGATAGCGCTGCGTGTAGTCATTCCAGATATCTGCATTTTCGCCCTTGTGAGCGCGGTGGATCAGCGTCACATGGAAAGCAGGCTGCACGCGTCGGCCGTTTACCAAATGGTGGTAGAGACGAGCCTTTTCTTTCGGTGTAGCTGGAGAGAACAACGAATGCAGGACGTCTAGTACCTCCGTTGCGGGTAGATTAATGCCAAAGTATTCGATGTTTTTCGCCCTCGCCTCGGGGTTGGGGGACGGGGACGGGGTAGACGTGTCTGCCGTTCTTTTTTCCATTTTAGACGCCTTTACTGTTTTGTACGTGTGGCTAAGGTCCACGTCAACGCTATAGCCGGTCCTCGCCCAGTTGATAGCATCATCAAGTTCTTCCTCGGAAGGAACTTGTTCTACAAGCCGAGGATAAAATGAATGCAGAGCTCTCACCACCACCTCGAGGTTTTCTCGAGAGGAGGCTGTAACATCCAGGTCGATGACTTCGTCAAACCCGCTATCCGGTTCGCGAGCAGTATCAACGGCTTCGAATCGAGATAGGAAGCCCTCCATAATCGCAATAACTTCTTCAGCGCTTTTGGTTTCAGCACGAATAGTTTGGTGATTGTCGCCGCGATCATGCACACGATTCCGTGTCACTTTGCGGATCCCGGGAAGCAACTGATACTTGGGCTCATGGACATAGTGGAGGGCGACGAACCGTGTGTTAGGACAAGATGTGGATACATCCTCCATAAGTTGCTTTCTCTCACGCTTTTGGTGGTTATTTCGGTCAGCAAAAACCACGGGGGCCTCCAGCATAAGATTGAGAACATCAGTAGCAAATTTCTTCGGCTTATTTTTCTGCTTGGGAATGTTATCATTCTGTACATGGCCCCAACCGAATAACTTCATCAGAGCCAAAGCCACTGTGGTCTTTCCGCAGCCTAGAGAGGCAACAGGAACCAAAACAATATCCCGGGTTTCCTGTTCCCCCTCGGCTTCCATCTGGATGATCTGAGCCCCACTCAGGCCTCGCGCCTTCAAGAAGCCATCACGCATCGCTATAATGCCGTGGTTTTGTCTGTAGAGGTCCTTGAGGTGGGGGTGTAGAGCGAACTGTCTTCGCGCATATTGCAGATACTCCTCTGTAATGTTCTTATGCTTCTTAATTCTCGGGCTTTTACAGGCAAGCACTGCCTTGGTACATTCACGCCATTGTCGGTACATCAAATACGGCTCCTCAAACTTATACTTGAAGAACCAATCCCGGAACGGGGCATGGCCCGTTTCACTCATTTGGCAGCGAATGACGAAACCTTCGGTATCCCGGCCATCCCAGGACCCAGTCTCCGCACAGCTTTCGAGAAACTTTTTCACGGAATCCAGATCGTCGTGGACAAGGAAATTCGCTTTCTTGAAACCCCATGCGTCCGCAAACTTATGTACTTCAGAACTGGGGAGAGTTGCAAATTGTGGAACATTGAAGTTGAGGCCATGAAGGTAAATACCAGCGGAAGCTTCATCGTAGGCAAGGACGTGCTCTTCAAATTTATCGTCGCAAAGTTCACCGACAGCCGTGGCATTCATATTGCGCAATGTGTGGGCCAGATCTTTCGCTGATTTCCCAACTGTCGCGACGTGCCGTTTAATCCACTGTTCGCCAGCCTGAGCATGGCTCAGATCAGTATCGGAACGGCCGCCGGTCGAATGCTTACTGCAAACGAGTAAAGAGCCATCTTCTAGGCCAGATATGAAGATAATACATCCGTTCTCCTTCACGCTGAGCTCGTATGGTCCTCGGGTATTCGTCTCAATATTCTTCCATTTCGTAGTGTCAACTTCATCAACGTTGAAGAACTTATCATAACCTCGAATCGAAATTTCCGCGCTACCGTCTGTCCTCGTTGTGGTGAACAAGCCTCGAGCGTAAGTCGGGAGGTCAAATTGTTTATAATCCCAGTCCATAAACTTCCAAGAGTCGACGGAGATATTGTTGTCTTCCCCCACGACAAAAGTAGATTTCTTGCAAGTAAAGGACCGCTTGCCTCCCTTACCTTGCTTACGGGCTGTTTCCAGCGCGCTAGCAAGTCGGCTCACCTCCTGCTGGTCCTGCTGGACTATCCTGCGTTTCTCCATTATTCTATGAATGGAATGATTGTCTCGGATAATATCCTGCAAAATGATGGTGATACTGGCTGGACCCGGTAGAAAGAGAGGGAGGGGAGAAATCGAGATGTGGGGAAGGGAACGAAGAATATCTTGCCGCAGAGAAAACAATTTATTAAAGTATTCTTTCTCGATGACTGCTTCAGTAGTGTCAGGCACAGCCTTGCACTTTTTGTGGCGGTGTCTAGTGTGTCATTCCCACTGAGGGAGGGAGGGGATGTGAGGACAAGAGCAGATAAACCTCTTATCGCGGGGCTGAGAAACGAGTCAGATTCTTTTTTTCTTCTTTCCGCCTACGCCACTAAAAAGTCCCCCCCCCCCCACAATCAACAGAGTCATAAAAGGACCAGCTATTTTCACTCCATCTAAGACAATTTCAACCTCCCAAAAACGCCTCGTTGACTCATCTGCCACCTCCACTAGCGACTCGCGATGACTCAACCGAACCCCTACATTCTAGCTGCGGACAACCCCACTGCGCTTCTGACTCTTCTGCGCTCGAATCCTACCATCGCCTCGGGCCAGGACGAACACGGATACTCTTTGCTGCACGCTGCGGCCTCATACGGACACATTGAGCTTCTTCGCGCGCTAGTAAAGGAATTCCATGTGGATGTCAGCCTGCTAGACGAGGACGGCGAAACCTGTCTCTTTGTCACCGAGAATGTCGACATTGCCAAATGCCTTGTTGAAGAGCTAGGTGTGGATTACAACCGGACGAACGAGGAAGGTTTCACGGCACAGGAGAGCATCGAGGGTGACGGCTCTTTCCCCCAGGTTGCTGCATACCTCCGACAAGTAGCTGGCATACCGGGCACCATGCCCGATGCCTTGTCACCCGAAAACGCGCTGAACCCGGCTCCACCGCTACCTCCAAATATCCAGGTAAATCTAGGGACAATGTCGGAGCAGGAGGCGAGCGCAGGAGTCAGTGAGGTGGATCCGGAATTTAAACGCCGCATCGATGAGCTTGCTGCTCGGGAGGATTTCCACAGCGAAGCAACCCAAAGCCAACTTCGGCAGCTTGTCATGGATGCAATCCAGGGGTCCAACATTGATACACAGGATAAGGAAGTGCGGAGAAGGGTGGAATAATTAAATACACGAGAGTTGGAAAGTCACGAGAAACGAATATAAGATGTATACACCTTGGCATGCATTCTATTCTATTCGTACAGGGATACGGCCATGCCCAAGTTCGGTTTGATGAGGCCGAATTAAAGATTCAATCATGGTAAACCGGGTGACCAGCTGTACTGTTTGCCTAGTATGGTGAATCTATCTCAATGGCTATGGGTTATGCTAGGTCGGATCCTGGATATAGCACCGCAGTCGACATCCCACGAAACATCCATCTACCATTTCCTTACAGGATTTATAGTGCTCATAGTCTCAGCAAGGAATTGAACTAATTCGAGGCGTATTTCACAAAATGTAATTAGAGGCTGTATCGCTGTATACAACCCTACCTCTGCTATACAGCACGCACATATATCAATCTCATAACCTCCACCATCTAGGGCAGTAATCTATTTAACTAAATTCCACTACCTGCATAGGGCGTTTTTAAACATTTAGGCATCGAAATCCTGCAAGAAGAACATAAATATGAAGTGCGTACTTCAAAAGTAAACAATTGTATCACGTGTCGCTGGAGCTCCCCGCATTCCCCATTACATATGCTCCGAACCTCTTGATTCCATCAATGTCATACCAACAACAAAACATTAACATCTCTCAATCATTCTTCCGAAATGAACCCGGCTTTGCATCCCGATACTCCCCCTCCTCCTCCGCCGAAGCCAGGGAGTCATGAGGCCAGTCGCAAAGGCACGCCCCAGGTCAACTCACCTGCACCAGGGACACCACAGCTGTTCCAGCAAGGCCAGTATGGACCCGGCGGGACAACTCAACTAGGCAACCGATATCTATCTTCCGACACTCCGAATGCTGGAAATGTCCTACCACAGCCTCCAACTATCGAGGAAGGCTGGTTACCTGAAGGTGTAAAAGAGAAACCGTACGAGCCTTCCTCTTCTACTATCCTCGTCACTTTCATCCAAGGACAGATCACTAACGATGGAATGATTTACTTTTCTACAGGACAGTAGATCTACAAACTATTCTGACAAGCCCTGACCTGATATCTGCGCTCTCCAGCCACCATCCATCCTACGCAGCGCATCAACAAACCCTTCAATCTCTCCTGAAATACAACCATGATCTTGCGAATCATCTCCTCGAACTTCAATCCCGATTAGGTGACCTGCGCTCATCAACGGAGAAACTTCTTCTGACACATCAATCGCTCGAGGTCTCGTGGCGCAAAAAGCAGTCGGAACTGGATACGGCCCTGGCGCCCTGGTCGCCCAAGGCGCTGTATCAACGACTCGCTGCGTCGATTGCCGAGCAGGAAGCAGTATGCCAAGCTGTGGAGGAAAGCTTCCTGGAAGAGGAACAACGTCATGGGCGAGCAACCGAGAAGGAGGTAGGGGACTGGATTCGACGGGTTCGAGCCGAGTCCGCCAAGTTGGAGGCAAGAAGAGAGGCCAAATCAAGGTGGGATGAGGGGAGAGTTGGGGGGTGGCGGTGAGACTTGACAGCGTTTGATTTAGTAAAGTGTTTGTCGCTTTATTGAAAACGCATGATACCAGTCCAGTGCGATCAAGTGGAAAGGGTATAAGTTATTAATATTGCTATACAATCTGCAAAGAACCCCAAATAACGACCAAGGCCATGCATTATGTGTCACGCCCCGTTACCGCCTTATTACATCTACCACACACCAATGCTTCCATAAAGCCGTCAGTTTGTCTTCAGCCTAGTTCATTCAGCTAGGTTCCGTCTCCCGCTTTCCAAGTCGGTCTCCTCTCTATTTTCCGACATTTCTGGCGTCGCTCGCACTTCTTTTATGCTGGCCCAGTTATCGTCACCAACGTTGCTTGGCACCCCAACACCCTTGAAGAACGCATAGTCAGGACTTTTGCGCCCCAGGACCAACCCGAGCGGCCCGTGATAGGAGGACTATAGAGTCTGAACCCAACCTAGGGCGAAAACAGCCCCCATGACTACACCGAAAACCAGAACCGAAGTTGCAGGAAGAGAATTTCATTCATAACTGTCACCTAATGCGAGTGGATGGTCTGGCGATAGTAGTAGCTCATTCCCAGGTCGACATTATTCAACCCTCAACTACTGAAAGGAAATGTATGTGCATAATAGCAGCTCAGAGGACAAGACAGCCCATCCATCATTATCCCCGGGATGTAGTAAAACTAAAGCATTCTGGTCTGCAGCGTGGCTTTTACTTGTGTCATTGACCGAGCCTATAGAAATCATGCTGTGCTCTGCTGCTTTTGCAGGTTTCTCCTGCTGTCTTAACACATTTACTGCATCTATGTAAGCCTCTCTCTTCCTTTTCCCTCTCGTAGTCAAGCCTCAGGCTGTGGTTTACTAAAGTGGGGCGTTTGTCAATTTGTCAAACAGCTTTGTTGGCAGATTTCGCTTGCCGTACGTAGAAATTTGGTTTAGTATAAAACCGTCAAAGCCCACAATAAAATTTTTTCCGTCTACAAAGCTTGCAGCTTCAACGCTCAGGATGATTGAGCTTGACCATGCAAATGATTTTGTTTTTCTATTTCACCTCTTGTAGTATCTTCTTCAATTGCTCTTTGTTTTCTCAATGTGAGTTACTTGATCTCCCCTTCCTGCATTATTCTCGCTTTAGGATGAATTCCTTAACGGGAGTATCCAAGGCCGAAAAATCATGAAGGACCTATTCAAAGTCTCTAGAATTACTCTGAGTCATGTTATTTACTCGTTGCTAACTTGCTATCTCGTCTAGGTCTGTAATCCCTATAGCAAATTCACTGCCGCCTTTCAAAAAATTTCAATTGAAAAGGTATGCTGCATTTTTTTTTTTCTTTTTTACATTTTTGACTTCCTGCCCTCGAGTGATGACTCTATGACACGCTAAAGGCATTCCTCAATCTTAATCACCATGTGGAATCTGTCGTTACATTAAGTTTCAGCCTTGTCTGACTTTTCTCCCCTCGTACACTATTGCTCAAGCTACGTTTCAATAACTTTGACTAACGTTACTTGTAATAGGTAAATATTTGCACAACTTATACTTTTCCTTATCCCCCGCCTCGATGAAGATACTTTGAACGAACGGGCGGACATAATTGTGCATCTCCCTTCATCCATAAACAGCGAAGCGTACAAACTTTGCGGGTGCTGGGAGGTGTATTGCTTGTTGAGATCTCGTCACCTGAGTCTTTTGCGAATCGCTCTGCGGATGTCTCATACTTAGTCTTGCAAGCCAGCTAACGGGCCTGCCTAGGTACTGTCATAACTTGGTCCCTATCCCAACACCTCCAGTCAACATCAAATGATGAATTCTGTTATTCACACTGTTTGATCTGTGCATACCCTGTACGGAAATGAACATCACTTACAAAAAATCTGATTTAATGAGGTTGGTTTCTCTCCTTATCACCTTGTAAAACTAAGCTAACTTTCACAGCCTGACTTCAGTTGACACTCAATTGCTTGTTCACACATTTTGACATGTCGTGGATTTTTTGCTAATTGAATGTCATATTAGGACCGAATTGTTTTCGTGGACGAGCTTCGTCGAGTCAAGAGTAAGTCGCCTTCTTTCCTGTTCCTGATTCCTAATGATGATTTCTTTTTGCTGTATTTTCTGAATACATTTGAAGAAAAACTCTTTTCACCTTGGAGAACTGATAAGCTCCACATTACATGACACGATTCATGCCATTGATGTTCGCTACTAACAGCTATTCAGATAGACCATGGATACAAGAATAGAACAAAATGAATATTACCCATTGATAAAAAAAAAAATTTCCCACACGAGTAATTTATTTCCCCATGGGCTTCCATGATTGTATCGTAAACCCGGTCAAGAGTCAACGTCAACGACTACTGAATAAATAGCCCCCGCTTCTTATGCCAGTTTTCCAAACTATCCGAAGGATACTGATCGTAGATCACTTTGTTGCCCTCGGGCCAAGTCGCCCACTTCGGCTTCGAAGCATCAAAGATACACGACATCTCTGTTGGAACGGGCAACTCGGTATCAATTGCGGAGGCGAACGGGTGAATCAAGTCAGGCCACCGATGACACCAAAGCCACAACATGGTGCTGCAATTCGAGCAAAAGTTCCGCTCGGTTTCGCATATCTTCTCGTTCGGTGTGCCGCGATCTTTGACGGCAGTGTATTTTCTAAACTTTGTCAGCACTTCCAGCCGGATAGAGTCGATAATAAAGAAGAAGAAGAAGAAGAAGAAGAAGAAGAAGAAGAAGAAGAAAAGCTCATACTTACTTGATCAGATCCTTCCCCTTTGTAATCTTCAGACTATCCGCGATTCCACCGAGATTCACGCACCCCATGTGCCCACCTATCTTGCGACAGATACCGCACGCGCAAAGCTGGTAAGGAACCGGCGTGGAGGATTCGAGATTAAACTCGACGCCGCCGCATTGGCAGCTTCCTTCTAGCAGCCTGGGCTCAGGGTGATGGTTAATTAGCAGTTTGATTAATTTAAAAAAAAAAAAAAAAAGAGAGGCGAATGTTATTTATTGGGTGAGGTTTATCCCCAGGGTAGGTAACTCGGGTTAGTACGGAGTACTCCGTACAGAGTAGTAGGGTCCAGCGACAACGTACATAGGCATGTTATGTTGGTGTTGATGGATTTTGAGATTAGCGTGTGCTTTTTGGAAGTATAGTAAGATAATCTGATTAATTCAAGGTTCTTCCAGGGGAAAGAGTTCTTAAAAAGCATTCCACTGGATGCAAATGCGACGTCATATATATATGTATATACTTACGTAGAGTAGAGCCTTTTTTATCTTTTTGCACGGCGCACAGATCCGAGTGGAATGTTTGCATTGCCTCCATATGTATGTACTCCGCTCCGTACCTACCAGAGTACGGATAGATTAGGGAAAGTGGTAACGACAACATGCCTAGGAACCCCCGTTTGATTGGATCCCTCTGGAATATTAAGCAACTGCATCATCACTGAACTAAACTAACTAACTAACTAACTAACTAACAAAGTCGAGGACGAATCCTGATGGACATGGATACGCACGGTGTTTGTTTGCACCGTATGTCCCGTTTGTCGTAGTTGTAGCGTTTACACTGTTTGTGCTGTTTGTTCTGTCTCGCCTTCCGATGCTTGGGAGATTGATTCCTGTTCTTCTTCTCTGACCTGACTAGGTAGGCATTACCTTTTCTTCTTTTCTTTTCTTTCTTTTTTTTTTTTTTTTTTTTTTTTTTAAATTTCACAAGGAATATCATAATGAGTTTCGGAAGCCCAGGTGGCGGCGCAACGAATATTAAACCTTCGCCGTGAGTACTCACTGATATCATCACCATGAGCTAAGCTACGCTTCAGCTTCAGCTGAACTCGAGAGAGAGAGAGAGAAGAAGAAGAAGAAGAAGAAGAAGAAGAAGCTGACTTCTATAGTCCCGAGCGAGGAAGCTTTCCTCTTGACCACGAGGGTACTGTATCCTCCCTCACCTGTTATTTGTTTCGCATTGTTGCACCGATACACCACCCTGCTTACATTGACTCGGCTCGACTCGACTCGACATGACATGACATGACTTAACTTGAATGGATTGGATTGATGGAACGAATGAACGAATAAACTAACCAACGTAATAAGCTATAACAGGCGAATGCAAACACCTTGTCTCAAACTACCTGAAATGTCTAAAACTGCAGCGTGGCGTGAACGACGAGGAATGCCGCAAGCTAGCAAAGGGATATTTAGCTTGTCGGATGGATAAGTATGTTTTCTTTTTCTTTTTCTTTTTTTTTTTTAACCCACACATACACACACACACAGAGAGAGAGAGAGAGAGATATGCATTGTGTTTGCTAGAAACTTGAAACTAACAATGGTAGAAACCTTATGGCCCCAGATGACTTTAAAAACCTCGGTCTTGTTTTTGTGGACGAAACGAAGTCGATGTCGAGATCACCGCAGACGCAGATATCACCACAGACACAGGATTCATCGCGGGTGTCGTCGTCGGGGAATCACTCGTGATGTGTACACAGTGTACAATGTAAGCTTGTGCGAGGATGAGGTAAAATGTATGATATATATAAGTCATGGATAGTGATGATGCAAGTGTGTTTTTAAGTGAAAGAGGGTGTATGACGACTTATGATATGATATGATATCTTTACTTTGTTTACTGTATATATACATACATATGCATATGCATCCATGTCTGTCTAAATTAAGAGGGTTGGAATTTGGACTTGTGTCTTATATGCCATGTTATAAGATAGTCGAGTTATCATGTTTCTGTGGTTACATGGCCAAATCTCGATTCGTTAGTCAGTGAGGTCTTGAATATGAGGTTCTCTGACGGAGCATGTAACAGTAACCTCGTAGGGTTGACAAGCAGCCTTGGTGCTAAGAATGTGACATGAGAGGCAAGTAATGAATGAAGTAAAAATGAAGTACGAGCATCAAAGTATATATGTCCACATTGCCCTCACATAAAGAGTCGTAAATTGAAATATTATAAACCCCATAATTCATATCCGGGTGAATATCTATACTAGAATCAGATTATGGACCTGTCCAATAATCCATATATATGTTATAAAAGTGTCTAGGCTCTCGGGTTGGCGGCCTGTAGAACAAGAACGTCACCGACGGATCTGTTCTCTGTGCGAACCATAGCTTGGGCAACTGCTCCTAGCGCGGCCTTAGCATCAGGACCAACCTCCCCCGACGTCGGGGTTCCGATTTCGACAGCCTGGTTCACGCGGTTGTTGGTCCGCCCGACAACGACAACATTGCCGGCTTTGTGGACCAAACGAGTCATTTCCTCCTTGACGGTGTTAACAGCGAGCTGAACAGGGTCCGCATCGCCCTTGGTCGGGGAAACGCGTTTGAAAACTACGCGGGAAGAAAGCGTATCCGGCAAGGAATCGCGCAGCGTTGCAAAATAGATGGCGTCGGATTCGGGTCGGAATGTTCTCGTAAGCTCAGAGTTCGAGGACTTGGATCCTGTCAAGTCGCTCTGTTTACCACTGCTGGCAACCTCTGGTGCTTTTGGTGTCGTCAGAGGAAAGTCTAGGTGGATGACCGTAGCCGTGACTTGGTCATTCTGCGCGAGTTGGAGCACGAACTGTAGGGCGAAGCGGTCATCATCGCCTCCAAAGAAAGGCACAACGATATGGTGGGAGCGAGTGGCTGCAGGGCTAGCCCAGACAGAGCTCCGAATGCTCATGAGGCTCAGAGATCGCTTGACAAAAGGTCGAGTTTTCGCGGCATTGCGAGTATACATCGGCCGCTCAATAAGAACACCGACGTTGCACTCGCTTTGGGTGAGAATATTAGACACGAAGCTTGGGTAAGGTCCATCTGCAAATCGGTTTCCTTCGTCTACGCCAAAGCCACCTTGATGCTCGCTCATAGCACCAGTTTCGCTCCAGGGAACCAGAAGAAGATCCGTCGACTCCTCGCGAGCCATTCCCAGAACCGTGTCCGCATAGGAGTGTTCTGGAACTACAGAGATACCAGCCATAATTGAAATATCGTGCCATTGACCGAACGCGCGGAATGTATTGATGACCGGATCCCACAGTGAGTATGCATCCACCTCGGACACCTTCATCACACTAGAGTCACGGTCTGTGAGTTCCATCAGGCGAATTCCGTGGACTTTGAGCGAGGTATCATCCTCAATTTCAGTTGCAGCAGACTCTTCAGCTGCCGGTTCCGGCGACCTAGTGCTTGGGGCCTTTTCTGGGTGAACCTTCGGGGTAGGAGCCTGGATTGGTCCAAGTAGCGCGGCAAGGGTACAAATACTGGAGAGACCGTCAAGGCGCAGATACACTAAGAGTTTGCGAACCTTGTGGGACTGGAGGTGGTCTTTGGCCATAGCCACGCTGTCGCTACGGTCGCCGGAGTGGAGCGGGTTGCCGTCCCAGTCGATTTCACCTCGTCGCCAGCGGTCGACCTTGACTTGGTACCACTTTGGATAGAGAATGGTCGTCAACGGGGTAGTAGCAAAGGTCGTTACGAGCGCCATGACCACAAACATGGTGAAAGTCCGCCTGCTGAGAATCTGGGCTTGTAAACCGATATTCTGGATTTCTTGTTAGACTACTAAAATGATACTCTTCGGAGGGTGACTGATACGTACCAAAACAATAAGCTCGACCAAGCCTTTGCAGCTCATCAGAACTCCAATCGCGAAACTCTCTCGCCAGAGAAGACCGCAGAGCCTAGAAGCAAGTGCACCTCCAGCGACTTTAGCAATAAAGGCAATTGCGATAATTGCAACCACATAGCCCCACACAGTGCCGTTATCAAGCAGTCCCAGGTTTGTCTGGAGGCCAGAAAGGGTGAAGTAAAGCGGCAGGAAGAGGGCAGTCACGAGATCCTCAATCTTTTCCGTCAATTTGATGGCAAAACCTCCTTCATGGGGGCAGAGCAAGCCAATAATGAAGCCGCCAAAAATCGCATGGACACCGATAACCTGAGTAAAGAAGGCAGAAGCAAGCGCAATCAGAAGCGTGATTGCGACAACAGATTGACTAGGGCCTTTTTGCAGGCTACCTGTATAGTTGAGAAAACGCAAAAAGAGCGGACGAAAAATAAAAGACAGGAAAATAACATAGCCCACGCAAACAAGCAACACCCAGAGCGCTGTAATGCCTGATCCAGCGTTAACAAGCGCGACACAGAGCGCCAGCAAAACCCAGCCAACAACATCATTACCCACACCAGCGGAGAGGACAATGACACCGACGTTGGTTCCGAGCAATTTCAATTCAGTTAGGATACGACACAAAACGGGGAAGGCCTTTGACGATCAGCTATTATTTTAACAGTGGTAAGAGAAAAAGAGAGGGGAGGGAAGGGGAAAAAAAAAAAAAAGGCCCTCACAGTGATAGCCATAGCAATGCCAATGAAAAGCAGATAGGTGCCAAAATTGATTTCCGTCGTGCCGGGGTCATTGCGAAATTGGTTATATAGTCCATAAGATAGTGCACTGCCCAGACCAAAGGGTAAGATCATTCCAGCGGCTGAGACACTGGTGGCCACACGCCAGTTACTAGTCAAAAAGCGCAAATTGGTTTCCAGACCAACCAAGAAGAGAAACAGGACCAGCCCAAGATTTGCCACCAAATTCAAATTTGGGATTGAATCAGATGGGAAAATCGCGTCAGTGAAGCCGGGGATGCGTCCCATCACGGAGGGGCCAAGCAAGATGCCTCCGATAACCTCTGCGATGACACGCGGCTGACGGATTTTGGAGAGTGGCCAATGTAGTAGACGAGATAGGACAATGATGATAAAGGCCTAGCTAGGGTTAGATTTGCACGAAAGCCTAAATTCGCATGCGATCAAAACATACCTGGATAATGAATAGGATGAGAGGATTTCTGGGGTCATAGTGAGATGGATTGCCACCCTCGAGAATACCTCCCTGGGGGGTTGCCCGATTGGAAGAAGTAGTAGAATTAGAGGCCATGATTGAGAGGGTGAAGTGCCTTAAACCCCCATTTTTGGAAGAAGAAGAAGAGGGGGGGGAAGAAGATGGTTGAGAGGAGAGGAGAGGAGAGGAGAAGAGAAGAGAAAGAAGAGATGAAAAGAGATGAAAAGAGATGAAAAGAGATGAAAAGAAATGATGAAAGGAAGAAGAAAGAATTGGATGTTGGAGTGCTGCACTCAGTGAATGCAACCAGCACCACCATACAGTCGGTGATCACCTGATGCACGGCCCCACCTGATGCACGAAATCACTACCAACTATAAGAACCAACATGAAGCAATTTAACCATATACAATTAATATTATCTCTTAAATTTTTGATGGTTGAAAGTAGTCATTAGATACAGTCTATAGATGATTTTTAGTCACCCTGAAAGCAGTGTGGTAGTTGGATCTCGCGGCCTCGACAATTTACTGTAGGAGGGGCCTCAACAATATTTATAGGGGTTGTTGGCCTGGTTTCTATAGATTTTGGCTGGCGTGAAGCTATAGATATCTTCTTTAGGGTTTTCTTTACCTCCTAGAAGTTATTTTAAAGCTGATAATCTACCTTCTTTACCAGGCATGCCTCCTCCTTCTGTTGTTTCTTCCACTCTACCTTTAATAACTATAATTCTTATTAAGATACTTAATTTCTCTTGCACTCTTTAAATAAGTGTTATTTCTCCTCTTTAGCAAGCTGCTAATGGACCTTTTCTTCTTCCTTTAAGGCCTTAGCAAGTTATATAGCCTCATTTTTCTGCTTCTAAAGATCACAGGCTTGCTAGATCTTTTATAGAGAGTAAAATACTATACTACTATCTTTAGGTACTATAAGCTTAAATTTTAAAGGCTTACTATGCTAGTACTTCTTCTTCTTATTCTAGAAAGTTAATTCAAGGCCCTTATAATATAGTTTAAGGATTATATTCTCTGTAAAAAGATAATATATTATAGAACTTAATTTTTTAATATTCTTATTATATATATTAGTAACTATATAGTTTAGAAGCCTTTTAATCTTTCTCTAGTCCTCTACTTATAAGATTAATTATAAGGAATTACTAGATAATAGCCGCGAGTCTATCTTTCTATTAAATTAAACTAGAATAATCTTAAGATTAAGTAGTAATATCCTAATAATTTTTTATAAAGAAAGTATATTTTTTAATAATAAAGCCTGATTCCAGGCTAGCTAGAAGAGGTAGAAGAAATCCTGCTTAATAATATAGCTAAGACTTATTAATTTATGCAAGAAATCCTCTAGATTCTTACTATAAGTAGTAGAAAGAGGACTAAAGATTCCAATATTAAGTAGCTACAGCAAATAAGTTAAATAAGGTAGATAGGTTATTAAAAGAATCCTATTAATATCACAGTAATTAATAAACTTTATAGTAAGGTAAGATTTATAACTATCAAGAATTAAAAGTCTCTAATACTTCCATGCTTTCTCCTTTATCTCCTGGTTAAATATATTCATCAACCAGGCATATCCTAGCTCATTATTTATCTAATTACTTGCAGAGGAGGTAAAGAAGCAATTATAAAGCTTAGGATCAAAGTCTTATAGCCAGGAATCCTGGATATTACCACTAGTAGCCTAGTAAATAAGACCTGGTAAGAGTAAGCTTCCATTAGCATAAATATAAGTAATTAAGATTATCTACTCTTAATTTCTATCTTACAGGCACTACTTAAAGGCCCTATTTTTATATTTTTACTTAAAAAAGATCCTGAGACTTTTAACAAGTATTTTAATAAGAAATTCTTTTTTATCTATATTATAGATATCCTCTATATATAGCTTATATTCCTCTAGTTTCTAGTATAGTAATTTAAAATATAGCATGTATTTATATGCAGAATTAGCTTATTTTTATGTAGTATTAATAGTAGTTATATAGGTTAAAATAAGATTATCTTAATATTACTTTAAAAAGCAGCCAGGCTAGTATTTTCCAGGCTTCTATCTACTTATTTCTTTTACAAAATTACATAATATTTTATAGGATATAAAGAGGCCTTATTTAGTAAGTTTATTAATATATTTTATAAGTTCTTTTTTATATTAGTTACTGAAAGCTTGTTATTGCTCATATTAGTAGTCTTTTGAATATAAAACCCCATAGTGGCGCCTTAATAATATTAATTACTTAATACCAAATTATTTTGTAATTTTAATATAATTAATTAAAGCACCTGGTTCTAAGGAATTGATTACTTCTAATGCTACTTTAATTAGAGTTATATTAAATAAGATATGTAAAGTTGAAAATTGCTATCTAGAAAATTAGTGAGGGGCAAAATGTGCATGAGATGGGGCCATGCATCAGGTGATCACCGACTGTAAAGCAGCATCACCATAAAGAAGAAGATAGCGACACGTGACTACTCTGTGTATTTAGGCCACTGTTTCCTTCCAGATCTTTATGCTTCCTCCAAGCATCTCCTTCTCTTTATTTTCTAGTTAGACTAATTAAATCCATTTCAGTTAACTTTCTACTATCATTATTTAACGACCTCTCATCAGGTTATAAGCCCTCCTTGAGGTTCTATTTTATACTTCATAAACCTCCAAAAAACTCTTATCATACCCTTGTACCCCTGTATAGAGATCTGCTACCTAATTAGATAAAGATCCTGGCAGAAATATTACCTACTGCTGTTATGTTACTTTACCTGGGCAATAGTGTGTGGAAAATTTCCACAATTTAACCAAAATAGCAACTAAACCTATCCCTAGCAGATATCCTGACATCCCTGATTTACCACACCTACCTTCGACGGCTACTACCCTGTTTACTAATGGCCGAAATCAAGCAATAAAGCTAAAGAATGGCACATTCAACTTAAGCCTGATAATAATGTTAGAAAATAATTTAAAATTCGAAATTTAGACTTTATTTATATAAATAGAGCTAAAACTTTATAAGATAGATAAGCTTCTTAAAAGTAATATTTCTAGACTATAATTTAATAATCTTAAGTATAAATTATGGGAACTTCTTTTATAAATAGTAGCTAGTTAGATATTATATTTAATAAGTAAGAAATTAGTAAAGAAATTACTAATAGATGTTACTCTATATATCTTTATAGATAATTTCATATAGAAGTTATAAAGGATAATTATTAGTAGTAGTTAAAGATATATATACTAGACCTAGAGAGAAGTTATTAAGATTAAGTATAAAAATTATATAACTATTAATAAGTTTATATTAAATTTTATCTAGAAGATAAATATTTCTAATAAGTTAAAAATAGTTATTATACCCTATTAAGTAGTTATTATAATACTTTAGGAGCTTGAAAGGAATAATATAAGCTTTATAGATTTAACTTTAAATAACCTAGGTAATAATCTTATTAAAATAATAATATAGAAGCATTTTTATACTATATATAATATAATAAAGGATAAAGTTTAGGAGAATCTACTATTAAATACTATATCTAATACTACCATGCCTGCCATGAATATACTAAGTTCTTAACTAACAAATAGAAGAAAGTAGCAGTAATAACAGAAATATGTACTACTATAGAATATAATAGTTATAGGCTATATTAATTATTAATTAAAGTAATTAAGGAAACCTGGAATACTATACCTATTTTATAAGGAGGAAAAATATGATACTAAGGACTACCTATATTTAATGATTAATAAGTGTCAGGGGGCAGAGTTGGATTCAGATATTCATTGACTAGGAGCTAACCAGACAGAACAGCAGAACAGTAGGTATCAGGTAATAGACAGGACGTAGCTCGAAGAGCTATAACAGGATTGAGGACAACATGGCTTAAATATAGGAATAAGGGTGGATAGTCAAGGCAGAATCTAACTAGATAGGTACTACAGCTTCATACTGTAATAGTACTCCCCTTCTTAGGGTTGAGCTCTGTTAAGACTAGGGAGGAATTAGCTGGGGTTTCTTAGGATAATAAAGGTAATAATTATTTACTAGTTAGTAGATATTCTCTAGATACTTAGTAGGCTCTTTAATTAGCTTATTATATCTAATTTACTTAATAGTATATCATAGCTTAGGTTTGCTATAGTCTTAATAAACTTATTAGAAATTAAGGACTTTCTTAACTTCCTATTTTTCTAATTCTTCTACTTTAACAGGTAGTAGTAGATTAGGGTATTAACTAGGTAGAGAGTTATTAATAGTAAGGTAGAGTAAAAATATATTAAATATAAGATAGATTCTTATACTTTTAGGTAATTTAAATTTATAAGTATACAGGCTAATAATTCTCTTAATATAGTATAATCTAAAATTCTTCTAATCTAACTTCTTCTATAGGTAGAGTATTTAAATATTATAGATATCTAGCTAGATTTCTTGCCCTATAGTATAGTAATGTGCAGGTTACCTTTAGTAATTAGCTTATACTTTATAACAGGCTTAAGTAAATAAAATCTTAATATAGATAAACTTATAAATCTTATATATAATATTAATAAATTTCTTAGTATTTTTTTTAGTAGGGTAGATAGTAGGGTAGCTTGATTTAAATCTTAATATTAAGTAGAATCTATAATTAGCTATAAATAGTAATATTCTTATAGATTTAGAGTAGATAGAGTTAGTAATAAATTTAATTATTAATAGCTATTTAGACTAATTATTTTATAAGTATAATATATATACTTGTAAGTATTATTCTAAGATAGTATTAGTATATTTAGTTTAATTATTAGTCTTAGAGTAATAAATAGTAAATAGTAAGTTATAAATCTTTAGGCAGGATATTAGGTATTTCTAGAAGGTAGTAATAAACTAGACTTTATAATCTAATATAATTATTTTAAGGATATTATAGAGCTTCTAGATATACTTAAAATATAGATTAGCTACTTCTTTAGTATTAATTATCCTAGTACAGGGAAGGAAGTACTTTATCTTTATTAGATAATTAACTATAATTAAAATAGTATTATAGCTATTATTTAGTAGTAAGTATATAATAAAGTCTATACTTATA